GGCGAAACCGAAGTGCGTCAGAATGGAAAGAAAGGATCGAAAAAGGAGAGGAGAAAGAGTAAAAAGGTGAAAGATGTTGGAAATAAAAAAGGGACTGAAATGCCAGCGTGAAAGTGGAGAAGGGACGCGTCAAGGCCTCGGGGTCTTTGCTCTCGGGGGGGCCCATTGCAATTCCTCTGCATTTGAGAGGTACCTCTAATCCACCGAAGTATAAATTAAAAATGTATTTTCAAGGGATTTACGATTTTTGGGGGTCGTAAAGCGGTGGAGACGGTGGGATACGCCGGGGGGATAAATTATAATGGAGAAAGGGGTTTGAAAGGTTTTAGGGGCGACCTTGACTCGACGGATCGTTAGGCTGGGGATTCATTGGGAAGGGACGATGATCTCTTGGATCTCAATGTTTGGGGGGACGAATCTGTTTTATCGGACTAGGGGAAGAAGATTTTTATCATCTGAGCTGGAGATTATTTCGATAATATCGATTTTTTATTCTCAATTACGACGATTTGATACTGCTCGCAATCATTATCTTAATTTGATTATTTGAAATCATTAAATAATTTAAACAAAAATTATTATTATTCATTATTTTTTAAATTTATTAATGTTTATAAAATTTTAATGAAATAGAATTTTATATTTTATTTTGGTATTTGAATATTTCAATTAAGATGAAGTAAAAAAATTAATTATAATTTTTGTATTTGTTTATTTTGTTTATTTTAATCAGTTCTGATCTTTTATCATCTGCGTTAAAAATTATTTTGCAAATATCGATAATGGAAATATGATTTTTAATTTTTAATTACGATTTAATACTATTCAGAATAATTGTTTTAAGCTGTTTATTTCAATTCATTAAATCAATTCTCTGCATCATTTGTTTGTTAATTATTGTTATTTGTAATTTTTTCAATTTATTCCGCAATATTTATAAAACTTTTATATAAAAATAGTATTTTCTATTTTATTTTAGAATTCAAATATTTCATAATTAACATAAAGTAAAATAATTCATTCCATTTTTTTTTAATTTTATTTTGTTTTGTTTTAATCAGTTCTGGTCTTTTATCATCTGAGTTGGAGATTATTTTTCAAATATCGATAATAAAAGTACGATTTTTGTTCATTATTAATTACCATTTTAATATAATTCGAAATAATTATTTTGATTTCGTTAGTTCAAATTATTAACTCAATTCTCTTCATCATTTGTTAATTTATTATTGTTATGTATTATTTTGACAATTTATTCACTAATATTTATAAAATGTTTATGAAATTGTATTTTTTATATTTTACTATTCAAATATTTAAATAATTCAAATATTTCATAAAATAAAAGAATTAATTTTTTTTTTGTATTTCTTTTCTTTTGTTTTGTTTAATTTTAATCAGTTCTGGTTACCATCAACGATTGTTAGAATCCGATGGGTGTTCAGAGGAATCTTCACAGGTGTCTCTTGAATTCGTTGGATAACTGGGGAAACGATGTTTCCGATCTCTGGAGCGAAATAGAAGACAACTTTTACTTTCTCGGGAAGAGAACCGGCTTTTCTACTTTAATGTTATCGAAGATGTTTCGTGATTACTATCGGTTTCAAATGGATCATATAATCGTCTGGGTACTGGAGCGGTGTCTGTCGTTGAGTATAACTACTGGAATTGTTGATTTATGCGGATGATAATACGGGATCTGATTGATTATTTATTAATTGGAGAATGAAATATTAGTTTTGCGTTAAATTAATATATTCTTGGATTGAGAATATCAAACTTATTTCACGAACTATTTTTTTATTTTCTTAGTATTTGGTTTTATTTTTGTGATGATTTTTGAATAATTCGAATTTTTCCAAAAATTTTCTGAAATTGAATTTTTTGACCGTTTTTTTTTCAAATATGATTTTAAAATATTCACTCAATTGTGAATGAAAAAAATTCGTAGTGTCATTTTTCATTTGATTTACGCAAGAATTTCAATTTACAAGCAATCTAACAAAATCCTTAGTTTTAATTGATTTTTAAATAAAATTATGAATTTCGAAGAAGTATTCCGAAAATTTTCAAAGAAATATTTACATAATACATGGAATAACTGGAAAATTACTTTCGTCACGACATTGTCAATATATTTTTGTTAACAAATTAGCAATTTTCTTCCGAATAAAATTTTTATGATGATGTATTTTTAATTGAATTCAATGATTCAATGGCAGCCAACAAGAAAATTCTTAACAAATAATTAAATAACAATGGCATGGTTATTATTATTATTATTATTATTATTATTATTCAATAATGTTAAATAATAATAATTTGAATAATTAAATAACAAAATACAATGAAATAATTAAAAAAAAGAAAAAATAGAAAAAATCAAATAAAAATTAATTAATTAAATAATAATCCATAATTTTCTACTATCATCTTCCCCCCTCTCACCCTCTCGCCACCCAAATTTTGTGTAAAAAATTTCGTCATCTCGATTGAAACCGACAGCACGTATTACAATCAATTCCCCTTGAATATTCATCGACGTCACCAGGGCTAAACCATCAAAATTCACGTCACCCCAGTGCCATCACATGGACATTAAAAAAAAAAATCCATAAAACGAGGGTGAGGACACTAACGACGCACACGGAATTTCGAAATTCCACACCATTGTCATGAAATTTCGAATGTTCCTGGGAGACTGTGAGCATTCTCACATGTCTGAGAGATAATCTATCCTGGGATTAATAAAACCTGAGTTTAGGATTCCATTGTGAAATTCAAGTCGAGGTTTTTGAAGAGGAAACTATCACCACATCCTCATCAGTCTCAAAAATAGAACCGACGTTACCCACGCATTGTTGGGAAACGGATAATTACATTTTTGTTTATGATTTTTTTTATTTGCGATTTTTTTGATTCGCGATTTATCAGAGGAATTGTTCATTTAAATCGAATAAATTTTATTTGAAATTGAATCTCAGGTAAACAATTTTTTTTGTTTACATTTTTGTTTAAATGGGGACAAATATTTCCTTGATTCAAATTAAGAATCCATTAATTAGTAATTTAATTAATTAAAAATGAAAATATTTTTCAAATAGACGAAAAAAATTTAAATAAACAATTTTGTTTGTATATTTTTATATATTTTTTTATATATTTTTGGTTATATTTTCATTTAAATATAAACAAATATTCCCTTGATCTAAATGAAAAATTTATTAATTAATAATTAAATTCATTAAAAATGAAAATGAATGGCAATATTTTTCAAATAAACAGAAAAATTATAAATAAGAAAATTAAATGAAAATTAAAAAAAAATAAAATAAAAATGAAAAATGGAAATAAAAATAAAAAGTTTTATTCGAATGAAATCCCTCATTTCCTACCTGAATTTTCTCCTCATAATTGTTGAACTAAACTTTCAAAAGATCAAAAATTATGAGTTGAAATTATTTATGATTTATGATGACCTCAACAAAACCTCGAGTCATCTAATCGTTATTTTCTACTCTGTCTCGACACAGATTCAGCGATTAGGTCCAATTAACCGGTGAAGAGAGGGACAGAAAAACCATTCGCTTGGAGAAAATTCAAGACAAATAATTCTCTTGAACAAACACTCGTGATGCCAAGATTTCTGGAGCATTCCAATTACTCGGACCATCTGATCGTGAATAACTAAAACTTCGTGATAAAATTCCATCATCAATTGTCACGGTGTATTTCACCCATTATTTTCTCTCGATCGCGTGAAGGAGACCGGAGATGGCTCGCTTGAAGAGTCCCAAGAAACCGTGAACATTAATTTGTGCTCCCTCTATTTTTATTTACGCACAGCCGTATAATCCTGATTGAGAACCATGGAGAGGTGATAAGAAAAATGGAGGCCGGGGGGATTAAAAATAAATGTGCTCTTGGGGGAATTAGTGGTGGCATGCGGAGAGATGACGCTTTCTTTCAGTTTCTTTTGTTATATAGCGGACAAATAACAGGTAATTTTGTTGGTTTAGTCGGTGGGTGGAACGAGAGAGATATAATTGCACTAATGAGATTGTGAGGAATTGTCAATTTGGTTCGGATTTGGCAGAAGAAAATTATTCAAATTTTTCGGATGTCGAAAACTTTGCGATTATTTGTGACAGAAAAAAAACATCTTGCGAATTAGTTGAATCATTAATAAATTTAATAAATTTAACATTTACATTAATAAATTTAAAAAAATAGTTAATAATAACAATGATAAAATTTTAAAAAATCATTTAATAAAAAAAAAATCTTAAATATTAATTCAATTTTAATTTTTTTAAATTAATTTTTTTTTAATTTTATTTTTATTATTATTTTTTTTTTATATTTATCATTTGATAAATTTTTAAAAAAAAGTTAATAATAACAATGATAAAAATTTTCAAAAATCGTTTAATAAAAAAAAATTAAATTAAGATTCAAGATTTTTTTTAGATTTTTTTTTAATTTTTAATTTTTTTTTTTTTTTAATTTTTTTTTTTATATTTCTCATTTAATAAATTTAAAAAAACAGTTGATAATAACAATGATAACAATTTTCGAGTTAATTATTTCGAATAATATTAAATCAATCTATCTATCTGTCCATCCCCAATCGATCCCCCCGACCCCCTCGAAAATCCCCGAATCCAGCCATTTGAACCCCCAGAGACACTAATTCAACGATGAAGAATCCAGTGGTAAGCATGATGCCTTCCTAGTGGCAAAAGGAGACGCGGGAGGGTTAGAGTGGGGGCCTCATATAAGACCCGTAGCCAAACGCCTCTCCCAGTGACCAGTCCCGACACGAAAACCCATCAGCAAAGCTTCTTCGGGGGCCCTCACAATACATTTCACAATACACGAGCCCACAACTGTCAGGTGACCCTCAATTTTCATCAAGTTTCCTCAATTATTTCATGCTCCTCACGTTGGAGCTTAAATTCATCTCCTAGTTCAGTTATTTTGAATCATTGACCTTCACAATGGGAGCGATTCACCTCATCGCATTCATGCTGGTCTTCGTTGCTGCCACAGGTAAGGATTCCATCAATTAATTAATTAATTATCTCATTAATTAACCGATTAATCAAGGATGATGAGAATGAGGAAGTGAAATTGTTCTCCTGTTTTTTAAGAATTTTTTTAAGCCTCTCTTCATTTTTTTTTGCTCTTGATAATTTTGGTAATTTCTCCTGTTGTTGATTGAGTTGTTTAATTAATTGTTTCCACTAATTAGGGATGAGTGAGGCCCACGAATGGACCGATTAGTCGCGAGTGTAATCACTTGATTTGTTTCCCAACTATATCCTACATGTGATTTCAAATAAAATAAAATCTCCTTTCACTTTTACTCTCCATAACCGCACGATCAGTTGTAAATTCATACCATTATTATTGAATAATTTAACTTCTTATGAATTGCTAATCACCATTGTGAGATTAAATCCAGCTATTGTGCATAACTGTACTTATTTCGTGGGAAATTTCATGCACCACGTCATTTCGTAAATTACATTCATTTGTGGTTGAGGGGAAAAGAATCGTTGAAAGTCAGTCTCCAATTGTTGGAATTAAACAATACTTCATTAATAGATAAAATAAATGATTAAATCAATTGTTAAAGCGTTTTCCATTTTTTTTAAATGGAAACGAAACAAAAAATTGATTGATTAATCGATTCATGAATTTTTTTAAGGTCTTGTGAGGAAACAAATGATTTTGTTTATAAAAAAATTAACATTATGTTAATTCAGTTGTAAATAAAGAAATAAATATAAATAATACATTACATTCATCTGCAGTTGAGGGGGAAATCATCGTCAAAAGTCATTCTCCAATCGTCGAAATTAAATAATAATTAATTGACTAAATTAATGATTGAATCAATTATTAAACAATTTTCTGGTTTTTTTAATGAAAACGAAACAAAATTAATTAATCAATCCCTGATTTTTTTAAATGTCTTGGGAGAAAAAAATTATTTTGTTCTTACAAAAAATTGGCATCATGTTTATTCAATTTAAAATAAATAAATATTAATAATAAATTACATTCATCTGTGGTTGAGGGAAAAATCATCGTCGAAAGTCATTCTCCAATAGTTGGAATTGAACAATAATTCATTAATAGAAAAAAAGGAATGATTAAATCAATTATTAGAAATAAATTATGTTATAAATTATAAATAAATAATTATTCATAAATTATAAATTATTTTATATTTAATGAAAATTTTAATGACACTAAATTAATTGATTAATCAATTCATTTTTTTTGTCTTCGGAGAAAAAATTAATTTTGTTTGTTAAAAAAAATTAACATAATGTTAATTCAATTGTATGCATCAGTCAAAAACAATAGGAGTCACTGATGTATTTCAAATTTCACATACACATCTCGAGAGAAAGAACTTTCACCCAGTGGCTCACGGGTGAAAATATGAAAGTAGCTCAGCCCCAAACAGTATCTTTACACTCTCCTGCCATTTCTCTCTCAATCCACCTTTATGAAAAATGAATTCGTTATGTTGCCCTCTAGTCACAGCCAGTGGCACTGCGAGTGTCCAGGGGTCCTTTCAGTTTCACGTTTCTCGTAATTAAACGTCAATCCGGTGTGAGAGAGAATCTCGGAAATGTAATCGCGGGGGATTGAAGCCGGTTGCTAATCACATCTCATAAATCTCAATTAAATTATGCCGGTAATTTCCTGATAAGTAATGGGTCAGAACGTGTTTTGAGACTTTTTTCGTGGGATTTTTCACTTCCGGTTGGAAAGGTGTTGAAGTGGCTTTGGGAAAATTGTTTATGATTGATGATTTGTCAATCGGCCGCGGAATACGGAAATGCCGAGGAAAAATTGGTGGAGGTGAATTTATTTTAGAGATGCATTAAAATTTTTTTTTTTTGGAAAATAAAAATTTTAGACGAAAGAACAGTTTAAAAAGTCTAAAATTTTGAAATGTTTTTTTTCTAAAATTGTTGCATTGAAAAATTTCAAAGTCCTAAATTTCTTCCAATTTTCTTTTTACAATTTTATAAATTAAGTAATTGACATTTTTGTATTTGAAAATTGAAAAAATTGAAAATTAACAATTTTTAAGTCCAAAATTTCATTCAATTTTCATTTTTTAATTTTATAAATTGAGAAATTGACATTTTTGTATTTGAAAATTGAAAAAATTGACAATTAACAATTTTCAAGTCCAAAATTTCATTCAATTTTCATTTTAAAATTTTACAAATTACGTAATTGACATTTTTTTGTGAAAATTGAAAAAATTGAAAATAAAAAACATTCAAGTCCGAGATTTCTTTCAATCTTCATTTCAAAATTTAATAAATCAAGCAATTGAATTTTCAAATAAAAATTCGGAAATTAAAAAAAAAAATTGAGTCCAATTTTTTTAACGACTCAGAAATCCACGAATTTCCATCCGAAAAATAAAGAATAAAAACTAAAAAAATTTGATTTTCAGCATTAAAAATAAAAATTAAACTAGCGAAAAATTACCAAATTTTGCGAAAAATTTGATTTTTCAGTCTTCAATTCAAATTTAAAATGGCTCCCCCCAAAAAAAATCAAATCTCCAAATTTTAATTTTCACTTCGAAATTTCCTACAATAAAAAAAAATTACAGCAAAAATAAACTGTAATTTTCCATTCCAATAAAAAAACTACAAACTTCACCTCCCACTTCGTTAAAAAAATTAAAAAATCCAATTGCAAAAAAAATTCCTGAGATATCCCTCGGCCTCACCTTGAGCCTGATCAATAAATCTCCAGCTCCCCTCCCGACAAAAAAACTAGATCTAAACCCCGTAGGCCCTCCTCCGCGAAATATCCACATTGTTAACCGCGGGCGGGGGTCAAAGCACCTTAAGGCGAGGCGTATCACTTACCCAGGGCATTTACTCATTTTTACCGTGTCCACAAGCCCAGGTATTCGTATCCACATTTGTTTTGAAGTAAATAGCACGAGTGTAGCGGTTCGAAGCTCGGAGATACGATTGTAGAAGTCGTAAAGGAAGGGAAAGTAAGCCAACGCCGCGAGAGAGAACCTCTCGAGGATACCGTGGCCACTGAGCATTCTTATGTAACTCGACCGGTGTAGATCTCAAAGAGATGTGTCTGAGAGAATTGCCCGGGGCTGAGTTTTAATTCAACCGGATTGCGAGTGTACCGAAGGGCGACAGTCGTAAATAGAAAAAAAAATAGAACAGACTCGATATTCCCTTTTTCAACCAATTGTTTATAATCACTGATGAGAATCACACGTCCCAATTTATCAGCTGATTAATTTTCATACTACAATGATATTATATTTATAATATCATTGTAGGATATTAATATTATTTGTTCAATGTGAAAAAATCGATCGTCATTTTCACTATATTGCATTCAGATTCTCCTGTCCTCAACGTCAAAAATGTGAGATAATCTCATAATTTTAGCTATTAATTCTAATCAACTTTGTTCGAAGAAAACGCAATATTAAGAAAGTTGAATTATTCCATTTTCCTCTGACCTAAATTATTTGGACAATTATGATTCGTTTATTCATGTTAAATTAAATTAAATTAAATACTCTAATTTTACTTGATTTGTGGAGGGGCGCGTCTCCTGATGAGGAAGAGGCTGATTAGAAACAGATTATGGGGATTAGGAGCAGTTATGAGGATGAACGAAGGTCGCTAAAGTCAAGGCTGAAAGGACTTTCACTTCGATCTCTTGGGAGCGTTGTTCCGCATGGCTTCCCACCCATATAATTCCACTGTTTACAATTTCCCTTTCGATTAATCATTATTACCGGGGTTTTATGGAGATTTTGGGGAATGTGGGGTTTCTTAAGCGATGGGATTATGTCGGGAATAGTAAAGGGATTATGAAAGTGTTATTTAATCAAAATTAAATTTTTTTCGAACATTTTCAAGTTTATCTTCACTTATTTTTTATGAATAAACGCAGATCAATAATATTTTTTATGATGAATTTTGATTGAATGAATCTGAATGTCCAATTTTTTTATACAAACCCACAAATAAAATTTTGGAACTTGAGAATATCTATTATCTTTTTATTTCAATTTCTAATTTTATTTATAAAGATTTGGAATTTTTTTTTCCATTTTTCCTGTTTGCAAATTCATTAGATTTTTTGGTGTGTTGAAACCCCATAGAATTTCTGGAGAATATTGTAATTGTATTCTCATCATGTTTTCTGTAAAAACTTCTATAGAGCTATAATTTCTATAGAAAAAAACATCTATAGAATGTATAGGATTTCTATAAAAATATCAGAGCAAAAGTCATCATTTTCAAATTTCTATAGACATTCCAATGCAATTTACGGTTCTATAGAATTTTATTTTTCAAAAGTCTATAGAGAGCCTATAGAATTTCTCTATAAATTCTATAATTATAATTCTCTGAGAATATTATGATTATATTTTTCTTATGTTGTTTTTAAAAATGATTTTTATAGCGCTATAATTTCTATAGAATTTTTCTATAGACATCGCGGTTCTATAGATTTTCTATAGAAATCTTAATGATCATAATATCACCGATGTACTATAATTATTTGCTTATGGGCCTGTATTTTTCAATTTAAAAAATCTATAGCGCTATAATTTCTATAGAATCTTCAGGTTTCTATAGCCTATAGCCTATAGAAATATCAGGTGTTCTAAAACTGAAAAACTAATGCAATTTACGGTTCTATAGAATTGCATTTTTTGAAAGTCTATAGAGAGCCTATAGAATTTCTCTATAAATTCTATAATTATAATTCCCTGAGAATATTATAATTATATTTTTCTCATGCTGTTTTAAAAAAAATTTAATAGCGCTATAATGTCTATAGAATTGTTCTATAGACATTGCGGTTCTATAGATTTTCTATAGAAATCTTAATGATCATAATATCACCGATGTACTATAATTATTCGCTTATGGTCCTGTGTTTTCAATTTTTAAAAATCTATAGCTCTCTTATTTCTATAGAATCTTCAGGTTTCTATAGCCTATAGCCTATAGAAATATCAGATATTCTGAAACTGAAAAACTCATGCAATTTACGGTTCTATAGAATTTAATTTTTTGACAGTCTATAGAGAGCCTATAGAATTTCTCTATAAATTCTATAATTATAATTTCCTGAGAATATTATAATTATATTTTTCTTACGCTGTTTTTAAAAATGAATTTTATAGCGCTATAATTTCTACAGAATTTTTCTATAGACATTGCGGCTCTATAGATTTTCTATAGAAATCTTAATGATCATAATATCACCGATATACTATAATTATTCGCTTATAGGCCTGTATTTTTCAATTTTAAAAAAATCTATAGCGCTATAATTTCTATAGAATCTTCATGTTTCTATAGCCTATAGCCTATAGAAATATCAGACGTTCTGAAACTGAAAAACTCGGGATTTTTTAAATGCAATCCTCAGGCTCAGCGCAAAAACAGCAACAAGAGGACCCCTGCCAGACAAAAGCCCGAGTGGTAGGTGACCTAGACTACTGTGATCGCTACTGGGAGTGCGTGAACGGACGCGCCGAGTTATTCGACTGTCCAAATGGTCTCGTATTCGCGGGCAAACATCGCGGCGTCACCGAGGGCTGCGACTACCCCTGGAGGGCCAACTACTGCGATGGCAAACGCCAGGCCAATCCACCAATTGGCGCCGAACACTGCGACTGGCTCTACGGTATCTTCGGGCACGAGACGTCGTGCACGAGATACTGGACATGCTGGAACGGCACTGCCACCGAACAACTGTGCATCGGTGGGCTTCTCTACAACGAGAGGGCACGCTCCTGCGACTGGCCGGAGAACGTCGAGGGATGCCAAAAACATCGTAAGTGAATGTGATAAATATTTTCATTATATTTTTATTATTTCGGGAAAATCAAGTCGAAATACGATTTTTAATCGACTTTTCAATTTTATTCTATTCCTCGTTAACTAACTAGAATTTATTTGGCATTCACCTTTTTTTGTAATTGTTTATAATTGTTTTCAATAATTTTTATAATTCATATTTTTCACATAAAAAATTACGCCCAATTTTTATTTAAAAAGAGTTGAATTATAAAACATAAATTATAATTCTGAAGAATTTGTAGAACTTATCTGCTGAAAAAATTCTATAGAAAAAACGAATTACAGTTTTGTTTTTATTCTATCGTTTTCTGAATAATAATTGTGGTGAAGAAAGTGAAAAAAGTGAAGTACTGTCAGGAATTTTTCGACTGAAAAAAATTCGTTGAGATTATTTTGAAAATATCTCAGAAGTTTTTGATTTTAGGAAAAAATTACATAAGACCTTTTTTGTAGCTGAGAAAATTTCCAACGAAAGATGTTTTGTCACATTTTTCAATAAACTCACTCTTTATCGGAATAATTTAATGACAACAATCAGTAGTAAAACCGTTCTGGTCAGACCGAATTCTCTCCATCCGTAAATTTCGTAATTAACGACTTTGTAATCTAATTCCGAATCATTCAATTTAATTTCGAGATGATTTACGAAGAAAATTCCTCTCTCAATTGCATATTAAAAATTCCCTTCAATAAATTCTCTCATCCTCGCCCTTTCAATTAAATATATTCCGAAAATTTTTCCTAAAATGCTTAAGGATATCCAAATACTTTTACTTTTTTTTCTCCAGTGACCCGAAGTTTCCGAGCATTTAACAATGATTTTATTATTTAAATTTTGCAATTCTGAATTTGAATCTCGATATTAAACCGTTAGAAAACATTTTTTAAATCTGAAAAAAATTAGAAACTTTCCTTTTAAAGATTGACGAAATAATTAAAAAATTGCAATTTTTAAAAATTACGAGCATTTTCTATAAACAATTTATAAACAATCAATTTTCCACCCTAAAAATCATTTGTTCGGAATCGTAACCATTTAAATTATTTATTTATAAACAATTTCAATTATTTATTCAAACAATTGAATTATTTAAACAATTTCAATTATTTATTTAACCATTTCAATTATTTATTTAAAAACAACGAATGTTTAAAAAAATAATGATTCTGTGAATATTCAATATTCATGATTTTTATTTTCAATTTTCCTCACGCAATTTAATTGACAAATTTGATAATTAAAAATGGTTGAATCTACAGTCTATACCAAACTCTAAAATAACTTGGAGACCCTAAAACGAAATTTCCCATTAAAAAATATGACCTCAACTCTCTGTCTCCCGAAAGAAACGGTAAATCTTCCATCCATTAATCACACTTCCCTCAACTTTCATTACCTTTCAACACGGAGTCATTGCCCCGAGGTAACTGGGCGAGGCACAATCCTCATTTACATTCACGTAATACCACACGTCGCACCTCCATACATAACTCGATTGTCCCACCCATTCTTCCCCTCGAAAGCCGGCTAATTAAAACTTTTAATCCACCGATGAGATTTTTTTCCATTCAATTAGCGCTGTGTAATGACGACGCTAATGGAAACGTGCCACTGGGCAAATCCTGCAACCGCTACTGGCAGTGCCAGGGTGGATATCCACGTCTCCAGAGGTGTCCAGCAATGCTGGTATTCGACAGAAGATCGCTGAGATGCGTGGTACCACCGACTGAGGACTGCGATGTACCAACAACACCGGCCACTCTCGAGGGAGAGCTGCCCGATGGCCGCAATGAGCAAGAGCCTGAGGAGGAGAATTTGCCACCCGGAGTGCCTCCTCTGCCCTCTGGGGCTCTGCCCATCAACCTCAGGGCTAGAGCCAGAAACTAAAAAAGTTTGAAAATTATCGGGAAGACAACGAACTCGCGCACTTGATTCAATAGAAAAATTCACGCATTCATTAAAAAATTCGGTTAGAATTCTATTGGAAAGTCATTGATGGATATGCATTTCTATAGAAAAAAAAATCTATAGAAAATCTATAGAATTGATTCAGATGTTTTATCATTATAATTGATGAGAATATTTTGATTATATTCGCATCATGTTTTTCTGTAGAAATTATAGTTCTATAGAATTTCTATAGTGCTAAATTATAGCTCTATAGAGAAATCGTAGTCCTATAGAAATTCTATAGAGATATAATCTCCACAACCATAATGAAATAATAATAAAACCATAATTTATAAAACAATATAATTGCTATAGCTTGTTTATAGAAATTATAGCTCTATAGAATTTCTATAGAAAAAAGCTATTGCAATTATGATTTTTATTTTTCACTTTTCTATAGACTTTTTGTATGAACATTGCGGGTCTATAGAATTTCATTTTTTTAAAATCCTATAGCGAGTCTATAGAAATCCTATAATTATAATTCAATAAGAATATTATAATTATATTTTCATAATGCTGTTTTTCAAGGGAAATTTAATAGAGCTATAATGTCTATAGAATTTTTCAATAGACCCTTCAATATAAAAATTCTATAGCGCTATTTCTATAGAATTGGCAGATTTTCTGAAAAAATTTCACCGAAATCTCATAATATTTTATATCTCTATAGCGTTTTTTCTGTAAAAATTAAGATTCTATAGAATTTCTATACAAAAAAATGCTATAGAAAAGATGACTATTTTTCTTTATCAAATGAAAATATTTCAGAATTTCCAATAGAATTCCAATAGCAATTCCTGAAGGACGCGATAGATTTTTCTATTGAATTGTGTCACGCGTGAATCCAAAATTTTCGATCGTTTTTTTTTAAAGAAAAAATTCTAATCAAAATTATAAATTTTAAGATCAATTGAAGCCACTGGGGTATTTATTGCGACATAAATTCAACACGTTCGTTGAAGTGAATATAATTCCCCCAAAAATCAGGGGAAATTCGTTATTTTTACGTTAGAGAATTAAAAAATTAGTATTTTTATATTTTTTACTCTAAAGAATTCAGCACACCCCACACAACACTCACGATTCTGTAAATACTCCCACGTCCTACGTTTTAATAATCGTGTGAGATTTATCGTTATTACGAGATTGATTTAATAAAGACTATTGTATATTTTGTGTACACGCCGATGTCCTTAATTATAAAGTGAAAAAAACATTGATTTATCTGTACAGATTTTATTTTTCATTCCACTTCATGTACAATAGTTACATTTTGACAGCTCATTTTGGTGATTCAATCGCCTAAAATTTTACATCGAATTCTCTAGGATCTTCCGGGATTTCGTTGTTTACAGTCCATCGGCGCTGGAAATTTAAACATTGATTAGAAGAAAAAAAACATTTTTTTTTAAGGGGAAAATGGGGGGTTTACCAGTGTGGGTGATCGTCGGGGTCCATGCAGCTCAAGGTAATGGAGTCGAATAATTTTCCATCGCCACAGGTGATCAGACGGGGGTTGTAATCAACGCAGGTAATCAGTCTTCCACAATCTCCGGGGACAGGGAATCTACAATGAATAAAAATGAAATGAGATATTCTGTCGATTTTTAAAAAATTCTCGGTGCTGAATTATTTTTTTGCATTAGGTTTTGTTAGGTTTAAAAGAGGGTCTAGAGGGTTTTCGTAATTAAATTCTCTAATGGAATAACAAAAGGCGTCAGAAAATTATCTATTTTTTTCATTAATTTGCTTTCAAAGAGTGATTTTAGGAGGAAACTTCTGTTTTATTCCCATTTCCTTATGAAATTCTTCATTACCTAGGTAATTTCATTTGTTGATATTTTTTTCATCTCTAAAATCACTTTTTGAGGAGAAATGAGCAAATAAAAATTGAATGAATCATTCCTTTCAATTTATAAAAAATTCTCATTGTTGAATTATTATTTTGAAAATAAAATTTCTAGAGAATTTTTATAAATAATTAAATCACCTAATTTAATAATTAGAAAAATAATTGGAACAGTCAGACTAAAAAAATGATTCACGTTTTAGAATTCTTCATCAATTCGAATTAATCTCAATAACTAGTGATTTTAGGAGAAAACTTCTATGTTTTATTCACATTTTCTTCTAAAATTCTTCATTACCTAGGTAATTCCATTTGTTGATATTTTTTTTATCTCTAAAATCACTTTTTGATAAATAAATAAACAAATAAAAATCTGAATGAATCACTCTCCCAATTTTTAAAAAATCCTCATTGTTAAATTATCATTTTGCATTTATTAATTACAAAATAAAATGTCTAGAGAATTTTTGTAAATAATTAAATCCCTTAATTCAATAATTAGAAGAACAATTAGAACAATCAGACTAAAACAATGACTCAAAACATTTTAAACTTCTCCATTAATTCGTATTTATCTCGATAATAAACGAATGAAAATGAATATGAAATAATGAAATAAAAATCATTCTCCCAATTAAAAAAAAATTCATTATTGAATTTTGCGTTTATTAGTTTCGAAAGAAAATATCTAGAGAATTTTTCTAAACAATTAAATCCCCTAATTTGGTAATTATAAAAATAATTGCAACAATCAAAATAGTAAAATCACATAAAACATTTTAAACTTCTTCATTAATTCGTATTTCTCTCGATAACTCGTGATTTTCGAACGAAACTTCTACATTTTCATTTAAAATTCATCACTCATTGGCTCTAATCCTTCTCCCGGGGATATTTTCCACTAGTTGAGGCATTAACAATTATTTATCGCCACTTTCCTGATCCCTGAATTCACGATTTAATGACAAAATTTTAAATTACCTCGGGAATGGCCAGAATTTAGCAGCGGCGGTGTGTTTAGGCACTTTCGTTGGGCACTTGAAGCCGACGATAGCCTCGGGATTGCAGTAGGGGATCAATTGATCAGGCCAGACGCAGGAGTGGCTCTTGTCGTCCCAAGCGAGACCGGGAGTACAGGGCTCCAGGTGAGGCTCTCCGTGAATACATTTGATGTAGTTTGTGCTGCAGGCGTCACTCTCCGCGTAAACACCGAACTGGTATTCACAACCAGGTGAACTGATTGGAGTCACTGAATTTTTTCGAATTAAATCAATTTTTTTTTATTGTTTATTCCATAGAATTTTAAGATGAAGGGGTGAAACGCAATTTTTATCCAGAACAGATCACTTTTATGAACAGATTTGAAGATTTTTAATTAACAAATTTGTTAATAAAATTCTGTGAAGATAAAATTTTAAAACATTACTTTAAAAAAAATGTTTTTTTCTGAGATAAATAATAGAAATTGATTGAGCTTCCGAAGAAATTATTTTCTTGGCATAAAATACCGTATGAAATTTTTAACATCGTTAAATTTTTACGATAGCAAATTTATTCATAAATTATATTTGTTTATATTTATTTATTCATAAATTATTTACGAACAAAATCGTCACCTCCCGAAATTGGAATTTTGAAACCGTCAGTTTTATCAACAAATTTTATGATTTTTAATTATCAAATTTGTTAATAAAATTCTATTTAAAAATTTTAAAAACTATACTTGAAAAAAAAACATTTCCTGTAGTGAAATAAATAATACAAATTGATTAAGCTTTCGAAGAGCTTTTTTTCTTGGCATAAAATTCCTTATAAAATTGGTAACATCAAGAAATTTTTACGATAGAAAATTTATTGTTCAAAAATTATTTACGAAAAAAATCGTAATCTCTCAAAATTGACATTTTAAAACCATTTTACGAATATTTTTAAACATAAAAGTCATTCTCTTTTTTCTGATTTATAAAATGACTTCCAACAGTGAATAATAAAGTTATAATTAATTAAATTAAATGTTTAATTCCAAAATTTGAGGAAAACTTCAACTCGAACCAAATCTCCGTAAAATTTTTTCATCTCATTTTCAGAAACAGTTGCCAGAAATTATTAATTCGATTTCTGCACTTCATCTTCAATTTTTTAACTGAAAATTTTTAGAAATATCTTAAAATTTTAATAGCAACCTTTTAATTATAATAAACATTTTGGTATTTTCTTCGGATCCAGAAATTTTGTCTCAAAAAAACTCAAATTGAGTCGAGTTGTCCAGTTTTACCACTTCACCACGGAATTGAATAAAATAAATAATTTATATTTACAATCAGCCTTGCGTTCACCGCAGTGCACAGCCCAGTTGTAGTTGCAGTGATTGTGAACAGCCCCGTGACCGTCGAAGAGAAGTCCATTCTCGCACTGCTCTAGGGTCAATGTGCCATTGGTGCAGAGGAAGAACCTGGCGCAGTCCTCGGGGTGAGGGTACGCGTGGACTCCGTAGGGGTCGGGACACTTGGGCGGACCGAAAACCGCTACTGCGTCGCCTGAAAGTTTATTTAAAAATTCTCATTCACTCCTGTTTCAAGGATTTCGTAAACTCGTTGATTTTATTTCATCAATTTTATTTATATTTTCCAACTGAATTTTTTTCTAAATATAAAATATTCTGTTGAAAATAATGTTATCTTTCTTTTTTTTTTTAACTGCTTGGAAATTCTATCAAAATAAAAAAATAATTGGACATTGAAATATGGAAATTTTAGAATTTTGGGATTTTAAATTTGAATAAAGATTAAAAAATGAGAAATTTTCATTTTTTAAGACGAAAAGAGTAATTAATAATAATAGACTCGGGATTTATTGTGTTTAATAAAATAATTGACACAAAATTTCCATCATAAAAAATTAATTTAAAAAAACAGAAAGAAAACTTTGGAAAAATTCGAAAAGTAAAAATTCTTGGTTTATTATTTCTCCGTTCGAACGCCAGGAAAATTTCTATTCCACAATATTGGAAAGAAATATAGATTTTTTCAGTTCCTCTGAATTCTTGTGTTCGGGCCCAAAAATTTGCGGTGCTTTTAGCAAAATAATTCCCCTTTTCAAAATTTCAATTTAATTTTCCTGAAAACCGAGAAAATTTTCATTAACTTCCCAAAGCCAACAAAACAGTCCTTTTCAAAATTTGTAGTTGAACATCAGAACTGTCATTAAACTTTTAAATCATCCAAATTTTGAAAGTCTGAATTTCAAATTTCTCCATTTTAACCGTTAGGAAACCTTCAAAAAAATGAGAAAGTCTATTTTCGGAGAGAAATTCATAGAATACTTGAAACATTTGAATTTCAGAGATTACAACTTTTTTAAAAATAATTTGTAAACAATCAATTTTCTGTCCCTCAGATCATAACAAATTTTCTAAATTTAAAATTCTTCAAGAAATTATTTAAAAAGAGGAAACTAATTTTTTTTTTTTTCAAAATTCATTCCTTCAAATTTTTACGAAGTTGATGATTGAAAACCTGCAAATCTACCGTGTCATCCATACAAAACAGCAGAAAATAGATGGACATCCTCATTTTTAAAATTCCAAAAATATAAAATCATCGGGAAAAATAGAATATTCAAATGAACTCGTCTAATAACTCGACGCGCGGAAATAAAATGTAAATTACGATAAAGGTGTGTCGAAGGAAAAAATGCACAGAAACTATAATCCTCCCACGATTTATTCTCCCCATAATCCCCATCCTCATATCATCCCCAAAAATTGAAAAATTTTCTGTCAAACATCACAATTATTCCTAAAATTTTAAATTATTCAAATTTCAAAGGCCTCCATTGTTATTTTATCCTCCATTTTTAATCGTTAGAAAACATTTAAAAAATTAAAAAGTCTTTTTCAGCGAAAAATTCATAAAATACTTTTAAAAAAATTTTACTGCGAAAATTGCGATCTTTTTCATAAATAATTTATAAACAATCAATTTTCCACAGCTCAAGTCATTTCTTCGAACTCATAACAAATTTTCAATCCTCAAAATTCCCAAGAAATTTTTTTAAAAAAGCAAACTAGATTTTTTAATTTTTTTTCTTCAAAATTTATTTAAAAAATTGGAAGTTTTTGATGAATTTCATGTTTGAAAACTTCCGTATTTACTCCGTACATCAAAAAATAGTTGGACATCCTCATTTCGTCAATTCCAAACCCTAAAATCCCCGGGGAACAATAAAATATTCAAATATCTAAATATAAAATGTATAAAATTATTATTATTATTATTTTTATATTTATATAAAATATCTATTTATATATTATATATATTTTTAAAAAATTGGACAAAAAAAAATTAGGATTGGAAAATTTAGGATTTTATTAAAATTAAAATTAAAATTTGTATAAAATATATAAATATATATTTTAGATAAATTTTAATTTCAATTTTTTTAAATTTTATATATTTATATATATTTATATCTAAATATAAAATATATATTTTCTAAATATTCAAATATTCAAATGAACTCTTCCAGAAACGCCCGCGCAATTCTAAAATACAAATCCCGCCAAAGGTGTGGCCAAGGAAGAAATGCAGAATAATCCTCCCACGACCCCTATTCTCCCCCTAATCCCCATGATTATATCATCTCTCGTCAGTCAACCATATGGTCCGGTAGACAGTGAAAGCGTTCTCCGAGGAGAATTCCCCTCACCGTGTCGTAAGTTCAACACTCGAGTGCGCCCGAATGCGCGTGAATTATAAAATAAAATAATAATCACCGAGTGTTGATGCACTCGAGATGCATTCAATGGGATTATGCGCGTTTATATCAGTTATCCTCGTGTACTCACCATTCGAAAGGAGCCCCGCCAGTGCCAGTAGTGCCAGGACAATCGTGGATACGTTCATTGCTTATGGGTGTCTTGTCTGCACGATACGGAGACCGTTACTACTGACAACTTATTTGAGTTTGAGAGGCAATGGAGAGGCACAACATGGCCTCGAACGTACCCAGGTGGGCCCCTTCACTCGCACCACAACCATCAACTGATTCTTTGCTGGCTCTTTCCTCCACATATTAATCCCCACCTTTTTTTTTATTTTTATGTTTAGTTAAAAGACTTTTTTCAGTGCATTCTCAACGAAATTTGTCACGAGTCGTTGAGCGGGGGACCTGCAATTGCCGCTGATGTGCAGTAAAACGTTCATTTGGAGAATTGACACATTTCAATTGAACGGATATATTTATTTTAGTTTTCTATTCCATTGCGAAGTGGAAAATCGTTTAATTGATTTTGACTGTCGGCAGTTTTCGGTGAATATCTCGGGATCTGAGGGAGATAGCTAAATTTTTGTTATGACCTTTTTTGGGGGGCGAATTCAGGGCTATAAAAAAGGTAATTACGGAAATTTTGATAGCTGCCTTAGGTTCGGAGATATTGCTCGAAAACTCGGGTAAGCGCTATCGACTTGAACGTTCTACCGCTTTGCTGATGATTTGCTTCGATGGAAATGTTTTAATTATATGAAATAAATAATTTTCTATCAAACTCATTAGCTGTTTCTAAAAAATGTCAATTAATTATTCATAATTCTCATAATTTTCGATAATTCTCTTAATTTAAAATTCATAATTAATTTGTTATAAAAAGTATTATAGCATAATCATGTTTTTGTTATTATTTTATCGTTTTTTTCAGTCTTCTCATTTTTTTATTATTAATTCCCTCTCTTGTTGATCATTTTGTTTACAAATTCTATTGAAATTTTTTCTATAGAAATTCCTCGACTCAAATTTCCTGAGCTATTTCATTTTCTTGGTGAAGAGAGAAACAAAATAGAGTGGAAAAACCTTGGAAAATTCATGCCGAAGAATTCCAATAAATAATGTCTCCATAAATAAAATTGTGTGGGAAAAGGAAATTCCACTGTTTTTTTAAAATAATTTCTATCGGAAATGTTCTATAAAAAAATGCAGAAATCAGCCAAAATGTAATAGAATTTTTAATAGAAACCCAATAGAATTTTCTATCTAATTTACTAACTTTTTTTTTATTTTAATTTAAAAATTCATAATTATTTTTATTAAAAATTCGTGAATTATTTCTTACCAAAATAAATTATTATCGCATAATTATTGTTTAATATTAGTATCAAAGAACAAATAAATAAATATTATTAACAATTTATAATTGCGTTTTATAATTTTATAATTCTATAATTTATAATAATTTATAATCTTTAAAAAAGATTGATAAAAGATAATATACAAAAAGGTAAAAGAAATAGAATGAATACATAAAGGGAATAAGTAAATAAATAAAGATAAATAAAATAATAAACGCAAAGTGTCATATTAGACGTTTTAACTATTTCCAAAGTTGACTAATGGTTTCAAATTTTTTCACATATAATTTAATTTGAGAATAACAATCGTCGTCGTTCAGGCATTTCTGCAAGTGGAATTCTGTTATATCTCTGTTTCTAAATTTATAATAAATTCATAATTTATTAAATTAAAAAATCACAACTAATTTCTTATAAAAAATTACGCGACGATACCTTAAATAAATAAATGCTACTAATAATTTATAATCGTGTTTCCAAATGTTGAAGTCCTCGTTTTCAATTGAAATTAATTTTTTTTCATTACTTCATCATTTTTTTTATTCCCCCCGTCCTCTTAATTCCCTCTTCCGTCAATAATTTTGTCAACAAAATCATTATTCAGCCCGACTGCGAATAACGTACAAGGCGATATTAAACTGGTTGCGCAATAAATTGCCCGGAGGAGGGAACCAGATCCACCGGTGGATACAGTGAAAGCAGTCAATCCAACGCTCGTACCATTGACGATTGCACAACGGTGGAAACAGACAATCAGCCGTGTCCTATCGTTCACCCAAAAATTAACCGCTGTAGGCTGTGTATTTTATCACAGGAGACGACAAGAAATTTTCCTCTGACCCCTGAGAGTAGATCTAACCGACAGAACAATGAGCCAATGTGCCATTGTGGACTAGAGAAAGTAGTTAAATTATTACGGATGCGGACAATCACCGGAAATGAATTTGAAATTTGATATTTTTTTTTTCGCTCTGGATCATTCAAAACTGTCTTTCACTGGGGAAATAATGCGTGACTGGTTATTTATATTATTCCAGGGGTTACGTAACTTAGAAATTGTGCATAAAAAAATTATCAAAACGCACAAATGAGTTATGTAAGATAAAGTTTATTGTCTTTCTTACAGATAATTGTTGTAAAAAGTAATGGGAGAGTTGGGGGTTTGTAACTGGCACCTCAGTTCTTTTCCTTGTAATAGTTTTCACTGAAAGTTGAAAGAAATTGTCAATTTTTTAATGGTAAACTCGGTCAGAGTGCGAGGAGGTGGAGCAGAACGAAGCGCTTTTTTAGATATTAAATTATCTGATGAAGAAAAATGTTGAAGGAATATTTGGAGTATTTATTTAAGTTTATATTTAATTTAGTTTAGTAATTTTTTGGAGGGATTTATGGGAATTTAGGAAAGTTGTGGATTAAAGGAAACGAAATTATTTTTAGTTCGTTTTTAATTGTCGGATTATCTCGATAATGAGTAATTTTAGAAGAAAATATATATGAATGTTTTTTATAGAAAATTTTATCAGCTTTAAAAAAGTTATTATGAAGTTTTCTTTTAGAACTATCAGTTCTCGAGATATTTGCAGAGTATTCAACATAAATCCTGCGGTGGACTAAAAAAATTAATTTTCCATCTGTTAAGAGTCGTTGAATTATCTCGATAACGAGGCATTGGAGAGGAAAATATCAAATAACATTTTTAATCGGAAATTTTGTCAGCTTTAAAAAAGTCTTATAAAGTTTTCTTTTAAAACCACTAGTTTTCAAGTTATTCTCAAAATACTTAAGACGACTTCGACAATAAAATCAGAACTTCAAATTTCCACATCTTATAAATTATTAGATTATTTCAATAACGAGTGATTTTAGACGAAAATGTCAAAAAACATTGTGGATCGAAAATTTCCTCAGCTTTAAAAAAGTTTATATGAAATTTTTTCCTAAAACCACTAGTTTTCAAGATATTCCCAAAATACTTAACACAGACTCCAAAGCCTAATGAGAAAATCACTTCTCCACATCTTAATAATCATGCAATTATCTCAATAACAAGTAGATTTCGATGAAAATGCCAGTAAAAAATTGGGCAACAAATTCTACACCTAAAAGAATAATTTATCCAAGCAAAATAAACTTTATTTGAATTTAATAAATATTGATTCTCCTGAAACTTCATTTGAATTCAACAAATATTTTTTTTAATTAAAATTCAACGAATATGTATTCCCCTCAGACATTTATCGACATAAAATAATCCTTTCCACTACACAATTAATTAAAAATAAACCCATGAGCTTCCTAATTTCCAAAAAACTGGAAATTACTTGTTAAAATGAATGAAAAAAATGGTTAAAATGAATGAAAACAATTTTTAAAAACAGTTTCGTTCCACTCAAATGCGTCATTCCTCCCCATGCATTGAAATAATGAATAAAATAAAATAATTACCATCCAGGAATGTTCTCAGGATCAGTACATCTGAAGGTCTCCTCATCGTAGACAGTCCCTTCCTCGCACTGTCCCTTCTGCGGCTGCACTCCATTCCTGCAAATATAAAATTTCGCGCAGTCCTCGGGATGGGGGTACGTGGGGTGCGGCAGAATCCTCCCACCGGGGCCCGCGACGTTCTCCTCAGGACAGGAGAACCCGTCGTCGAGCACGTCGCGTTTCGAGTGACAGGGGGTGGTGGAGTCCACCGCCCAGACGCAGGCGCCCATCTTGTCCTCATAAAGCAGACCTGGACAAGTGATCGACAGTTTTACTGCGAGACTCTGAGTTCTGAATTATTTGTTTTAAAAATAAAACGAAAAACGACAACGTTTTCATGTAAAATGGCCAGAAAAATAATTCTCAAAATTATTTAATCATTTAGTGTCAGCCACAGCATTTCAATTTCTTCCTGCGAATAATGCAAATGCATTTATACATAAACTAACTTTAATTTTCAACAGTTATTATCATCTCCGTTTTGTTTGTTTATGCGGAAAAAAGTTGCATCAGCGACAAAAAATGTACTTTATCTCGTGGTCATTGAATCTATTAAAAAATTACTCATTAAATCAAATCATTAAATTCTATCGAAAGCAAAAACCTGGTGGACAGGACATCACAGTTGCAACTCCGTCTATGCAGTTGACGAAGCGATCGCACATGAGGGGATCTTCGTGCTTGAAGTAGCCGTTCGCACGTGGACATCCTTTCGACGGCTGGGGCTCCTCTGGAAGTTTGAAATTTCAATCAAAACCGGTTTTAGGGAAACCTGTTCTTCGGACATTCCTCGGACGCTGGGGAGATGGTGATCTAATATATTTTTTTTTTTGTAAATGGGTCATTCTTATTTTTAACTTTAATTGAGCAGACGGTTAATTGTTAATTGAGGGGGAAATGCGAATTAGGGGAATGCTTGTGGAGATTTGTCGCAGCTGAATAGTAAAAACATTATTTATTTAGTGGAATTTTGATGGAGAATTTAATGAAAAATTTTAATGACGAGTGATAAGTGATGGGACGAATGGATTTTTGCGATTGTTGAATATTAAATTGTTTTATTTAGTTATTTCGGAAGAGAATGGTGGAGAATTATTTTTTGGGAACTTTTTTATCTGAAGAAATAGCTTTTGGAGTTTTTATCTGAAACCACTTATTTTGTATTTTATTTATTTATTATTTATTTATTTGTTTATTCAAGTCAAGACAGCCGAGGCCTATTACAGGACTTATAAATGGTCGGGAAATGATAAACGCATCGCAGTTTATATATTTGCGCTAGGCTCGATAAATTAAATTGATAAAAGAATAAAAAAAATTGTTAGATAAAAAAAAATTTTAAAAAATTCTCAATTTTAAATGACATAAAGAAATGTTGTTTTGACATCTTCTGGAAATTTCACTGATAATTAATGATTTTGGAAAAAAAATCGAAAGACAATTGTAAGACATAAAAATGAATTGAATACTGAGTTATTCTTGAACTAAAAGAATTTTAACAGCGATTTAATTTAGAAGTCCCTTAATTTCCTTAAAGCCCCCGTCCAAAAAATGAATAAATCCATAATGTGAAGTCAAAAAAAATCTCAATCGATAAAATTCAATTTTTTCATTTTCTTAAACATAAACTTTCATCAATAATTAATTATTTGAAAAAAAAAATCAAAAGACACTCGATAGAAACTGATAAAACTCATAAAAATCCATTGAACCCTGGATTATTCTTCAAGAAAAGACAGTTAACATCAATTTTTTAAATAAGAAATCCCTTAATTTAACAATAAATCCATAACGTGAAGTCGAAAAGAATCTCAAGCGATTTATTTCCATTTTTTCATCTTCTTAAACACGAAATTTCATCAATGATGAATTATTTGAAAGAAAAATTCAAAAGACACAAAATAAAAAATTATAAAACCCATAAAAATCAATCAAGAAAAAATTGAAACCCATAAAAATCAACTGAATACCGTCATTCTTCGCCTAAGAGAACGCCACCAGCGATTTGAATCAGAAGTCCCTCAATCCCCGGAAAGGCCCCATAAATTTCCCTCTAAAGCCGCTGCCTCCCGACCCCAGAATTACCATATCCATCAAGTTTTCCCACTTTCCTCGGGCCTCAGCCTCCAATAAATACCAAATAATCTTGAGTTCCCCGACAAACCGAGTGATCACTTACGCAACAGCGTGCGGTCCCCACAAGGCACATTAGCGGGTATATCACAGAGTTCCTTCTTGGGATTGTCATCCCTGAAGACGAGGCCATCCTTGCAGAGTTTCTCCTCGGGTTTTCCATTGGTGCAAATATAGTAAAGATCGCACTGTTCCGGATCCCCGAAGAATCCCTTGGGCTCGGGGCACTGGAACTGGCCCCAGGTCGTCTCCACGAGGACCACCAGACCCACCCCCAAATACCACACAATCGACGATCTCATGATATTTTTTTTCTACTGATGATTACGATTTTCGGAATTATGAACACCCGGAAATCCTCGAAATAATCTTCTCGTCGCCACGCGGCACGTGAAGTCGTATCGTACTGATCCCGTTTCGCTCGAGTGGGCCTCTACACCACCTCCAACAACCCCCCACCCCTTTCGCCGAAACACCGGTCACTCTCACAAACGGTCCACCATTTTCCAGGCATCCGAAGACATTTGCCACGTATGCACTTTCCATTATGACGATTTATCAACCCCATTGTTGATTATTTTTACGCGCAGAGGGCAATTGTTTTGTTCCTTTTTTATTGCGTCTACAGAAAGTTCATAGATAAATCTATTGAGTTGACTAAAATATTCTATAGAATTTCTATAGACATTATATATAATATATAATATAATTATATAATATATTATTATATTATATAATATATTATATAATATATAATAATTATTAATAATATAATAATAATAATAATAATAATTATTATTATAACAATAATAATGATTTTATTAATAAATATATTGTCTAAAAAAAATTATTATATTATAGGGGACGGTGGGGCAAAATGAAACACGGAGCAAAATGAAACAGCAAGAAAATCTTGTGATCTAAGGGAGATAGAACGATTTTCATGCAAACCTTTTTTGTAGAGAATTTTACAAGCTACAAAAAAGGTCCTCTTCAAAAATGTCCTACCTCCTTTAGATGACGAGATTTTCGCACTGTTTCATTTTGCCCCATGCTCCCCTATATCCTAAAACATTAATTTTTCATCATGAAAATATTTACAGATTATTTCACTAATTTTTTCTTAAATCTGAACATAACAAAAACGGACATCAACTCTTTTCTGATGAATAAATGAATATATAATAATCAAAAATAATATAATACTATATAAAAATAATAATGACTCATCTTGGTGAAAATGATAAAATCCATCAGTTTTTGTTAAAAATGCGATCTTCAAATTGTGAAATATTTATAAAAAATTCATGTGTTCTCAAGTGAAATTGATTTCACAAATTAATTAATTAGTTTAATCAACAATTGAAGATACAACGTACGAACTGACGTGCAGTGAATTACGAAACCGATGAATCCGAGGAATTCCCCTGACGCAGTTATGGAATAGCTGAAAAAGTTGTTTATGTTTCCATAACTGCGGAGCTAATAAATTTCCCATAAAATTGAGGAGAGGGTCGACGACCTCCACTTACTGACTCTATCATTAATGATTAAATCGACAATGTCAGAGAAAGGTGAGAACGTGCATAGTTTATTCTCTACAAAATCAGGAAATTTATCTGCGAAATGTCAGAGTGCAGTTAATGTCACTTTTTCTTTTAAAAATTCATCTTTGAATGTCACTCTTCCTCATCTCCATTGAACATCGCTACGTGAAGTCGAAAATCTGTTGAAATTATCCCTGAATTTCAACAAACATTTGTGCCTTCATAAAAATTCTAAAATTTAGTGCCGAAATTATTTTTTTTTAAATTAATTAATCGCGTGTGAAAAAATTGAATAAATAAATCTATAAAAGTTCTATTGAAGAATTTCTATTGAACAATTCTATTGAAACAAAATCAATAGAATCAAAAAATAATAGAAATGTCTATAGAGATTCTAGAGAATGTTCTAATAAATTGAATAGGTTTTTCGTAACATGATAAATTATCATGATAATATTCAATATATTATTATATTATATATAATAATATATTATTATTATTATTATTATTATTATTATTATTATTATACATTATTATATTATATATTATATACAAATAATTATTTTTTATTCATAAATAATATAATTGAATAATTGCAATTGGAATAATCTTTCTTCACTGAAATGCTCTTCTACTTTTGTAGTCAAATCCCATTTGACCTCAAATTCCCGGACATTTTACAATGACTTTATTATTTAAACTTTACAGATCGGAATTTAAATCTCGACATTGAGCCTTTAGAACACATTTTAAAAATCTGAAAAATAATTTAAAAATTTACTTTTGGAAAAAGATTGATGAAATAATTAAAAACCTGCAATTTGTTAAAATTACGAGCATTTTCCATGAATAATTTATAAACAATCAATTTCCACTATAAAAATAATTGCCTAAAACATATGATTTCCGAAAGTTTAAACAATTTAAATTATTTATTTATTAAGAACGAACGTTTAAAAAATTATAATTCTGTGCGAAATGGAATTTTAATGACGCTGAATATTCCCGATTTTTTTTTTTTTTTTTTTTCCGCAATTTAATTGACAAACTGGTAAAAATCCTGGGATCCCCTTAAATCTGAAATTTACCGATCACCGATCGCCTTTAATTATCCTTCAAGGTCCACTGCTGACCCAGACGTTAGAGAGTTCTCCCAGACTCACTCAATTCTGGACTCAATTCATCCGTGAAGGCGAATAATAACACGCGAGGTCGAGCTTTTTTCCCTCCCATCAGAAAATAGTGAAAGCGATATTTCAAGAGTGAAACATACGCGATGCAGGAAGTGGAATTCAATACCCATTATCCAAAAGGAGTAACAAACAGTTTCAATAAAATTCAAGAGTTATTACTACAGTTAATGAGACAGGGTTTTATTAAAAATAAAAACATTTACATGGCTACAGTAATTTTTTGTTTTTTTTTGGCGTTCGAGCCGGAATTTTGGTGAAAGTTGAAACGCCTGGGTCCCGATGCGGGACAGCTGGTGCCTCAATGGCGCCCTAGGGCTTCTTGGCGTCGTCCTTGTACCAGTCCTCACTGAAAATAAAAGTCAAATAATTTAAAGAAATAAAAATTAAAATTAAAACTGAAACTTGAAAAAAATACGAAAGTCCATTTTCTTCAATCTAAGTTTTTGGTGAATATCTTGAAATCTATCAGAGCTAGCGAAATTTCCATTAATACCTTTTTTGTAGATGTTTGTTCGCTCTACAAAAAATGTTCATATAAAAATTTCGCTATCTGCAACCCATTTTGAGATATTTTGCGAAAACTGAAATCGAAGTGAATTTTTTTTTAAAAATTGATTCGATTATTTCGTTTTGACTCATGGGATTTTAGTTTTTTAAAGAAGGAAGTTATTTCGTACCAGCCGGGAACATTCTCAGGTGCATCACACATCTGCGTCGCCTCATTGTAGACAGTACCGTCACTGCAGCCTTGCTCTCGTGGCGTCTCTCCATTCAGACATACATAAAACTTCTGACAATCATCCGGATGTGCATATTTCGGATGATCCACGAGCATTCCTCTCGTATCCACTTGACGGTCCTTGGGGCACTCGAATCCGTCCTTCAGTGTCTTTCCAACAGCTCCACAATTCTTAAATAAAAAAAAACCTTTCAATCTCAAGAATTCGATGAAAATCTGTTCCAAAACTTTTTGGTAGTACCGATTTATCTCGAAAACGAGGGATTTTACGGGAAAACGTTATTAAACTTTTTTTTAGCTGAGAAAATTTCCAACAAAAAATCTTTTAAGACATTTCCTCCTCAAAGCCCTCATTATCGAGAAAATTCAACATTTAACAAAATGCAAGAAAAAGTCTGAGAAGACTAATCCAAAAATTTCGTATGTCTTATTCTCCAAATATCTCCTAAACTACTGGGTTTACAGGAAAATGTATCTGAACCTTTTTTGTAGCTGAGAAAATTTCCAACAAAAAATAATTCATGACTTTTTCTCCTAAAACCATTAGTTATCCATATAATTCGACATTTAACAATTGCTAAAAATTTTGAGGAAGATAAATCCAAAAATTTTACTTCGATCATTCGTTTAGAGACAAATATCTTCATTAAAAATGTAGAAAACCCTAGCTGGCGAAATAAAGGTGGTTCTCCCTCCCATAAATCCCCAATTACCCCCAACGAAATTACAGAAATAATTTTTCACGTCTCGTTCTCGCACTCATCAGCCCGTAAAAAAAATCTAATTACCTCTCGTCCCGCGCTGTCCGGCCACACGCAGGTGCCAGTGAACTCGTCGAAATGCAGTCCAGTAGTGCAAGTAATCTCCACGGACTCTCCATCAATGCAATTATAGAAAACATTGCAAACTGTTGGGTCTGGATGAGCGAAGAAGCCATTTCTCCTCGGGCACTTCTTGGTCGGTTGCGGTGGCTCTGAAAGCCATTAATATTCAGTAAAAAATTTTATGCACTTACCAGACATAACGGTAGATGAAGAAAAAAAAATCCATAAATTTAACTCACGTAATTCCAGACGTTCACCGCAGTCGACGTTGAATACGTGATCGCACTTGTTGATCTTGCGATTGAGGGGATCGAATACGAGTCCGTCTGGGCATAATTTTTCAGTAGCTACGCCATCCTCGCAGTGGTAGTACTTATCACACTGCACTGGGTCCTCGTACTGACCGTCTTTTTTGGGGCAATTGAAGGCGCCGTCTGCATTTTCAATAATTTATGGGTCATTAATTTTTTTTACTCATCTATTCAATTTTTTTAATTGTTATTTATGGCTTCTGAATGGAGTCCAAGGATTTTTTACAGTTTGGTACAGCCCAGACTATAGATTCAACCATTTTTTAACATTAAATTTGTCAATTAAATGGCGTGAAAAAAATTGAAAAAGATCGTGAATATTTAGCGCCATTAAAATTCCATTTTGCATAAAATTATCATTTTTTAAACATTCATGTTTATAAATAAATAATTAAAATTGTTTAATATTTCGGAAAGCTTTGGTTTTATTTATTTTTATAGTTTATTTATTTGTTTATTTATTTATTTATTCATTTATTGATTTATTTATTTATTTATTGCTGTATAAATATTTACAGAATATTACATATTTTTAAAATAAAAATTTCGAGAATAAATTAACATATGTAGATCAAGGTGCGGATGATAAAACTAAAACAAATTATTTTTATAGTAGAAAATTGATTGTTTATAAACTATTCATTCAAAATGCTCGTAATTTTCAAAAATTGTAATTTTTAAATTATTTCATCAATCTTCCTCCAAAAATAAACTTTCTAATTTGTTTTCAGATTTTGAAAAATGTTTTCTAAAGGTTCAATATCGAAATTCAAATTCAAGCCTGAAAAGTTTAAATAATAAAATCATTATAAATTAGGTATTGTTGAGCCCTATCCACCGACATCAATGAAACTTTAATTCATTTAACAATTTCTTTAATTCTTCAATTCTTCCAAAAATCGGTTGTCCCACGATAACTAAAAAAAAGTTCTAAATTCCTCGAATGACGGCTTTAAAAAATTGTTTGGATGCCCTTTTGAGTTCGAAGATGAAGGCGATAGCAACAATCGTTGTTTTGATTGACATAAAAATTTGCTAAATTTTTGTATTCTTTGAAAATCGGAATTCCGGAGATATCCTGAGATATCACGCTTCAAATGAATTCAATTCTAGCTTAAAACGTTAGTTTGAATGCCACACTGTCGAAGTTGAACGATATTACGACAGCTATATCTGTTGATTTTATTTTTACGCTGATTTTTGCAAACTTCGAATTATCCATCATATATTAATAATAATCGACAACAACGGCCTAAACGTGGCTTATGTAGACGACAACCTGTTGAATGCAGAGCCGATAAAAAAGCCAATTTTAAGAACTAGGAAACCGTTGAACGAAAATATAAACACCGAAACGTGAATAGGAAATTCAGCTCCTGAAGTAAATGCCACATAGTTAAGACGAGAATGTCAGCCCGTGAAGCAACAAAGGGGTGAGGGTCGTGATAGGACCGCAAAAAGGACAATCGGTTGTACGAAACAAAAGGATAATAAGTACAACGATAACGATAACACTCAGCTAAGTTGAAAATCTGACACAAAAATAACTACCATATGAAGACAAGAGCGACGTAAACAACCGAAACAATTAAATCAGAATAAAGATTCAATTAAAATGTATTTTTCCCCTCGCCATCTGAGTTATTAACGACAACCGGTTGGATTAACTCGTAAAATCATTTTAATTTAACTTATATAATTAAGTATTCAGTATTCATTCGAAATCCTTACGCAACTGGAGAAAGATATCTGACATTTAGATTTTAGAAAGTTTCGCAAACGTCTAATTTTGGTGGAAAAATTGAAGTGCAGAGACCGATCAATTTCTCCAGTTGTATTTCGCGATGTAATTTCTGTTCTGCGTTGGGTACTTACAGGAGACCGATGCGACAGCCAGAAATATCAAGAACACCCTCATTATTATTTTTATAAATGAAATGGACTATTTACGGGTTGGGGAGAGGTATTTTCACTGGGGTTCTAGGATTATCTCGGATTTCCTCTTTGGATGAGCCTCAACGTCGAGAGACACTGCCTCCATCCGTTGGCTCAGCATCGGGTATACCCTGTTCATCCCCACTTCACTCTGCATTTCTCCCACTTTCGCCGGCAATAGCTTCAGTTTAAATACTCGAGATTATTCATTTCTACATGTAAGTCGATGAAAGATTGTGGAAAATCTCGTGGGCTCCACCTTTCACCTTTTGGACTCTTGAGAGTACAATTGAGAGGGTTTTGTCGATGAAAATCCTCTTTCAATGCGACTCCTCAATTTATTTATGGGATTATTTAGCATTTACAAGGAGAATAAAATAATAATAATAATAATAATAATAATAATAATAATAATAATAAATTTTATTATTATTATTATTATTATTATTAAATTTTATTATTATTATTATTATTATTATTATTATTATTATTATTATTATTGTTGTTTTAATAATAATAATAATAATAATAATAATAATAATAATAATAATAAATTATTAATAACTACTGATAATGGTTAATTGTTTTTTTTATTTTTATTTTTAGACAATAATAAAATGATAATTTTGTCTAAAATAGGGTTTTCAGAATTTTTTTTACTGAAGGAAATGTCAGTTGAATTCTTCATTTCAGAGTTAATTAATGGGGAAAATAGGATTTGGTAATTTTTAATCGAAGAAATTTTATATCAAATCATTTATGTTTTTAATTTATTCAATACTGCAAATGACATAATTTTTTTAACGAATTTTACTCTTTTATGTTTATTGAAATAGTGGAATACTGATGTAAAATGGAAAATGCTGGTTTATTTTTATTCGGATAGAATAAAATATGAAATATCTATTTTATTTCAGTTTTTAAAATACGAATAAATGAATAATGTTGAGGCAATGGAATTAATTAACTCTAAATAAAGATTTCCCATAGTGTTTCATGATGAAATGTGATAAAATAGCATTTGAAAATTATTAATCAAAGAAATTTCATCTGAAAACCTTAATATTTCCATTTATTTAATTTTGCAAGTAAAAAAATGGACTGGAATAATTATCTTTTCTAGTTTAAAATGAATAAAGAAATGAGAATTTTCGAAAAAAAAGTTCTTCTATTTTATACATTAAAGTAGTTGAATAGTGAAATAAAATAGGAAATACTGCTTTATTCTTGATTTGGATAGAATTAAATCGATAAATTGGGGACAATCAACGGACTCGATGACGATATTTAGGGCGTGAGAAGGAGATTAAGTGTAACACGAAAAAAAAATCAATTTCACACTCCTCGAAATGAAAGTGGGTCCAGCGTTGATCGATCACTGGATGAAAATTCCACTCCATTTTTCATTCTCATAGGATTAAATACCAAATTTCTATTTCATTCCAGTCCTAGAAACATGAAAAGATAATTAATATTTAGTCAGGTGAAATAATGGATTTTAAACAACTGTTTTTAAAAGTCTTTTTTTTTAAGTCTCTCATAATAATTGAATATTTAAAACTTTATTTCCAGTCGATTTCGGAGGAATTACGTCCAGATATATTTTTAATTCGTTTGATTCATAGATAAATTATCATTTCATTATGAATTTATTAATTAATTATCATGAATGAATTAATCTCTTATGTTGAATTAATTTATCCAACAAAATTCCATTTCCATTTTTTTAAATCAATTATAATTCGATTAAAATTCTGATAATAATCCTTTTCGTTTTCCATTTTTAATTATGCAACTTCATTTGGCAACAGATATTTAACTAAATACCATCAAAATACGTCAACTTTTCTCCAGAAAAAATTCAGAAGAAATTTTTATTCAAAAAAAACATTTTTTAAAAATGAGAAAAACGTAAAAAATTTGCTCTAAAATTTCTATTGACTCTCCCCTCAATAAAAAAATCCCCAGGCTAAGTTGCATAATTTCGTGCAGAAAACAGTGAAAAAAAAAAACAAATAGAATTCTTCATTCAATTCCTCAAAAAAATCCTTGGTTTTTGCCAGTAATTTTTTTCGCAATAGTTATTATAAAATGAATGAAAAAATGCGATTCCACGACACATCGAAAAGAAAGTGATGCCCCAGCAGACTGGGCCTCGTCAACAACATGGAGCAGTAGCCAGCGTTCATTGACCACTTGGCGAAAGTGAGAAGATCATTCATCCATTGAGTTGAGACCTAGGCCTTCTCCACTGATCGATGACCGTCACCCGAATTTCCAAAACCACTTCCTCATTTCGAACGACCACAGTCCAGGAAAACGAAAGCCACACGTAACATCAATTATCAGTGAAAAAAAAAATCATCAGTATTTACGTAAAATGTTCACTTTATTTTACAATTAAAGTACAGTAGAAAATAGTGTGTATAGAATTTTAAATAATAGATATCTCTAGTCGTTAGTAGTCATTGGAGTTTAGGCGGGAGTTTTCGTGGGTCTCGAGCTTTTTCGCCTGCTGGGACCACCCGTTGGTTTTGGTTTTGGTGGGGGATTCTCTAGGGCATCCAATTCAGCGTCAGTCAATTGGCCTTTGTACCAGTCTTTGCTGTAATTATAAAATAATTGACATTTTAATTGATGAGTGGAACAAAAAAGGAAAAATTATGTGAAGAAAATCAATATTTACTCATCATCATTAATTAATAATTATTAATTGACAACAATAATTATTATTAATAAGAATGTTATTATTATTAATAATAACTAATAATATTAGTTATTAATAATAATAATATTAATAATAATTATTGTCAATTAATAATTATTAATGATTATTAATAATTGATAATTCTTTATCATCAATAATTATTAACAATAATAATTCATAAGCAACTCTTATTCCTTTGCTATAAAACAATGAATGTTAATTGATAAATGAGAAAAATGAAGAAAAAAGTCAATTGAAAAAAATCAATATTCACTAAACATTATTAATTATTCATAATTCTTAATTATTAATAACTATTGATAATAATTGATTAATAGTGATAATCTATTCTTATTCTTTGCTATAGAACAATGGCAGAATGTTGACTGATAAATAGAAAAATGAAGGAAAAAATCAATTGAAGTAAATCAACATTCACTAATCATTAATAACCATTAATTATTAACCATCCGAGCGAATGATTTCAACTCAATTATTATTCCATTGTCTTTGTTATAGAAACCAATAATCAGAAATTCAAATCACGAACAGGACAAAAATGAAGAAAAAAAAATTAGATATAAAAGATGAATAATTATTAACAATTGATAATTGTTCATTATCAACTATTCACAATAATAATCGATGATCACTTCCGTATCCTTTTCAAAACAAAATGATTCAGTTTTAATTGACGAACGAAACGAAAATTGAAAAAAATACATTAAAAAAACATTAAAAATTCATTAATCATCTTTAATAATAATAAACAGCGATAATTAATCGGTCGATTGAATCAATTCAAATGACTTCTTTTCAATTGAGCGTCCAGAATATTATCTCCGCAGTGAAAGGTCTCAGAGGCTAGTCATCAAGGAGGGGCTTTCTCATTATCATAATGCAAAACACGTTCTGTACCTCAGAGGCCATCTTTGCTTTGTCAATGATAAAATAACTCACCACTCAGGAATTTTTCTCGCCCAATCGCACTTGCCAGTGCGTTCGTCGAACGCCTGACCAATTTTGCAACCATTTCTCCTCGGAATTTCCCCATTAACGCAGACATAGAAGTACTGGCAGTCCTCGCTGTCTGGGTAACGTGGGTGGGTCGCTGCCACTGTCTCGTCGACCTTGGGGCAGGTGAAGTTGAAGAGCTCTTTGGAGCCGCAGCCCTTCTTCTGGGCTTCGTCCGGCCAGTTACAGATTCCGGTTTTTTCCGAGAATACGAGGCCGTCGGGGCATGTTATCATGTTGAATTTACCCTCGACGCAGTAGTAGAAGGTGTCGCAGATACTTAGGGTCTCGTGGGCGAAGTAACCGTGCATTCGGGGACAGTGGGGTGAGGGCTGGGGGGACTCTGAGAAGAGAAGGGGGTGATGATTTTATGATTTAATGATTTTAGGAAAGATGTTAATTTACACGTATGACAAAATTTAATAGAAAAACGTAGCTAATTCGCTAGGCAATTCTATTGAATTTCTATTAGTTTCTGGCGGATTCTATTGAAATGCTCAATAGAAAGTATTCTATAGAAAAAGTCTATAGAATTCAATTTTTTACAGCACTTATTCTGTTGAGATATTTTTTATAGGGTCTATAGAATTTTCAGATTTTCTGAAAATTTATTACTGAAAGCTCATAAGTTTTATATCTCTATAGCATTTTCTCTGTAACAATTAAGATTCCATAGAATTTCTATAGGGAACGAATTTGTTAATTAAAGCATTTGTTACACGCATGAAAAAATTTAATATAAAAACCTAGCTAATTTACTGGGCAATTCTATTGGCTTTCTATTAATTTCTGGCGGTTTCTATTGAAATGCTCAATAGAAAGTATTCTATAGAAAAAGTCTATAGAATTCAATTTTTTACACCACTTATTCTATTGAGATATTTTTTATAGAGTCTACAGAATTTTCAGATTTTCTGAAAATTTATTACTGAAAGCTCATAAGTTTTATATCTCTATAGCATTTTCTCTGTAACAATTAAGATTCCATAGAATTTCCATAGGAAACGAATTTGTTAATTAAAGAATTTGTTACACGCATGAAAAAATTTAATATAAAAACCTAGCTAATTTACTGGGCAATTGGCTTTCTATTAATTTCTGGCGGATTCTATTGAAATGCTTCATAGAGAATATTCTATAGAAAAAGTCTATAGAATTAGATTTTTCTACAGCACTTATTTTATTGAGATATTTTTTATAGAATTTTCTCGGCTTGAATTTTCCAAGTTTGTTTCGTTCTATTTGTTATATTATAGAGCTATAATTTCTATAGAATTGTTCTATAGACACTGCGGGTCTATAGATTTTCTATAAAAATCTGTATGATTATGCTATCACCGATATATTATAGCTATTCGCCCTTTAATGTCGTTTTTACCCAAAAAAATCTATAGCGCTGTAATTTCTATAGAAAGTTTATAGAATTAGCTCATAAGTTTTATATCTCTATAGCATTTTCTCTGCAAAGATTAAGTTACCATAGAATTGCTACACAAAAAAAATTCTGTAGAAAAAAATGATTGCTCTTCTCTATGAAATTGAAGTGCCGCAGAATTTCCAATAGAATGTCCGAGCAAAAAATTATCTACCTCCCTTAGAATCAGAGATATTCACTGAAAACTGGCCAATAATCAAAATCCAGGTGTCAGTTGAGTTTTTTTACGAATCTAAGGGAGATACAAAATTTTTCGTAATGACCTCTTTTCTGGAGCGAATTAAGAGAAATTGCGGTTCTATAGAATTTCATTTTCCAATGCTATAGATAATCGACAGAATTTTTCTAGGAATTCTATAATTATAATTCAATGAGATTTGTATAATTATATTTTCATTAAGCTGTTTTTCAATACAAATATTATAGAGCTATAATTTCTATAGAATTGTTCTATAGACACTGCGGGTGTATAGATTTTTCTATAGAAATATCTATAATTATACTATCGCCGATATATTATAGCCATTCGCTCTTTGATGTCGCTTTCTCTACAAAAATCTATAGCGCTATAATTTCTATAGAATTGTTCTATAGACACTGCGGGTGTATAGATTTTTCTATAGAAATTTCTATAATCATACTATCACCGATATATTATAGCCATTCGCTCTTTGATGTCGTTTTCTCTACAAAAATCTATAGCGCTATAATTTCTATAGAAAGTTATAGAATTTTCAGTTTTTCTAAAAATAAATGATCACCGAAAGCTCATAAACTCTACATATCAGCGCAGAAAACAAATAGAATTCATCGAGAATTCCCCAGAATTGTAATAGAAAAATCCCAATAGAATTTCTGCAGAATTCCAATAGCATTTTCTGGCGAATTCGCAGAGCTTTTCTATTGAATCTTTCATCCGTGTCGCTTCTGAAATTTAAACGATCGCATTGATTTCTCGCTAAATCAAACTATTCTCCCCATTAAAAATTCTCTTACGTCTCTCCGGTCGTTTACTGCAATCGATTCCGAACGGAAGATCGCACTTCTCATGCTGAGGACTGAAATCATTGAAGACGAGGCCATCCGGACACAGTTTAGCCGTGAACTTTCCGTCCCTGCAGTCGTAGTATTTGTCACACTGCTTGCTATCCGGGAAGAAGCCGTTTGGCTCTGGGCACTCCTCGGGAAGATCAACCTCCTCGTACTCCTCGTCGTCCTCAGCGGCCACCGGTGCTGCTGTCGTCTGCGGCCTGCGATAACCGATCTTGCGCCTGCCCTGCTCCGCCGCCTCCTGTTTCCTCGTCAATGCTGCTGTCAATCCTGTCAAGGTCACAGGCCAATATGAGGGAGAATGACGGTGTCTCGAGAATTTTTAAACGGGTTTACGGAGGCCTCTGGAACGGCCGTGAAGCAACGAATCGCCCGGTCGACCTCGACTACTTCAAGAAGAAAGCGTGAAAGTGTTTCGATGGTTTAATGTTTAAACTTGATATACGCGTGACAGAACTGCTTTCCGGTTTTGAGGGTTTTCTCACGAGAACAGGCGTTTCTTCTCGATTATTCGAGTGTTATTCGCTGCGAAAAGCGGACGAAACCGAAGTAGATGCGCGGAAACTGAGAGAAATTCGGCTGAAGCATTATCCAAAAAACAGCTCTTGTTGCTAATAAATTAGGAATTTGCTTCCGAAAGTCTCTATTTATGAAAAAATTCATAAAACTCCGACCTCTAAAAATCGCATATTCACATTTAATTACCCCACCACAAAAAGCTTCTACTCTGAAGCAAAAAAAAAAATCTAGATTTCCCTCCAATAAAATGCCCACAACAATTAAATTGCAGACCAGAATCTCCAGCGAAGAAAAATTATTCAACAATACTTGCGATAGTGAAAACAAATCCACTTGAATAATTCAAGTTCCTAACGAAAAACTTTCAACAATCACCGAGTGCGAGAAAAAAGATATCCGATGAAGAAATGAAAAACTGGGTCATACACTTTCGAGATTATCGAGGCTAGAAAAACCGTCGAAAAGCCATGAGAAAGTCCTTTCGTGACTCACCGACACATGCGAGAAGCAGGCAAACAGTGATGGTCTTCATCCTGACGGATGAAAGTCTCGGCACACAGGTGTCAACAATTGCCCCCTTGATTTGTTTTTTAATTTTTTTAAAATCCGCTCTTGTAGATGCAAAGCGTGATGACTAGAGACTACTGGGGCGTCGTGTGCCACCAAGGATCTTATATGCCTCCCCCACTTTCCACTCGTTCTTGCGTGTCGACGAGTTACAACACCCGGCAATGCGCCATACGCCGATGTGTCCAGGTGGAGATATTAATTCCCTACTGTTTATTTCTTTGATTGAACTAATAATAATGTTCACGTTATTTTTGGGAATTCATGATTGGGGAGTCCGTCGACATCAGCCCTCAGGACATCACGTGATCAACAAACTCATCGGGTCATGGGAAATGATGACGAAGATGACGTAGCAATTTCTCGGTGCTTAGATGTGTGAAAAAATCCTATAGACGCATGTGTGGATTTTTATGTGGAAGATTCTATAGGTTTGATCTTTAAGGCTTGGGAGAATTCCCGGAAGAATCGATTTTGTGATAATTTAAAGAAAATTTTTGGTCTATAGAAAATCAGTCTATAGAGTTCGGAAGAAAATTCATGGGAATTTTCCGGCTATAGAACATTATTTGTAGACGGTGCGAGTAAAATTGTGAGGTTTATTTTTTGGAGAAATAGCGTCTATAGACTTTCTATAGGCTATAGCTGTTTCTGCTATAGGTTTGATCTGCGAAAGTGTGGAACCGTTGCTGAGGACAAATTGTTCATAGTCAGAATGTCTGTGAGAATCGAGTTTTGTGATATTTTCTAGAAAATTTTTGGTCTATAAAAAATCAGTCTATAGATTTCGGAAGAAAATTCGCGGTAAATTTCTGGCGATAGAATATTCTTCTTTAGACGTTGCGAGTAAGTTTATAACATTCGATTTTTAAATATAGTGTCTATAGATTTTCTATAGCCTATAGCCGGTACCCCGACAGGATATTAGTTTCTAGTGTTCAAATTTCCTCAATGAAAATATTTCGTTTCCCGCGCAAAAGACGCCTATAGCAATCTCTAGTTGCTATAGACCCGTTCTATAAAAAATTCTATATCCTCTCCGAAAAATCCTTAAAAAATCTTTAGAACCCAGAGACCCCTATACTTCTTACAGAATTCATCTACAACAAATTCTGCATCTCTTATAGAACATCCTATAGCTCTCATAGAACATCTGAAAAAATTAGAAGATTGAATCCACATCATGACCTCAATACCCACCTCCAAACCCCTCAATAAGACGTCTCACGATCCCACCAGCCCCCAGGATGTCTCCTGATCCACAATTTCCTCAACTCGTCATAAACAATTATCAAAACGGCGTAAGGAACTCCCGGAAGCCACCACTGGGCCCTCAGAGGATACGTCTTCAGGACTACATCCATGTAAGGAGCATAGGAGACAGCACAAGCCATCACGATTTCGAATAGAAGTCCCAGGTTCAGCATCCAGTTGGTCATCCCTTGACGGAGAATCGAATTTCTTCTCGTCTTGCAGACGATTGCGTCCGCCACCTGGACTATCACGATTGCCACGAAGAACGCGGTGTGACAGGTGTACTCTAGGATTTTTCGTTGCTCGTAGGACCACTCCTGACTGTAGCTGTCCTTCAGATCGTTCACCGCTGGGTTGTCCCATGCGGCTCGCAGTCCCATCAAGTCCCCAGGACGGAAGCCGTGCTCCGCCATCACCACGAAGTAGGTGAAAAAACCAGCCGCCATTTCGATCATTCCGATTTGTCCGTAGGCCATGAAGACCAATTTTCTACTGACTAAATGGTCGGTTTGGGGAATCCGGGGAGGTCTGCATGAAGTAAAGGGCACATTCATTTGTGAAGAATTAATCGGCGGAATTTTTATTTGCATTCTATTAAACTATTGGATTTTTTGGGGGAAATTATGCGGTTGGAATTTATGCTATAGAAAATTTTAGATTTCTCTCCTGTTTTTTTATTGGAATAAGATTTTTTTTCTCATGACACGGGGGAATCCACCGCTTCTTCTGAAAAATTCTATTGAATTCCTATGGGAACTCTATGAGAATTCTATTGGAGTTCCGTTAGAATTCTATTGAATAATTATATCATTTCTTTGCGCCACGTCATTTTTTTCATAGACATTTGATAGAAAAACCCAGTGCTTCTTCTAAGAAATTCTATTGAATTTCTATTGGAACTCTGGAAAAAGTCTATTGAAGTTCCATTGGAATTCTGTTAAATAATTCTATCGATTTTTCCCGTCAATTCTATTGAAAATTATTCAAGTTCATTGTCTTATTTTTCATAGATGTTCGATGGAAAAAATTCAATAGAAAGTGTTTCTTCTAAGAAATTCTATTGAATTTCTATTGGAACTCTATAAGAAGTCTATTGGAGTTCCGTTGAAATTCTCTTAGACAATTCTATCAATTTTTTGCGCCTAATTTCCTTCAAGATTATGCAAATTTCCCACGTAATTTTTTTCATAGACATTTGATAGAAAAAAATTCAATCGATTTTTATTTTTCTATAGAAATTTTCGAGCAGATTTTTTTTTATTTCTCCTATATCTTCTATTTTTTGGTAGAATGATTCACCTCTTTATTAAATCACCCTCTGACTCTTCATATGCCAGTGCTATCGCTGGCCACATATCCGTTCCCAAATCTATGCAAAGAACGCAGATAATCCCCACAGGCAGGGGAATCCCAAATGCAATGAACGCGAGGAACGGCGTGATCTCCGGAACATTACTGGCTAGAGTATAAGCAATACTTGATTTCAAACTGTCGAAAATTCTTCGTCCCTCTTCTATTCCCGTGATTATTGTGGCGAAATTGTCGTCGAGGAGGATTAAATCAGCTACTTGTCTGCTTACATCTGATCCTGATCATAAATTTAAAATTTTTATCAGCTATTATGATAAATTGGTAAAAATTAATGAGTCTAATTTTTTTGTTGTGTTTGAAATTCATTCAGCTCATTATCTATTCATCCATTCATTTATTTATTCATTCATTCATTTATTCATTTCTTCATTTCTTCATTTATTTATTTAAATTATTAAATTCTCTAAAAAAATTCCTCGCTCATTTCGCCTTCCCGAGTTCATAAAAAAATATTACACATGAAAGAACTCAAACCGGTAATTCCCATCGACACTCCGATGTCCGCCTTCTTCAGGGCTGGAGAGTCATTGACGCCATCACCAGTGACAGCAGTGATCAAGTGCAGTCTCTGGCAGCTCTCGACGATCTGGAGCTTTTGAACGGGTGAAGTTCTCGCAAAAACAATCTCCGGATAGGTTCTGATGAGGGCATCCAACTCTCCTTCTTCCAACTCCCGGAGTTCCGAGCCCGTGATGACGATCGAGTGGACTGAGTCGACCTGGGGATCTTCTGTGATGATCCCGACAGCTTTGGCTATTGCTCTGGCGGTGTCTGGGTGATCGCCAGTCACCATGATGACTTTGACACCAGCGAGACGACATTTGTAGACAGCGTCGGGGACGGTTGGTCGAGGGGGATCTAGCATCGCCATTAAACCTACCTGATAATGTTCAATGGAATTGAAATGTACAGAGGGGAAATCTAGGATTTCTGTTGGAGTTCCCGAAGAATTATTTTTCAGGTCTTTAGTTTAATTTATTTTCTATAGAATTTTTATAGGAGTTCCTTTGGTCTATCTTTGGCATAAAATCTGATTCGCCCTTTCGAGGGATAATTCGATTTTTCATTGGGATTCCACTAGAACCCCAATCAAATGGCTATTGGAATTCTCCAAGAAATCGATTGGAGTTCTATTAAAACTCTATTTGAATATAAATTCTATAGGAGTTCTCTACGATTTCTAATAGAACTTGAACCAAATTTTTGGAGTTTTATTGGATCTCTAATTTTGAATTCTTATAGAATTTCTACTGAAATTCTGTAGGAGTTCTCCAAGATTACTAACAGAACTCCAACCGAACTCTTGGAATTCTATTGGAACTCCGGCCTGGAATTTTTATAGAATTGCTATAGGAGTTCTCTAGGATTCTTAACAGAACTCCATCCAAATTCTTGAAATTCTATGACATTTCTATAGGAGTTCCATTGGACTCCTATTAAAAAAATTCTAAAAATTCATTCTTTGCCTCAATTTTTATTGAAATTTTTCAATTATTTCTTCAATTATTTAAATTAATTTCATAACAATAAAATGAAAATCTCACCAGCCTGAGGTTTTGGAGTGGAAAATTCGGAGGATCTCCAGTAAATTGAAAACCCCTCGGAAATAATTTTTTGGGAAGTTCTAGGTCTGCAAATCCTAAAATCCGCTCGCCGTTTTTCGCGAGATCGTCGCAAGCGGCTGTGTAAGCTGATTTAACATCATCTGTGAGCTCTCGGGTCTCTGAACCGATGGAGACCATCGTGCAGTGTTCTATGACTCTCTCGGGGGCTCCTTTGAGGGATAGGAGGTAGCGGCCGTTGAAGGAGTGAATGTTCGCTTGGTATTTGTCAGTCGAGTTGAAGGGAATCTCAAAAATCTTTAGAGGAAAAAATATACTTTTTTTTTTCATTTTATATTCAGTAGTGAAAGGAAATCAGAAATTTATTTACGGAAATTCAATTATATATATTTTATTTATTTATTTATTTATTTATTTGTTTATTTATTTATTTATTTATTTATTTATTTATTTATCTAGCAGTTTTTGTGCTTTGGAAATTCCCTCAATAGCAAAAGGAATTCTATGAATTTTTCTCCTAAAACATCTTAAAAAATATGGAATTTGAATTTTTAAAAACGACAAAAAATTGAAAAAACATTCCGATCTATAAAAATACTTTTGTATACTGCCTCCGAAAGAATGCAGCCCCACCCCTGACCAGCACCTCCAAGCACTTGAGAAGAGCCGCCTCAGAGGCATCTCCCAGAATTTTTCTCTTACTGAGGGGAGGAGGGGGTCCAGAAATGGGCGCCCACTCGGCTCTATTGCACAAACTGGCGACCCTCGCTAAATTATTAAATCCAGGATTGTTGTAGTACCATCGCCAGTTGTGTCCAGCCATCACCTCTCGCAATTTCCCGTCGAACCACAGATGTCTGACCTGCAATTTCCGGAACTACTAGCTCGGGAATTCGTGAATCGAAATCAGGGATGCGGAGGAATGACAACGTGTCAGTGCACGTGATGGAGTCGACACCAAAGATTTTATAGAGAAGTTGGAGTTCCGTTGGAATTCTCTGAGAAATTCCATCGGAACTCTAGGAATTCTATTGGAATTCTGTGGAAAATCGGATTCACTTTTCGAATAGATGCAGATTTTTTCTATAGAACTCATTCTATTAAAATTTATTTATATGGATGGTGTCAAGTCCAAAGATTTCACAGAGAAGTTGGAGTTCCGTTGGAATTCTCTAAGAATTTCCATCGGAACTCCAAGAATTTTATTGCAATTCTAGGGAAAATCAGATTCGTTTTTCGAATAGATGTGGATTTTTCTAGAGAACTCATTCTATCGAAATTTTTTCTATAAAGATGGCGTCGAAACCCAAGATTCTATAGAAAAATTCTGCTTCCGTCGGAATTCTCTAAGAATTTCCATCGGAACTCAAGGAATTCTTCGGAAATGTTTCTTTTCCATCATTTCGTCAGGAAAAATGAAAAAAATACTACAGAAACGATTTAAAAAATTTATGCCCAAGAATTTCTATAGAAAAAATTGATTCTGATTTTTCTATTCATTTTCTTCATGCATGGCCTGACGCATTTGAGAAAATCCCGTCATCTCGCATCCCCGAACCGAAAATTTCTCAAACATACTGTCATTTTATTCTGCGTAAGAGTTCCAGTCTTATCGCTGCAAATGACCGCAGTGCACCCCAGGGTCTCAATAGCCTGAAGATTCTTCACAAGGCAGTTTTTGCTGGCCATTCTCTTGGCAGTGACTGTCAGACTGACAGTGACAGTGGCTAGAAGCCCCTCAGGCACATTAGCCACGATAATTCCAATGAGAAATACCAGGGACTCGATCCATCCGTAGCCCATCCCCAGGGACATTACGAAGAACGAAAAACCGAGGAACACGGCCCAGGAGGAGATGTACCTCATGAACGAGTTTATCTCACGAGCGAGTGGCGTCGGCCTTGACGACAGCCTCGAAGTGAGTTTAGCCACTCTTCCCATCACCGTTTGATCCCCACAGGCCACCACCACCCCCTTGCCGGTACCTTGGGCCCAGAAATAGAATTTAATCGGTGATAAGTGTCTTGGAGACGACATGTACGAAAAAATTTAATCGAAAAATCTAGCGCTTGCTGCGGAACTCCATAAGAATTCTATAGGAGTTCTATTGGAATTCTATTGGAGAATTCTATCTGTTTTTTGCACCGATTCACTGTTTTTAATTTCTATTTTTTTTAATAAAATAAAATTTTATTATATAAATTTCTATAGAAATCTGTAGCCTTTTTTTTAAGATCATGTAACTCATAATCTTCTATAGAATTGGGGCAAAAACGATTTTTTTAATAGATTTCTAGTAGAAAAATCTAGAGCTTGCTGAGGAACTCCAAAAAGCAGCAGAAAACACTTGAAAAATTTACGCCCAAAAATTTCTATAGAAAAATAAAAATTGAATTGAATTTTTTTTTTAATTGAATTGTTTTTGCTGAAGATTATGTAAATCATCATATTCTATTGAAGTGACGCAAAAAAATGAATTTTTTAAATAGATTTCTATTACAACTTCAAGAGAGTTCTTATAGAACTCTAATAGAAATTCAATAGAATTTCCTGGATTTTTCTATTAACTAAAAATCCTTTGTGTATCCTCTAAATCCCCTAATTGAATAAAAATTCAGATGCATAAACTTTTATTAAATTTGACCTCAATAAACTCAAATTCAATAAAAATTGGCATTCCCAAATTTTTCTAAAATTGAATTTAATTTTCATAAATAAAACGACTTCTTTTCACCTTCAATAACATTTGTCGAGAAGAAAATCATGTTCTTGCTCTCAAGAATGCTTCCCCCTGATGTCATTGATGATCTCAAAAGTGGAATTGACTCACCAGTTATTGATGCATTATCGACCTTAAGACCTGTAGCCGAGGGATTATACCGATGGGAATGAAAAAGAAAACTATGAGAAAAGTGAAAGGAGAAAGAAAGGCATTACCTTGACATTCCAGGATTCTAATGTCAGCAGGGACTCGGTCACCGGTTTCGATGAGGACAATGTCCCCAGGGACTAATTCAGTCGCATTGAGCTCCCTCCTTTCACCGTCCCTCAGTGCAACAGCTCTCTGTGGGAGGAGTTCGTTGAATGTCTCCATGATTTTAGTGCTTTTTGACTCTTGATAGTAACTGAACATTCCGGTTAGCATTGTTAGGAGTACCAGAACGACACCGAGCCAGAGGTGGTCTTGGGAGGGGACCTCTTGGGTCGCTGATTCTAAAATGTAGCTGCCGAAGCAGAGGAATGCACCCACCTATCGACGGGAATTTATTTCCGAATATTATTTTGAGAGAGACGCGCAGGAAAGAACTTTAAGGGAAAAACCTGGAACATTCGATTAAAAATTCCGTTGGATTTTTATTGAAGTTCCAGAATTTCATGTTTCTATAGAATTTTTTATTGAGACATTGTCTATAGAAATTAATCCAGATGATTTTTCCAAGTATTTCCCACTCTATTTTTATTCTCCTCTCAGAGGAATGCACCCACCTATCGACAGGAATTTATTTCCGAATATTATTTTGAGAGAGACGCAGGAAAGAACTTTAAGGGAAAAACCTGGAACATTCGATTGAAAATTCCATTGGATTTTTATTGAAGTTCCAGAATTTGATGTTTCTATAGAATTTTTTATTCTGACATTGTCTATAGAAATTAATCCAGATGAATTTTTCAAGTATTTCCCACTCTATTTTTATTCTCCTCTCAGAGGAATGCACCCACCTATCGACAGGAATTTATTTCCGAATATTATTTTGAGAGAGGCAAGCAGGAAAGAACTTTAAGGGAAAAACCTGGAACATTCGATTGAAAATTCCATTGGATTTTTATTGAAGTTCCAGAATTTCATGTTTCTATAGAATTTTTTATTCTGATATTGTCTATAGAAATTAATCCAGATGAATTCTCCAAGTATTTCCCACTCTATTTTTATTCTCCTCTCATTAAAAAATTCAAGCAAAAACTGGAAAATTTGAGCTGAGGAAATTTTCTAGAAAATTTTATAGAATTCTATTGATTTTTGCCATTGAGCATTTCTGGTAAAAAACGCTCAGATAGGCTGTGGAATTTTTTAAGAGAATTAGTCCAGAAATTATGAAAAATTCTATAGAAAATTCTATTAGTTGTTGGGCGATTCTATTGTAGAATTCCAGTTTTAAATCGCGTTTATTTCATAGAAACCGTCAAATGGAAACTATTTTATTTGAAAAATCAATAGAATTCCTTTTTTCTATTGAGCATTCTTCTATAGGAATTCCTCATGAATTTTCCGCTCTAAAAAAGCGTGGAAAATTTGAGCTGAGGAATTTCTATAGAAAACATCTCAATCGGATAAAATTGTATAGAAGCCTCGAATTCTATTGATTTTTTCTAAAGAATAATTTCTACAGAAAAAAGTGCACAGATGTGCTGCGAATTTTTTCAATAAAATCGAAAAAAATAATGCTAGAACTCAAATTATCAATCCTATAGCGGTCCAATAGAATTATTTTCTGTCAAAAGCATCAAAGCACTGTTTAGTGGACAATAAAATTCACTTTTAAAAAGTTTTGGAATTTTTAAAATTATTTTTCTAATTTTTAAAAATTTTTCAATTTTTAAATTTCTTCAATTTTTAAATTTTTTTTTATTATTTGGTTTGTTAATAATTTGAAGAGTACTATTGAAGGAATCATTTTGTTTTTAGTGAAATTAATCCCCGAATAAACAAATTTGAATTTAATATTTCCAAACCCATATGAGCGTGGAAAATCCCCCACAGCAGCACTTCGCTAATTTCAAAAGCTCGGAAGTCTTCTTCGGCGGAGTCAAAGCATTCGCCCCAACTTCCGCCCATAATTCCCGAGCCCTCAAGCTCGATAACCCTCTTCTCACATCAGTTCCCAAACTCTCCAGCAATTCACTGATCCTCCGGGTATGGACATCCGTGTCAATATCCTCGCGGAGGGAATTCTTGTCGTTTGCCCCAGCCTCGGGCTGATTACTCCTACCAAACATTTCGATTTCGTATCATAATTTAACCAAAAACCGGAAGTCGAGGCGACTTCCTCTTCAGCTCTTCCGTGATAAGACGGATTGAAGGTTAATTAATGTCGATATGATAGAATTCTGTTCCGGAAGTGAAGGCAGTGAGCGAAAAAAACGAATGAAAAGAGGAGAAAAATTTAGCGGAAAAAACTTGGAAAATTCTAAGTCGAGGAATTCCTATAGACAATGTGTTGATGGCAAAATTGTATAGAAATATGAAATTCTTAGGGTTTTTTTCTATGAAAAAGTTTCTATAGAAAAAAAAATTGTTCACTAGAATTTTCTAATATATTCGCTATAGAATTCTATTGGATTTCTATAGAAGTTTCTATTAGTTTTGGGTCAATTCTGTTGAAAAATGCCGTAGCTAATCTGCGCTTTTCTTTCTATTGAAAATGTAAAATATTTTATAGCCAAAATCAATGGAATTAATAGAATTCCTAGGCTAAAAATTTCAAAGTTTTTTCATTTGAATTTTTGAATGACAAGAGAAGAGACAGAGACATTGAGTGAAAAAAAAATTGAAAAATTTATGCCGAGGAATTCCTATAGAGAACGTCTCAACAAAAAAAATTGTATAGAAAGCTGAAATTCTACGGATTTTTTTCTATAAAAAGCTCCTATTCGACATTTTCTATAAAAACGCACAGTAAAGAAGCGGAATTCTTCAATAGAATCGGCTAAAAACTAATAGAATTTTCAATAGAAGTTCAATAGAATTTTCTGTCGAATTCGCTATAAAATTCTATTGAATTTCTATTGAATTTTCTATCAATTTTTGGCTGATTCTAAATTTCAATATTCAATGGAAAGTATTCTATAGCAAAATCAATAGAATTCAATTGTTCTATACTATTTTCTATAGAAATTTCTCGTCTTAAATTTTCCAAGTTTTTTGTTTAAATTTGTCAATAACAAGAGCAGAAAAAAACTCAAAAAATTCATGTCGAGTAATTCCTATAGAAAATGGCTCACCGACAGAAATTCTATAGAAAGATGAAATTCCACAGATTTTTCCTACAAAACAGTTCGAAATATTTCTGCCAAAAAAACGCATTTTCAAATAAAAAATTCAAAAACTTTGCTTTTCAGAAACTTCAATGGAAAGCATTCTATAGCAAAATCAATAGAATTCAATTGTTCTATACTATTTTCTATAGAAATTTCTCGTCTCAAATTTTCCAAGTTTTTTGTTTAAATTTGTCAATGACAAGAGCAGAAAAAAAACTCAAAAAATTCATATCGAGTAATTCCTATAGAAAATGGCTCACCAAAAAAAATTCTATAGAAAGATGAGATTCCACAGATTTTTCCTACAAAACAGTTCGAAATATTTCTGCCAAAAAAACGCATTTTCAAATAAAAAATTCAAAAACTTTGTTTTTCAGAAACTTCAATGGAAAGCATTCTATAGCAAAATCAATAGAATTCAATTCTATACAATTTTCTATAGAAATTTCTCGTCTCAAATTTTCCAAGTTTTTTATTTAAATTTGTCAATGCCAAGAGCAGAAAAAAAACTCAAAAAATTCATGTCGAGTAATTCCTATAGAAAATGGCTCACCGAAAAAAATTCTATAGAAAGATGAAATTCCACAGATTTTTCCTACAAAACAGTTCGAAATATTTCTGCCAAAAAAACGCATTTTCAAATAAAAAATTCAAAAACTTTATTTTTCCGAAATTTCTTTCCAATTCTCAAATAAAACCGGAAGTCGTCGCACTTCCGCTTCACCCCTCCGTCGATAAAACAGCCCCACACCGACACGTCGATAAACCAGAAACCAACCGACAATCGAATGCACCGACCGGAAGAAAACAGAGAGATGCGCGCGCACGACTATGTGCATCATCGAAAATTTCCTGTTCAATGCCCAACACTTTATCCTCAGCTCACCGCAGTCTCGTGGTTGTCGGCCGCCCTCGATGTTTAGACCAGACGTGACAGTCCCACCAGATTTTCCAAATTGCCAGCATCATGGGCACTGCAGACACAGCTGTCGTGAAAAAACAGTCGTCCGAGGGCAACGACCTGATGGACGAGTACGGAGTGAATTTAAAAATTCTGCCCACCAACGCTCAAGTTAAAGAGCTGCAGACCATTCTCAGAGACAAGTGAGTATTTCGAAATTTCGCGATGATGGGACCGCCTGTCACATGGCGACAATAATTGCCGAGGTCGGGAATTTCTCTTCTCTTAATTTTGAGGGCCTTTTCTTTTTATTCAGGAACACGACGAGAAGCGATTTCAAGTTCTACGCCGATCGTTTGGTAATTGACACAATTTTTTTTTCCAAATTTTTGTGCCTTGTGGGATGACGAAATCCACGTAATGATGAAATTTTAGATAAGACTCGTTATCGAGGAGAGTCTCAATCAATTGCCATTCACTAAGTTTGTGGTTACTACTCCCACTGGCGCCAAGTACAAGGGGCTCAAGTATCAGAAGGGGAATTGTGGGGTGTCCATTGTCAGGAGTGGAGAAGCTATGGAACAGGTAACTATTTTTTTATTTATTTGTCATTTTTGAGAGTCAAAAACCAAGAGATTTCGAGGCCACACGACTCATTTTCTGATTTTATTTGTCAATTTTTTGAAGAAATTGACAGTTGAACGAATTTGGGGAAATGCGAATTATCTCATTTCCAAAAACTGATTCTCATCTCCAAAAACAATTACCTCATTCCAAAAACCGAGGAAATAAAATGGGAAAAGCCCAGGAATTCCTCAAGAAAAAATTTCGAGAGAAAATGAACTTCTGTGGATTTTTTCATAATTTTTAATTTATAAATCAGCACAAAGAGTGAATGGAATTGTTTATAGAGTTCTGATGGAACTTCAATGGATTTTTTTCGTAGAAAGAAAATTCGGTAGAATTTCTTGGAGAGAATGTCGGATTTCTCTATTGATCTTTCCTCCAAGCCTTCATAGAAATCCCATTATCTACTCTAGATTGAAAAACATTAAGAAAATACTTAAACCTGGCATTGACTTGATTTATCTTTCTTCACCATTTTGCAACTTAAAGATATCCAAGTGCCTTTTACAATTTAGTACAGACCACACTACAGATTCAACAATTTTCACCCATCAAATTAAAAAAAATCATGAATATTCAGCGTCATTAGAATTACATTTTGTACAGAATTAATTTAAAGCATTTTACTGAAGAAAAAATAGCCAAAGTGCTTGGAAATTCTTAAATACCCCATTTTTAATGAATTTACATTTCAATCAAGTCGTCCGTAAATTCCAGAATAATTGATTCACTTTATCAAGTAATTCATTTATTTATTTATTTATTTATTTTCGTGAATACCAGAATAATTAATTTATTCTGAAGTCAATTTTTTTCTAAATATCTAGCAATCCCAGGAAATACGAAACATAACGTAAAGTCAATTTTTAAATAGCCAAAGTACTCGTATCCTTAATCATCGCTCACAGGAATTTTCCATTTCTCCTGTTTTTCCCAATCGATGACGTTTGATATTGATCTATTGACGTTTCTAGGGGCTCAGGGACTGCTGTCGTAGCATAAGAATCGGGAAAATCCTCGTCGAGAGTGACGCAGACACACACGAAGCCAAAGTTGTTTATGCAAAATTTCCAGACGACATTGCGGACAGAAAAGTACTACTGATGTACCCCATAATGAGTGAGCATCAAAAATTAAATCCTGAATGAACTCCCACGTGACTCTCATTAACTCTCTGGGTTTCAGGCACTGGAAATACTGTGATAAAGGCCATTGCTGTTTTGAAAGAGCATAATGTCTCTGAAGAAAATATTATTCTCTCGAATTTATTTTGCACGCCACCTGCTGCCAAAACTCTAGTCACTGCCTTTCCCAAGGTAACGATATTCACATGATTTGCATGAAGACATCAGCATCATGAAATTTATGAGTTTTAACGAATATAGAACAACGCGAAGTGGTCAAATGTTCCAGATTAGATTTTTCACTTTTTAAACATTAGATTATCTCGATAACCAGGGGTTTTAGGGGAAAATGTCAAATACATTTTTTGTTGGAAATTCTCTCAGCTACAAAAAAGTTTTTATGACATTTTTCTTTAAACTCAATATTTCGAGAGATATTTGCAATTTAATGAGTTTTAATTTTTAGAATGACTAGTTCATTTTGACTTCTTCATAGATTTATTCATTAACGATTAGTTCTAGGAAAAAATGTCATAAGAGAGTTTTTCTTGGAAATTTTCTCAGCTACAAAAAGTTCCCGTGCCGTTTTTGTCTAAACCCAATAATTATCGAGATATTCTCCGACTTGAGAAGAATTCCCCTTTCAACTCATACATTTCTCGATTTAATTCCTGAAACATTTATCAATTTAATGATAACTTCAAAATTATCAATTTCAGATGAAATTCTTAACATCGGAAATTCACAACGTCGCCCCCAATCACTTCGGACAGAAATACTTTGGTACGGACTGAATAAATAGTAATAACGTAAACAACTAGTTGATAAATAAAACCAACAATTGAGTAGCAATAGATCTTGCGAAAGCTGCAAACTACTGAAGGTCACATTAATTCACCAGCACAATCACCACAATCATCGTCACTCTCAATTCCCCATATTTCTTGTAAATAATGCATTGAATGAGATCATGCGATCTATTTTTACTCCAGTGCAATGAGTTCGATGCTTTCCTGGCTCGTCCAAGTATTTTTGAGAAAGAGAAAGAGTTCAGAGTATTATTTTCTCTACTTCATTCATCCTGACAGCCTCAAATTACTTGACATTCACGAAATGTCGAGGAATTGAGTCTAATGTACGAAAAAAATTAATAGAAAAACCTGGCGAATTCGTTAGAAAATTCTATTGGATTTCTATTCAATAGAAAGTTCAATAGAATTGGATCCAATTTTCTGTTTGTTCATTTTATTTTTCTTTTCTTTTCATCAAAAAGATCAAACAAAAATTAGAAAATTTGAGTCGAGGAAATTCTATAGAAAATATCTCAATAATTTGTCTAGAAAAATCAAATTCTACAGATTTTTTCGAAATTAGAAATCCAATAGAATTTTCAGACGAATTCTCTACGTTTTTCTATAAAAAATTTTCCCCCACGATCATTTAAACATTTCAGTGCTGAATATTTTATTCAACTGATGATTACGCACAGCTCCTTCATACCTTCATTAGATTGTAATTTTCGAGTTTAATTTTATCGTAAGACTGTGTGGCACTTTGCTATTAGTTTTTAATCAATCAACTGTGAAACATGGGGTTTATGGTTAATGATTTTGTTCAATTTGAACTGTTACGATATTCTTCGCATGAAGAGATACTTCGTTGTACGATAATGCATTATTTTGAGATGATATAAATTTAATTGTGTGATTCACCACGAGACACTGTATTTCATTGCGAATCTCTTGTTATCTGTTGTGATGTCGAAGGAAAATTATTGTAGAGTAGCTGTCTGTCGAGAGGTGGGGGAGGAATATTTATATTTATCGATAACATTGAATGTTGCATAATTGGCGATCTGAGGTGCAATATTTCATCTTCATTTGGGGGAGATGGTCGGAGTAATTTCGAATGGTGCGGCATAATTATTTAATTGAGAGGATTTCGAGGGTGGACGGAGCTGGGGAATTTTATTTGAATTTGTAGTTGGCATATTATCTATTTGGAGCTACGATTCCATTTTTAGTTAAAATAAATGAATATTCTCTCGTTTTTTAACTGAAAAACGAAAATAATTCAATTTTTTTATTTTTTATTAAAATTTTTTTGGATTAAAAATTACAAATTTCATTTTTTTTATTAAAAATCGTGGAAATGCAGTTTAGAGTTGAATAAATGATGTTCAAACATTTGAAATGAATTTTTTAAAGTGTTTAATTTCATTTTTATGTCAATTTTTGTCGAATTTCTTAAATTTAAAGAGAATTGATAAATTTTTTGTCATGAAGATTTTTGTAATTTGTATTTTCCTATACACAAATTAAAAAAGCGAATATTCTCTCGTTTTTTAGTTACAAAACGAAAATAATTTAATTTCGATTCATTAATTTGAATTAAAAATCATGGAAATGGAGTTTGGATTTGAATAAATAGTGTTTAGTCATTTGAAATACTGTTTCTGTTTGATTTTCATTAGATAATCCCCAGCTCTGATAGAAAAATGATTTTTAAACATGTTTAATTTAATTTGGACGTCAGTTTTCGCCGAATTTCTGAAATTTAAGGAGAATTAATAAATTTTTTGTCAAGAAAATTTTTGTAGCCTGTATTTTCCTTTACAAAAATTGTCTCTGCGTTAATTTTGGCATTTCCTATAGATTGCTAGATATTTAGAAAAAAATTGACTTCAAAGTAAATTAGGTATTCTGGCATTTACGAACGACTTAATTGAAATTTCATAAAATTCATTAACATAGGGTATTTAATATAGTTATTATTCATTGGGTTGTTTATTAACGAAGAGAAAACATTGTGAGAATTTATGATCTATGTTTTACTTGCATGCAGGCGAAACTGTATCGATTAGAATAATTTTGATGAAATAAAATTAATAAAGCAAAATAAAATTACAATATTGTATACATGATTCTTTCGTACCCGAGTACTTAATCATGTATTTGTTGAACGTTTTTAATGAATAATGAAAGTGTCGAAGGATGGGAAGGCTAAGAAAAAAAATTGTGAATTTATGATGATTAATTATCGAATAAACTGCGAATTTTAAAACACATTGTCTTGGATTTTTATTTTTAGTTTTTTTCTCAAGTTATTTTCTGGAGATTATTTGTCTATTCAATAAAAGAATAATAATGATGATAATAATAATAAAATGATGAGTGAGTAGAGGAATTTTGTATAGAAATTCCTTGACATTTTTTTTCCAATTCATTTTTTCGTCTCATTAAAAAATTCGAAAAAACGTGAAAAATTGAAGTCTAGGTATTTTTGTAGAAACAATTCTTTATTTATATTAATTATTTTTAATTGGACACCTCTACAGAAAGAACGCAGAGAAGTTGCAGATTTTTTCGATAAAATTTGAGAAAAAACAATTTTATAATTTAAATCAACTTTTGCATATTTTTTTTCTTCTCTTCATGTTCTCTTCAATAAAAAAATAATAATGATACCAATAATAAAAAGTGATGAGTAAATAGAGAAATTTGCGTAGAAATTAATGCCCTAGAGCAGCCCCAAAACTGAGTTTTCCCAAATTAACGAAAATTTTCAATTTAACAAATCGCCTTTTCTTTCTTCATTATAAAAATTAATTACCCCAGACTTAATTATTTCGATAATTGATTTCAGGATGTTCAAATCGAGGAGAGAGGCAGTGAGAGGAGATAAAAATTTAAAAAACGGAGCGAATATTGATTTAGTGAAGACATTTGGGTGAGATGAATAAATTCATAAAAATAATCATTCCGACATCGGGAGACAGACAGTCACCCCTTGGATCTCGTGAAAGCGTTCACTAGTCGCGATCAATCGAACAATTGACCAAAAACCAATTGAGATTGCATTAATCAAGATTTTTGTTTCTGACGTAATATTTTTATTAGTAAATTCATGTATTTATATAACAGTTGATTCATATGATGTAGATCATACGATGAATATTATTCTCCATCTCTTTTTTTGTAAATATATTGCGCAATATATTCAAAATTTGCGTAATGACTCGAAGTAACATTAAATACTAACAGCCATTAATCAAAATTGTACAACTGGAAGCTGAAAAATCCAACTTCCTATCCCTCTTTCCCCCCAGAGGAAAGCGAATTCCTATTAAAGCCCAATTAGTCGCAACAAATTTGTTGATTAAATCGATTGTTCATATTTTATTCTCATTCACAGGCATTTTTAATCTCGCCGGATTAATCCTAGTCATTTCCATTATCTTAAACCTTAATTGCGATATTTTGGGGATGAAAAAAATGTGCAAATCCTATTCGGTAGAACTAGTGAAAATCAATGCCAGCGGAAGATATCGATTTACGTATGAAAGCGAAGAATTTTCCCATGTTTGATTATTTTTTCATTGACAATTATAAAAAATGTTGAGAAATATTTTGTCGAAAGTTGTCTCTTGATTTTTGTTCGGGTAATTAACAATTTATATGTGAAATAGTGAAACAGAAGTCAATATTTCACTTTTAATGCATCAGTTTTCGTGAAATATCTCTGGATCTATTAGAGATAGCGAATTTTTTGTCGGAATCATTTTTGTAGAGAAAAATCAGATCTACAAAAAAGGTCGAGACACATATGGAGCTATCTGGCCTAGATTCCGAGATATTCATCGAGAAGTAAAATAAAAATGAACCTGAAACCTCCGGTTTTGTTATTTTACCACTGGAGTGACGACTCAAATAGTTTTCCATTTTTTCATTCAATGAATTAATGAAAAGTAATTAATTTGCACGAGTCCTTTTGCCACTGAGTATTCACGCATTAATGGACGCCCCATAAAAGCAAGTCTCATTGAGAAAGTTTATGTTATTGAAAAAGAAAATGTAGCTAGAGAACTAGGCCGCTTTCTTCTATACATAAATATACGTTCTGTTGATTTTTGCCATTTGTGATGGTTTCTCATGAGCAATTATCATCGTGATGAGAGACTACCGAATTTAGAGGAAGAAACAGTTCAATTCTTCAGTGAATCCGTAAAAATCAGGGAATGAAAGAATTCCATGTGCACTATTTCGCGAATATCTCCAAAACCACTGGGTTTACGAGAAAATGCCACTCTACCATTTTTGTAGGCCGCAAAATTCTCTACAAAAAATGTTCAGTGAATTTTTGCTCTAAACCCCTTAGGTTCGAACATATCTGCAAAATAGTACGAAGTTTTTTTATTCACTTTTTTTCGCTTCACTCGACAGAATCAATTGATGAGAAATTGAAATCCCACAAGTCATTCCATTCTCACATTCTCATCGTTTGTCTTCAATCATCTGGCAGTACTTGTCGACTTGGAGTGACGTTAATGGAAATAATGAACAAAGTAGAAAATTAAATGAGTGCATGTAATACTCTGTCAGCAATTTATTCTTCTTTCTCTTGGTCGTCCGATTTCTCCTCATTTTTGTCGATACTGTCGTCCATTTCTCCATCTTCAGCTTGGGATTTTGTTGATAAATCATCGTCTACGGATTTTGATTGGTCCTCGGTGTCTTCCACTGTCGAATGTTGTCTTTCATTCACTTCACTAATGAAACAAAAGGAAAAAATTATGAAAGTATCAAAATAAATAGGAAATCTTCATTAATTCTGCATTTATTTCAAGCACTAGTGGTTCTGTGACAACTAATCTCCTCAAAACTCGTCGTAGAACCACCAATTGAAGAAATAAGTCTATATTTATCCTGTGATTCATCGATTCAAACGAATTTATCACTCGTTTCGTGAATAAAAAATTAACAAAAATACTGTCGCGAGGATATTTACCTTTCTGAGGGGACACCGCTGACGTCTTTATCAGTAGAGGCCTGAAAAAACATAATTAATTAAAGTAATTAACAATTAACGAGAGCAATAAATAATTGGAGAACTGTTAAAACAAAATCGGTGATTCAATTTCGTTCCTCATTCAGTTTTTGGAGAATATCTTGAGATTAAAGCGAGATATCAAAATTTTCGTCAAAACACTTTTTGTAGGTCTTTTTTCGCTCCACAAAAAAGGTCTTAACAAATTCTTTGCTATCTCCATTAGATTCCGAGATATTCGTCAAAAACTGCAGACGAAATTTGACAAACGTCGCAATTTCCATTTTTGCAAATGAAATTGTTTTGAATTAATTCCTTTTACCTCTCGACTCGATGTATTTCCATTTTGCCTGACATTCACGTGAACCTCTGTATCCTGATCAGCAGTTCCTTCCGCCGAGCTGTCGAGCGAAACGACTTTCAGGAATTTCTCTAATTCGTCGATCTCATTCGCCAGATCGAAATCCTCGTAATCCTACGCCACAAATTAATGTTTTGCTGAATTATCTTATCGGTTTAATTAGAGGAGTTGAGTTACAAGTGTCACGATTCGTGATAACTTTATTCGCTAGAAAGTCTGATGATAACAATTGGATATTTCCGGTTGTGTGAGGCTAATTAAAACGAGAGTTATTATTTCTCTAGATTAATGGGTAATTTCCTCCCGAATGTGCAGCTATATAGTTGTCTATAATATTCTCGGCATTACGAAGAATATTAATTTGATTTTTTTGTGATTTTTTATTCAGACACGTATGACCTTTTGCCTTTTACATCACAAAGAATTTAACAATAATTAAAATTTTTTGCACTTTTGAGAATATAATGGGGTTTGAGAATTCTTAATCGGGGGAAATCTGATTGAAGTTGTTTTTCATTATGATTTTATTGAATATTGAGAACGAAAGGGAATTTAAATACAATTTCATTGACAATTGAATTAATTGACAATTTATTGTTTCATTGACAATTGTTTTTTTTTATTTGTGGTTTGATTGAATAGTTTGATTTAGAAGAATACATTAAAAAATAGGAAATACTATTTATTAATTAGTTAAAATACTCGACTGGAATAAATTATTTAGAATAATGATTCTTCAAATTTAATTATTTAAAATGATATTTTCATTCGATTTTGATAGAATTCTGTGCATTCTTTGTCAAATAATGTTATTTTATCTCTTCGGATCATTTTGAATTATTTCAACAGAATTTCTCTTGTAAAAGAGTCAAGCAAAAATACACTGCTTCATTCACAAGCGAAAACTCGTCACAAATTCAATGGTTTAGGTTTAGAGATGAATGAATGCTATTGAAACGGCCAAAGTATTCAACTCGTAATAACTTTTTCAAACAATATTTCATCAAAATTAGTTATTTAAAATCGAATTTTAATTCAATATTCATAAAATATTGATAAAATTCCACGGATTTTTCATTAAAAACACCATCTTTCATCTCTTCTTATCATTCTAAATAGTTTAAACCCATTTTTTCTCATAAAAACCTCAAACAAAAATATAATTCCTCCCCTTTAAACCAAAAACTCATCACAACTTTAACTATTCAACTTTAGAAATAAGAATTAATTAATATTATCCAATCATTAAAAATCCTCAACTCAAAATAACTATTTCAAGTAATCCTTTATCGAAATTAATTACGTAAAATCGAATCCAAAATCAAAATTAATTGCTAAAATCCCGTGAATTTTTCATTAAAAAAAAACCATCTTCCATCTCTTTACACAATTTTAAATCATTTAAACCCATATTTTCCCCTAAAATCCTCAATCAAAAATGCAATTCTTCCCCTCAAAGACCAAAACCCCACCAGAATTTCAATAATTCAACTTTACAAATACGAATTAGTTAATATTATCCAATAATTAAAAATCCTCAACTCGAAATAACTATTTCAAATAATCCTTTATCAAAATTAGTTGCTAAAACCCCGCGAATTTTTCATGAAAAAAAAATCTTTCATCTGTTCACACAATTTTAAACCATTCAAACCCATATTTTCCCCTAAAATCCTCAATCAAAAATGCAATTCTTCCCCTCAAAGACCAAAACCCCACCAGAATTTCAATAATTCAACTTTACAAATACGAATTAGTTAATATTATCCAATAATTAAAAATCCTCAACTCGAAATAACTATTTCAAATAATCCTTTATCAAAATTGATTCTCAACTCGAAATAACTATTTCAAATAATCCTTTATCAAAATTAGTTGCTAAAACCCCGCGAATTTTTCATGAAAAAAAAATCTTTCATCTGTTCACACAATTTTAAATCATTCACACCCATATTTTCCCCTAAAATCCTCAATCAAAAATGCAATTCTTCCCCTCAAAGACCAAAACCCCACCAGAATTTCAATAATTCAACTTTACAAATACGAATTAGTTAATATTATCCAATAATTAAAAATCCTCAACTCGAAATAACTATTTCAAATAATCCTTTACCAAAATTAGTTGCTAAAACCCCGCGAATTTTTCATGAAAAAAAAATCTTTCATCTGTTCACACAATTTTAAACCATTCACACCCATATTTTCCCCTAAAATCCTCAATCAAAAATGCAATTCTTCCCCTCAAAGACCAAAACCCCACCAGAATTTCAATAATTCAACTTTACAAATACGAATTAGTTAATATTATCCAATAATTAAAAATCCTCAACTCGAAATAACTATTTCAAATAATCCTTTACCAAAATTAGTTGCTAAAACCCCGCGAATTTTTCATGAAAAAAAAATATTTCATCTGTTCACACAATTTTAAACCATTCACACCCATATTTTCCCCTAAAATCCTCAATCAAAAATGCAATTCTTCCCCTCAAAGACCAAAACCCCTCCATAATTTCAATAATTACCCCGCAATAGTCCTCATCATTGAAGATCTGCGGGGGTAAAGGATGTTTGTTGTCCCTGGCATTGCTCATCGACTGCATATACTCCTTGTCGTCCTCTTTCCCGGGCTCCGTGATGTCAATCACCTCGTACTCGACATTTTTGCTGTCGAGGATCATCATCACCCTCTGCTGACGCTTCTTCACCTGGTGGAACAGTCGGACATGACAACAACCCCAGGAATACTCGTCCACGAGAATTCCCGCTGACGAGTCACTCCTGTTTTTTATTCAGTCTGTGACTCTTTGCAATTCTTTAATTAGCATGAAACAAGGGGTCTAGTGAGTCATTCGCGGAACCAACGCCTCAAATTCAAATCAATGACACGCGGAGCGAATTGAATAAATAAATTGAACCACTCGCCCTCCGGCGAATGACAAAATCACGTACTTTAATAGGTGACCTAGACGTTCCAAACAATTACGCAATACAATTAATTAATTAATTAATTAATGATTGTGATTTTAATTAATTGATGTTAAGTAATTCTTTCTCTTCATGAAGTAAAGAATTTGTTTGCAAGATTTCGCTCGGGAATTTATGAGAATTGAAATAAAAATGAAAACAAAACGAAGAATTTATTATGGGATAAAAAATGGGAGCTTGGGGAAAATTTCACTGGATTCAATCGTCGATAACTCGGGATTGGCAGAGTGAATTTTGAGAATACAGGGCTCATTTTGAAGATCTTCTCTTTAGGTTTAAAATGAATTCAGATTTTTTGGAATCGGGTCGTTCAGTGAGGAGATATTCGAGATTGAGTGGAGGTAATTCTGCTGCATTTTTCCAAACTTCAAAACGAAGTATTTTGTTTTTTCCTAAAAATCTCAAAAAGGAAGAGGTTTAGGAAAAATTACCATAAGATATTTTTTATAGAGAATTCAAAGATCTACAAAAAATGTTCCGGGACATTTCTTCCTAAATCTAGTAGTTTTAGAGATACAAGCGAAATGCTAATGCAATTTCCGGTGGAATTTTTCCCTGCAGTTCTCCCCCAACAGAATTCATAATAATAAACACCGGATCGATGTAATCATCCCACCAGATGATTCTAATAAACCCTGACATTACCCTCGACTACGAACGAGAATAGACTTCCCACCTGAGTCCAATAATTCCCTTTAACAAAATAAAAAAAATCATTTAGATTAAATTCCCTCACAGATCCGTTTGAATCTCAAAAAATCATCAAAACAATCTAAAAATGTTCCAAAAACGTAAAATAATCTCCAAAAAAGCCTAAAGAAATCCCGATTAATCATCTCCCTCAATACCCGAAACGAATTTTTTTCTGATTTCGTAAAAATCTCAAAAAGGAAGAGATTTAGCTAAAAACATCAAAAGACATTTTTTATAGATCTTTAAATTTTCTATAGAAAACGTCATTTGACATTTCCCTCTAAAACCACTAGTTTCCGAGATAAAATCAAAAAAAAAAAAAAAAAAAAAAAAAAAAAAAAAAANAGATAAAATCATTTCAATTTCATAATTTTTCCATTAAATCCCCTTGATCCCAAAAAATCACAGAAAAATAAAAAAAAGCCCCAAAAACCCTAAATAAACTCCAAAAAAATCCCGAAGAATCCCAGTTATTCATCTCTCTCAATAGCCCATCACCGCATCATCATGATCCTCACAAAATCCTACAAATTTCAAAACTTCAAAAGGAACTGTTTCCTTATTTCGTTTTTTCATTATTTAGGTTTCCTTATTTTCTAAAAATCTCAAAAACGCGTAGTTTTATCAAAAAACATCAAAGGACATTTTCTCTAAACAATTTCAAAACCTACAAAAAACATTCTATGATATTTCCCCCTAAACCCACTCCTTCCCAAGCTACAATCATTTGCAATTTCCTACTATTTCCACTAAATCCCCTTAGAACCCAAAAAATCGCCAAAACAATCCAAAAAGCCCCAAAAACCCGAAATAAACTCCAAAAAAATCCTAAAAAATTCAAATTAATCATCTCCCTCAACCCCTCATCATCAAGATCCTCACTAAACACTTTATTTTCCAAACTCCAAAACCAAATCTTTCCTTATTTCCTAAAAATCTCAAAAACGCGTAGGTTTATCAAAAAACATCAGAGGACATTTTCTCTAAACAATTTCAAGATCTACAAAAAACATTCTATGATATTTCCCCCTAAACCCACTCCTTCCCAAGCTACAATCATTTGCAATTTCCTACTATTTCCACGAAATCCCCTCAGAACCCAAAAAATCGCCAAAACAATCCAAAAAGTCCAAAAAACCCCAAATAATCTCCAAAAAAATCCCAATTAATCATCTCCCTCAGCCCCTCATCATCGCGATCCTCACTAAACACTGGTAACATGATCCCACATCACGAAATGTCACAAGTACAAGTCCCCGAGTGCCCAAGGTCCCGCCGACAATCGCCAAAAACAAAACGGTTCCCCTGAAAAAACGTAACAAAAACCTCCAATACTCACTTCCTTATTCCCGCTGATCCCAGATATGTAAACCTTCACAACCATTTTGCCCCGTAATTCTCAAATCACAGAATCCACACAATCAACTGCACAAGAATTTCCACAATTTATTTATCGACGACCCAAAAACCCCAATCGTTTTTCGATTAATTTATTAATTAACTAGTTGAACGATTGTCAACGACTTCGCGTGTGTATTCCACAAGACAACTGGCTGGTTATGGTCCTCCCTGTATCGCCAGGTTATTGTATATATAAGCACTAATGAGTGTGAGGCCAGGGGTGGGGGCCAGACTCAAAACGACTGAAGTGTTCTTTTCCCCGTCATCTTTTTTCTTGCATATCTCTGAAACTAACGGGACTAGCGAAATTTTCGTCATGACATTTTTTGCAGGGGAGAATTGGGGCTACAAAAAAGGTAGAGATGAAGATTTCGCTATTTGCGATAGTTTCGGAGATAACTTTGAAAAACTGAACGGAGAATCGAGGAGATTTCGGCTGGATTTCTATTTTACCTCTGAACTACGTCACCCGCGGCGGGTGGAGGGGGCAACCGAGTGCGGAAGCTGAAGTTCATTGGAAACGCATTTATGTTTTTTTTATAATGGGAAATTAGAATTTATTTCATGTCAATTGCTTTGTTGTAAATAAATGAATAAAAAGTTTAACGAGTTGATTCTAACGAAGATTTTTTTCTCATTTTCGTTTTTCTTAAATATCTCGGAAACTAATGGCGATATCGTAATTTTTAGCTGAACCTTTTTTGGAGATCCAACTCTCCTCTTCAAAAAAGGTCATAATGAAAATCTTGCTATTTCCACTAGTTTAGGAGATATCTAACACAAACTAGGTGAATGTTCGAGAGAACTTCGTTAATTGGATCCTTTCCGCTCATCATTGTATTTCCTAAATATCTCAAAATCCAGCCGAGATACCAAAATTATCAATACAACATTTTTTGTAACTCTAACTCTCCTCTACAGAAAAGGTTATTATGAAAATCCCGCTATCTCCATTAGTTTCGGAGAAATTCAACAAAATCTAGGTGAATGTTCGATGGGACTTCCTTAGTTTTAGCCTTTCCCCTTACCACCGTATTTTCAAAATATCTCAAAATCCAGCCGAGATACCAAAATTATCAATAGAACCTTTTTTGTAGTTCTAACTCTCCTCTACAAAAAAGATCATAATGAAAATTCCGCTATCTCCATTAGTTTCGGAGAAATTCCCCAAAAACGAAATAGTCAACTTCCTTCAATTCAAACTCCCCTCCCACCCAAGCCCTTCCCGCAAATTTATTTCCCTCAACAGGAAGGGGAGCCTTCCAGAGCTGCAGTCCATTGCAAACGCCGCCTGCCAATCCTTTCAGTTCTGTCAAAAGCCAAATCCCTCCACCTCAATAAAAACAAATAAACCCTTAAAAAAAAGGACTAGATGACACGAAACTCCCCCTCCGCCATCAACCCCACATGGTGAGTCCCCCAGCCGCCCCATGAGCCTCGCATCCCCAGCCATGAAGTCCCTGAGTGATGTGAGAAGGCCAAAGGACCTGAAACGAAAACGTGATGAAAGTAATCACGACGTGCGCCTCGATAAACAATTAAAAGTCACCGATTTTGATACGAACCCTAGCATTAACCTAGACAATAATGTGGTGGAGAGTGCGGGATTTTTCGACGAGTACTGTCAGATACTGTTGAAGGACAGCAATCAGAGCCAGGGGAGTGTGATCGACGATGACCTGTTGGGTGACAAGGGCCGAGAGATGTTCAGTGAGATGAATCCCCCCCTGGAGAGGGTGCCCCTGGCGATGAGGCTGAAGGCCTGGGCTGCGAGGAACTCCGAGACCCTGAGGATTGAGGTTATCGACGATCTGCTGAACATTCTGAGGGACGAGGGCTACCTGGACCTCCCAGGGAGTGCTGTGGCCCTCATGGGGGGCGAGGGGCCCTCGGGGGCCCCCCAGGGGGGCAAGGACGACGCCCTGACCGAGGGCGAGCTCGAGAGGGTCGACGTCTGGATAAAAAAAGAGGAGTCCAGCGAGTCCATGTGGCCCAACGAGGACAACAACAGCTCCGAACCCCTGTCCCACGACGAGATCGAGGGCAATGTCAAGGGCGACGTCATCTGCCCTGACTTTGCTGTCACTGATTTCATGACTGACGACAGCCAGAAGGGGAAGGACGGACTCAGGGCCATCGCCGGGGAGCTTGGGCCCAAATTCTGCTCGATTATCAAGCTCGAGCTCCAGAAGATGGAGCAGAAGTGGGCGAGACAGCTCGAGAGCACCAAGAGGAGTCTGCTTTATGATATGGTGAGGAAGTACGAGGATCTGAAGAACAGGATTGGCATATCCACGAGGGCCCTCGGCACCGGGTTCACGGACGACAGGGAGGTTCTGGGGATCAAACTGCCGTTTTTGGATGTCGACACCTTCAGGGACTTTGACGAGGGCATTGCTGACAATCCCGAGAAGGAAATTGCTATGGTGAGGCTTGGGGGACTGAAACTGGCAGAGTATTTGTCAATTCAATTTAAGGCTCGGGTGTACTATCTTTCGAATGTCATCGGGATTTCATCTTTCGTTATCCAAAATTGACGATTGAGTGGTACATCCTGTAGAAATTCCCAAAAATTATGATAGAGTGATCAAAAAAATGGAAAAAATTCTGAACTTTTTCTACTGTTTTTTGATTATTCATTCATAATTTTTCAAAACTTCTGCATAACGCAGGACTTAATTGGCAATTTTAGATGACGAAAGATGAAGAAAAACATCGAGTTGACGTTTGAAAGACAGTACACCCGGGCCTTAATATAATGTAATTTATAGTAGTCCATTCAAATATTTCATTTGCAGAATTTTATAAATTGAAAATGGGAATAATCATCGGGATTTCTTTCATCTTTCGTTATCCAAAATTGGCGATTGAGTGGTACATCCTGTAGAAATTCCCAAAAATTATGATAGAGTGATCAAAAAAATGGAGAAAATTCTGAACTTTTTCTACTGTTTTTTGATTATTCATTCATAATTTTTCAAAACTTCTGCATAACGCAGGACTTAATTGGCAATTTTAGATGACGAAAGATGAAGAAAAACATCGAGTTGACGTTTGAAAGACAGTACACCCGGGCCTTAATATAATGTAATTTATAGTAGTCCATTCAAATATTTCATTTGCAGAATTTTATAAATTGAAAATGGGAATAATCATCGGGATTTCTTTCATCTTTCGTTATCCAAAATTGGCGATTGAGTGGTACATCCTGTAGAAATTCCCAAAAATTATGATAGAGTGATCAAAAAAATGGAGAAAATTCTGAACTTTTTCTACTGTTTTTTGATTATTCATTCATAATTTTTCAAAACTTCTGCATAACGCAGGACTTAATTGGCAATTTTAGATGACGAAAGATGAAGAAAAACATCGAGTTGACGTTTGAAAGACAGTACACCCGGGCCTTAATATAATGTAATTTATAGTAGTCCATTCAAATATTTCATTTGCAGAATTTTATAAATTGAAAATGGGAATAATCATCGGGATTTCTTTCATCTTTCGTTATCCAACATTGGCGATTGAGTGGTACATCCTGTAGAAATTCCCAAAAATTATGATAGAGTGATCAAAAAAATGGAGAAAATTCTGAACTTTTTCTACTGTTTTTTGATTATTCATTCATAATTTTTCAAAACTTCTGCATAACGCAGGACTTAATTGGCAATTTTAGATGACGAAAGATGAAGAAAAACATCGAGTTGACGTTTGAAAGACAGTACACCCGGGCCTTAATATAATGTAATTTATAGTAGTCCATTCAAATATTTCATTTGCAGAATTTTATAAATTGAAAATGGGAATAATCATCGGGATTTCTTTCATCTTTCGTTATCCAAAATTGGCGATTGAGTGGTACATCCTGTAGAAATTCCCAAAAATTATGATAGAGTGATCAAAAAAATGGAGAAAATTCTGAACTTTTTCTACTGTTTTTTGATTATTCATTCATAATTTTTCAAAACTTCTGCATAACGCAGGACTTAATTGGCAATTTTAGATGACGAAAGATGAAGAAAAACATCGAGTTGACGTTTGAAAGACAGTACACCCGGGCCTTAATATAATGTAATTTATAGTAGTCCATTCAAATATTTCATTTGCAGAATTTTATAAATTGAAAATGGGAATAATATGAGATAAAATTGCTATTATTTGAACTTTTTAAATACTAAGATGTTTGCAAAATAAATCAAGACAACAAATAATTTTTTTCTGAATTGATCTCGTTTCATAATTCAACTACTGAATTAAATAAAAAAAAATTCGCCTGATCGTGTGTTTTGTTTCCACAGAAATCACTGATGACAACGCTTTGTTTTGGAGCTACATCACTGAGCAACAGTATTGGCTGTACCTTATCAGCAATTTTGGCGAAGGACGTGCAAATGCAGTACAGTGCGTGTGGAAAGAAAATCAGGGGAATTAAAAAACTAAACTTTGGGGACACGAACACATTCAGATATTTCAAAGGTAAAAGTCACCAATTTAGCCAATATTTCCAAGGTTTAAATATCCTAACCGAAATTAAAAAATAGTAAAATAATTAACAATCTAAATTCTCAATTGATCCCTAATTAAATATTTAATCGTATGGAACTGTAAATTCTCTGCTAAGTAAATAATACTAAATTTCTTACAAGGGATTTCCGATTATCCAATCGTTAATCTTCCTAATTCAATGATTGATTAATAAATAATTCAGATTAAATTAATCAAATTAAAGATTTAAATTGATTATTTCTTCAATAATCAGCTAATTGACTACTTAATAATTTAACGGTAATTATAATTTCCGGATATGGCTACCCCTGCAGAGAATTAACCCAAATAATACTCAATTTCAAATCAAAAAACGTTTTTCACCTGTGAAAATTTCGCTCTGTGAACGAAAAATAAAAAATTCTGGAGCTTGTCTCCTCTCCCGTTTCACCAATTAATTAAAAAAAATCATTCTCCAGACGTTTTGAGAGAGAAGCATGGCACGAGTGACGCAGAAATAGTCTCAAAAACCAGTCGTTGGTTCACTGGAGCAGGAGATCGTGACGGAGGCAGAAAAGAGCGACGAAAATGAACGAAAATCCCACCTCCGAGATTAATCGACAGCCTCAACGCTAATTACTAAGCCATTTTTTGTAGAAAAACGACAAAACAATAAAAAAAATACGGACCTTGTACAGAATAAAATATTTTATTTAGGCGATTTTCATACTCTCTGTACATTTAAGTGTAGCTTCGATGCGCTGAACCAACTGCTCGACTTTTCCATCGGAAAAAATAACATCACATATGTTCTTCTCCTTCGCGTCCTTCATTAAACTAATTAGCACAGACTTGGCTCGATGCACGTCGAACAGAGTGTGATTCACCCCCAGCTGCCAGGTGTCGAAGCTGACGCAGGATTTTCGGGTCTTCAGGGCGTCCAGACGTCTCTCGATTATGAAAGACAGAAACTGGTAGAATTGAGTGTAGTCCATGCCGTGTGATGCCTTCAGAATCAACTGGCATTGCGAGGGCCAGTTGTCCATGTTGCTGCAGTCGTCGATTTCCTTCATTACAGCTACTAGTGCCTTCTTCAATTCCCGCCAGATGTTCCATATGTTACAGCCGTTTATCCAGTTGTGATTTATCGAAATTGTGTCTTCCTGGTGGTTAAATTAAGTGAATTGTCTCTGGGGAAATTTCAGGGGAATGGGAATTTCGTGATTGAAAAGAAAAATCTCTCGATATTTTGTCGTGAAGTGATTAAGGGATTAATCAATTTTAAATAAACCAAATTAATGAGTAAAAATTAAGGAAATTAATTTTTTATGAAAAAAAAATTGATGAACCAATTTATTTATGAATAAAGACTGTTTAGTAATTGTTAATTAAAGAATCAACAATTAATCAAACAAATTAATTAATTAATTAATTGTGAATTGTACCATTTTAATGGAAAATATCAAGAATCATTCCTCTACTCCCTAAAATTTTCTAGAAAAGTAAATGTTAATTTCCTTGAAAGCAAAATTCTTTGTATTATCTGTCAGGGAATGTCATGGATTTTTTTTTCTTACGAATTCCATAATTTCCAAAAATATTCTCTTGATATTTTGTGATGAAATGAAAATAAGTGAGTGATTAATAAAAGAGACATAGAACGAATTAAATAAAAAATCATTTAAATAATTTGAAAAATCGAAGATTAATTAATGGAAATAATGATTTCTGAGTAATTACCAGGTTCCAAACTTGGTGATGCCATCCGGAAGGTACGAACACAATTTCTCCAGGTCCCTGAACTATTTCTAATGACTTATTCGATTGGTTTAAGGGTAAGTTATTGTCTGGGGAGGCGATGTCATAGGGTAGGTGTCCACGAGCATCACAAAGATTGTCTTCCTCGCCTGGAGGGAACAGCAGCCAACGTTTCTTTCCTACTATGTTGGCAGACCAGCTGTATGATGCGAATACGTCGACGTGCAGAGGCGTCCTAATAAATCATGTCCATATTTTTTTATTATGAATAAAAAAAAATAACAGGAAAAAATTGACAATAGAATTGGTCACAAAATGAAATTAAAAATAGAATTAAATAGAAAAACAAATGATATATAAGTTTTTCGTCTTTAATTCTGTAATGAAAAACAAAAAAACAAATTTAGAAAAAATTAAACCCGAGAATTTCTGTTGAAATTACCAAGAGAAAAATTTCTATTCATTTTCTCTTGTTATAATAGATGTTTTTTCACAGAAAAAAATCAATAGATGGTTTTTTAATATTTTTAGATTAAAAACAGCAAACAGAAGTTTTCTGTCTTTAATTAATTTAATCATTTTTTTGTCTTTAAGTAGTTTTAATTAATTTTTTAATGAAAATGGAAAAAAACAGCAGAATAAAATGAATAAAATAAACTTAAAAAAATTTCGATAAAATTCTCTTGACATTTGGTGAATTAGTGAAGTTCTTAAATCGAATTTAAGAAGTTTATTAAATGAAATTGTGATTACCAAGATCCTTTAGGCCCCATATAAATGAACATGTAATCATCCTCGAGTTGAGGATGAGCGAGGTAGTATTCATTAAGCCAATCAGAGCCGAAGTACTTGGGCACCTTGTAGATCTTGGCATTGGGATGATCTCTCAGGCAGTGCCAGTCCTTCAAGTACAACAGGGGCATCTCACAGGGGTAATTATTGTTCCTATACTCCTGCCAATAATCTACGAATTTCTCTATTTTCATTGTCTCCTTTAATTGAGCATTGTAATATTTTATGCCACAGTTAGCTACAGGTACTTTGGATTCTCCTGCAATTAAATTAATTCTACAATTATTTTGCTAATAATTTTGCGAAGGGCTTCATTTGTAATGTTTTTACGAAATTAATTGCTTGAGAATTCTTAAATTGAAAGGGGGATAAAAAATTGGCTTTATTCAATCTTTAATATCTTCTGAACAAATGATGCGATTTTAATCAGTCAAAGCTCATTTTGAAGACGAATAAAAAACCTTGAAAGTGAAAAAAAATCGTGGAAATTCACTCAGCCAATCCCGGGTTATTAAACATGGAAATCCCATTTTAAGGTTTTTAGTAATTGAAAATCAATCTTATTCAATCTCCAATATCTTTTAAACAAACGATGCGATTTGCAAAAGTCGCATCTCATTCCAAAGACGACTAAAAGCCCTTCAAAATGAAAAAAAAATCGGGAAAATTCACTCTGCCAATCCCGCGATATCGAGCGCTGAATGTCGATTAATTATTGAAGATCATTAAAAATGTGGAGTAATTACCGTATAATTGTTTCAGACATTTAAAATTTGGCGCTCCATCGACTCGCCACTGTTGCGCACACGGCCACTCATTAGTAATTCCCGATTGAATGACACAAGGCAAATTTGGCAGAAGATGCTCGGAAAAAAAATCATCATACGTTAAGGAAGAGTCAACACTTCGATAATTCTGAATTACAGAGACATTGTCACACTTGTTCCACTTTTTGGGGCTTTTTTCATCGATCTCGATAACCTCCATCCTCCCAGCTGATCCCACATTTTTGGGGGACTGGAGGGACCGCCCAGAAAGTCCCTAGATCCCGGATAGGGACCTTGAACCTCATCATGTTCGTGTGTTTACATTTTTTCTCGTCGTGGAGTTATTTTCGTCAGACACCTGAGTTTTTATTTACAAATACAGGGGTTTGTGCTCCGAAAAGTTGTTGTTGTCATTTTTGAGTGATTTTTTGGTGATTGCTGGGAGAAAAGGGGAGTCAAAATGGGCGGAGGCGATTTGGTGAGTGAAAAATTGTAGAAAAGTCGATGAAAGTCGGGAGATTCAATGGGAATAAGGAAATAACCTCGAAAAATCGCTTTTTAATTATTTAGTTTTCAGTTGAATTATTTGGTATCAATAATTTATTTACGATTGGCGACTTTATTGAGTGATAATGACGAGTATTTTGCTTTCAAAGCTTGTTGAGATCAAGAACTGAAAAAAAAATTAAAATTCACTTAACAATAATTTTTTAACCATTTATGGTACAATTCTACTATTTTTAATGAGTTATTGAGTCATGATTTATCATTTTATGATTTGCTAATGATAAATTTTTGTTTTTAGAGCTTCTAAAAAATTGTTAAAAATTTATTGAAACCAAGAATTGAAAAAAAAATCAAAATTAACGTTAAAATCATTTTTAATAATTTTTTAACAATTTAAGTTACAATTCTACTATTTTTAATGAGTCATTGAGTAATTCTATTAATTGATACTAATGAATATTTAGTTTTTAGAACTTGTGACAATTATTTAAAAAATTGTTTGAAATCAATAATGAAAAAAAAATATCGAAATTGACTTGAAAATAATTTTTCAACAATCTAAATTACAATTCTACTATTTTTTATGAATAATTCAGTCGTGATTCATCATTTCATCAATTGTTTAAACAACAAATTTAAATTGACTCAATTTAAATTAAAATTATTCACAATGCTCAATTAATTTACAACTGATAAACCTATTAATTAAAAACAATCAACATTATTGTCTCCAGAACTTGAAGAAGTCCTGGCACCCCTCGACGATGAAGAACATGGAGAAGGTGTGGAAGGCTGAGCAGCAGGACAGCCGAGAGAAGAGGAAGATAGCTGAGTTGAAACGAGACATTGAAATGGAGAAGGACAGAGAGGACATGACGAAGTACGCGATGCAGCAGGGGGTGATTGCCAAGAAGGACGATAAAAAACTGGACTGGATGTACAAGGGACCCAACCAGGGGATCAACAGGGAGGATTATCTCACTGGAAAGGCCATTGATAAGACGTTCGAGCAGCAGGCACAGGCGGAGAGAGATGCCGAGAGGAACAGAATGCCTAGCAATCATGTTGAATATGGTTTGTTGTTTTTTTTTCTTAAGGATAGTATCTTTCAGTTTGGTAGAGACCACGCTGCAGATTCAACCATTTTCAATCATCAAATTTGTCCATTAAATTGCGTGAGAACAGTTTTGTAAAAATCATGTCATTAAAATTAAGTTTTGCACTTTTTTTAAGGAGTTATTGAGTCGTGATTTATCATTTTATCGATTGATAATAATGAATTTTGCTTTTAAAAATTGTGACAAATTATTTAAAAAATTTATTGAAATCAAAAACTGAAAAAAATGTTGAAATTCACTTGATAATCATTTTTCAACAATTTAAGTTACGATTCTACTATTTTCAATGAATAATTTAGACATGATTTATCATTTTATTAATTGATAACTGCAGATTCAGCCATTTTCAATCATCAAATTTGTCAATTAAATTGCGTGAGAACAATTTTGAAAAAATCATGAATATTTAGTGCCATTTTGCACAGAATTATTTTTTAAAATGATAATTCGTTGTTTATAGACAAATAATTGAAATTGTTTAAACTTTCCGAAATCTAATTTTTTTAGGGATTAAATCGAATTCTCCTAAAATTCTGAATATGAATAAATTTTTTACGATTCCGAACAAATGATTTTTATGATGAAAAATATATTGTTCATAAATTATTTATAAAGTGTCTCATAGTTATTGGCCTCTGAAGTCATTAGTTGATTTGAGGTGATGAAAATTTTTAAAAATTCGGTCGAAATCTTCTCTGCAACATAAATTATTTATCGAAAATGCTCGTAATTTTGCAAATTGGAATTTTTAAATTATTTCATCAATCTTCTTCCAAAAAAAAGGCTTGCCAATTTTTTTTCAGATTTTTAAAATATTTTTTAAAGGTTCAATATCGAGATTTAAATTGAGCCCTGCAAAATTTAAACAATAGCATTTCAATAAAGCATTTCACTGGAGAGAAAATAGCTAAATTCAACTGGATAAATGTGATTTAAAAAATCTCATTAATTGTCATCACTCTTTATAATCTTTTTTTATCAGTCCAATTGATATTTGAAGCATTCACAGATTCAATTGTTGTTGAAATAGTTTTTTTTTCATTCCAGAATGTGTCCCACCTTCATTGAGATTTTTTTCTGGCAACGAGCAAGTGGATTTGCAGAAGAAACTCCAGGAGGACCCGTTGTACGCCATAAAGAAGAAGGAAATGGAGTCGAGGACGCAGTTATTGAAGAATCCAGTGAAACTCAAGCAGCTGAAGGAATTAGTTGTGAGTACAAGTCCCTAATAATTTCCTCTATCGAAAATTTATTGAAATTTTATGTTTTATGTTCGTATTTTAATGAGAGTATGTATATATTATAACATGGAATCATATGTATTAGGTGTATAACTTAATCTTTCCCTTTTTTTTCATTGAGTGCGGTGTCTCATTCGATAGATAGATTAAGTTATACAGCTAACAATATATCTGCGAATAGGACTCGAGAAGGAATAGGACTCGAGAAAAATGCAAAAAACGTCAGGAAATCGAACTTTAATTCACTTCGTGTCCCTCGAATCTCTCAAAAATCAGCTAGAATTATTCCCTCTACATTAATTCTAGAGCAAAAGGAGGAGAAGTCCAGAGCCATCGTCCTCGAAGCACCACAAGTCGTCGAAACACCACAAGGACTCCCACAAATCCAAGAAAGACGATGGTAAACATCATTCGAAGAAGAAAGTGAAGCTCTCCGATGAGGAAAAAGAGAAAAGACTCAAGGAGATGCTGGCCAATGCCTCCTGGCGGGACAAGGAGCGAGCGAAAAATGTCAAGAGGTATCGGGATCAGGATAAGAAGGAGCAGAAGAGTAAATCGTACGACAAGGACTTCATCAGGTAAAAATTTTAAAAATTTCTAATAAAAATATAATAAAATAATTCATTTCGAGACTCCAAATACAAAAATATTTTTTTTCTCATTACTAGAAAAATTCCCTCTTGATAATATGAAGAGAAAAAAATATTATTTTTTTAAAAATTATTTTGTCATTATTTTACCTTTTTTTAAAAATCTGTTATTATGAAAATAATTTCAAGATGTGGAAATTATTTTATTAATTCTTTAAACAATCAATCATTATTCAATATGAATAATTATTTTTTATATAATTTTTTCAGGAAACATCTGGTGAAGGCGACAGAAGTGGAGACCGTAGCCTCCCGGATAAAATCGAACATAAATAATATTCAAAGATCTGGACGTGCAATGGACACAAATTTCGCCAGGCGGTAGCGACAGCACTAAAGGTCTCAAATGAATCAATTACAGAATTTTTTATTTTTTACGATAGAATCACTGAGATTTTACTTGATATCAATTTACAATAACGACATGAAGGAATGAACAAGACACGCAATAAATGGATTGACGAGGGAATATCACGTCATCAAGATTCATTCGTCAATTGTTAATTATTAGAATCTCGCGGGCTGCATCTGACAATTTTAAAACAATTCGTTTCCCTCAGAACAGGAAATTGAAGTAAATTCATTCATCCATTTTCAAAACTGAAATATTAATCGTTTGCGAAGGATCTTCAGACATTTTACAATTATAAAATAACTTAAATTGTTATTTAACGTGCGTTAAGAGTTCAAAGTTTATGAATTAATTTCGTTCATTTCCTCAAGCCCATCTGCAATTCGAAAAAATTTCCTGCAGCTTTCGCAGGTTCATAATTAAATAATGAATGATTGAAGGAAATTATCGTCAATTCACGTCAAAAAAATTATCGTCAATTAGACACTCGAAAAATTATAAGAAATGAATTGAAATTGAATGCATGTCAAGTCCTTCGACGGGGAAAGCTCATGTCGTCATGACTCATTCGTCACTCTAGAGTCCAGACGTCTGAGAAATTCTAGTTTTTATGATGTCAACAATTGCATTCATTTCTCCCTCAATTCTTTTGTTCATTACTCTACGTTTCACCTTTCTTTCTTACCTAAACCCTCACCCTTGGCCCCGACTCCGTCGAAGGCATTCGATTCACCTAATTACTGGGTATCCTCCAGCAGGTATGTGACTCCCAGGTTCAACCAATCACCCTCCCCCTCCCCTCTCCCCTCTGTCCATTCCCAAAACACGAAAACGAAACTTTAGTTCCTTCCGACTTAAACAGAATTAATTGAACTCTCTGAACAGTCACATCTACCTCTAGAAAATATTCTGTTCGTTTTCCTGTCGAATTTGGAATAAATCTGTTCTGCTATAAGTTGAAGTGTTATGTCTAGGCTAATTCTCCAATTATTAGAACCTCGCCAGCGGCATTTGACAATTTTAAAACACAATTCGTTGCTTTCGGAAGAGGGGATTGAAGCAAATTCATTCATTCATTTTTAAGATTTTGAAATATTAATTGTTTGGGAAAGACATATTCAGAGATTTTACAGTTTAACTCGTTTCCTTAAAACCATCTGCAATTCGAAAAAATTTCCTGCAACTTTTGCTAGTTTATAATTGAATAGTAAATTATTGAAGAGAATTATCAATTAAAGCATTGAACAATCGAAAAAATATTGAACATTAGTTAATTTTCCTTCAAATTGGAGAAAACACTAAATTATCGGTAATTAATATATTAGACAATCAAAAAATTAATGAACATTAGTTAATTTTCCTTCAAATTGAAGAACATTCATTGAATTATCATCAATCAAAGTATTAGATAATCAAAAAATTAGTAAACATTAGTGAATTTTCCTTCAAATTTAAGAAAATTCATTAAATTATCGGCAATTAAAGCATTAGCTAATTAAAAAATTAATAAACATTAGCTAATTTTCCTTCCAATTAGAGAAAACATTAAATTATCGGTAATTAATGCATTAGACAATCAAAAAATTGATAAATATTAACTAATTTTCCTTCAAATTTAAGAAAATTCATTGAATTATCATCAATCCAAGTATTAGATACTCAAAAAATTAGTAAACATTAGCTAATTTTCCTTCAAATTGAAGAAAATTCATTGAATTATCATCAATCAAAGTATTAGATAATTAAAAAATTAGTAAACATTACTGAATTTTCCTTCAAATTTAAGAAAATTCATTAAATTATCGCCAATTAAAGCATTAGATAATCAAAAAATTAATAAACATTAGCTAATTTTCCTTCCAATTAGAGAAAACATTAAATTATCGGTAATTAATGCATTAGATAATCAAAAAATTAATAAACATTAGTTAATTTTCCTTCAAATTGAAGAAAATTCATTGAATTATCATCAATCAAAGTATTAGATAATCAAAAAATTAGTAAACATTAGTTAATTTTTCTTCAAATTTAAGAAAACATCAAATTATCGTCAATTAAAGCATTAGATAATCAAAAAATTAATAAACATTAGTTAATTTTCCTTCAAATTGAAGAAAATTCATTGAATTATCATCAATCAAAGTATTAGATAATCAAAAAATTAGTAAACATTAGTTAATATTCCTTCAAATTGGAGAAAATTCCTCAAAATCCTCGGCAATTTCCACTGCTTCATTACTGAATAAAAAACAAACCACGAAAATAATTCTCAATCAACTGCGATTGATCTGTTGCTCTCATAATCCTGCGACAAAACCGCAGGAAAATTAATCAAAATAAAAAATAAATTTGCAACTGCTGTTTATCGCGATGACAGACTGCGACGAAATATACGAAACAAAGGCAAAAGTGATAAAGCACAGTTTCAAGTGGATCATCCACGACTTTTCCGAGATAATCGACAAACCGGGTAGCCTTCAGTCCAGGTTCAGCGTGCCTGGGTATCCCCTGCGGGGGCACCTGGACCTTTTTCCTCTGAGTGCAAACGGCAGCATCGTTTCGGGGATTAACGACGTCGAGTGTTTGGACCTGGATATCCACGCACACATCGAAGATGACGCTGTGCACAGTGACATCGAGGTGTCTGTCGTCAATTCTGAGGGGGTGAAGTGCATGACGACGAAGAAAATTATTACTTCACAGGTTGGTTCCCATGATTATTTGAGAAATAAGAGGCATTTAGTAATTTATTTAAAGGAGGAATTGATGAAATTATTTAATGAAATTGGAAGAACCTAGCGCTTTCATCAAGGAATTTTATTGAATTTCTGCTGCACCTCTATAAAAATTATATTACGATTAATTAATTTACATAATAAATTAATCATAAAATTCAATTAATTATAATAGTTTTTTTATTATTAATTTATTATTTAAATTAATCATAAAAATTCTGTTACAATTTTGTTAAATCAGTGTATTGTTTTTGCGCCCATTCTGTTCAAGATTATTTAACATTAAGAAATGCTAAAATTTTTTAATAGAATTTTTATGAATTCCCATTAGAAATTCCTGAGTCTGCTGAGTACATTTTCTATAGACAACTCCTCAACATGAATTTTCCAAGTTTTTTCCACTCTTTTCCCTTAAAAAAAATCAAATTTCGTATATTTGAGCCGAAGAATTTCTATAGAAAAATATCTCTATAGAATTCTATAGAAGTCCTATAAAAAGATGAATGATCAATCAAAAACAATCAGAAATGTCAAGAAAATTCCAGTAGAAAAGCAATAGAATTTCTCGGAGAGCGCAAAATTCTTCCACAATGAGTCGATTTTGGTCATTCATCAGTTTTCAATAAATATCTCGAAATCTAAGGCAAATTCCAAAATTTTCGTTAGAACCTTATTTGTAGCCCTCAATTCGCCCCACAAAAAAGGTCTCTATAAAAATTTCGATATCTCCCTTAGATTCGGCGACATTCTTCGAGAGCTCAGCTAGGAGCCAAGTCGACTCGAACGTTTTGCCTCTTCGCTGATGAAATCCGTTATAAAATCCGTTATAAATTCGTTTTTTGTCACCGGTTCATTCGGATATATATATAATCCGGTTTATTCGGATTATTTTGTTTCGGATATATTCTTTTTTTCTAAATACAATAAAACTAAATGAAAAATCGTATTATAGCGCCACATGCAAAAGCATCTCTAGTCACAAAAATATCGTGACCAAAAATCTGTTATTCACAGGTGCGTTTCACCCTACCCTTCAGCCACAAGCTGATCGCAAAGGACAAGACACTTCTCCCCGGTAACTCTCTGACCCTCTGTTTTGCGATAAGCGTCACCACTGATGTCTCCACGAATCGTCGAGAGAACCCCAGCGGCATGTCTCCGCTGGAGAGCAGCTTCGAGGCTGACATGGAGAAGCTGTTCAACAATCCCAAGTTCTCCGACGTAACTATAGCAGTTGGAGACCGTAAATTTTCGGCGCTGAAGGCTATTCTGGCTGCTCGCAGCTCAGTATTCGCTTCCATCTTCGAACAGGACGAGAACGAGGAGGAGAACAGCATTGAGATCACGGATTTGACTGGAGACGTCTTCGAGGAGGTCCTCTACTTCATCTACACCGATCGAGTGAGGAGTCTGGAGGCCATGAGGGACGACCTTCTCTTCGCAGGGTGGAAGTACGATTTGAGGCGGCTGGTGCAGCTGACGGGGCACGCGTTGCTGAAGGATCTCACTACGGAAAATGTCGCGGAGAGACTGCTACTTGCTCATCGGTATCAGCTCGAGGGGGTCAAGAACTCCGTCATCAGGTTCATCAAGGGACAGGTCAAGGCTGTCGTGCAGACCGAGGGGTATAGGACGCTCACCGAGGCGAATTGCAGTTTAGCTTTGGAAATTTTTCAGACTATGGCACTTGAGTGAAATTTTAGGCAACTTAAAGTCATTCAATTCCACGAGATTGATTCAATTTAGATATAAGTCAGTAGATTGATTTTTTATGGAAATTATTTTGCATGAATTTTTGATAGAATTGATGCAACAAATTCTAAAAAATTGTGTAGAACGCTAATTAAATTTTTTAATTAATTCAATTTGTCAGCTTTTTGAATTCCCGACTTACATTGATGTACTAATCGAAATTGAAAAATAGTAAAATAATTGATAATCTAAATTTTCTATTTATGAGGAATTAAATATTTTATAATATGGAACTGGCAATTTTTTATTAAATAAATAATACTAAATAGCTTATAGGGGATTTTCAATTATCAAAATAACCGTCAATCTTCCTAACTAAACTACTGATTAATAAATAATTCGGCATTTCAATATTTAAATTGATAATGACTTTAATAATTAAAGACCGAGGGGTATAGGACGCTCACCGAGGCGAATTGCAGTTTAGCTTTGGAAATTTTTCAGACTATGGCACTTGAGTGAAATTTTAGGCAACTTAAAGTCATTCAATTCCACGAGATTGATTCAATTTAGATATAAGTCAGTAGATTGATTTTTTATGGAAATTATTTTGCATGAATTTTTGATAGAATTGATGCAAGAAATTCTAAAAAATTGTGTAGAACGCTAATTAAAATTTTTAATTAATTCAATTTGTCAGCTTTTTGAATTCCCGACTTACATTGATGTACTAATCGAAATTGAAAAATAGTAAAATAATTGATAATCTAAATTTTCTATTTATGAGGAATTAAATATTTTATAATATGGAACTGGCAATTTTTTATTAAATAAATAATACTAAATAGCTTATAGGGGATTTTCAATTATCAAAATAACCGTCAATCTTCCTAACTAAACTACTGATTAATAAATAATTCGGCATTTCAATATTTAAATTGATAATGACTTTAATAATTAAAGACCGAGGGGTATAGGACGCTCACCGAGGCGAATTGCAGTTTAGCTTTGGAAATTCTTCAGACTATGGCACTTGAGTGAAATTTTAGGCAACTTAAAGTCATTCAATTCCACGAGATTGATTCAATTTAGATATAAGTCAGTAGATTGATTTTTTATGGAAATTATTTTGCATGAATTTTTGATAGAATTGATGCAAGAAATTCTAAAAAATTGTGTAGAACGCTAATTAAAATTTTTAATTAATTCAATTTGTCAGCTTTTTGAATTCCCGACTTACATTGATGTACTAATCGAAATTGAAAAATAGTAAAATAATTGATAATCTAAATTTTTAATTCATGATAAATTAAATATTTTCAATATGGAACTGTAAATTTTTTATTCTGTAAATAATACTAAATTTTTTATAAGCGATTTTCGAGCATCCAAATAATCGTCAATCTTCATAACTAAATTACTGATTAATAAATAATTCCAAAGTTGAATATTTAAATTGATAATGACTTCAATAATTGAAATTTGAGAGTAATAACGAATTGACTACTCAATCATTTAACGGTAATTATAATTTATGGCCATGGCTATCCCCGCCTCCAGCTAAAAATACTCTACTCCCAAATCATGAAGAGCCCAGAACAATCATGATTTTTCAACACAGGAATTTTTAACTACTCGTTAGGAAAGGAGAGGAGAATCTTCAATAAAACTTCTCTCTAGATCATATATTTATAATTCTGTTATCAATATAGAGAACAATTCATACCTCAACAAGTCCAACGAATCTCACCCCCTTGAAACATCCGACATATTGGAACTACAAACATCGGATTGTCAACATGTAATTAACTAAATTCAATCGCCTGTTCAATGAGGAATTCATCGAGTAGTCTAGCGGTTTCAATCTGTACAGATAATCGCTACGAGAACACTTATGTACGAAATTATTACACCGGAAATTCATTTAAAAAATCGATCATTTCAGAATTGATCGAAGATTCGTCCGCCGATCCAGACAATGAATTTTAATTAGGTTCATTATGACGGATGGTATCCAATTTTCAGCCGTTGTGGTCCGTCTCTAGAAACAGAAACAGGAAAATAAACTTAATATTGTGCACACGATTTTTTCAACATTTGACCCATTCATAAATAATATTCCAAGTACTCATTTGGTGTATTCATTATTCTGGGGGGACATTTTTATTATCTGTATTTCGTCGATACACTGGCTGAACATTCAGTATCTCACGATAAAGCACCTCATCAAGACTCCCAAATTACTTATGAATGGTACTTGACCCTTTATCAGTGGTTAAATCTCGTTAGCACGTGACTCTTGTATATATATCTTAAAAATAATTTTATAGCATATCACGTCACGTATGGAAAAATTCAATAGCATCAAAGTTCTATTTTTAAACATTCATTGAACTTTGATTTTTGCTTGGTTCAAATTTTTCTGTAGATTTCTATAGAATTTCTATAGATTTTTTTTATATATTTTCGGACTTCGATCGATTGATATAGAGTTTCTATAGATTTTTGGATATAAATTTTCAAGTTCTATAGATTTCTATAGAATGCCAATAGAATTTTTTATAGAACTTCTACAGATTTCTATAGAATGATGGAGTATATATTTTCAGAATTTTCTACATGTCTCTATAGGAATTTATAGAATTTCTGTAGAATTTTGAACAGATTTTCGGGGTTCTATAGAGTCATATAGCGTTTCTATAGACTTCTAGGATATAAAATTTCAGTTTCTATAGACTTTTGGATATAAATTTTCAAGTTCTATAGATTTCTATAGAATTCCAATAGAATTATTAATTTTTATAGAACTTCTCCTTATTTCTATAGAATGATGGAGTCGACGATGAATGATGTAAATGGATTTTCAGAATTTTCCACATGTCTCTATAGGAATTTATGGAATTTCTGTAGAATTTTGAACAGATTTTCGGGGTTCTATAGAGTCATATAGCGTTTCTATAGACTTCTTGGATATAAAATTTCAGTTTCTATAGACTTTTGGATATAAATTTTCAAGTTCTATAGATTTCTATAGAATTCCAATAGAATTATTAATTTTTATAGAACTTCTCCTTATTTCTATAGAATGATGGAGTCGACGATGAATGATGTAAATGGATTTTCAGAATTTTCCACATGTCTCTATAGGAATTTATGGAATTTCTGTAGAATTTTGAACAGATTTTCGGGGTTCTATAGAGTCATATAGCGTTTCTATAGACTTCTTGGATATAAAATTTCAGTTTCTATAGACTTTTGGATATAAATTTTCAAGTTCTATAGATTTCTATAGAATTCCAATAGAATTATTAATTTTTATAGAACTTCTCCTTATTTCTATAGAATGATGGAGTCGACGATGAATGATGTAAATGGATTTTCAGAATTTTCCACATGTCTCTATAGGAATTTATGGAATTTCTGTAGAATTTTGAACAGATTTTCGGGGTTCTATAGAGTCATATAGCGTTTCTATAGACTTCTAGGATATAAAATTTCAGTTTCTATAGACTTTTGGATATAAATTTTCAAGTTCTATAGATTTCTATAGAATTCCAATAGAATTATTAATTTTTATAGAACTTCTCCTTATTTCTATAGAATGATGGAGTCGACGATGAATGATGTAAATGGATTTTCAGAATTTTCCACATGTCTCTATAGGAATTTATGGAATTTCTGTAGAATTTTGAACAGATTTTCGGGGTTCTATAGAGTCATATAGCGTTTCTATAGACTTCTTGGATATAAAATTTCAGTTTCTATAGATTTATATAGTGTCAATAGAATTATGGAGTATATATTCTCGGATTTTCCCATATCTCGACAAGATTTCTATAGAATTCCGGGGCATAATTCTTCAGCTTTCTATAGACTTCTATAAAATTCTTCTGCAAAAATTTTCCGATTTTGAAACAATATTCTTTAGTACAAAATTCAAGAGAAAAAATAGAATTTTCATGCGCAAGAATTTGTATAGAACAATAGCGATATAATTTCTATAGAAATTATAGAAGTTGAGATTTTTTTTCTATAGAATTGCTCAGGATTAACTTGTCAATTTTTTTTGCTCCAATTTTTCTATAGCAAAACCAAAAAATTCAGTGAAAAAACCTAGAGATTTCTATAGAAAACAGGAATTCTTTCAATTTTTAAAATAGAATTTTTCTACTAGATCCCGAATTTTCCAATAAGAGTAGAAAAAACGTGAAAAAATTATGTCGAGAATTTCTATAGAAAATAGTTCAATAGAAAAAAAATTCTATAGAAAACCGAAAATCGACCAATTTTTTTCAATTAAAATATTTCCATCATATTCAGAAATTTTTTCGTAGATTTGGGGAAAAAATCAATGGAATAGTCTATTGAGTTTTTTCGTACGTGATCATCAACGATTTATCCTCTATTTTTTCTCGACTTCTTTTATTGACTAGACTTTATCATTTGGCATTATTCAAATTTGGGAGCACACTTCATGAGGTTTACATAAGCGAAACATCAATTATATATCTGATTGTCTAACGAGATTTAATTGCACTTCATTAATTCTATTTAATGGAAATAAACATGCCTCTCCAACGCGTCTGAATGGAGATAAAAATAATAGTGCAATGGTATTTCAATTGGAAATGACATGCAATGGTGATGTGCTAGGAGCGATTATTTCAGCTTCTTCGGTACTTCTTTTGTGCATTAACAGTTTATTCGGATTTACGGTGAGATTCAATTCTCAATGTTTCAGTTGTTCGCATTCTTGGACCCAAATTTCAGTGAGAGAACCCCTTTCGAAGGCTGACAAATGATTTTTGTGGGAATACGAGTGAAAAAAACATCTATAGAAAATCGAACGAATTCCCATGAAATTCTGTTGGAATTTCACCAGAATTTTCATTAGTTTTTTTGTTGATATCTATTGACAATTTTGCAGTCATTTCACGTGATTTAAAGTCAGATATTTGAGGGAACGAAAGTTTACAGATTTTTATTGTTTTACGCAATAATTGATGTTTAGATTTTTATATAGAAATTCTTGGGCAGAAATTTTATAATTTTTCCACTGTATTTTATCTTGTTATTCGTCACAAAATTCCAGGAATTATCGTAGAAATATCTCAACAGAATGAGAAAGTAAAAAATGTATATGTATTGACTTTTTCTATTAAAAAATGTTTTTTTCTATTTAAAAAACCTTTTTTTTATTTAAAAAAAACTGATAAAACTGCAGATTTTTCAATAAAAATTCGCAAAAAATATAATTCCAATCTTCTAGGGAATTCTTTCGATTTTCTATCCAATTTTTTCACCCACGAAACCATCGAGTTATTTTCTATTTTTTGATTGAAAGACATTCCGTTTTTTTTACGACTGAATATCAAATAAATTTGTAGATTAGGCCGATTCTATTTGATTTCATATTCCTCAGATACTCTGATACTCAGGTACTCTCTCCAAATAAACATTTCCGCAGAAAATAACAACTTCGGCAATGAGAATGCGGTTCATATGCCGTTGACGGGACGACGACAAAATTATTATTTTCCCTTCTCAGGAGTTTAGCAGTCAAGTGGTTTTGAAACTCCTGTTTGTACTATCGGTTGAATAAAATTCTCGTGGGGATCCAATAATCCTCCCTCGACTCTGGAAATATTAACAACGAATAGTTCGTGAATTTTCAAACTTTCGAAAGACAAATTTGCAGTCGATGTTGTCAGGATTTTTGTGCAATTCGTCAACAAATTCGTTCATATCGTCAACTTGAAAAAAAAAAATTTAAAGAGTCCTCCAGGCAGAAATGATGGAGTAGAAAATAGAGTTGCATAGAAATTTAGAGGTATGATTCGGAAAACTCAAAATCAGATGCAGATGCACGTGAGGACCTCGTATAAACTGATATACCCCCACCAATGGCACTATCTGATGTTCCCTCGCCTGTTACGAAATCAGCTACTATCAATGAGTCCTTAGGCATGTGGCCTGTACCTCCTCGCGATGCGTCTCGCTCTGCTAGACGCTGTTTTAATACTTTTATTTTTTCTTCTTTCTGGAACAAAATTAGACAGAACAAAAATTTTTTTAATATTCCTCAGGTTGAAATTTATTTTTTAATTTAATTTTCGTATTTGTTGTCATTTTTCACTCGATATTTTTTTTATATTTTGTAAATATATATATTATATATTATCATTGTTATATTATTATTATTATTATTGTATAATATGTACAATATAATAATATATAATATTATATAATAATAATAATAATAATATAACAATGCTAATATATAATATATTTACAATATTTACAAAAATATAAAAAAATATCGAGTGAAAAACGACAGCAAAGACGAAAATTAAATTAAAAAATAAACTTCAACTTTATTATATATTATTATTATTATATTATATATAATATTATTATATTATATATTATATTATGTTAGAATATAATATATAAAATAATATAAACTCAAGGGATAAATTAATACACAAGAATAATTCGAGTATTCATTAATAAATCTCTCTACAAAATTGCATAATTATAATAAAAAAAATAATTACATAAATAAATGAATGAATAAATGAAAAAATGAAAACATAAACAAAAAAAAATACATAAATAAATAAATTTGTGTCATAAAATTCTTTCAAAAACTCAGAGAAAATTTAACACCTGGGCAATGAGTTTCTGCAGTTCATCATTCTCCACCACAAGTTTCTGATACCTCTCCTCGTCCTCCTTGGACATTCCCACATCCGGATTATACTTAGATTCAGCCTTATCCTTGGGATGCCGGATGACTTCAATGACTTTAGGCACGAAAATGAGGGCCATGCTGAGAAAGCAACAGAATATTATAGCCAGAGCCACGAATGTGAAGCTCGCGTCCTGCTGGCTCGCTATGACCATCGTCACCGGGGCTGTTATCAGGCACAGCACAACGACATTGTAAATTGACATTCCCACGTAACGCGAATCGTTGATCTGCTTTACTTTTATACTGCGAGTTTCGTAGGCGAGAAACAGTCCGAATACGAGGACAACCCCTTTGTATCCGTAAATTAAGCCTGTGGGGATGAAAGATTATAAAATAAAAAAATACATTAAATATATTAGATATATATATATTCAATATATTATAAAATTATAAAATTCTATTCGTGTTGTAAATATTTGAATGACAATGCGATTTATGAAAAAATGAACGGGTGATGACATAAAATGAATAAATGTTTTTATTATTATATTTTAATCTCATACAAGAGAAATATTGAAATTAATAAACATTATGGACAATTTAGTAATTTAATAGTATAATATTTATCTTAATAGCTGGATTAAGTATTCAATAAGGGAAAGAAACAAAAAGACTCGAGAGGATATACATGTGACTAAATAAAATTATATTTTTTTTAATGAAAAAAAAACGAAATAAAAATAAATAAAAATAATAAAAAAATAATGTAAATAATATAATAATATAAATAATATATTAATAATATATTATTTATATTATATTATAATGTAATTAAGATAAATATTATAGGATTAAATCACTAAATTGTACATAATGTTTATTAATTACAACATTTCTCTTTATGAAATTAAACTATAATAATAAAAACATCATTTATTTATTTTATGTCATCATGTTTTCAGTTTATTATAAACGGCATTATATTATATAATATATAATATAATCTTATTTATAATGAAATAATGAATATAAATAATAAATATAATATAACAGAAATAATATATTTATAGTCATAATTATTACTTAAAAATGCTTTGTTTAATAATAGTATTTGCATGATATTGTTAATATAAATATGTAGTGAGACTAATTTTATATTTTTACATGAGTTCTAAAGTGTTTAGAAATTTAAATAAATTCGCACCAAGCCATACTCCGTTGTGCTCACTCTCGCAGTGCTCCAATTCAGGACGGATCCTGGCGTCGTCCTCCCCGTAAGGTGGCATCTCCAGCTGAAACACCTCGATTTGCCTCTGGAGGGGGTCCAACCCCTGCCACGAACCTAAAATAACTATATCCACCGCCAACAGGGCACTGACCATTGTGTATAATTTCCAGGGTTGAATGTTTTTTTGTACTGATGATACTTTCTGTTTCGCCATGAACAACTGGAACATCATTAGTACATCATTCATCTGTTGGGAATGCAGTAATGAAGTAGTAAAAATACACGAGTCAATTTTTATTCATTTTATTAATTTTTTTAAAATCATTTTGATAAAATGGAACGAGAAAAAATGGGGAAAGAAATGAAAATTAATGAAAAAAATAGAAAAAACATAAAGTGAATGGAAATAGCCGAGTTGACTTCACCATTTTTGGTAAAATTTACAATAGAATTTTTTTTTCTCTTTATGTTCAGAATTTAATTTTTATTCTTCAATTTTTTGATTTTTTAATGGTTTAAAAATAATTAAAAATGATCTTTTCATTCCGATAATCAAGGGATTCTCCTAAATTTCATTTTCGTTAAATTGTTTTGATTAAATAGAACATGAAAAAAAATGTAAAAACAAATTACGCAGAATAATTTTTTTTTTTATTAAAATTAATGAAATTACACGAGTCAACTTTAATATTTTTGTTAAAATTTACAATAGAAAATATTTTTTTCTCTCTCTATTCAGAATTTAATTTTTACTCTTCAGTTTCTCGATTTTTTAATAATTTCAAAAGAATGAAAAATGATATTTTCATTCGAAAAATGAAGGGCTCCCCCTCAATAATTCAATTTCCATTAAATCATTTTGCTGAAATGAAACATGAAATTCGCTCTTCACTAAATAAATAACAAATAACAAATGAAAAAATATAAAAAGAAATAACATGCAACAAAAATTAATTAAAATGAAAAAACTGACTCGTCTCCCTTAATTTACTACTTCACTACTGAATTGAAATAACAAATTCATAATTTGCTATTACTTTAGCTTGATCAGCTTTTGTTTTGGTCGTCAGTCTATGTACTCTCCATACTTTGCTGAACATCGCTCCGAACGCCAGGGTGAATCCGATGGAAAGCACCCAGGCCCTTCCTTGACAGATGCCGGCGTACTCAGAGGGCTGGACGAAGCGTCCGTCAATACCCAGTAAGAATACTGACACGAAGCAGGCGATAACACCGACCAGCATTATCGTGTTGCAGACTGGGTGCGACGATAGAATTACTCTGCGAATGGAGAAAGTAATTGAAGTAATTTTTTCTTGAATAAAAAAAAATAGTTTTCGGAAAAAAATAAAAAAAAAAAATAGATTTTCGAAAAATCTATTCATTTTTGCGTTAATTTCTCTTGAAAATTGTGCAGTTTTTTATTTATTTTATTTTTGTTGCTATTTTTTAATAGAGATTTGACAGAGAATAGTTGATAATTTTTTTATAGTGATTTTTGGACATAAATTTTGCAAATTTTTGTGATTGAATTTTTTTCGAATTATAAAATTCAACGAAAATCAACATTTATTGACTTTTCTATAAAAAAAATGTATTGAAATCCGTCGAAATTGCATAATGTCCAGTAAAATAAAGAATGAACAATATTTTTAATAGAATCTCAATATAACTCTAATGGAACTCCAATAGTATTTAAATAACAAAATTGAAGATTGACAATTCCATTTGTTTTCCATGTTTTCTTCCAAAAAAATCCCCAGCTGTTCTTCATAATTTTTCCAATAAAAATTTTCAATATAACATATCCTACAGAAAATATCAAGAGATGTTGATGTGTTCAAAAATTTCGTCAATAAGAGAATAAAAAAATTCCTAGCAAAGAGCATTAAATTTTGCACCGAAATATCTGTTGCAAAACGAAATGCAAAATTGTTACAATAAAAAAAGTGGAAAACTGCATAATTTTCAATAAAAATCGGGAAAAAAATCCATTTGTTCAAATTGTTCAATTCAATTTTGCCGCAATGAGAAGTAACAATTCACCTCCTGTGACGATTCCAAATATTGAAAATGATAAGAAGAATCGCAATGGTGATCCCCAGCGCTGAAATAGCGCACATGCAGATGAACAGCGGCAGAGAAACAGTTCTCAAAACTCTTCTGACGATAGTCCGATCCTGCGGAACTTTTCCAGCGATCCATCTCTCCATGTTCTTCCAGGTCAAGTTATCCATCTGCGTGTCGTAGTAACCCAATTTCACGTACTTTCCATCGATCACCTGCTCTATTTGGGTTAATGCTATTCTATCACCCTGAGAGCTGAATGCCACGTATCCCTGGGAGATTGAGGCGGTTATTTGTGTCGTGAGGGAAGAAATATTTCATTATTTTTTCGTTATTGTGAGGTCGATTGCATTGAAATTTGTGGGGTGGGATTGAGTAATATAAACTCACCGAGACGCCCAAAAATTGAGTGGAATTTATCGCCGAGTATATTTCATCCGCTATTTCTTTCTCCGTGTAGGTGAAATTCTTCAAACTCTTTCCGGATTTCGCCAGTTTTTCCATCGTCTTATTGAATGCTGAAATTAAAGTCGTGAGGAAATTTCATGTTTTGCGGGGACAAAATATTAAATTTATTAATTAATTGTTTTTCAGTTCATGAAGATCCTATGGAAATGCGATTTTTGAGGGCTTCATGAACGAAAACAAAAATTTCTATTGAATTTCTAGTGAAAAATGCTGTTTGCGGTGTTTTTTAATATTTTTTAATTTTAAAAATTCTATAGATTTTGATTTTTTTTATGTATTTTGATCTGTGGGAATTTTTTCTATTGGATTTCTATTGATTCGTCGCGATTCTATCGAAGAATTCAATAGAATTCGATTTTTCTATAGAATTTATACTCTTCTGAGATATTTTCTATAGAATTTGCTCGCCTAAATTTTTTTGTTTGATTTTTTCAATGGAAAGAGAAAAAAAGAGAGTGGAAAAACCTTGAAAAATTCTTGTTTAGGAATTCCTATAGAAAATGGATCAATTCTATAGATTTATTCTATTCAAACTAATAGAATTTTCAATAGAAAGTCTATTAAAAAAATCTATAGAAAGAATTGAAAGAATTCCATTTTTCAATAGAACTCATTCTATTCAAATATTTTCTATAAACATTCCGCATCTCAAAATTTGAATTTTTAAAAATGAAAAATTCATGTCGAGGAATTCCTATAGAAAATATTTCAACAGAAAAAGTCAATAAATTAGATATTCCCATATAACTTAATCTATCCAGATATTTTCCATAGAATTTCCTCGGCTCAAATTTTCCCAGTTTTTCTGTTTCACTTTCTCGTGAAACTTTTTTCACTTTCTCAATGAAAAGAAAATGAATCCAGAATGAAAAAAATTGACATTCACTGAATGAGAAAATTCTATTGACTTCTACAGAATATTTTCCATTAAACATTTCTCCAGAATTAGCCAAGAACAAATGGCAAATTGAATAGAAATTCAATAGAATTGTCTACCAAATTCCCCGGGTTTTTCTATTTAATTTTTCGCTCGTGTTTTTACCCAGCGCAACCGACCAAACAGCGTCATAGGCCAGGGGAGCCTCCTGATACCCCTCGGGATACCGATTCCCATCGATATCATATCCGTCCTCCTTCAGCAGCTGATTGAGCCTCTGCCTGAAATCCTCGGAAGTCATTCCACTGATGGTTGTGTCGTTGTTCTGATTCCACATTAGGGCCTCAGTAGTGAGATGGCCCTCAGCGGCCATCCTCATCTGCTCCTTAGTGCAGGAGATCCCCTCCTTGTCGAGATTGATCTCGAACCAATTGTCCTCGTACCAGCCGATGAAGAACCAGACGTAGCTCTTTCCGTAGAGATTCTGGTGGTAGACCTCGCAGAGGACTCGACGCGCCGCCACCACGTAGAAGAGGCCGATTATTATCCTGGCATCCTGACGCCGGAGATTTCTAACAGCGTCCGCCGGGTCTGAGAGGAAACTCTGACGTGTCACGATCTCGATTCCCGCTTCCTTGCAACGCGCTTCCAAGTCCTCGACAGTCTGTTTTGGGAGGGGAAAACGAATGGGGAATTATTTTTTATTCCTGAGGATCTGCGAGTGGAAAGAGATTTTATGGAGAGCTGGAGCTTTCTCCGGGAAGTTTCATTGAATTCCTGTTGGAATTCTTTGTAAGAATCCTGTTAGAGTTCTGTTTTAGAATTACAGTGAAATTTTGGAATACAAATGAGGCAAATGATACTATACAATCTCTTCATTCGCGTTCATGCTGGAGCTTCCGCGATGAAATTTCATTGAATTCCTGTTGGAATTCTTTATAAGAATTCTGTTGGAGTTCTGTTTTAGAATTACATTGAAATTCAGGAATACAAATGAGGCAAATGATACTATATAATCTTTTCATTCGGGTTCATGCTGGAGCTTTCGCGGAGAAATTTCATGGAATTCCTGTTGGAATTCTTTGTAAGAATTCTGTTGGAGTTCTGTTTTAGAATTACATTGAAATTCAGGAATACAAATGAGGCAAATGATACTATACAATCTCTTCATTCGCGTTCATGCTGGAGCTTTCGCGGAGAAATTTCATTGAATTCCTGTTGGAATTCTTTGTAAGAATTCTGTTGGAGTTCTGTTTTAGAATTACATTGAAATTCAGGAATACAAATGAGGCAAATGATACTATACAATCTCTTCATTCGGGTTCATGCTGGAGCTTTCGCGGAGAAATTTCATTGAATTCCTGTTGGAATTCTTTGTAAGAATTCTGTTGGAGTTCTGTTTTAGAATTACATTGAAATTCAGGAATACAAATGAGGCAAATGATACTATATAATCTTTTCATTCGGGTTCATGCTGGAGCTTTCGCGGAGAAATTTCATGGAATTCCTGTTGGAATTCTTTGTAAGAATTCTGTTGGAGTTCTGTTTTAGAATTACATTGAAATTCTGGAATACAAATGAGGCAAATGATACTATACAATCTCTTCATTCGGGTTCATGCTGGAGCTTTCGCGGAGAAATTTCATTGAATTCCTGTTGGAATTCTTTGTAAGAATTCTGTTGGAGTTCTGTTTTAGAATTACATTGAAATTCAGGAATACAAATGAGGCAAATGATACTATATAATCTTTTCATTCGGGTTCATGCTGGAGCTTTCGCGGAGAAATTTCATGGAATTCCTGTTGGAATTCTTTGTAAGAATTCTGTTGGAGTTCTGTTTTAGAATTACATTGAAATTTTGGAATACAAATGAGGCAAATGATACTATACAATCTCTTCATTCGCGTTCATGCTGGAGCTTTCGCGAAGAAATTTCATTGAATTCCTGTTGGAATTCTTTGTAAGAATTCTGTTGGAGTTCTGTTTTAGAATTATATTGAAATTCTAGGAAACAAATGAGCAATTATTTTAGATTTCTGAGGGTCTGCACGGATGGAGAGCTAGAGCTTTCCACGTGAAATTTAGTTGAATTCCTGTTGGAATTCTCTGATAGAATTCTGTTGGAGTTCTATTTCATAATTACATTTAAATTCTAGAAAACAAATGGGGGATTATTTTAGATTTCTCAGGATCTCCACGTGAAGATATTTTATGGACAACTGGAGCTTTCGCCGAGAAGTTTCATTAAATTCCTGTTGAAATTCTCTGTAAGAATTCTGTTGGAGTTCTATTTCATAATTATATTTAAATTCTAGTAAACAAATGGAGAGTAATTTCAGATTTCTGAGGATCTGAATTCAAGGTTTCCGATTCTCCGATTTAAAAATATGTTTTTCTCATCAATATTTGAATACTGTAATATTACCGATATGAAGACTTCCTCGGCCTGTTGTAAAATAGCAACTCTAGACCACCCAAATTTCTGCATCAACTTTATTCTAGTTGGATTGTGAACTGTTGCAGACGGATGCGTTCGAAATAGCGTCGGAAAGCGATTTCGATCCGAGAGTGCGGGAGATGATGCGCCGTAACATAACTGGAAAAACAACATTATCTCACGCATTATCTCACGAAAAAAGAAAAAAAATTGTTTCATTTTGCCGAAAATTCAAGGAGTTCTCAAGATTTTTTTGAGCACAAGAAAAAAATTGCTTCGTTTCGCCAAAAATTCAGAGTTATCAAGAATTTTTTAAGAATAAGAAAAAAATTGTTTCATTTTCGTAAAAAATTCTAAGAATTCTCAATTTTTTTTTTCAAGTGCAAGTATTAAAACTTACAACGACCAAATTCCACATTTTGGATGCTTCTGCAACAGTCGTGCAGACAGTGCTGCATCCTGCCAGCAGCATCAACTTCTGGGGTGCATTGTAGAGTAAATTATACATCACAGAAGCTCCTAGACCAGGTTCGCACTGAAACCGAAATTTCAGTGATTGAATTATTTATGTCCTTGGAATTCCCGTCGAGTGATGGACTGATGGTCGCGAAATTTGAGGACAAAATAACTTAATTATCTGAGGGAATAATATTGGATACGGATGTGTGACCGAATTTTTTAAATTAAAATTTGTTCCTCCTGCGTAATTAACGTGTATCCGTCCGTACAATTAAATTACAAATTACATTTATATAATTTCAATAAATAAATAAATAATAAAAAATTATTTATTTATTTAATAAAATAAACAATACAAATAAAAAATAAAATAAAAAGTTAATAAAATATTTATTTATTTATATTAATTAATTAGAATAATATTAATGTAATTGTAATTTAATTGTACAGATATTAAATTAAATTACAATTACATTTTTATTATTTAAAGAAATATATTTGTATTATATTATAAAATACACAAAATATAATTCCAAACCGATGATTCGGTGCGTAATAATTTGATGTAAATAATTTTTCTTTAATAAAAAAAAGGTCAATTTTTTAATGAAAAAAGAAAAAAATTGATATAAAAAATATAAAATTCTTTTCTCTGGAGATTTTCTGCTAAGGCAACAGTTTTACGTCACATAATTTCATTTTAAATTAAGATAAATTAATAATAAATTAATTGAATTAATTAAAATAAATTAATAAAAATTCTTAATAATGATTAATTGTGCGGAAATATATGATTTCAAAACGCGAATCATCGAAATAACTCCATAATTAATTAAATAAAAGGGGTGATTTATTCTGTTCTCTGTTGTGTCGCGTGTTATCACTTGTCCACTGCATTGGCTTCATGAATATTAAATCACCTCGCTGTCATTAGAATGCAATTTCAATTCGAATCCCGGCAGCAGGTCCTTCGCCTTATTGACGTCTTCCAAGGCGAGATTCGCCGCTGGCATGCACGCCTGAAACAAACGTGCAGACCGATTTCATTGATACCTTCGTGTCTTCGATTGAATAAATAAACGTGTGAAGAAGTTTAATAGAAAAATCCAGCGAATTCTCTGTAAAATTCTATGGGAATTTTTTTTTTTCCAATTTCTACTGGAAATTATGCAACTCTGCCTTTATTTTCGGGGGGAACTAATGAATTAATTCATTACCAATTAATTAATTAATTCCTATCGAAATTATATGATTAATTCTATTCATTTTGTTCCACAAAATTCTTGGATATGAATTTTTGAAGTTTTCCTTCTTTCATTTTGCAATAACAAATATTAAAAACTATATATTAAATTTGTCGAGAGAATGAATAATAATATGTAAAAATAAAAATTTATAAACTTTCTGGGATCAAAAAGCATTTATTCAAAAGCGCATGACGTTGTGCACAATTTTTATTAAAAATTGACGAAAAACAAATGCATTCTTTCAATAAAATGCTATCGAAATATTTTCTATAGAACTTCGTCGGCCCAAATTTTCCAATTTTTTTCATTCCATTTTTCTTTTCCTTAAAAAAAATCAAACAAAAAAAACGTGGAAAATTTGCGCGAAAGATATTCAACGGAAAACATCTCAATAAAATATTTCCTATTGAACATTCCAGTACAATCGGCCATGAAACTAATAGAAAATTCAACAGAATTGTCCGTCGAATTAGCGAAATTTCCTATTAATTTTTTTCATGCATGATTTCTTCCATAAAATTCATCACAAAAATTCGCCTAGAACTTGAAAAAAAAATCCCTAACCATTTTTCCCACGAAATTAATTAGTGCGTCCACATCACTCCCCTAATGATAATTACCTGCCCTCCCTGCCAGCCGCCTTCCCCCCCGATCGGGAAAATCCCCCCGATATGAAGGATATTATCCTCCGAAACAGGTGAAGATCCGCAGACCAACGACATCATCGACAAAGCGGTGACTAATCGCATCATAATTATCAGCAAATCCACCCCCACCGAGAGTGACCACTTAAACTCTCAATCAGAGAATTCTCCTGACGATGACGCCGGCGAAGAATCGGCTAATCCTCTCGACAGATCATTTTCCCGATTGAATTCCCTCCACTCACTATAATCCATTATCATCACTTGTTGCCTACGTTAAAAAGTAATAAACACTTGACCCATTCCGAGGAGCCATCACACCGCCATAATTTCTCCAATTAAAATATTCCTAATTACGAATGACGGAAAGGTTCATCAATATTGTGATGATCCTGGTGAGGTCAGAGCGACGGAGAACTTGCTCGGGTATGAATCATATTGATTCTGTTCCAGCAAAGTATTCCTGAGGGTCGCGGTAGAGAGGTCTACCCCCTCTACGAGGGAGTCATCGGAAAATCGATGTGCACAAACCCCGAAATACCCATGCCAGTTATTCCCATTTTTCTCGTGTGTTGAGTCCATTTGTCAGTCATTTAAAATTAACAACTGGGGGAGAGGTTTATTCGGCGCTCGCTGGCCCGAGGGGGGGCTGATTATTAATTGACGGGGGGATTAATCCGGAATTAAGTATTTATGTTTATGCGGTGGGCTGTAATCGTGTTTGCTTCGGCGCCTTCGAATTTCATCCCTTGGAAACCACTCGGCTAATGAAGCTGATTCCTGCAGTATCTCGTTTATTTGTTTATTTATTTTTTGTAAAATTCTATTAGTCTTCTGTTGGGCTTCTGTGTCCAACGATTTTATAAGTTTTGGGTTCTCTTACATTTTTTTGGGCCAGGATAACTGATTTTTTAAGCCGTTGGGTTTCGAGGATAACTGAAAAAATAATTGTTTAAATTAATCCGATTGCGTCTTGACCGAGTTCGATCATGAGATGATTGCATCATCTGTTGTTGACATAATTTATTTTGAAGCCAATATTCAGGGAACGGTGAAAAAATATAATTTCGGGGCAATGTTGGCGGTTAATGTTGGCGGTCCATGTGGGCGGTTAATGTTGGCGGTCAATGTTGGATATCCACGTTGGGGTGATGTTGGTCGCTAACGTCCGGACAATGTTGGCGGTGAATGCTGGAATAATGTTGGCCGCTAACGCCCGGACAATGTTGGGACAATGTTGGATGCTGACGTTACGATAATGTTGTCCGCTAACGCCAGGGCAATGTTTGCGGTCAATGTTGGCTCCTAACGTCGGGGCAATGTTGGGATAAGGTTGGCTGTTAATATTTGGGCAATGTTGGCGGTCAATGTTGGAGCAATGTTGAATTCAATGAATCATTGAATTTTTCTTTCTACAGAAATTTTTCCCGCCTTTAACGTCATCTCTACTTCATTCATAAATAACAATTCGGTGAGAGTCGTTCATCCGCTATTTAGACTCCTGACGACTGCGGGAAATGATTAATTACAGGGGATTAATCCGCAATGAAATATTCATGTTTACGCAATGGTCTTGTAATCACGTTTGCTTCGGCGCCAACTCCATCCCTCAAGAAGCACTCGCTCAATAAAATCGCCCGCTGCATTATCAACCCGGCGGAAGCGCTTTATTTTGGTAGACTCTCGCCCCCGGTCGTCTTCATCAGTTTATCGCAATTAAAATAGTGAAATTAGGCGATTTATTGGGGTAATAATGTCTGCACCAAGAGCTCTGCCCCAGAGCAAAGAAGCTCTATTGAAATCCTACACGACAAGACTCAAAGAAGACGTAAAGTCAATGCTAGAGAATTTTGAAGGTTCGTTCTAACCTACACGCACGAGAAAATCATACGATCATACCCCAATGCTGATTGTCGATTGAGAATTTAATGCATAATTTTTTGTTGTGATTACCGATTGATGGAATAACTGGAAAATTGAGAATACCTATGGCGATTCAGGGTGATAATTCACGGATGAAAAAATTTCATAGAAAACACTAGCGAATTCGTTAGAAAATTCTATTGGATTTCTATTGAATTTTCTATTAGTTTTTGGCCGATTCTATTGAGATGTTGAATAGAAAAAGCCAACAGAATTCGATTTTTCTTTATAACTTATTCTTTTCAGTATTTTCTATAGAATTTCCTCGGCTCAAATTTTCTTAGTTTTTTCATTCTTTTTTTTTCTTCTCATCAAGAAAATCGCACAAAAAACTTGAAAAGTTTGAGCCGAAGAAATTCTACAGAAAATGCAATAGAATAAGTTATCCAGAAAAATCGAATTCGCTAGGTTTTTCTATTCAATTTTTTTGTGCACGAATTGGAATTATTTAGAAAAATATTGAGGAATTAATAATTATTGCCGATCTGCAAAAAACCTTGGAAAATTTGAGCTGAGGAATTTCTACAGGAAAGATCTGAATAGAATAAGTTGTATAGAAAAATAAAAATTCCGTTGATTTTTCCTATAGAATATTGTCCATTAAATCTCTTTTAATCAAAAACTAATAGAAAGTCCAATAGAATTTCCTAGCCAATTCCCTAGAGCTTTTCGCAAAATTTTTTCGCCCCTGTAATTGAATGTTTATTATTTGTTAACAATTCGTGTGAAATATTTCACGTTTGCTCTGTTATAGAAATTATAAAATTGGCTAAAGGAGAGAATGACTCGCAGTTGTCTAGGATGACTCAGTGTGAACAAGACACTTACGAAATGCACGTGAGAGCTGCTAATATCGTGAGAGCTGGCGAGTCCCTCATGAAACTTGTGTCTGATATCAAGCAATATCTGATTCTCAACGATTTTCCATCTGTTAATGATGCCATTGCGACAAATAGCAAATTGTTCAGGCAGAAACAGGCTGAGTGCGATCAGAAACTGGCTGCTTTGAGGGACGACATGGCTGCTGATCTGTATGATTTGGAGGAGGAGTATTACACGTCTATTTATAAATGATTTTGAACGATTTAGGTATTCAAGTGTTGAAGAATTTAATGGGAGACACTAGCACTTTCTGTGGGAAATTCTATTGAATTTTTATTGGAAGGCTACGAGAATTATTCTATTTCAATAGATTTTTTGAGAGAGAAAAGTCTAGACGTTGATTTTTCTAAGAGAATTCTGGGACATGAACTTTCCAAGTTTTTAAATAAACTATTGAAAGGATTTATGAATTATTTAGGTATTTGTAATTGAAGAATTCTATAGAAAAATCGAGAAGTCTCCAAAAAATTCATTAGAAAGTGCTAGATCTTTCAATTAAATTTTTACCTCAGGTATTGATTTACATTGGATCGTTGGAGAGGCTTCCCAAATCGAATTCGAAGATCTCGTCCTTTTTCATTGATTCACTGTCATTTTTGTTGATATTTAACGTCGCCCACATGTGTATAATATAAGTATTTTAGGTACAATAATGTAATAAATATTTTTGACATGAACATAAGTGAATTGTAATTTAAAATGATCACACGTGAAAAAAATTATTTAAAAAACCCGAAGTAATTTTTTCTGTAAGAATTCTTAGTCCTGAATTTTCCATTTTCGAACGAAAATACAAAAAAAAATTTGGAAAATTGGCGCCTAAGAATTTTTTATAGAAAAATTGGAAAATTATTCAATGAAGTTGGGCTAGGTGGAGATGTGGCAATGCAATGGAAGAGGGAAAAGTGGCTGCCAAGTGCCGGGCATGTAATGACTCAGCAGAATCATTGGAACAAGCAATAAGTTGGAGATGGTGATGAGAAGACTGAAAGTATTAGGTAGAGACTGGTGGAAAGGCTGGGGAGGGAAGACAAACCAAAGAACCTAGAGGAAGAAGTTACTAGATGCCCTAACAGGCGAGATTAGTATTGAATAATACGTATGAAAAAAAAAATCAAAGAAAAACTGCGAATTCGCTAGAATTTTAATAGAATTCCCATAGTATTTCTAGAGAATTTCAATATAATTTATAAATAAAAAACTCACGTCATTAATTAAAAATGCATGCAATGCATTAATTTAATTGAATAGAAGATGAGAATGGGATCGATCCCTGAACTACCACTGAAAAAATTCAAATGAAAAGTCGTTTACATGTTCCTTTATTCAATTAATTTCCATTACACTTCGATTATATATCATTCAATATTCGTATTGAAGTTTCAGATCAGGAAAAATCCCTGACAATGAATAATCGCTTAATCACTTGGTACATAAGTAGTTTCACAATAATTAAAAACTTACTCGAAAATTTCATATCTCCCTAGATCTACACTTAACGATAAATACTACATTCAATGGGTATTCCAGTTGCTTCATCCATACTTTGACATCGACTCATTTATTTACCGCTGCATATCCTCGTTATCCTAGACATACTGTACAACAATAATTTACAAATGATAACCAAAGCACATTCACAATATTTATATTTAGGTTGGATAGTAACGATTCTGATCGTGAGAATGTCACAGCAGTGTAAAAATATTCACTGTTATTACCTTTTTTTCGATTTGGACAGGAGAGGAATGCAATGTAGAAGTAGGACGAACTTTCGAAACCATTTTTTTCGGCTTTCTCTAATGGATATATCACATTCATAATATAAATTAATAACAACACCAAATAAAAGTAGTTGAGGTGGATTGCAATTTTTGCAGACATGAATAAATAGGAAATTTGCATGATTTCTTGGGGAATTTTTCATTAATATCTTGGAAAATTTCACGTATGAAAAGAATTCATAGAAAAATTCTACTGAACTTCTATTTTTTAATGCAAACTATTAATTGAAGTGTATGGGATTAATTTTTGGATTTTTTCAATGAGAAACAAAAACGGAGATTTTATGCTAAGGAAGAATTTTAATTAAAGAAAATGAAATTCACTGTTTTCTTTTACTGAAAATTATATTAAAAATTCGAGAACAAAGATCGAGAAAAAGTAAATAACATTTTTTGCTGAAGAATAATTCTTATGAAAAAGTAAATTTCGCAGATTTTTTAAAATCAAAAATTGAAAATAAAAATTTTGTGGATGAATTTCAATAAGAATTCAATAGAAATTTTCCATAATTTTTTTCTCACACATTTACTGACTTCACACTGTAAAAATCATTTTCTCCTCAGTTCTGCCTTCTTTCAGACAAAATAAATTCCTTCCAACCGGTTCAAAAATACACAATATGGAATACTTCCAAGTGTTCGTCTCCCTTGGAGACATAACTTCAAATCGCAAATGATTATTTGGAGTAAATGAGGAAAGAATACCTATTCCTAGACTAATCATAACTTATCGTATATACAAAATTCATCAGACTACCGAGTACGAAGGAAAAACTGGTTGCAAAAATATTTGGCAACTTGACAACTCCTCCCCATTCATTAATTTTCGATCATCAAAACTGCGAGAAACGAAACAAATATTAAACAGAACACAATGATTTTGAGCAGTGAAGGGAATTGCATTCTCGAGGGGTTAATTTTGGAATTCTTCTGATCAATTGGTTTTTCATTACGTTAGGGGAGTGAATCATCTTGCGATAATTCGAATGATTTTTTAATGGAAAAATCCAGTAGAAAACGTTCTGCATTCACTGGAAAATTCCACTTGTTTTTTGCTGATTTCTATTGAAATCTATTGATTTTTTCCTTTGCTATCGATAAAAAAAATCAATAGAAACTGATCGTTTTAAATTTATTCGGTTGTGATTTTTTTAATGAAAATTATTGATCATGAATTTTCCTTTTTCATTGCTACTTTACTTTAAATATATCATGTTTGATTATTTCAAGTAAAAATAAGAACTTGGAAAATTAATGTCAAGAATTCCCATAGAAAATGACTCAATAGAAAAAAATTGACAGAAAGATGGAATTCTACTGATAGAAATGGAAATAAAAATAATTTCTATTGTTAATTTTCTATTTAAAAATAAACAGCAAAGCCGAGGAATTTTTCAATTGAATCAGCCAAAAACAAATGGAATTTTCTGTCAAATTCTCAACGTTTTTCTATGAATTTTTTAGTGTGTGAAATTGCCTGAAATTTCACAGAATGCATAAATATTATAAAAATCGTAAGATCCGTAAAAATTTTATCACCCAATCACGATAAAAAATCGTAGAAAAACCAGTTTGATTTATACCCGCCTGACTATTTTACAACAGAGTTGCGTAGAAACAACAATGCGAGAAATTGAAATCGATAAAATGAGAAAATTACCATTTCAAATGTGAATTCCAGCGTTCACTCATCTCAGACTGATCGATCACCATGGCCTAGAATCTATTGTACATAGAAAATTGTCAGTCCTCTTCGGTCAATAGAGAACGAGTTGAGTCTGTGATGGTTTGGCAGTTTCAGTCATTTCTGTCGTATGAAATGCTAGTTTTCGATTTTAATACGTTGAACCCTCAATTTTTCATGCGTTCAGGTATTTTATGTCTCAAAAATATTCGATTTATCGAGAATGGAATGTATTTTATCGGTTAAATTCTCAGTGAAGATACCACACACATGAAAAAAATTCAATAGACAATTTTTGGAAAGAATTCTGTTGAAATTCAATTAGAAATATTTTGTTTGGGGATTTTTTTACAGAATAAGGTCAACAGATTTTAATGTTTTTGTTGCAATTATTCTCTTGAGATTTTTTCATTCAGAAAATCTTGCGCATAAATTTCCAATTTTTTTTGTTTTTCATTACAAATTTAATGAAAATTTTGGAAAACTCATGCCCAAAAATTCTCGAAGCTAAAATCCCCAGAGAATAATTCTACCCAACATTTACAAAAATTTTAACTGAATTTTGATGGAAAGTTTAAAGAATTCTGATCTTTCAATAGAAATTAAGTAAAATTTCCTTAAATATTGAATAGAATTCCTTAAAAATCAAATTTCCTGCGGAAATATTCTTTTGCCTGGGGCTTTTTCGATAGAATAAGGTCAACAGATTTTAATTTTTATATTTCCATTATTCTCTTGAGATTTTTTTATTCAGAAACTCTTGCGCATAAATTTCCCAATTTTCCCCATTCTATTTTTTTGTTTCTCATTACAAAATTTAATAAAAGTCTTGGATAGCTCACGCCAAGAATTCTCGAAGATAAATTCCCCGAAGAATAATTCTATCCAATATTTCCAAAAGTTTTAATTGAATTTTGATGAAAAGTTTAAAGAATTCTGATAATGTTCTAACATAAATTAAATAAAATTTCCTCAAATATTGCACAGAATTCAAAAGACCAGTTCCAACAGAAACAAATTTAATGGAATTCCCAGATAAATTCACTGGAATTCGCATTTTCATTCCAAATTTCTATTGAATTTTTTCCCAACTGCAATAAAAAAATACGAACGAAAGAATTTTGAGCCTCAGTCAAGCGTGAAAGTTCCTCTCCCACGAAGGTGTTATTTCCCTGGGAAAGGTGTGTAAATTTGCTCAGCAATGCACATCTCTCCGAATTTCAGCACCAGAGGATTCCCTCATCAATAAAGAAGATCAGCGGTGGCTTCGACGCCCCAGGCAGCGTCATGCGACTCCCCCAGATGCTCCTGACCCTCGATTTTTCCATCGGTGGTGCTCTCCCTCGTCTCCCACTGCTGACCACTTCCGCACGTCGTTGGGTGGACAGATCTGGTGATGCCCAATTCAAATCCATCGGATGTGAGGTCCACTTTACTTGGTGTGTAGCTTGCCAGACCACCTCCACCTGCAATTCAATCGAAGAAATGACGGAGTTGTTGCGGTTTCAGGAGGCATTCAATGGTAGAGTGAATGATGAGAGGAAGGAGATAATTTGTATTGTGGAGGTACTCTTTATCGACAGGTGGATACACCCAATGGGAATTAACGTATTGAAAGGAAAAGTAGTTATCAATGGACGTGACATCACAGCAGAGTTGAAGGAAATATATAATGCATGTCTAAATTAATTTAATATTGTATTTTTCGTGAGGTGTTATTCAATTTTTAATCGACTTTTATAAGACTCCGATTGGAGTTCTCTTAGAAATTCTAGGGAAGTTTTTTTTTTATAATTGATGTTTGATCAGTGATAGGCATCAATCAATCATAATTACCGTTAAATTGTGATGTCAATTTTTAACATAAATCTTAAAAATTTTTTAAATTAAATTTCGAAATATTCTAGCAACCAATAATTTAAGTAGTACCTAAAGGTAGAATTAGTTTAACTAAAAATTACATTTCAGTATTATCAAATATTTTATTCACCATCAACAGAAAAATTCAGCTAATAAATTCTATACTTTAAATTTGTTAAATATAGTTAAATTTTGAACAATATAAGGAGATAATCCTTTTTAAAATTTTCAAAATCTAATATTATTGCCTATCCCTGTGTTTAACAGAATAAAAATGGTATAAATGGTTATTTTTCTATAGGAAGTTCAGAGCGCAAATTTTCTAAAATTTTGGTATACTATTTTTTTTTTAAAGAAAAGAAAAATAGAGTTGAAAAATTTAGAAAATTTATTTTAAGGAACTTTAAATGAAAAATTTGATAGGAAAACCTAGGATTTTTCATAAGATATTATTAAATTTATAATAGACTTCTATAAAATTCCTATTGGAGTTCTCTTAGAAATTCATTGCCTCAAATTTCCCAAGTTTTTTTGTATGATTTTTCAATTAAAAGAAAAGGAAAGTAGAGTGGAATTAAATTTTTTATTGAAATTCCATGAGAATTCAATTAGTTTTAAATTGAAATTCAATTGAAATTGTAATCGAGTTCCATTGGAGTTCCATTTACAAGTCATCCATTCCTCCTCTGCAATTTTGGATAAAATTTTTATTTTTCTGTATAAATCATTTTTAAAATTTTTCCTCCTGTCTCTCATTACAGAATCCTCTTAAAATTCATCTCAAACAAAATTGCAATAAAAATTGAAAATTCAATAGAATTACCCAGTCAAATTAAAATTATTTTCCGATATGAATGGCGGCTAACTCACCGAGAATCGGCGAGGCGGAATTCCCCGTCGTAGACGAGGAACACGTGGATTTGTTGCTAACAGCTGACTGGTGATCATCGCCATGTCCCGTCGCCGAGGTTTCTCCACTGGCGTCATCCTCCAGCATAGACGCCTCACTGGGATACTCAAATGTTCGTGTCGCGTCATCGTCGAACTGTATCCGATGCTGGAAACAAAACCGATCATGTCCAATACAATAAATGTCACAGTAATTGTAATTTTTCATTTTATTTTTGCACACATTTTCCTTCTATCGTCCATCATCTGTCCTTTCACACAATTTTATTCGCATAAATTATATTATTCTTCAATTTATTGTTCAATTTAATTGTGTCATTCTCGAATCTTGTAAAAATTCTTGCATAAATCAAATGAAAGAATGATTCTATCTGTTATCTTGAACGAAATCCTAAGATTTCTCCGGAATTATCATTTTCAAAGAATACGAAATTATTTGAAAATTACTCTATAAATCAAAACAGCTATTATTACTATCGCTTTCATCTTCGAATTTGGTCACAGGGACATCAAAACAATTTTTCAAGCTATCGAAATCATTTTTTTTCTGTTATCGTGGGACAACCGAATTAAATTTCAGTTAATGTTGGTAGATAACAAAACCTTCATTTGAAAATTAAATTAAATTCCATCGATTCATTAGCGATCAATTAATGAAAAACTTGGTCACACGCGTACGTATGGACAGAATTTTTCTATTGAACATTTCAATAGAATCCACCAAAAATTAATAGAAATCCAATAGAATTCTCTAACAAATTCGCTAGACTCTTCTGTTAAATTCATTCGTGCGATATAGAACAAAAAAATTGAGTAACTCTAGTGAAAATAAAATAATAAATTTTCAATCTCTAAAATGCGTTTCGACTCGAAACTTGAATTTCTTTCCTCCGTATCAATTTCCCATCCCGATCATTATCACGACGATTTCCATCCTAGATATAAACCACCGATAATTTCCACGGGTCATGAATCCGGACAATCGTTCCTCGCTGACCTTGGCACCATATTTTCACGTTGTGGCCCCTGTTCCAGTGTTTTGACGAATTTTCGTAAACTCGTACATGCGGCAGATAAGAATGCCTGCCCGGAGGGGAAGGGGAGAGATGGAGAGGATATAGCTGACGGCACGGTATGTAACCTCGCATAACAGTAACCGGTCACACTCGTTGAGTATCGAACTAGGGAGCGCACCTACCCGCGTCATCCTTGTGCCACGTTGCTAATATGAATAGGAGGATGAGAATAAAAAATTGTTGTTCCAGACGTTTACACGGACGAAAAAATTTCATTGAGAAATCTAGAAAATTCTATAGAAAATTCTATTGAATTTCTGTTACAAATTCTATTGGGGAATTCCCCTTTGCAATCTCATTTTTCTATTTCACCTCGTTTGACACATTTTCTATAGAAATTCCTACACATGAATTTTCCTAGTATTTCCACTTTATTTTTCTTCTCTTTTCATTTGAAATTCCAACGAAAAAAGACAAAATTTGAATCGAGGAATTTCTATAGAGAATATACCAATTTAAATTGTATAGAAAACGTGAATTCCATTGATTTTTTTTCTATAGAATTCTTTCCATCGAACTTTTTTATTGGAAAAAACGGCGAGATAGACTGCGGAATTTTTTAATAATAGAAAGTTTATCAGAAATTCAATAGACAATTCTATTGAGGAATTGCTTTGCTGCGCGATTTCTTCATAAAAAATGTTCAATAGAAACAATTTTATAAATAAAACTCGTGGAATTTCGTCGTTTTGTTCAACTTTTTTTTATTGACACGTTTTCTATAGAAATTCCTCTATTCCGTTTCTATAGAAATTCCTACACATGATTTTTTCTAGTATATCCACTCTATTTTTCTTCTCTTTCCATGAGAAATAAAAAAAAATTAATCCAGGAATTTCTATAGAGAATATATCAATTTAAATTGTATAGAAAACTTGAATTCCATTGATTTTTTTCTATAGAATTCTTTCCATCGAACATTTCTATTGAAAAAAACTCCTAGATAGGCTGCGGAATTTTTTTAAAAATAGAAAGTTCAATAGAAATCCAATAGAATTTTCTATGAATCGGAGGAAAAAAATAAGGAATTCTTGTTTCAGGCGGTTTCACGTGTAAAAAATTTCATAGGAAAATCTATTGAAAATTCCATTACTCTTTCTATTGAAACATTGTCTATAGAAATTCCCTCGATCTTAAAAAAAACAGGAATACAGCGGAAAGAAACTGAGTTACATCGGAATAAAAATTTATGTCTAAGAATTTCTATAGAACAATAAAAATCTGTTGGCATTTTTCAATCAAACATCTGTTAAAATTCAATAGAATGCAATAGAATTCAATGGAATTCAATAGAAATTCAATAGACTGCCAATAGAATTCAATAGAATTCCTTCAGAAAAGAACAAGTTCTCTCTATTAAATTTATTCATGTGTAAATTAATAATAACTATTTCACTCGCAACACTTCCACAGATTGTCGTTTCGCTAGAATTGCAACGGTAATTTTCCCAGAAGTTTATCCCAACCCAAAATAACCAGATAAACACTGCTAGATCCGAAGAGCTCACCAGCAGCTCTTTTTTTCAGTCAGCTATCTCTAAGACTTCTAACGTTGACTTCCATTCTTCCAACGTGAGATAACGCGAGTTAAAAAATCCCGAGGATGATAAATTGCCGAGTCGTGCATTATTCAATAATTTTTCTCTGCCCTATCTGTAATCTCCATTATCTCCCGCGATGTTAGAGCAAAATAGACGAGCAGGTAATCACAATTGTTACGGCTTTTTCTCGATTTGCTTCCGGATACTGAACATTATCTCCTCTCGGTGGAAAGAATCTATAAATAAGCTGGGAATCTGCTCACGCGGGAATTCAGAATCAATTTTTTATCGGTATTCATTACCCGAAGCGACATTGCACAGCAAAACTGGCGCAAACCGGTGATTAGTATTCCGACTGATGACTTTCCTTAATTTTTTTTCTGGCGATGAAAAAATTTTACAGGAAAATGTAGTGAATTCTCTAGAAAATTCTGTTCAAGAATTCCGACGCTGTTCTCCGTGTTTTTTTTTTCGATATACGTTCAACAGAGAATATTTTATAGAAAAATCTATAGAATTGGATTTTTTATAAAATTCTTCGTTAGATTTTTTAAATGAGGGAAAGAAAAAATGAACTGAAAAACATCGGAAATTTATTGATTTGTTCGTTTAATTGATTTTTGTCGAGAAATTCCTATAGAAAATGACTCAATCGAAAATGTTTTATAGAAAGACCTAATTCTACTGATTTTTTCTATGAAAATAGCTTATATTGAATATTTTCTATTAAAAAAATCAGGGAAGCTAGAGTTCTCAACAGAATTTCAATAGAAATTCTATAGCAATTCAATCGAATTTTGTGTCTTGTCATTTCTAAAAAGTAGGAAAAAGAATGCCCTTACTCTATAGAAAAGTAGAATAAAAAAATTCTATAGAAAAACCTAGGAAATTCGATAGAAACTTCCTATTGAATTTCTCTGGGAAATTCTACTATTTTTTTGTCCATTCTATTGAAAAATTCCGCGCGCTTTCTATAGAAATGTTTAATAAAGAATATTCTACATAAAAAAAAACAATTCTACTGATTTTTTTTTCAATAGAATTGATTTTTGACTGGAATATTTATAGAATAGATTTCTTTCTTGAATGGGAAGAGGAGAAAATAGAGTAAAAAAAATGTCGAGAAATTCTTATAGAAAGGTCGAGCTCTACTCGAATTTTTTTTTTCTTTCTATAGAATAGTTCCAAATTGAGTTATAATTTTTCAATAGAATCGACGAAAAACTAATGACATTTTCATTTGAAATTCAATAGAATTTTCCAGCGAATTCTCTCGGTTGTTCTACAACATTTTTTTTCGCATTTGCCTCGTCACATGCAAAAAGTAGGAAAAGAATTTGCTGATACCTTGTGATTCCTCGGAGTCCTTATCAGATTGCTGCGACCATTAATCAGAACGTTGTCGTTGGTGAAGAGGACATCGCAGGGTGATGGGGGTCCTCTGGACATCTCCCAGTCGCCTTCATCCGTCGTCGAGGCATCCAAGGTTGCGTCCAGAACAATGATCCCACCATCTCCCACCTGAGGAGAATAACACAGTTGATTTAATCGATAGCTATCGCGAATGACATCATTTTGAGTGCCTCATCCGTCAAATTTTAACTAGAGTGGACTCAATGTCAGGTAGATAGTCCCATGTCAAGTGTGATATGTAGGAAATAACTTGACAGAAAAAATACTATTACAGATTATTCTGAGATATCTGGCGATTTTTCTAGGAAATCCTATTGCGGAATTCTTCTATAGAATCAGCCGAGAACAACAAAATTACTGCGCTCAGGCTTTTTTAAGACCGATTATTCTACTAAGATATTTTCTGCAAAAGGATTTCGTAAAAAAATCTGACGATTTTTCTAGGGAATTCTATAGCGGAATTCTCCTATAGAATCAGCCGGAATTTACGGAATTTTCAATAGAAATTCAATAGAATTTTCTAAATATATAAAATATCTATGGAAAATGTGAGTTCTATAGAATTTGAATAGATTCCTTATAGAACTCTTATAGAATTTCTCCAAAAAATTCTATCGAATTTCTATTGAACTTCCTACATAAATTCCTCGGCTCAAATTTTCCAGATCCTTGTCTAATTTTTTTCATGAAAGTAGAAGAGAAATAGAGGAAAAAACAAGGAAAATTCAAATCGAGGAATTCCTATAGAAAATATCTCTATAGAAAAAATTTATGAAAAGATGAAATTCTACAAATGCTTTCTATTAAATAATTTCTACTGAACATTATCTATAGAAGAACATGTGCTACAGCTTCGGAATTCTTCTATAGAATCGGCCGAAAACCGATGGAACTTTCAATAGAAATTTAATAGAAATCCAATGGAATTTTCTACAGAATCCGCTAGGTTTTTCCATTGCATCAATATCTAACAGATTCCAAGAAAAAAACTTGGAAAATTAAATCCGAGGAATTTCCAATAGAATTCCAGTAGAATTCCAATAGCAAAGGCGCAAGGCTCTTTCACAAAATTTTCTCGCACATGAAAAAGAAATAGAAATTAACCAATACGACATACACTGTATCCTGAAATTCTTCCAGCTAGTTCAGCCGAGAGAGACAGAACATTGTCGACCGAGCGTTTCTAAAAAGGGGATAACGGATCTCAAGAACTAAATTTCCATCTACAGGCTGTATCCCCGTAAGTTGCTCTACAACCGCCATATTCTACGGTGGATTCCACGTAATCAACTGGAATGCTGCTGATCAAGGCCGTTTTCCCGTCTGCTCCCTTCAGCCGATTTTTTACATTCCTCGTTAATTGCTTTTTGCTTTGTATTCCAATTATATTCTCTTGATTCCGAGGGTTGCTGTCAGTTCCAGTGAAATTGAAATGATTGCGCAAAAAATCGGGGAGGAATGCTGGGGGGAAAATACTGGTTGAAATGTTCGTGACTGATTGGTATTCTGGAGTCATCAAACATGACAAATTAACGATTTCCAAGTACTTTGGCTATTTTTTTCGCCGGGGAATGCTCTCCCATTTGACCCTAAGTTCCCGGACATTTCACAATGATTTTATTATTTAAACTTTGCTGGTCTGAATTTTAATCTTGATATTGAGCAGTTAGAGAACAAAAAATTGGAAAATTCACGTCGAGGAATTCCTATAGAAAACCTCTCTATAGAAAAAATTGTACCTAAAGATCACAATAAAAGTAGTTTCTAATAGACATTTTCTATTGAAAAATACGCAGTTAAGGTGCGGAATTCTTCAATAGAATCGCCAGAAACTAAGAGAATTCTCAATAGAAATCCAATAGAATTTTATAGCGAAGTCCCTGATTTTTTCAATGAAATTTTTTCGTATATTTTTATCGAATTGCATTTCCACCCCATTTTCACGAACTAGTGCTCCACTTAATTTTCCTAATTCATGGATTTCGATAACTTCCAAAGAAATAAAAATCCCCAACCGGAGGATGTGACGCAGTATTTTATCCGCGGTCTCCATCCCTGTCCTAGCTATCTGTTGATAACTGAATAGACCATGACTCATCGATAAAACCATTACGCGGCTTCCAAACACATCACTTTCTTCATAGTTCATTTGACACAAAACCCGGGAGATGAAGAATTCCATTTCGCTCTCCATGAATTATGGGATTTGAATTGAATGGGTGAGATTCTGATGTTGATGGTATCCAACGAAATTCAAAGGGATAAACGCAGCTCCGTTGAATGGAATGGAGAGGAGAACGAAACACGTAACGATATGGTATCAATGGACAATCAGATATCAAAAGGACGCCGGGTTTTTAGGCGATTCGGACTGATACATTGTAGAGTCTATTATATAAGAAGCAATCGACACCTTTGGACTTCATTTCATTTCAATTGAGTTCCAATATTTCTTTCAGCACGCGGTTTTAATCGGCAATAACTCCAGAGCAGAATTAAGTTTCGGGACATTTTACAATTATTTTATTATTTAAATATTTATGTATTAATTCATGAATATATGAACATTATTGAGCTTTTTTTTTGTATTTTTGTATACATTCATGTATTTATTATTAATAATCATTTAAGTTTAAATAAAAAAATTATTGTAAAATTTCCGGAAACTGGGGGTCAAATACCGGCCATTTAATAATAATTTATTATTAATGTCATTTAATAATAATAATTATTAATATTATTAAATAATAATATGCAATAATATTTTATATTGTTAATATTAATATATATTACTCCGTTCCCTCAATATAATAATAATAATAATAATAATAATAATAATATTAATATTATTATTAATGTCATTTAATAATAATTATTATTAATAATATAGATGATTATTATTAATGATTTTATTATTTAAAAATAGCAATTTTTGAAAATTACGATGATTTTAACTAAAAAATTTATAAACAATCAATTATCTACCGTAAAAATCATATGTTCGGAATCGTAAAAAATTTATTCATATTCAGAATTTCACCGAAACTCGATTCAATGCCTAAAAAATGAGCCAAAGTTTAAACAATGTCAATTATTTATTCATAAACAACGAATGTTAAAAAAATAATAATTCCGTGTAAAATGTAAATTTAATGTTCGCTGAATATTCATGAATGGTAGCAAACTGTAAACTATACTTGGATATCCTTAAAAGCCATCTGGTTTGTCTTCTAAACAGACAAACCAGATACTACTCTACCAATTATCCAAATACTTCGGTTGAAATAAGTGAGTCCTTTGGCATTCAAATGCTCCCATAACTCCTTACTGAGTGCTCCCAGTCATAACTTGATCCATAACCACACGTTATAACAATTCAATAAAACTCACTTTCTCGTGAAGCCCTCGATTTTCCGAGGTGTAATTCTATGAAGTACCTTTTTCATTTCCAGGGGGGCTACATTAACGGTGCAGTAACGACCGGTCTGGTCTCAAAAATTCCACTTCGGGGGAGCCTCCCCCACCACTTTAGTGGACATTGGAATGCACATGGGACGGGTCCAGTGAGAAAATCATAAACTCTCGGAGGGGCGCGTATCAAAGTAAAAAACGAGTTCCTCATTAATCACGGGGGCTTGAATGGAAAGAATAATATTTAATTTTCATACTGCTATCGAAATTTCGTGAGGATGTGAGACTTAATCAAAAGGATTTTGCACAGAATTTTCTTCGTCTTGATTTGACATTCTGATTAATTAAAAAAAAATTGAACAGACGTCAAATTTAATAATGAATGAATAGCGACAAAATTTGTCGACTAAATTCCGTAAATTCTTTCTGGGGATGTGAAAATATTTTGAAATCATCTGCTGGCGAAAATTTCGAAATTGAACTTTCGAATTGAAAAAAAATGAACAGACGTCAAATTTAATAATGAATGAATAGCGGCAAAATTTGTCGACGAAATTTCGCAAATTCTTTCTGGGGATGTGAAAATATTTTTAAATCATCCGCCGGCGAAAATTTGAGATCTGCAACAGTTTCTGATAATTTAACGACAAAATAATGAATTAGTTTCTCGTATTTATCTAATCGTAAAAAGGAGAAAGGAATCAATAAAACAATCCCTATCAGCCAAGACCCCTTCAGGTGAAAACCCATAGAAATCACTCAGTACCAGGAAGCAACGCTCCATTGCAATTCGACAACCGTTCAATTCCCTCAAACTCTCAAAGAGAAATTACAACTACTCTCATTCCCATTACCCACAATACCATCGGTTTATCCCTCTTTCTTTTAATTATGGGGCTATCTCACTGCAAATTAGTGACATTTACTACGCGTTTTTTATCGTTTGTTATTGTCTTCATAGGATACATTTTCTATAGAAATTTATTTGACATAAATTTCCTTTTTTTCAATCCATTTCCCTTCTCTTTTCATTTGAAAAATCAAATTTGAAAACTGGGAATATTCGAGGCGAGGAATTTCTATAAAAAATTCCTCTATAGAATAAGTTCTATAGAATATGTTTGATTGAATATTTCTATTGAAACGAAAGGCGGAAATCCAGAATTCCCTAGCGAATTCGATAAAAAAATCTATAGAATTTCTATTAAATTTCTGTAGGAAATTCTATCAATTTTTAGCCAGTTCAATTGAAAAATTCCGCAGCTTCATTGGTCGTTTTGTCTATAGGAATTCCTCGACATGAATTTTCCAAGGTTTTTCCACGTTCGTTTTCTTCTCGTTTCATCGAAAAAATCAAACAAAAAAATTTAGGCACTTTGAGCCGAAGAATTCCTGTAGAAAATACCTCTATAGAATGAGTTGTATAGAGAAATCCGATTCTATTGATCTGTTCTATAGCAAATTCGATTAGTTTTTGACCCATTCTATTGAAAAATTCCACAGCCTCTGCTCGTTTTTCTCTATAGAAAATCTCCAATAGAAAGTATTCTATAGAAAAATCAGTAGAATTTAATTTTTATTACAACTTTTTCTATAAGAATTCCTCGACATGAATTCTCTAAATTTTTTTCACTCCTTTTTTTCCCATAAAAAAAATGAAAAAAACTTGAAAAATTTGAGCCGTGGAATTTCTGTACGAAACCCCGCTATAGAATAAGTTGTCAAAAAAAATCAAATTCTATTGATACCCCTTGAATTTGTCGAAACAGGGTCATAATAGGATGATTTCGTGGCAGTTAATAATGTGTTAATAATGTGCTTTTTTTGTACTGAAAAAAATTGCTGCCCCATTGCGTTTTTCAGACTATTCTCCACCGAATATTAGAACAACTAGGGGGCTTCGCCCCCTGCTCGCTCCGCTCGCCAACCCGGGGGAGGGGCTTTGCCCCCCCCGTCCGTGTGACCGCAGCGGTGTGACCGTACCCATAAACATCTTCCATATGAGCACCCCCTAATATAGTAATCCTCCATAAATATCGATATCCCCTTTATGACCACCCCCTCATATAGACATCTCTTATAAATACACGCACCTCCTCGTATAGGCACCCAGCGTCCCCTGAATTTGAGCGTCCCCTGAATTTAAGCGTCCCCTGAACTAGAGTGTCCCCTGAATTTTTCGCCTTATTTTTTTATTTATATAGAGAGATATAGAGAGAAATAATCGGTGAAAAACTCCCACAACTCCCCTAGAATTTCCCAGGGAATTCCCTGAATTCCTTCGCACCAGAAACTCCCAACTCTAATTTCCATTGCCCACAATACCTTGGGTTTATCCCTCTTCCTTCTAATAATGAGGCCATCGTTCTCGATGTAATCTGGCACGTCCTTCCTGTTGCTGAAGTTAAACACCATCGTATTATTCTGCTGATTCCACGGTTTAGTGTCCCACAGTCCACCACTACCTCCACCACCCTCACCCCCAGCCCCACCAGAACAACTTTTATTAACCGGCTGTATCTCCTCCGCAGTTTTGAGACTAACAACAACCTTGGTCGGCTGTTCAATATTCTTAACTCGATTGATAAGGTTCTTCTCGAGCTCCCGATTGCTCAGATTCTGCTGCGGCACCTGGGTCTTCATCGACACCAGCGGCCGAATGATCCCAATCTGTTTTGGGATGGGCGAGCCCCCGGACTTGTGACTTTTTATCATTTTGGACTCCTTCGTAGACGGATAAGACGGTATCGGGGACGTCTTTATCAGCCCCAAACTCGATATTGCGCCGATAGGCTTCTCGTTGGCCACAGCGATCTCGGCTTTCGCTTCTTTCGTCAGCTCTACCTCTGCCTCCTCGACCCTAGACGTCTCCTTCGAGTCCGTGGAGTCTGCAGCGGCCTTTCCTTCGAGGCTGTCAGCCACCCCGTTCGAAGGGCCCTGAGCCTTCCCCAGAGGTTCACCCTCGAAGGTGACCTCCACCGAGACAGCCCTCGGCTCTTCGACCCTCGCGGGCTCTTTGGTCCCTTCGACCTCCTCATTCTCACAAACTTCCCTGCTATCCTGCAGAGCCTTCTCCTCGATTAAAGCACTGATGTCCCGCCCAGACTCCGAACCCTCCGGCTTTTCGGGCGACGAAGTCTGGCAAGTGGTATCGCAACTCGTGACCATCGACCCTTGACAAGCGTTCGAGCGCGAGTCTCTCTTAGACCCTAGAGAACCTAAAACTACTGGCACAGCTTTGGCACAGCCCTCCGAACCTTTGACCCTGGCTGGGAAAGGCTCTGGGCTCGGTGCAGGTGAGAATTTGAACTTGTGAGAGGGCTCCGGCGAGGCGGACGCCGGAGAAGCGGACTTCTCGATCATCTGGAACTTGGAGACGACCGAGGAGACAGACTGAACGATCGGGTCGCTCGCCACTCCGTTCCTGGGCACCTCGGGTGTCTCCAGGTCGGGGGTCTTCTTCGGGAAGCTCGAGCCCTTCAAGCCTCCGTTGACGAAGGGCTTGGGCTGCAGCGGTGGCTTCGGCACGATCTTCTTGATCGTCTGCGCCTTGAGAGTGTCGTTTATCGTCTTGAAGGTCGCGACCTTGACGGCGACTTCGCCCTTGGGCTTGAGCTTTTTCACGGAACCCTCGAAGATTCGCAGTGTCGTTTTGACTAGATCTGGCGGCGGGCGCTCGGTGTCAGCCAGAAGTGGCCTGACTCTCTTAGGTTTGTTCATCGCCTTGGGACGATCCTTCATCAGTCTGTTCTCGATGTTGACAGTCGTTCTGTCGATCAAGACAATGTGATCGTTCACCGGCTCCTTCTGGAAATTTAGTTTTCCCGGGGGGGTCTTGTCCTCCTCGGACTGGTACCTCATCAGGGTCTCGACGCTTCTGGCTCGCTTCATCGAGTCGTTGCCGCGAGAGGAGTTGCGGTACCTCTCCGGCTTCGCGGAGACTCCTTGGGCTTTCTTCGTGAACTTTCGAGTCTTTTCCGTCTCGTGGTCGCAGTCCAGGAGGTCCTCCAGGCTCGCCGCCCTTCGGAACCTCTGGACCGACCCCCGGGTCTTGTTCGTCTCCCTCAGGGTCAGGTTCAGGTACTTGCTCTTCAGCTTGTTCACGATACCCGGACCGTACTGCAGCTCCTCGGAACTGTCACTCTCGCAGTCGTCCATTATTACGATGCGCTCGCGATTGCCGAATTCGTTGTGAAGGTTCTTTTTATTTTTCGGGGATTCCCGGGAATCATCAGTGCTGCCGTATTTTTTGTACCGGGTTAGTTCGCAATTATCGAAATTCGACGGGTGAGTTTTCAGGGTCGGGGGCTCCTCCCGGCAGAGGGATCCGTTCGACTCGAGGTGCATGCTGCACGCGACTGACTTTACGTTGCCAGCCGGGGAACAGTCGTTCAACTCGCGGCTCGCAGCGCCACTGGCTGTCGGATTTTGGACTAATGCCGGAGTAACCTGAGCGCTTGATGATTCGGATGAATTAGGGGCATCCGAGCTGGCGTTTTCCCCGCTGGAGTCCGGCCCCTCGGGGATGACGGGGTCGGGGACACCCGTCACTCCCGGGGGCCCTCCACCTGGGGAAAGGCCTCGGCTCTGCTGCCTGCGGCGGATCAGGTCGCGTTTCCACTGGGGAATCGCGGGGTCTGTTACACTCGCACCGGTGGCCATGTTTCCTTCGATCATTTCGCTTTTGCTCTTTGTTACTCGGCCGGTAAATCCTCTATTTTGTTTTCAGTTTTTTAGCCATCCTGATCGGGGACTTCGCGGTTTTAGGCGTGACTACAGCACTCATCGGCTATCACTCACTCACTCTTGATTATTTATTGGTAATTGGCAGGGGGAGGGGGGAGTAACGACCGGCGATTCCATTCTAGGGGATTTTAGGCGCACGATTGTCAGGTTTTTGGGGAACACACGGGATTGCGACGCGATTTTATCGGAATACAGAGGTTTTCACCGGGAAATTGATCTTTCGGGCGCGGACGAACGTCAGGAAACACTCGGTTTTGCCGTAACACTGCGACTCACTGTCCACCACGCTTTCCATTTAGCCCCACTACTGTGGCGAGCTCGACCCTTTCGCGACGATTCCCCCTCTGGGTTGTACACTCCCCTCTCGCGGCGCTTTGCCACCTTAGGTTATCTTTTTTCATGCTTCCCACCCGACTTGTTCGGTGTTGCCGGCTTCGGGGATTCATGTGTGTGTGCAGGGGGGGAGTACACTTGTCGTTGGAGAGACGGGAAATCGAAAAGTGTTTGTGCAGTGGTTGCGCGCGACCCACTCGATCTGTTTGACAGGGGAAGGTTAACGGGGGGGGATTTTTTGAGGGGGGGGGGGGCNGGGGGTCAAATTAGAGGATTTATTTGTTTATTGGAAAAGTCAGAGGTGAATTCAATTAAAAGGGGAATTTGGACAAAATTTTATATAATTGACGTTTGAGGTGAGTTTTACATTTTTTTTTGGGGGATTTTTGGGGGTCAAATTAGAGGATTTATTTGTTTATTGGAAAAGTCAGAGGTGAATTCAATTAAAAGGGGAATTTGGACAAAATTTTATATAATTGACGTTTGAGGTGAGTTTTACATTTTTTTTTGGGGGATTTTTGGGGGTCAAATTAGAGGATTTATTTGTTTATTGGAAAAGTCAGAGGTGAATTCAATTAAAAGGGGAATTTGGACAAAATTTTATATAATTGACGTTTGAGGTGAGTTTTACATTTTTTTTTGGGGGATTTTTGGGGGTCAAATTAGAGGATTTATTTGTTTATTGGAAAAGTCAGAGGTGAATTCAATTAAAAGGGGAATTTGGACAAAATTTTATATAATTGACGTTTGAGGTGAGTTTTAAATTTTTTTTGGGAGTCAAATTAGAGGATTTATTTGGTTATTGGAAGAGTCAGAGGTGAATTCAATTAAAAGGGGAATTTGCACAAAATTTTATATAATTGACGTTTGAGGTGAGTTTTTAATTTTTTTTTGGGGGATTTTTGGCGGTCAAATTAGAGGATTTATTTGGTTATTTGAAAAGTCAGAGGTGAATTGAATTAAAAGGTGAATTTAGATGGAATTTTATATAATTGATGTTGAGATAAAGAAATGTTTGCAATACCGAAGAGATGAATAAATAAGGTAAATAAATATTTAGTAGATAATTTAGGGGGGAATTTTGGGGGGGATTTTTGGAGGGGAGGGGCCTTCAGATGAGTTTTTAATTTTTTTTGGGGGATTTTTGGGGGTCAAATTAGAGGATTTATTTGTTTATTGGAAAAGTCAGAGGTGAATTGAATTAAAAGGTGAATTTAGATGGAATTTTATATAATTGATGTTGAAATAAAGAAATGTTTGCAATACCGAAGAGATGAATAAATAAGGTAAATAAATATTTAGTAGATAATTTAGGGGGGAATTTTGGGGGGGATTTTTGGAGGGGAGGGGCCTTCAGATGAGTTTTTAATTTTTTTTGGGGGATTTTTGGGGGTCAAATTAGAGGATTTATTTGTTTATTGGAAAAGTCAGAGGTGAATTCAATTAAAAGGGGAATTTGGACAAAATTTTATATAATTGACGTTTGAGGTGAGTTTTACATTTTTTTTTGGGGGATTTTTGGGGGTCAAATTAGAGGATTTATTTGTTTATTGGAAAAGTCAGAGGTGAATTGAATTAAAAGGTGAATTTAGATGGAATTTTATATAATTGATGTTGAAATAAAGAAATGTTTGCAATACCGAAGAGATGAATAAATAAGGTAAATAAATATTTAGTAGATAATTTAGGGGGGAATTTTGGGGGGGATTTTTGGAGGGGAGGGGCCTTCAGATGAGTTTTTAATTTTTTTTGGGGGATTTTTGGGGGTCAAATTAGAGGATTTATTTGTTTATTGGAAAAGTCAGAGGTGAATTTGGAAAAAAATTTATATAATTGACGTTATGTAAAATAAAGAAATGTTGGCAACACCGAAGAGATGAATAAATAAGGTAAATAAATATTTAGTAGATAATTTAGTGGGGAATTTCGGGGGAGATTTTTAGAGGATTTATTTGTTTATTGGAAAAGTCAGAGGTGAATTCAATTAAAAGGTGAATTTAGATAGAATTTTATATAATTGACGTTATGTTGACGTTATGTAAAATAAACAAATGCTGGCAATACCGAAGAGATGAATAAATAAGGTGAATAAATATTTATTAGATAATTTAGTGGAGAAGTCTATTTCCCTTGCGGAAATTTTATTGGAAAATTTAGGTTTTTTCCAGATTTTTTTCTACGACAATGTTAAATCGGGAAAATGGAGAAATCTTTATTTCTATGCACGTTGTTTTTTTTTGAGAGGGAGACACGTAATTTTTTTTGCAGTTTTTTCGGGTTCAGAAATTTTGATATATGGAAAATTCATTTACCTAAAGTTTTATCCACTTCATCCCCTCATTTCATAATTATTTAAACAACTTTATTCACAATCATTTATTTATTCGCCATATTTTATTAATTTGATTATTCATCAAGTTATTCATTATATTCATTATATTTAATTTTGTGTTCTTATTTATTTATTAGTTACTCAATTATTTACTTGTTCATTCATTAGTTTATTCACAAATATCTTCATCAAGAAATCCATGAGCCTTGATAGTGCTTAATTACTGAAAAATGCACCATGTAGTAATTAACATTGATCCGCCTGACGTGCAGTAAATGGAATATTCTTATCATCTTGGATTACCCAAGCTTTCCATGATTGCCATTTATTACCTGCGGCATTATGCCTTCGAAATCATTTTACTTGACGCGATGAAATAATTAATAAACGAAGTGCTTTCATTCTTCAATTATCGGTTGATTTTTTTTATTCGCAATTTTATTCGCTTTTATTCATTCCGTTTTATCGAGTTTATAGTGAGTGAAGCTATTCAGCTACTGAATTTTATTTCTGTCATTAATTAAATGTAACAGTCAGTCATCCATAAATGAACAAATGGATTTGTTTGAGTGTTTCGTTGTCGAAGCAAAAGAATTTCATAAAGTTTCACCTTTGTATTCTCTTTCTCACGCGCAAGAGTGGGTATTTATGGAAAATGGAGCAGTTATGGATTGCGAACGACCATGATATTCAAAAAAGACCGGATGTGGCGTTCGGTATTCAGGCAACACAAAAGAGGGCCTTATGGGACTCATTTTTTTCGACTTTCGGGGGTCTGGAATAACCGCTGATAATTGGTTTATCCCTAGGTATGAATTAAAAAATAATTAAAATTATGTAAATTGAAAAATAATTAAAATTAACAAATAATTCTGAAATTTAAAAATGCGAGGACCAAATATTTAATTGTTTCTGAAATTCTGTTGTAATTCCGTTCGAAAATCTATTCATTTTCGCGCTGATTTCCAGAGCGAATTGTATAAAATTTTATTGAAAAAATATTAATTTAGATTTTACTATTCTTTTGAGGTTTTTCTGTAGAAATTCTTGGGCATTAATAAATAATTCAAGAAATAAAACTACGGAAATTCGGGCCTAAGAATTCTTATACAAAAATAAAAATCTGTTATTAGACTTTTTTAAAAATCGACGAACAAGAAATGGAATTCATTATAGAATTTCACTAGAATTGTTATAGACTTCTAATAAAATTCTAGCTGAATTTCTCATGAGAAATAATGCTTTCGTTTATATTAAAAAACTCTGAATTCAATGAAAATGAAAGTTTCAATAAAATGAACTTATTTGGGCCCGAAAAATTTCATAGAAATATCTGGAGAATTTGTTGGAAAATCGTAATAAATTTTAATTAAACTTCCTTTTTAATTTAGTTTTAGGCCGATTCAATAAAATTCTATTTTTCGATACAGTTTATTCTATTAAATATTTTCCTTAAAAATTCCTCGCCTCATATTTTCCGAGTTTTTTGTTCGATTTGTACACTGAAAAGGGGAGAAAAATAGAATGGAAAAAAATGGAAAAATTCAAGTCGAGGAATTTCTATAGAAAATTTCTCAACAGAAAAAGTCTAGACAAATAAAATTCTACTGATTTTTTCTAAAAAATGATTTCTATTACCCATTTTCTATAAAAAAAATGAATTAATAGAACCGGCCAAAAACTAAAAGAATTTTCTATAGAAATGCAATAGAATTTTCTATAGAATTCGCCAATTTCTATATTTTATTAGAATTTCCGTGGCTGCTTCCTTATTCCAAACAATAACCCGTTTTTCTAAATCTATTTTTTTCCACTAATTTCCATCGTACGTAAAATTAATTAATTGTGAAACAGGAAACGGTTTATAAACACCAATAAAACATGTTGATAAAACCCCATGCAATTTTTTTTCCTGGAAGTGGTATCCAAGGGCTCCCCCCACCCTATCCACTGCCCCCTCCCCCTCGCCCCCCTCCTGACGTCAGTCCGGGCCATTCGTTCATTGCGAGCACATTGTTGTTCTTCAACATAAACAATGGCTCTAATGTTCTTCGATACTGCGGGTCAATCGGATCTTGGAAACAGGGAAAAGTTAATCGAAAGTGATGATGATGTGGATTTCGAAGGATCTGGTGAGGATAACATAAAGTACAAATAAATGGAATGTATTTTGAGGTTATGTCCACGTAGGAAAAAATTTGATAGAAAAACCTAGTGCATTCTTCAAGAAATTCTATTGAATTGGTTTTTGACAAATAATAATTTAATAATAATAGTCTATAAGAATTCCATTCTAGTTTTATTGAAATTTTATTAAAAAATTCAGTCGATTTCTTCTGCTAATTTTATTGAAGATTGTACAATTTTACTCTGTCATTTTGTCAAGAGATGTTTGGTAGAAAAAAATCTAGAAAATTTTATTTTTCAATAGAAATTCGTCAGCATAAATTTTACAAGTTTTTTCGTTGCCTTTTTATTTTTTTTATGATAAAACTTAAGAAAGAAAACAGTAGAATGAGTGATACGACAAAATCAACGTCTTTATATTTTTTGTATCAGCAAATATTTATTGAAAACTCCGCGTCAAAGTGACATAATTTCCAGTAGAAATGACATAAAAACAAATAGAATTTTCTAATAAAATTCTTTTAGCTCTCCCATAGACTTTCTTGTAGAAACACTAGAATTTTTTATGAAATTATTGTGTTACATTTTCAATTGTTTTGCATAATAAACCTCAAGAAGAAAAATCGAAAATTTTCCATTAAGAGTTCTTGTATAAATAATTCCAAAAGAATGAGTTGTATGCGAAAATCAACATCTTTATACTTTTTTGTATGAGCAAATATCTATGGAAAACTCCGCGTGAAAGTGACATAATTTCCAGTAGAAATGACATAAAAACAAATAGAATTTTCTAATAAATTTTCTAGTAAACTTTTCATAGAACTCCATTAAAAATTCAATAGAATTTCTTATTATTAAGTATTTTCGTTGCCTTTTCATTTATTTGTCATAATAGAATTTCGCATCGAAACCCCTAGAATTTTTTCCGATTTTTTACGAATTTTTTTTCTGATTTTTTATATCTTTCTCCAAATAAAACTCAAGAAAAAAAAATTCTTCAAGAATTCTTATAGAAATACTCCCACTAGAACGAGTTACATGAAAAAATCAACATCTTCATACTTTTTTATATTGTTTCACAGATATTGCAAATATCTGTTGAGAACCCCACGTAAAAGACATAATTTCTTCTATAATTCTCGCAAAAACAAATAGAATTTTAAAATAAAATTCCCATAGTCTTCTCACCTCCATTAAACGTCTTCGTACGTCCCATGATTTTTCAGACCTAGACCCCGCGCGAATAAAACTAAAAAAGCAATCCAAAAAGGAAGCGAAAGCCCCTGCAATCAACGACATCGACCTAGACGAGTTCGAAGCTGACATGGGCTGGAAGACGACGAAATCGAAGAAATCTCCAGCCCCGAAGGCTCTCGACGTCGAGGAACTGTCGCGGGCGGTCGACCCAGTGGATAAAATCCTCCAGAAAACAGCGATAAAGCCAGGATTCGAGAAATTAACTCACGTCCCAAAATACGAAATAAGCAGGAGACAGAGGAAAGCGAGAGCTGAGAGAGAGCGTGAACGATCTAAAGGGAAGAAATGGTTCAACCTCCCAGCGACAGAGATGACTGACGAAGTCAAGCATGACCTTGAGATCATTCAAATGCGATCTGTTCTGGATCCGAAGCAATTTTACAAGAAGAACGATGTCAAGGCGCTTCCGAAATTCTTCCAAATTGGAAAAGTTGTGGACAGTCCACTGGACTTTTATCACGGGAGACTGACGAAGAAGGAGAGGAAGCGAACGATCGTTGATGAGCTGATGGCTGACGCTGAATTCGCCAAATATAATAAGCGAAAGTACAAGGAAATCGTTGATGAGAAGAGGCAGATGCATTACAAGGCTCATCGACATGCGAGAAAATTGAAGGGGAAGAAGAAATAATTTTTGGATATGTATTTTTGGGGCTGCATAAAGAATTGAATAAAATAATTTTTGTATTTAAAAATAGATCATTTATTTTTCTGGAGAAAAGATTTTTTTTTTATTGAAAAAATATGAGTTTCATTTTTATGTTTTGAAAATTAAATTGAATTGTTTTTTTATTAAGGGCTGGAGGTGGCTAGTGCATCCCTCCTGTTATCTCGACGGATGCTCCGTTGATGTAGGAACTCTGGGGAGAGGCCAGGAACAGCACTAATTCGGCGACTTCTTCTGGTTTTCCCATTCTCCCAAGTGCTATTTTGCTCTTGAACATTTGTTTCACTTCGCTGGGGATTGTTTCGATCATCGCAGTCTCGATTATGCCTGGAAGCACTGCGTTTACCCTCACTCCGAACCTGATGAAGATGAAATCAGTAGCCAAGTGGTAAAACGGTAAAAGTCAATTTTGACTAGTGACCAGTTTTCAATGAATATCTCGGAATCTAAGGGAGATAGGGAAATTGTTGTTATAACGTTTTTTGTAGAGCCGATTGAGTGCTACAACAAATGTCATTACAAAAATTTCGCTATCTCCCTTAGATTCGGAAATATTCCTCAAAAACTCAACTGGGAGATGAGTCGATTTAAACCGGTTTACCACTTCGCTACTGAAATAATTTTTTATATTACTTTGCAGCATTCAAAAGATGAATTGAAATGAAAATCGCTTCACATTCAATTTTTTTACATTAATCTCTGAATTTCATTAAGAAATTTAGTGAATTCGATAAAAAAATTATAGTGTGAAAAGATAAATTAAAAGAAGACACATTCATCGTTAAAAGGGGCTTGGTCGTGAGTCAAAACCAATTGATTCTGTTAATTTGGAAAACGAAAGGCCACGAGTTGAGTTTTGTATTTGTACCAGTACCCCTCAATCAGCCGAATCCTGGAAATCTCTTGAGCTAAGACCCATTTCACCGAGGGTATTCCGATTCATTTGGTCTAACACTGGTTGAACACTTGCATTTTCAAAGAGAAATCCGAGTGGTTTCTTGCAATAGGATTTCTATTGGATTTCTATAGAAAATTCTATTACTTTCTGGCCGATTCTATTGAAGAATTCCGCAGTTTTACTGCGCGTTTTTTTAATGGAAAATTTCCAATAGAATATTTTATAGAAAAAATCGGTAGAATTCCATTTTTCTGTACAAGTTTTTCTATTGAGACATTTTCTATAGGAATTCCTGGACATGAATTTGTCAATTTTTTTTTTCTATATATTTTTTTCACTAGACGAAACATCAAATAAAAAACTTGGAAATTTTGAGCCGAGGAATTTCTATAGAAAATGTCTCAATAGAATACGTTTAGAAAATAAGTCTAGAAAAATTGAATTCTATTGGTTCTTTCTATAGAATATTTTCTATAGACGATTTCTATTGAAGAAAGCGCAGAAATCCAGAAGAATTCTCTGGCGAATTCGTTAAAAAAAAATCTATAGAATTTCTATTGAATTCCTATAGAACATTTCTATTGAAAAAAATTCAGAAATCCACAAGAATTTCCCATCGAATTTAATAAAAAAATCTATTGAATGTCTATAGAAAAAAAATTCCACGACATGAATTTCTCAAGTTTTTCCCCTCTATTTTTCTTCTCCTTTCACTCAGAAAAATAAAAAAACTCGTAAAATTTGAGTCGAGGAATTTCTATAGAAAATATTTCAACAGAATAATTGTATAGAAAAATTGAATTCAATTTTTTCCGTCCGTATCGCAATACTCTATCCATTAAAACCACGTAATTGAAATACATCTAAAAATTGTCAATCTGCTCTCCTTCCAAAATTAATTTCATACTTTCCAAATTCCATAGAAGCAGTTTTCGTGAAAGCTTCCACTCCAGCCTTCGATGCGCAGTAATTACTCTGTCCAATATTCCCAGTCTTCCCAACGATCGAAGCAATATTGACTACAGAACCCCCTCGAGAGACATTTCCCTCGATCATCGAATTGACACAGGCTTTAGTCACGAGGAACGTCCCCTTCAAATTGACATCTATGACTTTCTCAAAATCTTCCACAGGGAGTTTGAGCAAAAAATTGTCTCTAGTTATCCCAGCGGCGTTCACCACAATCGTTGGCGCCCGAGAGAAATGACCGACAACTTTTTTCAGGGCATCGTCTACACTCGCAGCATTCGACACATCGATTTGAATGGGTAAGTGATTGGAACTCGTTAAATCAGAAATTGTTTCTTTGGCTGTTCTGATATTTTCATCCGCAGCGATTATGTCCGCACCCTCTTTTGCTAGGGCTCGACAGACAGCTCTTCCTATTCCGCCGCCAGCTCCTGATTTTTTTTAAAAGAATATTTATTATTTATTAGATTTTTCTGTACAACTTATTCTATTGAGATATTTCTCTGAAATTTCCCCGTCTCAAATTTTCTGAGCCTTTCATTTGATGTTTTTGATTAAAAGAAAAGAAAAATAGAGTGAAGAAAAATTAAAACTAATTGCACTTTATCATAATTTTTTATTTAAACTTTACTATAATTCATAAAATTTAGCCGAATCTAATGCAATTTTATTAATTTGATTTATTTATTTTTTAAATTAATTTTCATTTTTTTAATGTTAATAATGACAATTTTATAATTATTTCTCTTCTAATCTTCCAAAGTTCAATAAAAGTCATTAAATTTCTTCGTAAAATTAATAAACGTCCGTAACTTTTTAAATAAAATTATTAAAGGCAACAAAATCATGCGGATTGATAAGGAATAGATTAAGATAACGCATCATGCGTCAAGAGCAAAACATGAAGACTTTTAAAACCCATTATTGTTTTTTAAGTATTCTGGATTCAAATTGGATGATCATGTTTTGAATGCTCTTCATTAGATTTGAATTATCATTATTTTTTTCAATATTCTTCATTCGAACCTGTGATGAAGGCAAGTTGTCCTCTCAGAAGGTTCGACATTTCAGTCTGTCAATATTTTATTTTTATTTTACTATCCAAATGCTGGAAGGGATAGAAATAGAACGCCACCTTCACTCGCCACAAGCGGTCAAAGTCCATTGAATTATTTCTCGTCATTAACGCTTTGCGAATTTGTCAGATTCGGTTGGTGCCTCTAATTATTGCGGTTTTCAAACTCCCTAGATGGAGGAAACTCAATTCAAAGAGGAAAAATCGCGGAATAGTGTCTGGATAATTTGCCTTTCAAATTTTAGCGCTGGATTGTGGTGATGTGGGAGGTGCCTAGGGACCCCAGGGAGAGTAGACTTGAAAATTTAAATAAATGTCAAAATTTTTTTGGAATGAGTTCTATAGAAAGATAAACTCTATCGTCTCCTTCTATAAAATAGATTTAATTTATTTTATTTATTTGAAGTTTCTTTTCTTGGATTTGTTATTAAAAACAAATAAAAAAATTGCAGAAAAAAATTTGGAAAATTTATGCACAGGAATTGCTATAGAAAAATGAAAATCTATTGACTGAATTTCATCTATAGACTTACGATATAAATTCAATAGAATTTATCAGAGAAAGCGCCGCGGATTTTTTCCATGAAACAGTTTCCATTGGACATTTTCTATTTAACAAAACGCGCAGTAAAGCTGCGGAATTCCTCAATAGAACCCGCCAAAAATTAATAGCATTGTCTATAGAAATTCAATCGAAATTAATGAAATTTTCTATAGAAATTCCTTGACTTAATTTTTTTAACGAAAGTAGAATAAAAATAGCGGAAAATACTTTGAAAATTCATGTCGAGGAATTCCTATAGGAAATGGTTCAATAGAAGGATGAAATTCTTTCTATAGAATAATTTCTATTGAACATATCTATCTAGAAACGCGCAGTGAAGCGGAATTCTTCAAAAGAATCGCCGAAAAACTGATAGAATTTTCTCTAGAAATCCAATAGGATTTTCTATAGAAACCCAACAGAATATTCTATAGAAAACCCATAGAATTTTCTATAGAAATTCTTCGACTCATTTACAAAAAATTAAAAGATACGCAAAATACAGCTGCGAAAATATGGAAAATTCCTGTGGAGGAATTCTATAAAACTCTACAGAACGATGAAAATTTTTCTATAGCATAGTATAATCCAATAGAATTTTCTATAGAAAACCAATAGAATTTTATATAGAAATTCATCGACTCATTTAAAAAAAATTAAAAGATACGCAAAATACAGCTGCGAAAATATGGAAAATTCCTGTGGAGGAATTCTATAGAACTCTCTATAGAACGATGAAATTTTTTCTATAGAATAATCTAATCCAATATGATTTTCTATAGAAACCCAATAGAATTTTCTATAGAAATTCTTCGACTCATTTTAAAAAATAAAAAGATACGCAAAATACAGCTGCGAAAATATGGAAAATTCCCGTGGAGGAATTCTATAGAACTCTCTATAGAACTATGAAAATTTTTCTATAGAATAGTCTAATCCAATAGGATTTTCTATAGAAACCCAATAGAATTTTCTATAGAAATTCTTCGACTCATTTAAAAAAAATAAAAAGATACGCAAAATACAGCTGCAAAAATATGGAAAATTCCCGTGGAGGAATTCTATAGAACTCTCTATAGAACGATGAAAATTTTTCTATAGAATAGTTTCTACTAAACACGTCCATAAAAAATTCCTAGTGGAACGGAATTCATTACACAACGCAAATAGAATTTCCTATAGAAATCCAATAGCATCGGCTATAGAATTTCGAATTCCCCGCGCAATTCCCGTCGATAAGGCAGTCCCCCAGGTGTCCGACCGCAAAATAAAAAATGCATGGCACACCGTAGGGTTGGTAGAGCCGCATTCCAGTTTACAGGAGTCCAGTTGCGCGAATAAATCGACGCAGTAGGTTGGGTTAATCGCCCACAATGGTTCACCAAGTTGTAATATGGCCGTAATCGGCGTATCGAAATTCAACTCGGTCAATGATAACCAAATATCGTCGAGATCGAACGGTCCGTGGTGTGTCGTCGTCACAGACGATATTACGTTCAACCGTCGACAAGTTATCAACAATTGCGACATTAAAAAGTCGCAATACAATAAAGTTGTTGGATGCGTTATGTCTTCACCGTCACATCGCGGCAACAACCAACATTATGAGGGAGATATCAGTGATCCCGATGATGCTTATATTGATACTGATCCAGTCAGGTATGAATTACGAAATATTCAAAATGTCATACACGTGACAAGACAGAATATTGATGCGTTGAACAGCCGTTTCGCTGCATTCCAGCATCCACCCTCGATATACCTGACTGAGTATCAAGAATTAACAAGTAAACTTCATGAATTGGAATCTAAAGAGCACAAGCTCAATGAACTACTCAATTCGGCAAGTAGTGGTACATCCGGTTGTGATGATTTGCAATTATCGGAGCGGTACAAGTGCCCGAGAACACCTCTCAAATCGTTACTCAGGGCACACTTGCCCAATCAACAGAGAACAAGTGTACAGGTAACTTCAGCATTATTGCTCCATTATTTGTTAGTGGGTCATTTTGAAAAATAATTTAATAGCTAATCTCATGCTTTATTTATTTGTTTATTTATTTATTCATTTGGATTGGAAATTATGCAATTTTTTATATTTAGAGTTTTTTTTGTTAAAAAATTGTTTTTGTTTTTTTTGCTAATTTCTAGTGGGAATTATGCAATTATTAAGTATTAAATTCTTTTATTGAATTTTTTTTTTTAAATTACGAAATTTATACTGAATAATTTTTATAGCAAAAGTGTCACTTGATCACTATTATTGGGGTATTTGTTAGTGGGTCACGTTGAAAAAAATTTTAGAAGCAAAGTCTGATGTTTTTTTTATTTAGTTATTTATTTCAATTGGAAATTGTGCAATTTTTTAATATTAATTTTTTTTAAATGAAAAAAGATTTTAAATTTTTACTACTGTATTTAATCATTCTCAGTTTCGTTACTTTGACATCAAAAAATTTTTTTCTGCCAATTAAAATATCCTTGAAGGCCTGGAGCCCGTCATATTCCCCTTTAGATGATTTTTTAATTTTAGAAAGAGCCTGTCACGGACGAAAAAATTTAATAGAAAAACCTATCGAATTCGTTAGAAAATTCTATTGAATTTCTATTGAAATGTTCAATAGAAAATATTCAGTAGAAAAAGTCAATAGAATTCAATTTTTCTATAACTTATTCTATTGCGACATTTTTTATAGAATTTCCTCGGCTCGAACTTTCCAAGTTTTTTCGTTTGATTTTCTTGATGATAAGCAAAGAAAAATAGACTGAAAAAAACCCAGAAAATTTGAGTCGAGCAAATTCTACAGAAAATACACGAAAAGAATAAGTGATATAGAAAAATCGAATCCTGTTGACTTTTTCCATTGAATGTTGTCTGTCGAATTCGATAGGATTTTCTATTAAATTTTATCGTGCGTGGTTCACCCCAGGTTTCTCACTAAAATGATTTCGCGCCTGAAATTCCCACCCCACTAAGCTCCCCCTATCTTCCCCGCAGGTGCGAGAGGGAATGGCGCTCCGTGACGCCCTAGCAAAAGCAATGAAGCTCCGCAACTTAACAACGGAGATGTGTATCGTGTACATACTGGACCCAGACGGTTCAAAGCACCCAATCCCCTGGGACACAGACATATCGTCCCTGGAGTGTGACGAAATATCCGTCGAGATATCTGACAAATTTCCCATAGCCACCTCAATGTCCCACAATTTCGTGCGCAAGACCTGGTTCTCCCTGGCCTTCTGCGAGTGCTGTAGAAAATTGTTATTCCAAGGTTTCTACTGTCGTACCTGTAACTACAAATTCCACCAGAGATGCACTGGTGGTGTTCCACCCCTGTGCACCCAAGTGCGAATGTTGGACGATTATTTTCGTGCATTACTGGCGCACAATCCGGAGGCAACAACTGGAATTCTCCCCTCGGGCTACACCTTCAACCGAAGTATGTCGCCATCACTGGGTCCCTCGCGTCAGAAGCACCCCAGAACCCTGGCCCAGCAGGACAGATCGAGTTCAGCGCCAAACGTCTGCTTCAACATGGTTAAACCAGGGGGTGAGCCCATAATGGTGGACGACTACTCGAGATCTCAGAGTTTAAATCGCCCAGTGGAGGCAGGCCAGTCGCCAGTGTCACCAAGCTGCAGTCCAACGAAGCACAGCCAGTCGACCCAAGCAAGTCCCACCAGCACACTGCGACCAAAACGACCGAGAGCCAAGTCAGCTGACGAGTCATCGAAGAATCTCCTGGCTCCAAGGGAGTCCATCGAGGACTGGGAAATCCCAGCTGACGAGATCCTAGTGGGTCCCAGGATTGGCTCTGGCTCCTTTGGGACTGTCTACAAGGCCCACTGGCATGGCCCTGTCACTGTCAAGACCCTCAACGTCAAGATACCCACCACCTCGCAGCTGCAAGCCTTCAAGAACGAAGTCGCCGTTCTGAGGAAGACTCGTCACGTCAACATTCTGCTGTTCATGGGCTGCGTCAGCAAGCCACAGCTGGCCATTGTCACCCAGTGGTGCGAGGGCTCCTCTCTTTACAAGCATCTCCACGTGTTCGAGTCCAAGTTCGAGCTGCTGACCCTCATCGAGATTGGGAGGCAGACCGCCCAGGGGATGGATTACCTTCACGCCAAGAACATCATTCACAGGGACTTGAAGAGCAACAACATCTTTCTTCATGACGATCTCACTGTGAAGATTGGGGACTTTGGACTGGCCACTGCCAAGACCAGGTGGTCTGGGACTCAACAGTCCAATCAGCCCACTGGCTCCATCCTCTGGATGGCACCCGAGGTCATCAGAATGGACGAGAAAAATCCCTACAGCTTTCAGTCCGATGTCTACGCCTTCGGGGTCGTTCTCTTCGAACTTCTCGCTGGACAATTGCCCTATTCAAATATTAACAATAAGGACCAAATACTGTATAAGGTGGGGAGGGGCTACTTAAAACCTGATTTGAATAAACTCAGGTCCGACACACCCAAGGTACTCAAACGTCTCACCGAGGAGTGCATCAAATTCTCCAGGGATGAGAGACCCATATTCAGGCAAATTCATGGCAATCTTGAGGGACTCATCAGGGGTTTACCGAAAATTACTAGGTCCACGTCGGAGCCCAATCTTAATAGGACTCAATTGCAGTCTGATGATTTTCTTTATGCTTGTGCGTCACCCAAGACACCTGTTAATTTTCAGTTTGGCGCATTTCCGTTTTGTCCCATTGGGGGGAATATTTAAGGGGTGGAGACTATTCTACATCACGAAAGACTATTTTAATGGTATTATGGGGGGAGAATTTAGGGGGAAACCTGGGGAATTTGTTGGAAAATTCTGTTTTTTTTGAGGATTTTAGTGAAAAATAATTTTTCTGATTTTTTAATTGGCTTTTTCCATTTTTTAGGAAATCAATTTTGTGAAAAGATGAAAATTTATTCGAAAAAATATTATTTTGCACATTTTTTCTGCAAATTTTTGAATAATAATAATAATAATTGCAGAAAAAATGAAAAAAGTACATTTTCTGATTTTTTAAATTGTCTTTTTCTATTTTTTAGGAAATAAGTTTTAGAGAAAAATTGAATTTTTTTTCGAAATAATTCCGTTTTGCTCATTTTTTCTGCAATTTTGTTTTGCAAAAAAATTGAATTTGAGCTGAGGAATTTCTATAGACACAATATTGATAGAATAAATTGTATAGAAAGATAAAAATTAATAAAACTTTCAATAGAAATTCAGTAGAAAATTATTCTTTCTAGCAATTTTGATCAGAAATTATGCTATTCGGGTGTTTATGAATCAATATATAATGAAGATTGAAAGGATTTTCCTATAAAAATTTTTTAGCCTCAATTTTTCAATTTCATTTCTTGAATTCTGTAATTTAAAAAAATTGAAAAACCAAAATTGCATGATTTTTCGTAAAAATCGATGAAAAAACCGAGACAAATCAGAATTAAACAAATGAAATAGAGATTTCACCAGAATTTTCTGCCACAAACCCCGGGTTTTCCTATCGATTTTTTTAAAACACGTGACGTGAAGATAATCTTCAATTTGACAACTGTTCTTATCATCCTCGTGCAGTGAAAAATCCTCACGCATCACGGGAAATTCTCCAGAAAAGCGTTCGTTAAAACTAGCAGTATCTCTGTGTACATAAGAATATTGAAGTGCTCGTTGATATTTCCCTTGAAAATCTTCGTTTCTGGGGGAAGATGAGGGAGAATCCTCGAAAAAAAGAATATAAATAATTCATATACTCACTTTTTAGCAGTAACAGCATTCAATAAAGTAACGAGAATTGTCGTTTACTTGTGATATAATGTTATTCTGAAGAAATACATCAAAGTTCCTGGTCTTATGATTTTTCTTCGTGCTCTTTGTTTCTCTTAGCTTCGTTCGGAGAAATAATGTAAGGGGTGTTATAACGAGAGGATGTAGATTTTTTTACCCAGTCGGTTGGATAAATTATGTGCAAATATCTGTATTCCAATGATGTTTATCACCATAGGAAAACGATTCGTGGGAGAAAAGGAATTCAAATTAGTATTCACTAATTTGCGAAGGAAAGGGCGTTGGGAATGACTCGCGTGAGAAAATATTTAGGCGTCCTCAAGAGTAAAAAAACTACTGAAATGCGGAGAAAAATTGACTTGATGAATTCTCAGCTGAATGGGGATGGAAAAAATCTGAAAGATTTCTTTAAAAAAAAATTTATTTCGTTGAACAAGTGCATTCCATTTTGCACGCGTTCTTTTCTTTCCCTCAACCTCTCATTTAATTAATAAAGTTCATTAAATTTACCGCGATTTACTCAACCGCTCAGAATTCTTTCAAATTTAGCTGAAATATTATTGTTTTAAGACTTGATTCTGATTTTCTGTTTTTGTTTATGCGGAATTAATTATTAACTGATGAACACACTTTGCGTATTCGAAACGTTTGCAAATGACTGCAATTGTTTTAATACGAATCTGTATAATTCAAGCATGAATGGAGAAGTATTCGGTGAAATTGACATGAAACAGAAAATATTTCTTCGATAGATAGGAGCAATTTATTATTTCCCTGAGACAAAAATCCCCTAAGGGAAAACCAAAATATAACGTAATTATTACAAATGAATCTTATGAATTATTTACATTATTAAGACGTTCAACAAAAGTAAATCTCCAATTTCTCCCACTAGTTCCCTTCAATTCATTCAATAATTGTCATATATTTTTTAAACTCTCCTACAGTTTGAAAATAATTTATTCATAGTCGAGTAAATAAACTGGAAATACGATGAGTGAAGGCGTTCATTAAAGAAGTTGTGAATATTCCGAAGGGTCGAGGACGAGGGGCTCTCTAAGACGCCACATGGGGTGAGAGTGGAAAAGATATCATCAAAGTACTTCCAGCGGAGGGAATCAAAATAGGGTCACGTTAAGAGGGTGTGGGTGAGGGACTGGAGTTTTACCAAGTGGCAAGGGGGATAAATAATACCAAGAAATCTTCAAAAATACGAGGTGGAGGCGCCGCCATCTTGAAGCACGTTGGTACATCAAAATGGCGGCGCCCACACCTGGCCACCACCTCGTATTTTTGAACACTTTTTAAAATTGTTTATTCTCTTCAGATCCATCTCCGACTCGTCTCATCTAGTTACTGGAGAGGAACAAATTTTTTAAGCTATCGTTCACATTTTTCCATCGCCTTTTGGCTGAGAATTCACGGCCCAAAGTTTTTCCCGCATTTCAGTAGTTTTTTTTAAATCCCGAGGACTTCTAATTTTTCCACGCGTGCTGATAGGTGATTAATTTTATTGAAATATTTCCCCAGAAGTGTGTGTGTGTGTGTGTATATATACATGTAATATCATAGAAATGTGCCGAATTCAGGAGAAATAGTTTTTTTTCGACGAATCCAGAGATAAACATAAAATTCATCAAATAATATAAAAACGCGGTATCCGATAACTGGGCTGCGGTGGTATCCGATTATTATTTATCATCGTGTCTGAAATCATTTTTTAGTCGATTTGTCACAACCTAGAAGGCCTAAATGATATCATAATGGGTTATTAAGCATAAGATTAACGTTAATGAGAGAATAAAGAAAAGGTAATAATGCTCGAAGAAGTGAGAAATTTCATTCCCATTTTTAAAAAATTTATTTATTTATTTATGTAGAATAATTTTTCCACTCGATCACCTGTGCGGTGGGGAGCATGTGAGTTACTTAAAGACTCGAGGGATTCTCCTGAGAGAGATAATGGGCCAGGATTGAAGGTGCAGAACAGATGAAAATTCTTATTGTATTTGAGAAGATTAGAAATAAAATTCACTTGATCTTATGGCTTTTTTTAAATATTGATTGATTCCTCCCATCAGTTTTGATGGAAATAAGTTGGTGAGGTCGTTCACTCTGTTACAAATAATTTGTAAAACATCTTCCGTGATAATTAGCGAACGATATTTTTCATAACGACTCTACATTAGTCAAATGAGATTTCGATAAAAAAAACTCATTCCAAATTTATTTTGCTCAGAATTCAATTTGAAAATCGTATTCACACTTTAAACTGAGATTTTCAAAGGCATGGGGATTTAAAAAAACTACAGAAATGTGGGGGAAACTCCGCCATGAATTCTTAATCAAAAGGGCATGGAAAAATCCGAAGGATAGCTTGAGAAATTTGTTCTTTTCCCAGGAATGGAATGAAACGAGTTGAAGGTAATCTGAAGATGATAAATAATTTAAAGAAATGTTTAAAAATGCAAGGTGATTGACAGATGTGGTCACCGCCATCTTGTTTAGATGCCCCTCCCTCTGCCGCAAGGAGCTTCAAAGATGGCGGCGTCTCCACTTCGCATTTTTAAACATTTCTTAAAATTATTCATCACCTTGAAATCACCCGAAACTCGCTGCATTCCGTTTCTATAAAAGGAACAATTTTTTAAAGTCATTTTCCAAATTTTTTCGTTCCCTTTTGGCTGAGAAAATAGGAGCTAAAGTGCTCCCGAGGCCATCTTAATTTTGCTGAGTATTCCCCTTCAAGATTAGTTTAATTAAAAAATACAAAAACTTCGGCAGAAATTTCTCGTGAAGTGGAAACGTCTTATCTCGTCTCACCACTTCACAAATAAATTTTGTTCCTTTAGAACTTGCAAGTTTGTACATTTCCTGCGATAATTATCGCGCAACATTTTCTCGGCCAACTCTCAACATTCTCCATTCAGCGAAACCCCATTGACCTCCCACAAAACTTCCTCAAATCAACAAGAGCTTATCATCACTTTAAGCACATTATCACTGTGAGAAAGCCCATTACACGTATCAGCGTTGAACAAATAGGGGGTAACGCATGCGTATCGAGCAATCCAGGCGCCACCGTTTGCAAGTTCACCAGTCGATGTCGAATCTCCGTGCAGCGAGGGTGTATGTCCGATCGAAAGGGGTCTTAATTGCTGTAAAAATCGTGAAAAATTTCAATACTCAGGTCAATCCGTAATGAAAGGAGACTAGGATCGGCGTATTTTCCCTCCTTGCGCTCGATCGACTGAGTCCTCTCTCGATGAAGAATCTCTTGATTTATTGAGAATCGATGCGCCCCCGTTTTGCGACTTATGTTGATTGATAATTATGTCGATATTGAGACGAGAATTGGGCGATACGAACATGTGGATTAACTACTCTGTACTCGTCTTATCGTGTTACAAATCAAGTGTCGTTAAGTGAATTTGGGAGAACGGGGGATTTTTTATCTGCTGAACATCGCGTATTGCCTAATAGCAGGTGAGTTTTTGAAAATTATCGCGGAATTAGAGTAATTATGGAACGTATTGGGCTTCGGTAAATTAAAAAAAAATAACACGTTTGAAAATATTTTATAGAGGTCTAATGAATTTGATAGAAGATTCTATTGGGTTTCTGTTGAACTTCTGTTGAAGATTCTATTGGTTTTTGGTCGGTTCTATTGAAGAATGAAGTCATAATCAATCACTCGGTTTCCTCCTCTCCCTTTATTGCGTTTCCAGTCGAAAACGTCCGGAGGGGAAGGAAAAAACATTCATCGGGATTATTGCGGTCTTAATAATCTGATTAAGACCGTCCTGCACTGTTAGAAATTTCTTGAACTTTCAGTCACGACATTTGAATTTTTGATGTTGTGAGGTTGAATTCAATTTTAAATGAAAGCCTTCACTAAATTTCTCATTAATCTTGAAAATTCAAGGAAATTGGGTTTTTCATGTTAAACAATTATTGATTTTTCACTGAACACTGGAATTTTAAAACTCATCGTGAAAATTGAGAATCAGATACAATTCAATTTTCAATAGATTGAGAGTTCAGAATAGTTAGAATTCAGAATTAGTTTGAAAGTGATTTTTATAGTTTTTTTAGGATTTTTTAATTGAAAAGGAAAATTGATGTGCTATCGACAAGTGTTCGTGTGCCTGTTCTTCACTCCGCAAGAAGGTGGCGTGCGACCCATTGAAATCAAGTTTTTCTGTTGTCTAAAGACAATTATTAATATTCATCAATCTTCCTTCAAAAGTAAACATTCTAATTTTTTTTCAGATTTTTAAAATGTTTCCAAACTGGTCAATATCGAGATTCAGAACTGTAGAGTTTAACATAGTTCAGGGAAACCAATATTCAGGGAATGATAAAAAAAATATTAATGTTGGGGCAATGGTGGCTGCCAATGTTGGGTTAATGTCGGCAACATGTTGGCTGTCAACGTCGGGCCAATGTCGGCAACATGTTGGCCGCCAACGTCGGTCCAATGTCGGCTCCGTGTTGGGCCAACGTCGGCCCCACGTTGGCTGCCAATGTTGGGCCAATGTCGGCTATCAACGTTGGGGAAATATTAATTGCCATCGTTGGGTCAATATCAACTGCCAACATTGGTTTAATGTTAACTGCCAATATTGAGTCAATGTTGGCTGCCAACGTTAGGTCAATGTTGGAAGGGAAAAAATGAGTCCTACCCTATTTCAAAAAGAAAAGTCAATTCATCATCATCAATACTTAACATCTCACTATCTCTCCTCCAACCCACAGGTAGAAGAAATCATCAACTTCCAATCGAGCCCCCAGACCCCCGAAAAAATGCCGCAAGCACACGCATCGACCCCAGACCCCTGAGCCCACCGATCGATGACACAATCGAAGAATATGGAATCTCAAGAATGGGTCCATCCCTATAAACTCAATAGTCATTCCGATGCATCTTAACAGACGTGTAAATTTAACTCCGCCTATCCGCCCCGTCCTCGACTTTTCACGAATACTCGGATCTCCTCGCTCGTTTTGAGTTCACGTCATTAGGCGGTTTATTTTAGGAATTTGGAGCGACTAGCGCAGGTTCCAGACGCGAAATTCCTCGGCGTTTTCATCACATGATGCGGGGACTCGTCAGCCGCATGACGGAATCATGATCTTGCACGTCAAGTGAATTTTCTCATCCCCCGAAGCGCAGAAATATGGGACGATTTGAATTGCTGGTTGAGAATGCTCAGCGAAGATGGACTTTCCACTTTGATAAGTAAACTTGGCGCACTTCTGGGGCAGCTCAGCAGGTCATGGGGTAGTGCGAGATGGAGACTAGGACGAGGGGATGACAGCAGAATGCAGCGAGAATGGACTCGGCTCAACGGAGATCAAAACCTAATCTGAGACAATCTTAGTTATAATCTTGATATATCTTGATACATCCTTTCATCACAATTTAAATGTCCAAAGACTGATTTTGACTCATTCCCATGAATGCATCGCGCCTCGTGGACGTCAGCATCACATCGAGATAATTAGACTATTCGTCCGTTGATTTCACGGAGAGATTCCGCGCAATCTCGATCTGTAGGAGTTCTTGCGAGTGATAGACGATTTGGGGAAAGTTTTTTGTGAGGAGCGGATGTGATACCGCGAGGCGAGGAGAGTGCGGATTGACTGCTATGGGGATATCGTGAAGCGGAGGGTTTATGGTGGAGAATGTGACTTTTAGACATGTGACGTTCAGGTACTTGGGTGATCAGGTGAGGTAAGTGGGAGTTTCGGGTTTAGTTGTGAAGTGGGAGGAGGAGGCCGGAGGAGGCAGGATGGGTTGTGGACAGAGCAAGATTGGGAATATATACCTGAAGAATAGGAAGAACAAGGATCCCGGCGGAAAGAAGCACGGCGATTCGTTGGGTGAGCTGTTTTTTATTTTTATAGCATAAATATGTTTAGGTGGTGAGGATGTTAATGTGTTTTGAATGTTACTTCCTTAATTGAAACGGCTTTCGATGGATTTGGGTCGATAGGAAATTTATGCACAGAAATTGTGGAAAAAATCACGGTAGAATGAGTTGTGGAAAAGATTTTTGAGTTGTCTATCAAAAATATCAGATAGTTTTGCAAGGGAGAAGATTTTAGCTGCGAAGCGCGTTTAAGGATAATATTTTGGTTGAAATTTGAAATTTATAAAATAATTGATCATTTAAATTTTTCAAATGATTATTAGACAAATATTTCTAAATTTCTTGAAACGGATTTTCGATTAGCCAAAGGTCAATCCTCCGACCTCAATTATTGATAAAATACTTCCGAGTTTAAATATTTAATTGTTGATTGATTTAGTCATTAAAAATTAATGAGCATTGCCTGCTATTGACGTCTTCGAAACTTAACTTCATTTAAAATTTATGATTCTGCTAAAAATTCTGTTGGATTTTTATTTATTCTTCAGTCACCGCAGATTACTTGTTCCTGAGTGACCCTATCATCAGATTGCTCTCGATTTTATCCCAAGGTCAAGCGTTAATGTTTATCTGAACACCCGTTGTCCCCGGGGACACTTGATATACCCTTTCATTTGCCATTTGCGTCACGCGTATTCTTTGGAAAATCGAGTACCAGAAGTCGATCGAGTGATATCGATAAGATATTGCTTATCTCTCTGGCATGCTTTTTGTAAACATGGATTATCAGCTCAATATTGAGTGTGATTGAAATCTTCAGCGACAGTGCTCCGTAGAAATTTCGGGATTTTTGAGTGTCCGCTCCTAGGAGTCTGAATCATATTGCGGAGATGGCGGAGGGGTTCCGACGTTGCGTGTCGAGACACACGTAGGCCTTTCAGGGATGTCGAGGGTCACTACAGCCGATGAATAAACAGTTTCTTCTTCTAACATTTCTATTTTCCAATGTTCGAGGGCAAATCTTTTTTTATGTCATTTATTTTGTTGCATATGTTTTATTATATAATTATCCATTAAATTTATTAATTGAAATTTTTTTTGTTTTATTCTTTTTTCCTGTGGAAATATTCCTATACAAAATGTCTCAATTAATAGACTGAATGATATAGAAAAAGAAATGGTCCTAATGCTCCTTTCTATTCGAAAAAAGCGCAGCACAGTGCGTTTTTTAATGGAAAAAATTATTTCATATCTCATTTTGAGATGATACGTAACATGAACGAAAATTTCAGGAAATGCAAAAAATCGCCGACGGTCGGGTTTGAACCCACGACCCTCAGGTTCCCAGTCTGAGACTTACGCCCATGGCTATCCTCTCAGTAGGTGCGTTTCTCCGTCAAATTTTTCCGTGTGTCACTGATAAAACGTACGAAAAATTAATATGAATTATTAACAAAAATTTCGAAATTTTAAATTATCAACAACATTATTATTTCAATTATAGAATAAGAATAAAAAAAAAGTGCGGCTAGTCACTTAAAGCGCCCAGAGTCACCTAAATCATACGATCTTTTGTAACTTCCGCCTTAGTTTCGGTCAGTCACACAGCCCCAGCCCTGTGTTTCTCACTAGGCTAATAAGGCTGGTGACAGCCGCTTGTTGTAAGTCCTCTGGTTTCAGGAAAGCCTGGCCCCAATTATTTCAATTAGTTTTATTTATTTATTTATTATTAATTTTTGATTAGTTATTCAAAATGTCAAATTAATGAATTTGACATTTTGAATACTTTAACTCTAATTTTAAGATTGCTAACTTGAAATTTCAGAAATAATATTCCCCCAGTATTTTCGTCCCTCGAATTTTCCCATCGGTCTAAAAACTGCATTCACGCGCACATCGGCGCCCCCCACCCGCCCGTCCCCAATTTCACAAAACCCAAGCCTAAAAAGAAATACCCGGCGCGCGCATCTTGTTTACGTTGAAAAGCCGGTTTTTCTCGGATATCAGTTCCATCTGCGTCTGGATTACAGGGTTGCCGATCGCCTCGGACCTGCGCGCGCACGTTGACGCGCAGATAAAATGTACGTTACGCCGAATTCTGAGTGCATATGCACCGGGTTCAGCCAATCCCCGCGGGAGGTGTGCCCGGCGCATGCGCATTGCGTTTGAGCGGTTGAACACGACTGCAAAAATACGTGTTATTTGGACAGATCGGAATTCATAATCTGGAAAACGTCCGCAGTTACCGTTTTCCGGTCGCTCCTCGTGGGAAAAACCTCTATTCGGACTGATTGAACGCCCGATTGTACTCATACTAGACGCAATAGCATCGTATACGGGCGATTGACGGCGTGGCGCCTCCGCAGTCTCGTTTTTTATCCGAGTGTGGGTATTTGGCCTACGTGATCAGCTCCGTAACCGTATAAATGCGTATCTACCATACGCCTCGCGTTTAGTCATCTTCGAGATACGGTCCGTCGCGATTGTTCTTGCTGAATTTATCAAAGCAATACGCGATTCATTCAGTGATAATTGAAGCGTAAAAAACGATTATTGTGGAGTGAAAGTCGTGCAATTGCGCTTTATCTTGGGACTTTGGGAATTACCGGAAGCTAAGTTGGCGAATCAGAAGAAAAAAGTTGAGGCGAGGATGTGGTTGAAGATATTACGGCAGAATATCATTCAACTGGCACGGAGGACCAAAGGTACAAATATCAAAATTTTATGTCAAAAAATTTAATACGAAAATGCGGTTTTCTTGAATTTTAGTGAATAATTCTGCTCGTCTTGAGGAGTAATTTTATCCAACATTACGCAACTTTATCTTGTAATTTTTTGAGAGATATTTCAGTAAAACATAAAAAAATGTTGATTTTTCTATAGAAATTTTTGGGAATTAATTTTCAAAATATTTTCCGCTGTATTTTTTTGTTTTTCGTGATGAAATCCTAGGAAAAAATTGGAGAATCAGGCAGAAAAATCAGTAACTATGAAATATTTTATGAAAATTGATTTTCTTTTAAAATACAGAATTAAACCCGATTTTGAAATTTTTTAATAAGTTTCAGGGTCAACACGCATGAAAAAAAAAGAATAATTCTATTAAAAATTATGCAACTTTGTCGTGCGTTTTTTCGGGATTATTTTTTTACGGAAGAAAACCCTATAGAAAAAAAATACAGCGGAAAAACTTGGGAATTTAATGCCTAAAAATTTTCACGAAGTCAAATTGCCTCTTTTAAAGAAGATTAAAATGTATTTATTTAATCTTCGAATGGGAAAATCCCCAAACATTCAGAACTAGCAATAAAAGTTAATTCGAATTATTATTGTCCTTGAATTCTATATACAATTGATTGATACCCGTGCCGATTATCGTTATATTAGTTAAACTACTCGTGAATCTGCGCTAATAATAGAATCAAAAGTGATACAATATTGAAGCGCAAACAGCTACAGGGGACAGAGTTCTTCGCATTCGACGATTCGTAATAAATTGAAATGAAAAGCCCTGACTGTCCCGATTCCCCAATAATTCCGCGACTGCATTTTTGGGGAAATGATAAACTCATTCATTTGAATTTCTAATCGACGAGCCGGTGAGTCAACATGATGATCCCAGTATTTTTACGAGGATGAATAAACAGTGATGATGCGGAACAATGTTCTCACGGACGAGCGAATTTCATAGGAATTGACGGAAAATGATATTATGTTAATTCTATAGAACTTTTTGTTCAGACATTTTCTATAGGAATTCTTCGACGTGATTTTTTTGATTTTTTCCCCACTATTTTTCTAATTTTTTTAATTAAAAAAATTGAACAAAGAAACGTGAAAATTTTGAACCGACAAATTTCTATAGAAGGGAATTGCATTCTATCGATTTTTCTATAGAATATTTTCCATTGATCATTTCTATTGAAAAAAACGTGCTGATAAGCTGCGGAATTTCTCAAAGAAAATCGGCCCAAAAATTAATAGAAAAGTCTATAGAATTTCTATAGAAAATCCATTAGTTTTTGGGTTTGGGGATTCTATTGAAGAATTCTCCAGCTGTGCAGCGCGTTTTTTACATAGAAAATATCCAATACAAACTATTTTACAGAGAAAAATCTATAGAATTGCATCTGCCAACACAAGTTTTTGCACTGAAAGATTTTCTATAGAAATTTCTCGACATGAATTTTCCAAATTTCCCCCCCTCTATTTTTCATCTCCTTCCATTGAGAAAAATTAGACAAAAAACGTTCTATAAAAAAATCTATAGAAATCAATAGAAATCCAACAGTATTTTTCGCTAGATTTTTTTCCGATCGCGATTTCGCCTCGATCTCAACTTCGCGTGAATGCTATCGGCTCTCAATTATTACAGCCGCACTCCACCTTACTCGAGAGGCTAGGAAATAATTTAATGGCCTCCAGTCATTATACATTTCACATTAACATCAGAATAAGATAAGATCCTTTTAATACTGACAGACGCGGTTTATTTTAGATATTTTCAATTGACGTCATCGGAAGCGTGTCTGCTTTCGCATGCATTGTTTTACGATTGTTAACCTCGTGCTCGTGCTGATAGTGTGTAGCTAAACCACAGTATAATCATCAATGGACGCAATTACCCGAGGACGAAAATAATAAAAATCTTGGGGAAGAGTTGTCACATGCGTCACCAAAATTCAACTCAATTTATCGATATGCACTCCATAAAATATACATTTTTTCATTTTTCAGTGTTATTTTTCGTCATGTTTTTAATTTGTTTATTAATAAAATAACGTAGAATTGCACATTTTTGCATTAACAATCGTTTCTATCTTTCCCTGTTTTTTATTTTAAATAAAATCACTTGGATTTTCAGTGCAACAGATGTTTATTGAGTTATGAAGCTATAAATAATTACTTAATAATCACCAAAATTTGTTGTTAATCAACAATTCTCCGAATTATTCCCCTATTTTTTTCAACTTCATAATTCAGTAGTGAAGTGGTAAATCGGTATGAGTCGATTTTGACTATTGCCCAGTTTTCAATGAATATCTCAAAATCTAAGGGAAATAGCAAAATTTTTGTCATAACCTTTTTTGTAGAGCAAATTGAGAGCCACAAAAAAGGAAATTACAACAATTTAGCTGTTTCCCTTAGATTCCGAGATATTTATTGAAAACTGGCCAGTAGTCAAAATCGACTTATACCGGTTTACCACTTCGCTACTGAATTCATCTATGAAAAAAATTATAGAAAATTTACAATGTTCTGTACTATCATTTTATTTCTCCACATATTTTACTCTTCAACAAAAACCTACGCTTTCCTCGTACACCGAGGGGACAGCTATGTCATAAAGGCTCAGACTGAAGACCTAAGGATCGTGGGTTCAAACCCCGCCTCCGGCGATTTTTCGCATTTCGCCAAATTGATTCGTATAATGCACATTTCGATCAACATAAGAGATGAAATACCGAATTATCATGCTGTCATCAAGTCCTCTCCCAATGGAACACGAAATTTCATTTTTTGCATAATTTTGTTAACATTTCCTCTTCCGCGATACATTAAAAATTGAAAATATTTGAGTTCTGAGGCTTTTGCGGCCAATATTATTATTCATTATGATGGCTTCCGGATGGATGCCGCGTCTAGATTCAGCTGTTTGCCGACGTTTCGCAAACATTTCAGTCTGCATCATCAGGGCTAGGTTGCTCCGATACCAGGGTTGTCAGATTTTGGCGATTTATAGCCAAAACCTGTACAATTTTAAATGGTGTGACCTCACGATCTGGTAACACTGTCCGATACTGAAGCTCTCCGTTGTAAGGAAGCCTTTATATCCCCCCTGACCCCTGGAGGGGGTAGGTAGAGTGGTGGGGGGTATCCCAGCCAATCAAGATGTTTTTAATTGATCAGGTGGTCAGTATCGGAGCAACCAAGTCCTGATGATGCAGACTGAAATGTTTGCGAAACGTCGGCAAAAAGCTGAATCTAGATGCGGGATCCATCCGGAAGCCACCGTAATGAAAATATTTGAAATATTAAAATATTAAATATTGTAAATATATTTAAATATTGTAAATATATTTAAATATTGTAAATTTTCAATAATATTTCAATGAAAATATTTGAAATATTGAAAATATTTCTTTTTATCAATTGAAATTGGGGGAAACTCTCATAGAATGCTCTACCCCTCGACCTTGGTCCGAGAAAGGGACTAGGGGATAAAGGACCAAGGGCACATCCAACATTTCGACGCAGTTCCTCCGTTAAACAGCGCACAGCGCCCTGGGGCTACGTGTCGCACGTCATGTTCTCTTTTTTTCCTCGCTATCTTCTCATTTTTTGAAAGTCGCACGTATGCAGTAGACATAACAATTAACACATACAGTTCATCTCGTTTAGCGAATTGGTTAGAAGGCCTAGAATACGTTTGGATCAAGGTTTATGTACTGATTCTAAAGTTGGAGGTAGCATTGGGGTATTAATGGATATTGTCTTGCACTCGCGAATTTTACTGGCGATTCATTTTTACTGGATGTTTTCCGATTTTCGTTGGGGCTCTAGCAAGATAAATCCAAACATTCATTCAATATTTTATTGAAACTAGCGTATGGGGCGCGCTACGCGCGCCTTTATCCAGAGTATGGTTGCCTATGTTTCTTTTAGCACAAAGGTATGGTTCCGAGCAAATTCATGTCCGGTTCAATTTTATCTATTTGTTCTGACCTTTTTTACTTTTCATATTTGATTTACAAAAAAAAAAAATTATTATTACTTTTATCGTCGATTTCACACTTTTCCTTTATTTCGTGATGAGTTTTTTTTTCCGTCAATTATTTAGGAATTATTTAGTCATCATTTTTTATTTAATGGTCTTCTACTGAAGTTGATGACTTGTAAAAAAAAATTAATCCAAAAATTGAAAAGAAACTAACAAAACTTTTTTTTAAAAATACAACATCATATTATATATATATATATAATGTATTATATATATGATATATTATATTTTTCAAAAATATTAATTTTTTTTTCTCATTTTTTATACGTGATAGCTAAGCGATGCCGCAAAAAACGGTGACAAAAAACGTTACATGCTTTTTTTCAAAGGGGATTTTTTTTTCATTTTTGTAATGATAAAAACATGTTTTAAAAGTATTTTTGAGAGAACAATCTGTTCAGAATATCGTCTAGGAAATTTTTATGTTTACAAATTGTTTGGAAAGGAATTAATTGAGTAATTCATTATCATTATCAAGTGAATAATAAAATCATGAAATAATAAAATAATAAATAATGGATAATGAAGTCATTGAAAAATTGAATGAAAGCTCTGCAACTATTGAAAAAAATAAATAAATAAAACTTTCGAGGAAAAAATGGCCTCTTTAACGCCGCAACATCTCTGAAGTTTGACGGTAACAAAATCTCTACTCGTTTAAATGGTATTTTGAACCACCTGCGTGACTCGAATACTGGGTCTTGCTTTCTATTCTCGAATTACACGATTTTTTCACTGTTACACCGCGAGTTCATTATCCCCTCGGACACCGAGGAGCATTCTTCTTGTCAATTAATTCCCAGCAGTTGCATCTCATTCAAAGTTTCATTCGTCCCACTATTATATCAGCTATCAGCTGAACTCATAATTCAAAACACTTGCCCGACGCATTGACGCCTTCGGTGCAGATAATCCGTGTTTACCAGGATGAGAATTGTATAAATTACCAGACCTTTGGCCACCGGAGTGATAAAAATAGCTCGCACTTCACTTTTTATTCGGTCGCCAGCTCGAAAATAGAAGAGACAAGCGGAGTATTTAGAATTAATTATTCAAATGTGCGAGGATATTGTCGGATTATGAAATACAAATATGTTCATCTGTTTTCTTTTTTTTTTGCGGAGTTACGAGGTCGCTGGCTCGATCTCAGACGAGCCGGTGTTTTTCTCTCACCGGAAAAACAATCATTCGCGGATACATGTGAAATGCTTGATTTGCGTTTGAGATTTAACTTTTTTCGAAATGCAAATCAATTTGTTTTGTTCGAAGAAAAACAAAAACTCACAATCTATATATTTATTTGCATAAATATATTATGTAAAAGAAAGAAAAAACTTTTGTAACATCAAAGAAATAAATAAATTGAACTGTTTTGTTCAGAAATTGTTAATTTGCACAACAATTTTGCTTAAAATATTGAGCAAAATTACGGAGAATTCTCCGAAAATAGTAAAAAAATTAGTATAGAAGCAGTCAAATACGTAATTAACAATGGAATCAGCAGACGGATTATTCGGCTCGAAAATTTTGCCGGATTCAATTCTGTTGAATTAACATGACCTGTGATCAATGAGTTGTTGATGAGATAAAGAGACTGATGCATTCTTCAAATTATATCGAGATTTCGGAGGGTTTTGGAAAATATTTTATGATTTTCTGTACCTGATGTCCAAAGCGAAATTCATTGTCTCAGTGTTAATGGATGTGTGATTTTCTTGGATGAAAATCGTGGGCCTAATGCGGGGAATTTCTTATTCATCGAATCGATGGAGAAGTTGTTGGCGAATATTTCAGATGACAATTCAATATCCAGCAACATAAATATCGTCTCGTTCATGTTTTATCACTTTGCTACTGAAGTAATCCGTTGATGTGCCAAAATGAAAAGAAAGAACTGTTTTCTGGCCTTTGATATCAATTTGAGATTCAACTGTGAATGAACTTCCTAACATCTTCTTCTGTGAGTGTTCGAGCTGAATATTAAATGTGGAAAATTGATTGCAACCCCTGGTGGGTTGCAATTTCCCTCTGTGGAAAGAAATATTCGAATGAGGAATAATAACTAAGATGTTGTATAGCAGCTACCACTTGAGGAATTTCTCAGTATAATATATTATCAATGTATATTGTTATATTAGGAATACACCTCTGTATCTGTTGATGCAGGGGTGAAAGAGAGACGGAGATTTTCCCTGTGCATTGGAAATAATAACAAAACGTTCAAATTATAACGCCATTCTACTTGGAAACCCCATTCAGCTATTCATTCCATTCATGCATACATTTGGGGAGACAAAATAAAAATGTTGAGTTAATTGCGTGCACGTGGAGCTGTTCTCTCTCAACGCGTTGGACTCGCATTTTAATGCCCTCATTTTTCTGTTTTTGCATGATTCCAGGATCAGCCTCCATTGACCAGAAGAATGGTAGTGCCAAAAACAACAAAACCAACAACAATGGGGTGGAGCTCAATAGAAATGAAGATCACAATGGAATTGACGTGAAAAATCCAACGAAAAAGAAGAGTGGAAACGGACCGCTACTGCAACAGGCGTGAGTTTTTCAGTTTTTCCTCACAAAAAATGAAAAAACTTTCCTTGTTATTCAACAGTCCGGACATTTTCAGGGAGGTGTCATCCAGCCAACTCGACTTTTTCCGCATGCTGGACGAGAAAATTGAAAATGTAAGTTGTTACTTCCGAATGAAGCCTTTGTCAACTTAACTATTTTCAATCACCAAATTTGTCAATTAAATTACGTGAGAAGAATTTGAAAAATAATCATGAATATCCAGCGTCATTAACATTACATTTTGCGCAGAATTATTGTTTTTTTAAACATCCGTTGGTTGTGAGTAAATAGTTTAAATTGTTTAAATTTCCGGAAAGCTTATTTTTTTATCGGATAGAGGGCTAAATAAATAGACACGAGCACTGACGAATTATCATAGTCACAGACATTTGATCATCACTACAATAAGTTAACTAATACAAAAGAGTAGGGGAGGGTAGGGTAAAATGGACGCTTTTGACTTTTTTTGAAATATTCATGACGTGTTGAATTGTTCACGAAATGGAATCACTTTATTTTTCAATTGAAAAACAATGATTCCTCTTTGTGATGAGATTAGGCTGAGATCAATTGATCAATCTGTTTCTGAGTTATGAGTATTTTTAAAAAAGTCAAAAGTGTCCATTTTACCCCACCCTCCCCTATTCCTGTCGAGACTCGATAAAATTTTAAATGCCGATAATTAATCAGTCTCCCTAATCACTAGAGCGGACACACTCGATGCGAGTCTAATGAATACTGAATAAATCACGACAATTCGACACTAACGCTTGATCGCGTCGACAACTAATATGCAATTTAGGGCGGACCCCGACAGAAAGAAAACAAAATAAAATAACATAACACAGTATAAACTAATCTAGTAAACAGATAATAAAGAATACGAGATGCTGATTTTCCCTTGAAATTGATTAACAGGGGCCGGATTACGACGAAACATCGGACGTTACAATCGGCACTGAGGGAATAACCGATCTCCTTCGCCGTTGGGAGCTGATGGGCATGACCTGGTCAAGTGTTAATGATTTGAACTCAGCCAACGTGACGGGTCCAGATGTGCTCAAGGGTGCGCGGCCCAGTCTGACAGCGAAAGATCGTGAGGGCATGAGAAACATAATCGGGGGAAGGCCAGAGACTGCTCCAATGTTCATTCGCAATGCCAATCGCGCTGATGGCTTGCAAGACGTCAATTGTCCATCGCCAAACATGCCGAGACACGCGTTAGAATCGATAAGCCAGAGTCCAACTCAGAGTGTAAAGCACTCAACACCACCTGGAATGTCACCGACGAGCCTCCGTTTTCATGATAATAAGGAATACAGTAAAAATAGTAGAGAGAGTAGCCAATGCAGTCAAATACGTAGCTATCAGGCCAATCAAAATGGTGATTTTGTGACGCAACAGGCACTTTATCGTGAACAATATCTCCAGCAGACGGGAATTATTTCGGTTCAGCCGCAGTATCAGGGCGGCAATGTACTGAGAAATAATCCTTATGTACAGCAATTTCAATTGACGGGTCAGGAACATTTTGCCGGGCAAAAGCGGGGATTCAATTCTGTTGAATTAACGTGACCTGTGATCAATGAGTTGTTGATGAGATAAAGAGACTGATGCATTCTTCAAATTATATCGAGATTTAGGAGGATTTTGGAAAATATTTTATGATTTTCTGTACCTGATGTCCAAAGCGAAATTCATTGTCTCAGTGTTATGGATGTGTGATTTTCTTGGATGGAAATCGTGGGCCTAATGCGGGGAATTTCTTATTCATCGAATCGATGGAGAAGCTGTTGGCGAATATTTCAGATGACAATTCAATATCCAGCAACATAAATATCGTCTCGTTCATGTTTTATCACTTTGCTACTGAAGTAATCCGTTGATGTGCCAAAATGAAAAGAAAGAACTGTTTTCTGGCCTTTGATATCAATTTGAGATTCAACTGTGAATGAACTTCCTAACATCTTCTTCTGTGAGTGTTCGAGCTGAATATTAAATGTGGAAAATTGATTGCAACCCCTGGTGGGTTGCAATTTCTCTCTGTGGAAAGAAATATTCGAATGAGGAATAATAACTAAGATGTTGTATAGCAGCTATCACTTGAGGAATTTCTCAGTATAATATATTATCAATGTATATTGTTATATTAGGAATACACCTCTGTATCTGTTGATGCAGGGGTGAAAGGGAGACGGAGATTCTCTCTGTGCATTGAAAATAATAACAGAATGTTCAGATTATTATCTTTCTATTTTGATGCGTCAATCGGCTCTTCATTCTATTCATGTGTACAGTTTGCGGCGACAATATAGATGTTGAGTTCAGCGCGTACATGTGGAATTGATTTTCGAATACTGTTTACACTTTGTCGACTGGTGAATTACATTCGAAGAAACTTGTTTACGGAGATTCATTAAAAATAGGGGATTGAGAACTGCAAATGGATTACTATTGCCGGCATATCAGCTGTGGGCCAAATGTTGTATTCAACGACTCATGGAACTTATCAACGAGTTTTCGAGACAGAAAAAATTGTGTAGCTTAGCTAATGGGTAAACCAGGCCTTTCGGCGATTTTTCTCTTGATATCGTTGGATATTCTTTTGTCCTTCATGAAATTCTTTACTAATTTTTGAATAGAAGAATTTTTTTAAATGAAATCATTTTGGAAATTCAACAGAATTGAACTTTAATCGAAATTTAGTTTTAGTTTTCAATTTCACGAGTGATTTCATCCGTCAAGTTTTCAATGAATACAAAAAGGAGAGGCCTTCGATGCACCTGGGGTCACCTCTCCTCGGATGCCGTGCAGCTGTCAGCAAGGCTGTCTTATAACTCTGTCTTGGAGAAATAATAGTCGATAAAGATTTCACACATGAACTAGTCAGTGATCCAAGGTGACCAAGTTAATCTGTTTATTCAGTTCTTCGTCTGAGAAAATTTGCGAAACAATCCACAACTTCCGTTTAAAAATTCTTAATCCTTAATTCTCATAAAAAATTCTCTTTCTCGATTTGTCTGACTTTTGAGTTTTAAATGCATTTAATTTTGTTCTGAAAACACGCGAAAGACAAATCAAATTAATTAGTTTGTTCTAAGTTAATTAATTGAATCAATTAATTTAATGGGAAGTTTCATCTTCAGCGAAAATATTCAACTGCATTGTAATTATTCAGAAAGTTCCGAAGATTTGGAAATTTATAAAATTATGAAGATCATTTTTTATCATTTTATTTTAAACGCAATTCCTGACTGTTTAATCGTGACGAATTCACGATCGATAATCGATGTAATGATTGTATATTTATATGTCTGAAGTATCGAAGTAATAAGAGTCAAAGAAATATACGAATGTAGATACAAGTTGTGAGAATAGTTGCTATTCATAGTTGATGATTGAGGAAATTTTATATTTCATGTTACATGCATTGATTTTCAGAACAGAGAAGAATTATATTTTATATTTTAGTGTATCGTGAAATGAGAAGAAACTCTTTTTTTTACTTCTGATTTTATTGATTTAGGGTCATCCTCATCTTCTCTTCATTTTTCAATAAAAAATCGATTGAAAATCGAATGTGTCTGATGTTATTTTATTGTCCTGTTGATGTCCTGTGTTTTTTTATTGCAATTTTTTTTGCATAATTTGGGTCAACAACACTAATTAAGCAAAAATAACAAAATAAAAAAACTTAATGAATAAACATCAAAAGAAATAGAATTTAAAATTACCCTCGATTTTCCTCTTCACTTTAAATTCAAAACGTTTCAGTGCGTTGAGCAACAAATAAATAGTTTGAATCGAATAAAACTATTTGAAATTTTTCTAATCATTTCAATAATATTTTTGTTGAAAATTAATTATTTTGTTAAAAATTTCAGTTATGAAATAAATCATCAATCCAAAGGCCTCGGGAGCAAAAAGAACTCCTGAAATGAGGAGGAAACATTGCGCCATGAATTCTCAGTCAAAAAAAGATGAAAAAATCTGGAGGATAGCTTAAAAGATTTGTTCCTTCCTAGGAACTGGATGACGTGAGTATGAGATGATCTGAAGAAGGGAAATAATTTTAAGAAATGTTTAAAAATACGAGGTGGTTGCCAGGTGTAAGCGCCGCCATCTTGCTTGGTTGCCGCCCCCCCTCTGCTGGGGTTTCAAAGATGGCGGCATCTCCACCTCGTATTTTTAAACATTTCTTAAAATACTTTATCCCCTTCAAATCACTTTTAATTTTCTCCAACCTGTTTCTATGAAATGAACAAAAATTTTAAGACATCTTCCAGATTTTTCCGTTCCCTTTCGACTGAGAATTCATGGCGAGAAGTTTTCTTCGCATTTCCGTAATTTTTTTTTACGCCCGCGGCCTTCAATTCCAAAGGAATAAATATTATATCCCAATAAATTTATTCTCTTCGCCGTCCAAACAATGATTCCCCTTTTAACTAATAGTTTGAGAAAATAAATAAATAAAATAGTTTGAGAAATTATTCATGCGACTCAAATAAAATCAGTTTTCCATGCGTCGCACCTTCCAGACCCTAATATCCTTAATTGAAAACCTTCGGGAGGAGTGGAGTAACCATACGAGTGTAGGTGAACTCGTAATCCTCTTTGAATGACTAATCAGATTGTCTATTCGTCACGGGCAGCCGTACGTACATTTCATGCGAACTCATTCAAATTAGATTTGATACGTGGCGCAGTCGGTGGAACTTTCAATGTCTCTGCGCAATCCGCTTAAGGGGAATTCCGGTATTTCTATTTTTAGTCTTAGTTCGCATAGATTAGATTGCGAGAATCTTTCACATTGACGAATGGATGAATAAATAATTTATTTACGAAAATAGAAAATGAGAATTTACGATAAAAAATTAATTGAAAAAAAACAAGTTTATACAATTTTTTTTTTAATGTTTTGTCAATTGAGGAATGATTATTAACTTTGGGCTATTGATAACAAAAGTTGAGTGGTTAAAAATGAGGAGAATTATTATACCGAAAAATTGCAATCTATTCATTTTTTCTATAGAAATTTCTATAGCAAAGTAATTCCTATAGAATTTCTATAGAAGTTCAATAGATATTTAGTAAAAAAATATATAGAAATTCTATAGGAATTTCTTTGCTATAGAAATTTATATAGGAATTCTTACTGAATATCTATTGAGCTTCTATAGAAAATTCTATTAGTTTTTTGTCGATTCTATTAAAGAATTCCGCAACTGTCCAATAGAACTTATTCTATAGAAAAAATGAGAAGAATTTCATAATTCTATACAACTTTTTCTATAGAGACATTTTCTATAGGAATTCCTGGGCATGAATTCTCCAAGTTTTTTCCTCTATTGTTCTTCCATTTTTATTATAAGAATCAAACAAAAAAACTCGGAAAATGCGAGCCGAGGAATTTCTATAGAAAATATTTCAATAGAATAAATTTGACCCAAAAGTCCAATTCAATAGATTTCTTCTATAGAATATTTTCCATTCGACATTTCTGTTGAAAAAAAGTTCAATAGAAATCCTATAGAATTACAAATAGAATTTTATAATAAACAAAATTTTCATAAAATTCAAATAACATTAAAAATATAATACTTCAGTATTTCCTATAAAATTCTATCGTACGTAAAAAGACGAAAGTAATTTTCAATAAATAGAATTCTATAGAATTTCCCTAGAATTGCAAAAAAATTAAAAATTAAATACTTGATCTTCAATTTCACAGCTAAATTCAGTTTAATTTTTTCCATCAAATTTTTTTTGCATAACGTGATGGTTTCGGGTTTTTAATTACCTCACCCCCACCTAGTTATCGACTAAATATTCCCAGACACGCGATAAATCCAACTCAGCATAAATCAACAACAAAAATATCGAATTACTCACTTTTGAATATCGAGGGGCTGCGATTGGCTGGCGAGTGCCACCTGCTGACTGCAAAAAAAACGATTATTCAAAATGGCAGCTTCTGTCAAGCACAAACTTCACGGGTGACAGAAGGTTGTCGTTCAACAATCAACTCTTAATTTTCGGAAACGACAACAAAGTGAACGGTTTTCTGAGGTCAGTGAACGTAAATCATCATCTGGGCTGTCACTTCTGCTTGCAATATCGCATTTTCCATCGTCATCTGCGCTTTATTTCGTTGTTAACGAGGGCGTGGCACGAGAGTACATGTTTATTCATGTGCCCTTACTTTCGAGAAATTATGATTTTTTCGGAAGAGGCTCTGATTAATTCAGAAATGAAAATATGACGTTGAGCTCTCCCTTTTTATTTCGTATGGAGCATTGTTATGAGCTTTTTATGGAGAGTAGATTGAATGAATTGATTTCGGGGTGAGGTTATGTTTCAACGTCAAAACATACACTTGAGAAAAAAAATTGGAGAAAATTCTAGCGAATTCTGTAGAAAATTCTGTTGGATTTCTATTGAACTTCTGTTGAAAATTCTATCAGTTTTTGGGCGATTCTGTTGAGGAATTCTGCAGCTTTTTTTAAGAAAATGCCCAATAGAAATTATTTTATAGAAGAAAATTTGAGAAATTTCAACCTTATAGACAATTTTTTCTATAGGAATTCTTCGACGTGATTTTTATTTTTTTCCAAGTTTTTTGTGTGATTTTTCTGCATCAAACACGAGAGGATAAAACTTTGAAAAGTCATATTGTGAAATTTCTATAGAAAATTCCTATAGAAAAAGTTCTATAGAAGCATAAAATGCCCCTGATTTTTTCCATAAGACAGTTTCTATTAGACATTTTCTGTAGAAAAATCCACAGTGAAGGTGCGGAATTCTTGAATAGAATCGGCCAAAACCTAAGAGAATTTTCAATAGAAGTTTAATAGAAATCCAATAGAACTTTTATCGAATTCGCAAAGAAATTCTATAGAATTTTTATTAAACTTTCTATTAGTTTTTGACCAATTGCATTCTAAAATTCCCCGTTTTTTTCCCAATAGAATCGTTGACTGGAAAATATTCTATAGAAAACGTTAATAGAACTCGATTTATCTATACAATTTATTCTATAGAAATATTTTATATAAAAATTCTTCGAGAAGAAAAAAACTTTAAAAAATAATATAGAAAAATTTCCATAGAAAATGTTTAATAGCCAAATTTGTGTCTAAACTTGAAATTCTCCTGATTTTTTCTATAGAATATTGCCTATTAGACATTTTCTATAGAAAAACGCGCAGTGAAGCTGTGGAAATCTTCACCAGAATCAGCCAAAAACTAATAGAATTTCCAATAAAACCCCAACAGCATTCTCTATAGAAGTCCAATAGAATTTCTATAGAACTCGCTCAGAAATTTTTTCCTGCGCGTTGTCCACATCTCGAAATACTATGAACCATTGCAATAGAATTTTTTTCCCCCGCGCGCCCAAAAATTATGATTTCCCCGTTATTCGCTTTTTTGTAGTTTTGCACTTTTTTTCATTTTAGATACTAATTCAATAAATATGAGCATTAGCACACAAGACACGATAAATGGCCACGAAAATAATCAAATACTGTACATTGATCAGGATACACATGATTCAAATTCACCTAACGCTGCACCATCCATGTCAAAGAAGAGTGACAAAGTAGTGACTGTACCTGTGGTAGATCCCAATAGATCCTTAACCCAGTTACCATCCTCCGAGGATACTGGAAATTTGACTTTCATGCACAATGTACGTGTCTCATCGTGATTGATTTTTCACGGATGAAAAAATCTAACAGAAAAACCTAGCGAATTCGCTAGACAATTCTATTGAAATGTTTAATTGAAAATATTCCATAGGAAAAGTCAAAACATTTAGATTTTTCTATAGAACTCATTCTATTGAAATATTTTCTATTTTCTGATTTTCTTCAATTCCATTAAAATGTTTAATAGAAAATATTCTATAGGAAAAGTCAAAACATTTAGATTTTTCTATAGAACTCATTCTATTGAAATATTTTCTATAGAATTTCCTCGGCTCAAATGTTTCAAGTTTTTTGGGTTAATTTTCTTCAATTCCATTGAAATGTTTAATAGAAAATATTCTATAGAAAATGTCAAAACATTTCGATTTTTCTATAGAACTCATTCTATTGAAATATTTTCTATAGAATTTCCTCGGCTCAAATGTTTCAAGTTTTTTGGGTTAATTTTCTTCAATTCCATTGAAATGTTTAATAGAGAATATTCTATAGAAAATGTCAAAACCTTTCGATTTTTCTATAGAACTCATTCTATTGAAATATTTTCTATAGAATTTCCTCGGCTCAAATGTTTCAAGTTTTTTGGGTTAATTTTCTTCAATTCCATTGAAATGTTTAATAGAGAATATTCTATAGAAAATGTCAAAACATTTCGATTTTTCTATAGAACTCATTCTATTGAAATATTTTCTATAGAATTTCCTCGGCTCAAATGTTTCAAGTTTTTTGGGTTAATTTTCTTCAATTCCATTGAAATGTTTAATAGAGAATATTCTATAGAAAATGTCAAAACATTTCGATTTTTCTATAGAACTCATTCTATTGAAATATTTTCTATAGAATTTCCTCGGCTCAAATGTTTCAAGTTTTTTGGGTTAATTTTCTTCAATTCCATTGAAATGTTTAATAGAGAATATTCTATAGAAAATGTCAAAACATTTCGATTTTTCTATAGAACTCATTCTATTGAAATATTTTCTATAGAATTTCCTCGGCTCAAATGTTTCAAGTTTTTTGGGTTAATTTTCTTCAATTCCATTGAAATGTTTAATAGAGAATATTCTATAGAAAATGTCAAAACATTTCGATTTTTCTATAGAACTCATTCTATTGAAATATTTTCTATAGAATTTCCTCGGCTCAAATGTTTCAAGTTTTTTGGGTTAATTTTCTTCAATTCCATTGAAATGTTTAATAGAGAATATTCTATAGAAAATGTCAAAACATTTCGATTTTTCTATAGAACTCATTCTATTGAAATATTTTCTATAGAATTTCCTCGGCTCAAATGTTTCAAGTTTTTTGGGTTAATTTTCTTCAATTCCATTGAAATGTTTAATAGAGAATATTCTATAGAAAATGTCAAAACATTTCGATTTTTCTATAGAACTCATTCTATTGAAATATTTTCTATAGAATTTCCTCGGCTCAAATGTTTCAAGTTTTTTGGGTTAATTTTCTTCAATTCCATTGAAATGTTTAATAGAAAATATTCTATAGAAAATGTCAAAACATTTCGATTTTTCTATAGAACTCATTCTATTGAAATATTTTCTATAGAATTTCCTCGGCTCAAATGTTTCAAGTTTTTTGGGTTAATTTTCTTCAATTCCATTGAAATGTTTAATAGAAAATATTCTATAGGAAAAGTCAAAACATTTCGATTTTTCTATAGAACTCATTCCATTGAAATATTTTCTATAGAATTTCCTCGGCTCAAATATTTCAAGTTTTTTGGGTTAATTTTCTTCAATTCCATTGAAATGTTTAATAGAGAATATTCTATAGAAAATGTCAAAACATTTCGATTTTTCTATAGAACTCATTCTATTGAAATATTTTCTATAGAATTTCCTCGGCTCAAATGTTTCAAGTTTTTTGGGTTAATTTTCTTCAATTCCATTGAAATGTTTAATAGAGAATATTCTATAGAAAATGTCAAAACATTTCGATTTTTCTATAGAACTCATTCTATTGAAATATTTTTTATAGAATTTCCTCGGCTCAAATGTTTCGAGTTTTTGGGTTGATTTTCTTCTTGAGAAGAAGAGAAAAATAGAATGACAAAAAATAGAAAATTTGAGCCGAGGGAATTCTACAGAAAGTTCAACAGATTCAATAGAATTTTCTGAAGAATTCGTCAGGTTTTTCTATTAAATTTTTTCATGCGTTCCTGTTGACTCACGAGGCAATGATTACTGATTTAATTTATTTTTATCATCAGCACTTTGGGAGCGCCAGAAAGGTTGGGGACGGCAATGCTGATTCGTTTGATAATGATGTGAACACTTTGAAGAGACGATTGACAGGATTAACAGTCATGGAGAAACGGGGCAGCACGGAGCTGCTGGGCAATGAGCATTCGGCGAAAAATGCTAGCTCTGATTCACTCAATTCCGAGAGCAAGAGCTCATCACTTAATTCCAAAATGGGGCAGGAATCGGTAATGTTGGAGATTTTTTTATTCCATTAGAATTTTTGAGGGAAGTGGTCAATGCGGTAATTTAATTCTTTTTTTAATACAGAAATTCAATATATTCCTGTGAATTTTATTATTAAAGAATTCTTTTTGTTCATTTATTGAAGAAATTGGAATAATTCTATTAGGATTTTATTGAGGAAAAATCAGAATTTATCAACTTTTAAAGTTCCATAATGAAATTCTTGTAGAATTTCAATAAAAATGCAGCAGAATTTCCGAGAGAAGATTTTTTAAATTTGTTAAACATGAAATTCTTTTGATAATTAATTGTTTCCAGAGAAAATGTCGAAATGGGCATTATTTCTTATGAAGAAAATGAGAAAAAGATTTTGAATAGTTAATCAAGTTGATTATTTTGACTGAATAAACAGTATTTATTCATTTGTGTCTCTAAAAATGAAGTAAAATTATAAAATAATGAAGTACTATTATTTCAGGAAAATACATCTCATTTTTACTGACCACTTCACTCCTAAATTCGAAGGATTTTACTATTTATAAGAATTAAAAATGTACTTGTGCATTAAAATAACTTTTGTACTTCACTCATGCCTACTCAGGAGTGTTGGGAGAAAGCTTCAAACTCGAAAAGCTTCTCAACCAGCTCAACATCCACTGACAATAATATTGTATCTGCCCTCGAAGCAAAGAAAGATTTTAATGGGAAAGTCAGTCCGGTAAAATACCTCAGAAATTCAAAATTTATCGTTGATTTGTATTTTTGAATAATTAATAATTTACGCATTTTTTCACAATTATATTCTTAATTTTCTGCACGATTTGAGGATATCCAAATTATTATTATTATTACTAGATTATTATTACAATTATTCCTGTTATTGCTGTTACTATTACTTTTATTAAACTCTTATTATTAGCAGGAACAGCCATATTCATAAATCATAATTACCATTAAATTTTGAAGCTCTCATTTAGTCAACATCACTCGGAAATTTTAAATTATTTAACTAATTATCAATTTAAATATTCAAATTCTGAACTATCTCATTAATTAATAATTTCAGCAGGAAGATTATCCATTATTTGGTCAATTGGTAATCCCTTTAAAGAAATTAGAATTATTTACTTAAATATTTAAATTCCGAATTATTTTATTAATCATTAATTGAGAAATTGAAATTCCCCGTTATTATATTATTCTTCAAATTTCAATCAAGATGAGTAAAAACTACTCGATTATTGTTTCAATTCAGTAATTAAACTTGAATTCAGTAGTGAAGTGGTAAAACGGCACAAGTCAATTTTGACTATTGACCAGTTTTCGATGAATATCTCGGAATCTAAGGGAGATGGCAAAATTTTTAATATGACCTTTTTTGTAGAGCCGATTGAGAGCTGCAACAAATGTAATTACAGAAATTTCGCTATCTCCATTAGATTCGGAAATATTTCTGAAAAACTCTGGGAGATGAGTCGACTTGGACCGTTTTAGCACTTCGCTACTGAATTATTGATGCCGATCTCTGCTCCTGGACGTCCCCATTAAATTATTTCGTGAATCTTCTAGAATTTATCGGGAACCGATACTGGTCCACCCCTCCTGAACGGCGAGAGACGACAAGGTGTAGCCCGCGACGTCACCTACTTATGCCCATACTCTGGGCCAGCACGTGGTGTTCTTAGTGTAACAAACTTTAAGCTCCATTTTCGAAGCATCGATCGAGAAACCCCGTACGTGATAGAGGTGCCACTTGGTGTTGTCAGCAGGATTGAGAAAGTGGGGGGCGCCAGCAGCCGAGGGGAGAACTCCTACGGGATCGAGGTGTTTTGCAAGGACATGAGGAATCTTCGATTCGCTCATAAGCAGGAGAATCACTCCAGGCGTGATGTCTTCGAGAAACTGCAACAGTATTCTTTTCCTCTGTCCCATAAACTCCCGCTGTTCGCATTCGAATACTTCGAGACCTTTCCGGAGAATGGCTGGACTGTTTATGAACCTATTGCTGAACTCAAACGAATGGTGAGTTTTTCATTTTTTTAAATTCAATTTATTTGATATTTTAATGCCGTTTTATTTTCAATAGTTCAAAATGAGTTTTTTCTTCGAATATTTTTCATGTTTATGTTAATTTTTAAACAGCAGATAATTTTCAAAATTCATATGATGAATTGCAAATGGAAATCATTTCAAACAAATTTTTTTATTTAATGTTTTAAGATGCTCTCTCATTTATTCATTAGTGTTAATTAATATTAACATGAATAATTCATAATTATCCATATTTATATAGATTTTAGGACAATGGGATAAATTAAATGAAATGAAAAATGGATATTATGAATTAAAATCAAGGATTATTTCAAATAAAATTATCTTTAATTAAACAATTAACAATTCATACTAGTCCTTTTTAATTAATATCATCAAATCCATTCACTTAATACTGATTTCCAATTTCATGAAAAATTAACTGGAATTGGATTTCAAACGGAATTAATTTAACTCAAAATTTTCAATTACAACTCCTCTCCATTTTTTTAAATATTCCATCAAACCTATTCATTCAGTATTAATTAAAAATTTCAGGGAGTGAACAACGACATGTGGAAAATCTCAAAAATCAATGACACGTACAGTCTCTGTGACAGTTACCCCGCGATATGGGCAGTGTCAAAATTTTTTATTCAAGTTTTAAGATGCTCTTTCATTTATTCATTGGTATTAATTAATATTAACATGAATAATTCATAATTATCCATATTTATATAGATTTTAGGACAATGGGATAAATTAAATGAAATGAAAAATGGATATTATGAATTAAAATCAAGGATTATTTCAAATAAAATTATCTTTAATTAAACAATTAACAATTCATACTAGTCCTTTTTAATTAATATCATCAAATCCATTCACTTAATACTGATTTCCAATTTCATGAAAAATTAACTGGAATTGGATTTCAAACGGAATTAATTTAACTCAAAATTTTCAATTACAACTCCTCTCCATTTTTTTAAATATTCCATCAAACCTATTCATTCAGTATTAATTAAAAATTTCAGGGAGTGAACAACGACATGTGGAAAATCTCAAAAATCAATGACACGTACAGTCTCTGTGACAGTTACCCCGCGATATGGGCAGTGTCAAAATTTTTTATTCAAGTTTTAAGATGCTCTTTCATTTATTCATTGGTATTAATTAATATTAACATGAATAATTCATAATTATCCATATTTATATAGATTTTAGGACAATGGGATAAATTAAATGAAATGAAAAATGGATATTATGAATTAAAATCAAGGATTATTTCAAATGAAATTCTCTTTAATTAAACAATTAACAATTCCTTCGTCATGTTTGATTCGTGCCGAATACTATTCCTTTTTAATTAAAGAAAATAATTAACTTGGTTTAAATTATTTAATGAATATCATCAAATCCATTCATTTAATACTGATTTCCAATTTCATGAAAAATTAACTGGAATTGGATTTCAAACGGAATTAATTTAACTCAAAATTTTCAATTACAACTCCTCTCCATTTTTTTAAATATTCCATCAAACCTATTCATTCAGTATTAATTAAAAATTTCAGGGAGTGAACAACGACATGTGGAAAATCTCAAAAATCAATGACACGTACAGTCTCTGTGACAGTTACCCCGCGATATGGGCAGTGCCAGCGGCAGCGACTGATGAGGATCTCCAGGCCTCTGCATTATTCAGATCGCGTGGAAGATTGCCAGTTCTGTCCTGGATTCACCCAGAGAGCCAGGCCACCATCACTCGATGCGCTCAGCCACTAGTTGGTGTTGGGGGCAAACGAAGTCGTGAGGACGAACGATATGTTCAGTTGATAATGGATGCCAATGCACAGAGCCATAAGTTATTTATCATGGACGCAAGACCAATGGCCAATGCCATTGCGAATAAAGCCAAAGGGGGTGGATACGAGAGTGAAGATACTTATCAGAATGCTGAGTTGGTTTTTCTTGATATTCATAATATTCATGTGATGAGGGAGAGTTTACGAAAGCTAAAAGGTGAAATTAACGTTAATTTTTACTGAAATTCATTTTTCTGACATTTTTCTCTTGTTTTAAAAAATTAGAGACTTGTGTTTTTTTAGGAAATTCTGCTGCATTTCTATGTGAGTTCCATATGAATTGTTCTCTTGAGAGTTTTTTGCAAAAATTCTTGAGCATAATTTTTTAAATATTTTTCTTCTATTTTCTGTTTTTTTTTTTAAATCAATGGAAACAAAATGGAAGATTTTTGTCCAATAATTCTTATAGAAAAAAATCTCAATGGTGTAAATTCTATAGAAAACTCAGCATCAATTAATTTTTTTATATTAAAAATTTTTTTGAAAAAAACCTGAAGCAAAAAATAATAATTTTTCATAGAATTTATAAATTTATAAATTTATTATATTGTGGATTTGATTTCAGAACTCTGTTTTCCAACAATTGATGAAGCCCGATGGCTGTCAGGGCTTGAATCAACCATGTGGCTTAAACATATTAAATGTATATTAGCTGGAGCTGTCAGGATAGTGGATAAAGTGGAGAATCATAAAACTTCGGTTTTAGTGCATTGTTCTGATGGTTGGGATAGAACAGTGCAGGTAATAAAAATCACTCACTCAATATTTCCCTAAAAACTTTCTCAGTAACAATCACTATTATTTTAGATAATTAAATGCTTCAGGAAATTCCCATAAAATATTTCAAACAGTACTATTTCCACAAAAGAAATTCAAATATAAATTCATCTGCAATATTTCATGAATTAAAAATATAATTTACTTTAAACTCAATTCTCAGATCACAATTTTTCAAATATTCGTTCATTCCTCATGTTTGTTGACTCTAGAAAATAAGCAGGAAATTAATTGTAATTATGAATATTTAGAATGATAATTTTAATAGTGAGGAAAAGTTATTTGATATCTTATTTTTTGTTGATAATGAACGTAAATGTAAATTTGAGAAAATGCAAAAAAAATCGCCGGAGGTTGGGTTTGCACCCACGACCTCAGTCTCATGGCTATCCCCTCAGTTCATAATTTAAATATTCATATTTAACGAGATCTGCAGCTGAGTCATGTTGAATTACCAACAAAGTATTTAAAGAATTTTAATCTGCCAATTATTTATTGCAATTGCTAAATTTGGATTATGAATATTGAAATAATTTCTTCCAGCTCACAGCACTAGCGATGCTGATGCTGGACCCTTACTACCGAACGATAAAGGGCTTCGAGGTTCTCATCGAGAAAGAATGGCTGAGCTTCGGCCACAAATTTCAACAGCGAATTGGCCACGGAGACGAGCATCACAGCGATGCCGATCGTTCGCCGGTATTTCTGCAGTTTATCGACTGCGTCTGGCAGATTAGTCAACAATTTCCCAATGCATTTCAGTTCAACGAACATTTCTTGATAACTATACTGGATCACTTGTACTCTGGGAGATTCGGAACTTTTCTCTTCAGCAGGTGCTCGTCATTTTTTATTCAATCTATCTAATCAATTTTTTAAATTCGATCCTTCGACAGTTATTTATTTCGTGATAATTATTATTCTGCAGTGAGAGAGAACGAGTCCAAGAGCAAGTGAAACAGCGAACAGTTTCCTTGTGGTCTTACACTAACAGCCAACTGTCACTGTATCAGAACCCTCTGTACTGGGCTGGACCGAATTATCAGTTGGTGTTGATGCCGGTGGCTAGTATGAGGTACATAAGACCCTGGAAGGGGCTGTACTGCAGGTGGAATCCAAGTATGAGACAACAGGTAAATGCAATTGACGAGAAATTATTCATTTTATGGCACACAATGTTAGAACATTATTTTCGATAATAATAATTAATTAATATCAATTGTTCTGGGGTTTTTTTCGTATTTAACTTTTGTTTCTTGTAATAGTCATGTTTGTTTCTCATTGCCGTAGGCAATACCACCGATGAGAATCCTCTGTCTCAATTTATCGTCTTAAATTTTCATATTACAATAAATGATTTGCTCACGTTCCAATTCCTCAAATTCGCTCACTGAATAAGATTTTAATCATAATTACAATTAAATTCCTTCTGGAACACACTTTAGAGTGTGAATTTCTGGGATTCAATGTTTGTTGATACTCTGGTAATACTCAATCCTCTTTAGAAAGGACATTGATGCAAGAATGAATGATTTTTTATTCTCGTCAGGATCCTGTCTACCAACGTGCAAGAGAACTTCTAGTCCTGAAGGAGCAGCTGGAGAAACAAGTTGAAGAATGTCGCAGAGAGCAGGCGCTGCGGGCCAATCGCTCAATGACGTCGCCAGCCCCACCGGCACCTAGAATACACTCACCTGTTCACTCATAGCTGGGTGTCTTGTGCGATCTAGGATCTATATAAAACCGGACTGATTTTTTTTATCCTCGAACGTCTCTAATCACATGTATGTACAAACACCTCTGTTAATAAAGCTATTACATATTTCTAACGACAAATATTTTGATTTACCGTCACATCGAGCACGAGGAGAATAATCAAGTGTCATGTGAAGGGTCGTTGGTCGTAATTATCACCGAGCGAATTTGGTGTAATGAATAGAAAAATTAATTTATTGATTCAATGCTCGTTACTTGAATATAATGCACTGTAATTTTGTACGTTTGGTTCGAAAATACTTGGGAAGAATATACGATTTTTTTCAAGGATTTCGGTTGTTTCCTTCTGGAGTCGTTTCCTCTTTCGCCCACTTTTATCTTCTGCTCTTTTTTGTGGTGTAGAAGAGCTTCAGCAGCAGAATATATGGCGCTTCGAACATTAGGTAGGTCACGTAGGCGCTGAAATAGGTGATTACCAGGAATCCGAAGGAGGTCGTTCCCTGGTAAATGGTTAGAAGATAGTAAACTCATTCTTTATGCTTTCTGTAGGACTTATTCTATTGAGATATTTTTTGTAGAATTTCCTCGGCTCAAATTTTCGAAGTTTTCTCGTTTGATTTTCTTGATGAAGTTAAGAGAAAAATAGAAGGAAACAAACGTCGAATTCTATTTATTTTTTCTGTAGAATTCTCCAATTTTTTTCCCGCGGATGTAATGCAAAAAAAAGCGGAAAAACCTTAGAAAAATCATTCTCATAGAAAAAATCTCAAGAGAAAAATTCAAACAGAAAAATCGAAATCAATTGACTTCTTCCTATGAAATATTTAATAGAATCTGCGCAAAAAAACAGAATTGTCACGAGAATTCCCTAGAATTTTCGCCAATTCGCAAAGATTTTCTATAAAAATTTTTCATACGTGAATTTCAGTTTTAGAAACATTAACAAATTAATACTGTCAGTGTCCACGGAATAATTCCCGCTCCGGATATTTATAAACTTACGTTTAGCAACAAATCTATGTGAATAGTTGCCTCACTGCTGAGGGAAACTGAACCTACGAGGAACGGATTCAGGAGATAAGCGCAGTACGTCAGTTTGCTCAAAGGTATCCACCCCTTGAACGTCAAAATTGTGTTGACAATTCCTGAAAGAAGAATAATTAGACCTCTGAAGCTGAGTGATCACCTGAATTTGATTATAATTCAACGAATTCCTCTATTAATCAATATCAATCAGTATTAATTAATTTATTTAGTAGACTTCATTGCTGAATAAATAAATGATTAATAATAATTAATTTTATTATTTCATTCATTGCTGAATAAATAAATAAAATTATTAATTATTATTAATTATTTATTTATTCAGCAATGAATAAAAAAATGAATAAAATTATTAATTATTATTAATTATTTATTTATTCAGCAATGAAGTAGACTTCATTGCTAAATAAATAAATAAATTGTTACTATTTCTGAAATAACGAGGAACAGAACGAAATATTGACATTAAGCACTGAATGGTGAATAGAATTACGAATGAAGAGACGAAATTCATCATTCACCTCCGTGATTCGTGCAGCAGGCGATCACGACCCAGGCAATTCCGACCCCCCAGGCTGTTCTACCCAAGGCGATGTAGACAGACACCGGGACAACAGACACTGTTCTGTCATACAAGCCGAAGAGAACGAGGAGACTGCAAGAGCTGCCGCATATCCACAGCAGCCACAAAGTTTTCTGCACAAAAAACAAGTGGAAAACTGCTCTTGTCTTCATACGCCAGTTATTTTTGCTAATAAATCATTCTGTGGCATATAATTCAGTGTTCATTTTATGGTATTAAATTGAATGGGATTTATTTTTAAACAATTGTGCCAGATTTTCAAATTTGCTGAGTGTTATCATTATCGTTGTTCTTATTATCTTTTTTTTCGCACAACCGATTGTCTTTTTCGCGGTCCTATCACTCCCCTCACCCCTTCGGTGCTTCACGGGCTGACATTCTCGTCCTAACTAAGCGGCATTTACGAAGCAAAAATGCTGAGGAATTTTACAAATGAACTTTACTCTCACTATTTTGTGATAAATAAAATTTTTTACCCTTCCAACATTCAATTTATTCTCCATTCTGGATAGCAAGTAAGCTGTGGCTATTCCAACGAGATAGGGACCGATCCGCATCCACGGTGGATCATAGAAAATCTCAAACGTATTCCATTGCTCATCGAGCCTGCAAGAACAATATTAATCCGAAAAAAATTCAAATTGGAATTCAGTAGTCAATTTTCAATGAATATCTCGGAATCTAAGGCAGATAGCGAAATTTTTGTCAGAACCTTTTTTGTAGCTCTCGATTCGCTCTACAAAAAAGGTTCTCACAAAAATTTCGCTATCTACCTTAGATCCGGAGATATTCCCCGAAGACTCGACCAAGAGTTGAATTGTTTGAACACTTCGTTAAAAAAATGTTGAAAAATGTTTCGTTAACTTACGTGGGCACGTAATCATAAATATAGGCGACGTATCCGGAAATCAGGGAGGATGTGAAGAGAGTTGCAACGAAAATTCCCGCGGCGGTGTAAAAATACCTGGAGAGAACGGATCAATAAAAATCAGAATATATCAGAGAATTATTTATATTCAGTGATTAGAGCTGTAGATATTTTTACCTCGCTGATATTAGTAATAACGCGGTTCCGAATATGAAGAATTGAGTGTCATTGGAGAGGTACCAGCTCCAGGATAAACACTAAAAAATTTAGAAAAATGGCAAAGAATTGGTAGAATAGAATAAATAAAAATCAAAGTCAAAAAATTAATATTTAGATGTCATGTGTGGAAAGTTTAATGAAAAACCGAAAGGATTAGTTGGAAAATTCTATCGGATTTTATTATTAAAGGAGATAAATTATTAAAGGATATAATTACGTTTATTATAATTCATTATAATTTATTTGACATAATTAATTGTCATCGGCAATTTATCCAATTAGAATTATTAACCATTATTTTTCAAGAAATTTTCTTGTATTTTGTAATGGGGAAATTATGAAAGTCATTGCGAACAATTTTTGTACGAAAATTCGCAGAGAATAAATCATATCAAAGAATTAAATATTCTATCCTATTTTTTCTATCGAAAATTGTCAAAAAAATGGATGAAAAATGGCGAAGAATTAATAGAATAAAATAAAAATCAAAGTCAAAAAATTAATATTTAGATGTCATGTGTGGAAAGTTAATTATAAATTATTAAAGGATATAATTACGTTTATTATAATTCATTATAATTTATTTGACATAATTAATTATTCCCAACGACAATTTATCCAATAAGAATTATTAACCATTATTTTTCAAGAAATTTTCTTGTATTTTGTAATGGGGAAATTATGAAATTCATTGCGAACAATTTTCGTACGAAAATTCCCACATTATTTATTAAACCCTATTTTTCTGAAAAAAATCTATCAAAAAATCGACGGAAAATGACAAAAGAATGAGTCAAATAAACTGAATAAAAATGAAAATGAAAAAAGAATGAATAAAACAAAATAAATCAATCAAATTTTACTAAAATTCCGAGTTTTCTAATAATTCTAATAATTAACAATAACAAAATTCTCATAATTACCATTTCTTCACGACTAAAAAAATTATTGATGTAAAGTAAATTTCGCCACCAGTACTTGGGGCAAGTGTCCTGCGGCCTTTCGATCATATAAAACGGGGATGTGCGGCTGTAGAACTGGGCATTCATTTCCGCGATGCCAACGACCATCATGTAGGCAGGGGTCAGTCTGTAAAAATAACGATCCATTAAATTACGGCTCGTGGTGACTCAGGGATGACTGCCATCACCACCTGATAACTCTCGCCACGACAGATTGGGTGAATGTACCCAACCCGAATCCCTCTCGGGGATTCCCCTCAGGCTTCGCTGCATCGCCGCTGCGTTTTCTGTTCTTGAAGAATATGTGGGAGAGTAAGAAGCCACTCAGGAAGAAGTATGTGTCCACTGACAGGCTGCCGTTGGAGAGAATCTGCGAGGCGAAACCCATTCCCAATCTCATTGACCATATTTTATTATCTGGAATTAATTATTTTTCCAATAATAGCATTTTTTATTTGAATTTTTTGCCGTCAGTAATCGCGATGGTTTTTCCTGTATATATATGTAACACTTTGCCTTTTAGCTCAGGCTAATAAATCTTCTATGAGTTTTCTAATTGCTGAATAAAAAAAAAAATAGCGATTTAATATAATTTTAAATAGTCGTTTCAAGTTGATTATTTTGTCCAAGTCAATATGGCATTTATTACAAGGAATTCCAGGGAATTTATTTCAATTAAACTCTTCGAATAATCGCGAAGATTCGAGATATTGAAAAATTAATAACACTGGGGCTTAATGTTAGTCAATTTTAGTGAATAATCTTAGATTAAATTTCTGAAGTTAATATCAAAGTTTCCGAAGGAAAAGTTTCAGGAATGTATTCTATTTTTTTATATATAATACATCGTTGTGGCTTTTTTTAAGCCAATCTATTCGGCGTATTGTGTCACTGGATTTTTTATAAATGAGGATAGTCATGCATTAAAGAGATTACGATAATACTACACTATATTAGATACACTATGTATAATATACAATATATAGTACATTATACAATGTATTATAATATAGTATAGAATATAATATAATAAAGTGTTATCGTAATATCTTTCATGTATAATACTATCATCATTTATGAAAAATCTAATGATACAGTACGCCCAATAGATTGGCTTCACAAAATGTTTTTTTTTTTTTTTTTTTTTTTTTTTTTTTTTTTTTTTTTTTTTTTTTTTTTTTTTTTTTTTTTTTTTTTTTTTTTTTTTTTTTTTTTTTTTTTTTTTTTTTTTTTTTTTTTTTTNCAGTATTTTATGGGCCCGGTGGCTTGGCGCAGTGGAAAAGTTCGTTGCCTCACATGCGAAATTGTGCGATTTAACCATTTAAAGTCTTGATCACCATCGCAGTATACCCTAACCGGGTCGAAGCGATGTAAAATAACGATAAAAAAAAAGTATTTCATGGAAACAAAAAAATTTACCTGTGGACTCTTGTACATATATTGGTGTATGGAGGACGATGATCCAGACCATCCCCAAAAATCGAAGCCCATGGAGGGAAGCTACTGATCCTCTGCTCAATGAAGTCCTGAAAAGATCTTTCGAGTTTGTGTAGACAGAGAAACACATGAGGATTTTTCCGCCTGTTTTCAGGGGTGAGGACGAACTTGGTGAGGCTAAACTCGGAGAGTCGCCGTTTTCCGCGGTCAACTTTTCCCCTTGGAGAATACATGCAGAATAAACAAGTGGAGAATGGCTTTTTTAACAGATTAGTATAGTTATTGTTGCTGATAAATTAGCCATTTGGTTCGGAATGTTCTCTTTTTTAAAATTCTTGTTTCACTATTCTCTTCTTCTATTTTTTCATGTCACAGATTATCATCAGTTGAAGTGTCATCAAAATTTAGCGGGTTATTTCGTTCTGTCAAATAATTCTACGTTCAGACCCTCTCGAGACTCGAATTCGGTTTCAGTCCGGGGTTAATCGAGGTTCAATCAAGGTTTAATCAGTCTATAGCCGGGATTTAATCAGGGTTTATTCAGGATTTAGCCAGAGTTTAACCCAGGCTCTGTCAGAAGTTAGTCGGGGCCATTTTCAAGCCCTGATTTAATTGCTATTACTGATGATTCTTTCAGTAATCATGAAATAACCGATTTTCTCTTTCAAATCGCATAAACAATGTGCTGTGACTCAACGACCAATTGTGCGACCCCCATCATATTCTGATAGAATCAAGAGGGTATTGTTACCAATTTTTTGAGCCTCGACTAATTCCATTTTGAGTGATCGTTAAAAAATCGATTTTTGAAAAATATGAATTCTTTAGAATCTGTATGAAAAATTTGATTTCATTGTTGTTAATTAATGGAGCTTTCAAAGTCTTTCAAAATCTATTCATGGAATTCAATGATCCCTTTTAACATGATTTTTTAAAAAATGAAGAACTGAAATTTGATCGTTTATTAAATTTTGTTTATAAACAATCAAAATCTATCAGCCATAAACTACTTGGAAGGCGGGATGCTGTGTGCTACCCATCGACTTTTAGGACCTCTATATGAGGGAAATAATTGAATAATTATCAATGCACAATTAAAAAAATTCAGATGCTCAAAGTTTTCCACCGATTTTTTTTCGTGCGATTAAAACACCATAAAAACTGCAATTATCAATGTAAATTAATTACCAATAATGTCCTGTCCACTGAGAATACTGCTGGTGCCACTTGATTTATCCACCTTGAGTCTTTCCTGGTGCACCCGGACGTCATAACAGGTCCCAATTATCATCATCGTTAGAGTCGCTATTATCACCGATCTATAAAAAATTGTTTTCAATGTCAGAACCAATTGTTCGCGATGGGATCACGACTTGTTGGTCTCGTATATTAATGCGTACATTACGGTAAGCATCCGCCAATTTATGAGGTACTGAGGATCATTCTTCAGATCCTTCACGCGCAGCAGTTTGAAGTCCATCCCGTATACTTCCCCAAGTGATAAAGTCCGCTCGTCGAATATTTTTTGTAAAATCAGCCCCAACTCGGCTGCTTCACACGTCGAGGGGAGACATAATCCTAATACCATCATGTGCTAAAATCATGTTTTTATTTATTTGAAATCGAAAAACTATCTTGATTCTTTAAATAAATAAATAAGTAGAAAAATGCGTTTTGCGGATTTTTTGAAACTAGTTTTTTTCTGATCGACTCGATGTGTTTTATAATTCATAATTCATTTACTTATTCATGTGTGAAAAAAAATGATGGAAAATTTCAATGCTCTATTGCTTCTCATTGGAATTCTATGAATAATTTATTTCTATTTGTTTCTTACGAAGGTTTCTGTTGAGAATCATACAACTTTGTCTTTCAATAGATATTTTTTGATTAAAATAAAAGTCAATGACTTTTCCATGGTTTTACATCAATTTTTAATCTAATGTTGAGTCTTTAATAAATCGAAAGTTATTGCATCTCTTATGTCGGTGGAAACGTGCATTATACGAATTCATTTGGGGAAATGCGAAAAATCGACTTCCAAAATCGAATTCCAAAATTCATTCTTCTAGAATTCTTTAATAAATATTTTTTGCTTTAATAAAACCATTTTTTCGTTCATTTGAAATTAAAAAACTTGATTCTTTAACACATAGAATTTTTGGTGCATTTTAAAACTATTTTTTTCTCATCCATTCGATTTCTTTTATAATTCATGTGTGAAAAAAAATAGTAGAAAATTTTAGTGCTTCCTCCAAAGAAACTCGACAGTTTTTCATTGGAATTCTACGAATAATTCTAGTTGTTTCTCGCGCAGATTTCTGTTGAGAATAATCCAACTTTGTTTTTTAATACCTTTTTTTAATTAAAAAACGTCAATGACTTTTTATTTTTCTATAAAAAAACTATTAGGCATGAATTTTCCATATTTTTTACATTAAATTTTGTAATGGAAAAGAAAAAGTGCAAAAAACTCTGAAGAAAATTCCTAAAAATTATCTAAACCTCTTGAATGAAAGACAACAAATAGAATTATTATAATTTCAATACAATTAATTATAGAATTTTCCAAAGAAATCGTCATATTTTTCTATTAAATTATTTCGAACATGTTACATTACTAATTTGAAGAGGAAAATTATCGTTACTTCGTTGCCTATTCTGTGATGATACTGCAACGTACTGTTGTGTACGAATTGAGCGGCGAAGTAATTCAGTTGATAGGGCGCCAACTCTTCCTTCGGATTTCGGTACAATGTATTATTTTCGAGCCATTTTGGGTGCAGAGCCAACGGCTCGGGGTTCAGTATATCGTAACATTGACTTTTACTGCCCATCCAGTAATTGTTTCCGTAGATGAAACCTGATCTTGGGACTCCACTTGAATCTAACACTGAAATCACGGATTTTCATGAATGTATTTTCCATAGAATTTCCTCGGCAACTTTTCCAAATTTTTTTCATTCTATTTTTTTCTCTTAGAAAATCAAACGAAAGAACTCGGAAAACTTGAGCCGAGGAAATTCTATAGAAAATATCTCAACAGAATAAGTTGTATAGAAAAATCGAATTCCATTGACTTCCTAAAAATTAATAGAAAATTCAATAGAAATGCAATAGAATTGTCCAGCGAATTCGCTAGGTCTTTCTAATAATCCGATTAAAATCCTCGGACAATTCCCCATTTAATTTTTATGACTTGGAGAAGTTGAGCCGAGAAAATTCTATAGAAAATATCTCAACAACATAAGTTGTATAGAAAAATCGAATTCCATTGACTTCCTAAAAATTAATAGAAAATTCAATAGAAATCCAATAGAATCGTCTCGCGAATTCGCTAGGTCTTTCTAATAATCCGATTAAAATCCTCGGACAATTCCCCATTTAATTTTTATGACTTGGAGAAGTTGAGCCGAGAAAATTCTATAGAAAATATCTCAACAACATAAGTTGTATAGAAAAATCGAATTCCATTGACTTCCTAAAAATTAATAGAAAATTCAATAGAAATGCAATGGAATTGTCCAGCGAATTCGCTAGGTCTTTCTAATAATCCGATGAAAATCCCCGGACAATGCCCCATTTAATTTTTATAACTTGGAGAAGTTGAGCCGAGAAAATTCTATAGAAAATATCTCAACAGAATAAGTTGTATAGAAAAATCTAATTTCGTTGACTTCACAAAAATTAATAGCAAATTCAATAGAAATCCAATAGAATTGTCTCGCGAATTCGCTAGGTCTTTCTAATAATCCGATTAAAATCCCCGGACAATTCCCCATTTAATTTTTATAACTTGGAGAAGTTGAGCCGAGAAAATTCTATAGAAAATATCTCAACAACATAAGTTGTATAGAAAAATCGAATTCCATTGACTTCCTAAGAATTAATAGAAAATTCAATAGAAATGCAATGGAATTGTCCAGCGAATTCGCTAGGTCTTTCTAATACTCCGATGAAAATCCCCGGACAATTCCCCATTTAATTTTTATAACTTGGAGAAGTTGAGCCGAGAAAATTCTATAGAAAATATCTCAACAGAATAAGTTGTATAGAAAAATCTAATTTCGTTGACTTCACAAAAATTAATAGCAAATTCAATAGAAATCCAATAGAATTGTTTCGCGAATTCGCTAGGTCTTTCTAATAATCCGATTAAAAGCCCAGGGCAATTCCCCATTTAATTTTTATAACTTGGAGAAGTTGAGCCGAGAAAATTCTATAGAAAATATCTCAACAACATAAGTTGTATAGAAAAATCNAAAATCTAATTCTATTGACTTCATAAAAATTAATAGAAAATTCAATAGAAATCCAATAGAATTGTCTCGCGAATTCGCTAGGTCTTTCTAATAATCCGATGAAAATCCCCGGACAATTCCCCATTTAATTTTTATAACTTGGAGAAGTTGAGCCGAGAAAATTCTATAGAAAATATCTCAACAGAATAAGTTGTATAGAAAAATCTAATTCCATTGACTTCATAAAAATTAATAGAAAATTCAATAGAAATCCAATAGAATTGTCTCGCGAATTCGCTAGGTCTTTCTAATAATCCGATTAAAAGCCCAGGGCAATTCCCCATTTAATTTTAATACACGATAACTGCTATAGACGATTGAAAACGAGTTTCTTGTATAACTCGCTCATTTCAAGACGGCAGCGGGAAAGTCACGAGAGTCCGCCGGTTATGCACTAAAATACTCATCGTAATACACCGCATACGCATGTAAACGCAGTTAATATTATTGGTTTCAGTATTTGTGAGTGGCATAATGCGACATTGACTTTTCGATTCTTATCTTAACTCGTGAAATTCATTCCCAACGCAACACTTTAATGGGGATAAATAATTAATCTAATTATTAATTATTATTATCCCGAGAAAATTTAATAAGAAAACCTAGAGAATTCGGTAGAAAATTCTATTGGACTTCTATATAAATTTCTATAGAATAATTCTATAGTGCGATTCTCATATAGAAAATTCCTAATAAAATTCCTGGCTATTTAAAAAAAAGGGAATTTCATCTTTCTATAGAACTTTTCACATGAATTTTCCCAGCTTTTTCCATTTATTTTCTCTTCTCCTTTCATTTGAAAAATTGAACGAGGAAAGTTGGAAAATTGAAGTAGAAGAATTTCAATAGAAAATCTTTCAATAAAATAAGTTCTACAGGAAAATTGAGTTCCATTGTTTTAGTTTTTCAATTCTATTGGACCGCTATAGAAAACTCTATAGAAAGCTACGGTGATTTTTTTTATAGAAAATGTTCTATAAAGACCATTTTATACAAAAAAATTGGAAATGTCATCTTTCTATAAAACTATTTCTATCGAGACATTTTCTATAGAAAATTTTCAACGTGAATTCTCCCAGCTTTTCCCACTGGAATTCTCTTCTCCCTTCATAAAAAAATCAAACCAAAAAAATTCGAAAATATGAGGTGAGGCATTTCTATAGAAAGTATATCAATAGAATGCGATCTATAGAATACTCAAATGCTATAGAAATTTTCTATAGAATATTTTCCATCAAACATTTCTATTAAAAAAAACTGAGAACGCGATCGTCAAAAAATAATACTCAATCCGATAGAAATCCTATAGAATTTTCTGTAGAACTCGCCAAATTTTTCTCTGAACCTTTTGCGTACGCGAAACCTCACCAAATAGTACGTACTTCTCAAACTCCACAACTTTCGGGCATCAACACCCTCTCTAAACACCTCCAGTTCCTCCCGGCACTTGCTGGATTCCGCCAGAAGATGGGATTTCCCGGCTATAGCGTACGCGGGTAGCACGTGTCCCATCATATCAGTCAAGTTATCCGGCGCGCCGGCAGCTCCCGCCACCGAAACAATCACAAACACCGCTGAAGCTATCCCAGAAATAATTTCCCTCCCCATCCCGATCGATCCCAAAATCATCTTCATCAAAATTTGAACTTTAATTGGATGCTCTCAGTGCATTCTACTTTACAAACACTTTTTCTTCGTCTATTACTATTTTAAAAAATAGTTTGATACATCTCACATCACAGATTCTACGCGGAACTGCTGAATTACTATTGGGAAATGATTATTAATTGATTAATTCGTTAGTCGAGATTTTTTACTCAATTCGATTATTTAATTTGCGATTGATTGGGAGGAGAATAAATGAGGGAGAGAACACTTGTAGAGGGGAGTGAGGAGCTAGATTGTTGAGGTGCTGACTGCCAGTGGACCTGTGAAACGGAATGTCTCTTGAAGAACTCTTATCCTGGCTCGAATGTACGATTTCAATCCCACTCTCAATGTGCGAGATCAATTTGATGTATGCATCAGTGCTTATGAAGTGGACGTCTTCGATCATCTGAAATTCTGAATGGTCACGGAGCGAAGTTTGAGATTTTTTGCTGATGTGAGCAGAAGCCAGCGATCCCGATCGATTATGAGTGGGAAAAAAGGGTGACGCTGGGGGACACGTTAATTATTCTGATTTGTTACACCTGTTATTTATGTTGGTTTATACTGATTTATATTGATTGTAGTTTTGTCACATCAGGAAGAAAAACAGCGGATCGGAGGGTAAACAATACGTGATTTTTTTTGCATCGGGACTTCGGGAATTTTCATTAAAAAAAAAAATAAAAAAAATTTTTTTCATTTTTTTGTCGGGGCGGTTGAGAGTGAATAATTATTTAGCGCAGAATTTGTTAAATTTTTGGTAGAAAACGAATTTTGCTGGTTTGGGAGAAATTTCAATAAAAATACAATAGAATTTTCTATAGAATTATAGCGCGATCTATAGAATTTTCTATAGAATTATTATAGCATGATCTATAGAATTTTCTACTGAATAGAATTCAATAAAAATCCAATAGAATTCCATTTTTCTGGACAACTTATTCTATTGCCATTTTTTCTATAGAAATTCTTGGGCCAAAGCTTTTCCAAGTTTTGTGTTTTATTTTTTAATGAAAAAGAGAAAAATTGAGTGAACAAAATGAGAAGATTCATGTGCAGGAATTCCTATAGACAATGGCCCAATAGAAAAAAGTTGCATCGAAAGATGAAACTCTATTGGTTTTTTCTATTAAATAATTTCTATTCGACATTTTTCTATTAAAAAAATCAACAGAATTCGATTTTTCTGTACAACTTATTTTATTAAGATATTTTCCTTTTCGGTTCTATAGAAATTGAATGGAAAAGGTTGGAAAATTCCTGTCAAGAAATTCACTAGAATTTTCTATAGAATTCTCCCCTATTCTGTTTATAGAATTGTGTAGTCGCCGATAAATTGCAATCCTCTCCAATTATTCTATAAATCCGTCCAGTAATATCTCATTACTTCAATCATCATCATTAAAAGTGACTTGCGATATAAAAAGACAAAGTATGCGCACATGAACGTCGAAAAAAGGTTTCACACTGCAATCGCCAGAACGATAATCGATGGATCCTGCTCTTCCGTGTTGCCCCGGGGTAATAAAATCCGGCGTGAGATCACGAAACATGTAAATTAGTATTATTCACGCGCTCTAGGAACTTAGTATTGCGCAAATGATCTTTCCACCCCATTATCATGCATGAAGAAATTTAATAGGAAAACCTAGCGAATTTGCTAGACAATTCTATTGTGTAGCGAATGGATTTCTATTGAACTGTTCAACAGAAAATATTCTATAGACGAATTCAATGGAATTAGATTTTTCTACACAATTTATTCTATTGAGATATTTTCTATAGAATTTTCTCGGCTCAAATTTTCAATTTTTTTTGCTTCATTTTCTTGACGAAAAGAGAAGATGAATAGAATGAAAAAAAATTTGAGACAAGGAAATTCTATAGAAAATATATCTCAATAGAATAAGTATCCCGTGTGGAATAATTTAATAAAAAAACAAGAGAAGCCGCTAAAGAATTCTATTGAATTTCCTATCATTTTTTGGCCGATTCTATTGAAATGTTTAACATTCTATAGAAAAAGTCTATAGAATAATAGAAAAAATAGAATAGAAAAAACAAATTCTATCAATTTTTTCTATAAAATCTTTTCTATCGAATATTTCAATAGAATCGGCCAAAAAATGATAGAATGATGATTCTATAGAAATCTAATAGAATTGTTTAATGAATTCGCTAGGTCCTATTTTTTTATACGTGCATACAGCCCTTTTCATAGCGGATTGCTGTTCTCATCGTGAAAGGATTGTCGCGTAGTCCCGCGATGATTGATATATATTCGGAGTATCTCAAGGGAGGGGGGGATAACCGGACGTTACGTCATAGAATAGCGTCTCGGGAAGTTGTCAGTAGTTTTGTCGCGTTACAGAGAAAGTGCCGGAGGTTTCGCTTCCCGATTTTTCCAGCAACTGTGTCAATACGGCCATTTTTATCGATGAATGCATGGCTTGACTCATGTCTATTGAACATGTCTATAGAAACCATTCTTCTATAGCATTTATTCTATAGGAGAACTATATGGACGTTGAAATAAAAAATATGTCTATAGATTTTTTCTATAGACATTTTTTTCTATAGAAAATTTCAATAGAGTACGTTCTGTAGAAAATCAAATTCTATTGATTTTTCTATAGAACATTTCCCCTTGAACAATTCCATCATTGAACGATTTCATTTTTTTCTATTGAATAAAAAACGCGGAGATGAGCTGCTGAATTTTTCTATAGAATTCTATAGAAATTTCTATAACAATTCCCCGACATAAAATTTTCAAGTTTTTTCCACTCTTTTTTTTCTCTCCAAAAAAATTGAACAAAAAACTCGGAAAATTTGAGTTGAAGAATTTCTATAGAAAATCTCAATAGAATACGTTCTATAAAAAATCGAATTCTATAGAATATTTCCCTTTGAGCATTTCTGTTGAATAAAAAACGCGCAGATGAGTTGCGGATTTTTTCTATAGAATTGTATAGAAATTTCTATAGCAATTCCCCGACATAAAATTTTCAAGATTTTTCCACTCTTTTTTTCCACAAAAAATTGAACAAAAACTCGAAAATTTGAGTTGAAGAATTTCTATAGAAAATATCAATAGAATACGTTCTATAGAAAAATCGAATTCTATAGAATATTTCCCTTTGAACATTTCTATTGAATAAAAAACGCGCAGATGAGTTGCTGAATTTTTCTATAGAATTCTATAGAAATTTCTATAGCAATTCCTCGACATGAATTTCTCTAGTTTTTTCCCCTCTTTTTCCTTCTTCATAAAAAATTGAGCAAGACTTGGAAAATTTGAGTCGAAGAATTTCTATAGAAAATCCCTCAATAGAATAACTTGGAAAAAAATAATAATTCTCAACTAAGTGAGGGATTCACTGGGATAAGGTGCAATGAAAGAGTGAACTAATCCTCCTCTTCAAATATTTCTTTTATTGTTTTGGTTTGATTAACACAACTGTTTAGAGAATTTAGAGTTCATGGATTTTCAGTACATGATAATCATCAGTTTCAGTCGAGTTGACACAATTTCGTTGGATCATTCGCGAATGAGCGAATGAAGAATACAAGCCCCACTCATCAAATTAAAAATTCAATAATTTATATAATACAATCGATAATACAGTAATAATTTTTCTCCCCCACAACTGGTACAGTATTAGAAATATCACAACATTAATATCTATCGCACACGGATATAAATAAAAAAAACAAGTTAATGTTCTTCAGACGAGATGATCAGAGCTGAGATGTCCCAACCGAGTGGAAATAGCCGAGGGATCGGTATAATTGATGGCTTTTGAAAAATCAGAAGTTAAAGAAATTTCTTAATTTTATATTCCTACAAATTTGTATAAAAAAATTCATTCACATTTATTATTCGCTGATGCTTTTACATACGCCATTAGCTGTTACACAATCGAATAAATTGAGGTTTTATCGTTAAATTATTAATTAATGGTGAATCAATAGTTGAGGGCGCTCAAGCCTGGCAAAATAGTCTGTTGAATTTTTGAGGAACGAAAGCACTTTATTTTCAGTTTAGTTGAAATATAATTTTATCACTTTAATACCATTAAGCAGTTCAGTCATTTTATGTAAAATAATACTCAAACCGAGCTTAGAATAAACTTTCACCATTCGTTCTTCATTTTCAACTGAAAAACAGTAATTCTTATGCATCTGGGGGATTCAGTGGTGTGGGGTACAATGGGATAAGTCAAATTAAAATTCAGTTTGGTATTTTTTTAAATAAATTCGATTACATTTCAGTGGTGAAACGATTGAAGTCGTCTTGGCTCTCAGCTGAGTTTTCGAGGAATATCTCCGAATCTAAGAGAAATAGCGAAATTATCGTCATGACCTTTTTTGTAGCGCTAATTGAGAGCTACAACAAAGGTAATGACGAAAATTTCGCTATCTGCCTTAGATTCAGAGATATCGGCTCAAAACAGACGAAAAGTCAAAATCAATTTGACTTTTTTTTTACCGCGCGTTTTCAAGGAATATCTCCGAATCTAATGGAAATAGCGAAATTTTGATAATGACCTTTTTTGTAGCTCTCAATTAGCTCTACAAAAAAGGTCAGTACAAAAATGTCGCCATCTGCCTTAGATTCCGAGATATTCGCTCAAAACTGACCGGAAGTCAAAATCAACTTGAACAGTTTCACAAAAATTATCGTCAATCAAGTGGTTACTAACGAAATCAGAGTCCCAATCTTTTCTGATATATTTTCAATGCCGAAAAATTCACTCATCCCATTTTTCTTCACCACCAGACCCACTTTTGGCAAATCTAATCTCAAAACAGGCTGTCTAAACTCCCTAAAATAATCGCACAATTTCCTCGCGTCTCCCTTAATTTTAAATTGCCCCTGCGAATTCATGAATGCATCAATTCCTCACAATTTAGCTATGGCAATGGGAAGAAAACCTCGATAAATGATAACGGGGATTAATCTGGCACACAAGCACGTCGAATTAAATTTCTTCAAACGAAAAAAAAAAAAAAATTCTTAACATGTATTTATAATTTACACTCTCTCAACTCGTCGCGCATTTGTGATCCATGAAATGCGGATTTTTATTCATTAGTTTTCGGGAAACATCTGTTTGCGTTCTTCCTTTTTGCTGCCATTTTCAGGGTTTTTTTTATTCTTTTTTGATTATAGAAAGAGAACAGTATGTATGATCGGCCATTTAGCTACATAACAATCACTAGGCTAGTATATACAAATCGCTATACTATACAGGGGGGCTTGCACCAATCCAGTCAGACGTATTATAACTGTACACACATATACAATAGATTTTTTAAATTCACAGCGAAGGCTATTTTCGGAATTTCATTGGATTTATCATTTCAATCAATTAATTAATTAATTAATTTCGTTAATTTCGGTTTTAGTTGCTTGTATTGCTGGAAATGATCCTCACCTATTGAATTCAATGGTGGAGGGATCAACCGATCGATCAAACGCTCAAATAAACTTCAAATTCAAAACTTTCGGAGATGACGACATTTTTGCGAAAACGTAATTGTCTTTAATTGAGGAAAACTCGAGATCGGCAGAGTGAAATTCAAGATTTTTTTTTTCATTTTGAAGGTCTTTTTTCAAGCCTGAAAATGAGGCGTGACTCATCCAAATCGGATCGTTGGGTCGGAAGATATTGAAGATCAAAATTTCTCATTTTATCATTTCCCTAAATTCCATTGATTTTTATTATTTTTTTGATTGCATTGAATTCAAATTAATTTTCTGACACCTGAACAATTGCCAATTATTCAATGCAGAGTCTGATGGGATGCCTAGAGGACACACGCCCCGAATATGAAAGAGAATTTTAAATAATCGACGAATACTGTCATAAGTATTTACTACAATATTTAATACTCAGAATAAAAATCAGGGAAAGCCACTGTAAAAATAATAGCGGCATTGGTGCAAGCTCAGTAATCCTTAATGATATTCATTAACATTTACGATTTTAATTCCATAATTCATCAGCTTTACGAATAATCTTCACTAAACAAATCGACAGTGGAACGCGTGTTTGTGCAGTCGCTTCTCATGTAAAAAAAACGGAAGAAAATATATTCCCAGCCTCCCCTATTCACGATATTTGCTCCATAATTCCACGATTCAGCATTAAAAATCTCAATTTCTTAATAAAAAACTTTTCCAATTTCTTTTTTAATTAAAAATCACTCGACGCAGGGAATGCAATTAATGTCGATTAATCAAAATAATTAATTTTCCTTTAATTAAGCTTCCTCTTTGTCTTCGTAATGAACCTTTGCCTTCGTAATTAATGAAAATAATCCAGCTGAGAAGTCTTCGTCTCGCGTGTGCGTGGATCCAGCAAAAATGGAGGATCTATTTTTTTTTATTTTATTTTTTTAATGGATTAAAAACAAAATTCCGGTGATGGCGCACCATCGTCTCACGCGCGAAAAAAATTGGAAGAAAAATCTAGTGAATTGGAGAGAAAATTCTGTTGAATTTCTATTGAACTTCTATTGAAAATTCTATTGGTTTTGGACGATTCTATTGAAGAATTCTGCGACTTTTTTTCATAGAAAATTTCCAATAGAAACTATTTCACAGAAAAAAATTAGTAGAATTTCATTAATTTCACTGTTCTATAGAAAAATGAGTTGAATTCAATTTTTTTACAAAAGTTTTTCTATAGAAATTCCTCGATTTGAATTTTTATTATTTTTCTCATTTTATTTTTCTTATTTTTCAATTTGAAAAACTCGGGAAATTTCAGCCAAAAAATTTCTATAGAAAATATGCCAATAGAAAAGATTCCATTGATTTATTCTATAGAAAAATTCGTAGAATTTCATTACAATTCTTTTCTATTGAGGCATTTTCTATAGAAATTCCTCGACATGAATTTTACTTTTTTTTCATTCAATTTTTCTCATTTCTTCATTTGAAAACATCAAACAAAAAAACTCAGGAAACTTCAGACAAGGAATTTCTATAGAAAATACGTCAATAGAAGAATTTATACTAAAAAATCAAATTCCATTGATTTTTTCTATAGAATTTTTCCCATAAAAAATCTTTTGAATAAAAAACGCGCAGAAAAGTTGTGGAATTTTTCATATAAATTATCCAATAGAAACTATTCTATAGAAAAAATGAGAGAAATTTGATTTTTCACTCAAATTTTACTCATTTTTTATACAATTCTATTTTCTATTTTCTATAGAAATTCCTCGATATGAATTTTTCAAGTTTTCCTCATTTTTTTCATTTATAAAAATCGAACAAAAAAAAATGAACAATTTTTCTTTGAAAACATCAAACAAAAAAACTCAGGAATCTTCAGACATTTTTCTATAGAAAATACGTCAATAGAAGAATTTACACTAAAAAATCAAATTCTATTGATTTTTTATATAGAATTTTTCCCATAAAAAATCTTTTGAATAAAAAACGCGCAGAAAAGTTGTGGAATTTTTCATATAAATTATCCAATAGAAACTATTCTATAGAAAAAATGAGAGAAATTTGATTTTTCACTCAAATTTTACTCATTTTTTATACAATTCTATTTTCTATTTTCTATAGAAATTCCTCGATATGAATTTTTCAAGTTTTCCTCATTTTTTTCATTTATAAAAATCGAACAAAAAAAAATGAACAATTTTTCTTTGAAAACATCAAACAAAAAAACTCAGGAATCTTCAGACATTTTTCTATAGAAAATACGTCAATAGAAGAATTTACACTAAAAAATCAAATTCTATTGATTTTTTATATAGAATTTTTCCCATAAAAAATCTTTTGAATAAAAAACGCGCAGAAAAGTTGTGGAATTTTTCATATAAATTATCCAATAGAAACTATTCTATAGAAAAAATGAGAGAAATTTGATTTTTCACTCAAATTTTACTCCTTTTTTACACAATTCTATTTTCTATTTTCTATAGAAATTCCTCGATATGAATTTTTCACGTTTTCCTCATTTTTTCATTCATAAAAATCGACCAAAAGACTGAAATTTCCTCTCGAAAATATCTTAACAGAATGAGTTCTATAGAAATACCAAATTCCACTGATAATCTACGGAATTTTCAATAGAAATTCGGTGTGAATTAATTTTTAAAAAACACCAATTCACAAGATTTATCAATAAAATATTTTCTCGCGTGCTTCAATCGAGATTTTGTTATGCTTCATCATTCATATTTGTACGTGAATTCCGTTTGGTTTTACTACCGTGGCTCATACGCCTCGTACACAAGTTCTGGTACTAAGGCAAGTGCAAACGTCGTTGATGTCGATTGTCGCGAATACTGTCGACGTGACGATGTTATTTCGTGTTACCTGTTATTCTCTTCCATAACCACTTGTTTAAATACACCAGCTGGCATCTGGCTCTTTACTTCGTGACTACCTAATGCTGTTGTACCGTCTTTTGCGATGAATAGTTGTAATCCAGATGCTAGAAGAAAAACATCATAATTAATTATTATTTTTCAAATTTTTTATCAGCGAAATTGACAGAACATTTCACAGAAGAATCACGCGAATTCTATAGAAATTTATATTGGATTTCTATTGGATAAATATTCAATGGAAAATATTCTGTAGACAAAATTCATATTATTGATATATTTTCTATAGAAATTCTTCGGCTCAAATTTTCCAAGTTTTGTTGTTTGATTTTTTTAATGAGAAGAAAAATTGAGTGAAAAAAAATTAGAGAGTTCATGTCGAGTAATTTCTATAGAAAGATGAAATTCTGTTAATTTTTTCTATAGAATAGTTTCCATCGGACATTTTCCAATTTCATTTGGAGGTTTTCAATAGAATCTGCCAAAAAATAATAGAATAAACTAACTAATAAAATTTTTCCATGGCAATCCAATAGAATTTTCTATATAATTCGCTGGATTTTGCTGTGATATTCCCTCCTGTAAGCAATTACTTGTTTTTTCAATAAATAATTAACGAAAATAGGAAAAAATGAATAAATAAAATGAAAAAAATTTTTTTTTTAAATACAAAAAATAAAAATAAATCGAATTTTCTATAGAATTCGCTAAATTTTTCTATAAAACTCATTCGCGTGTGCAATTACGCGTTTTCTCAATAAATAATTAACGAAAATGGAAAAAAATGAATAAATAAAATAAAAAAAATAAAAATGCAATGCAAAAATTAAAAAAAAAAAATAGAATTTTCTATAGGATTCGTTAGATTTTTCTATGAAATCCCTCCTGAGAATTCCCTCCTGAGAATTGACTCATTATGTCACTAAATAATAAACAAAAATAAAAATAGGAATTAATGAGTGTATTCTTACTCTCAGCACTCTCCAAGTCAGACTGTTCAAGATTAGTTGCCTTCAGCAACTCGTCAATGAGTGAATCTGGATTAGGACGTGTGACTTCAACGCGACACTGCACAGCATTATTGCCCGAATCCTCAGCCTTTTTTCGTCTCTCCAGTGCAGCCTTGGCCCGGTCCAGGGAGCCTGTTTCACTCAGACCAGAACCACCTGACGGATTCCTAATGTAGATGTGAAAATACTTCTCGTGAGGCTCAGTTTTTGCCCTCAACTACGGGTTAGAGTATTAGCCATCCTAGGCCCGATAACAACCACAAAAAAACTGGTGTTTTTAGGTCGTTATTCTCGTGTTTGTGAGATGACGAGAGGTTTTAACTAATTCTATTATAGTTATTGACTTTTTGGCGAGGCTGTGACTCATCATGCATGAAAAATTTCATTATTTGTTAATAATTTAATCAAAATTGCATTATTTATTGTTAATTAATTTATTCGATTATTCATTTATTTATTTAGGAATTTAAATAAATTTTTTTATTGCAAAATGAATCAATTTAACTTCAGGAACAAATTTTCAATTCGACTCAATTTGATTCGACTTTAAAAAAAATAAAAAATAAAAAAAAATAATTGAAAAAAATATATAAGTATTTGATATTTAATAAAATATCAAAACCAGTAAAGTTTTGTTATTGTTTTCTTTTATATTTGAATAAAATTATTTTTTTTAAAATAATTTTAAATGAATTAAAATTTTTTTTTGATTCATTTTTTTTATTCAATATTTTTGGTACTTGAACTCTGAGTGAAATAGATTCATGTCCCATTCATAAATTAATTAATTCCCTGAATATCCCTCATTTTTTTTTTTTTTTTTATTATTATTCAGATCCCTTATTTTTCATGTACAATGAGGCACTCTCTACTGTTATCCTTCTAAAAATAAGAACGAGATGAAATGAAATCAAACTCTAATGAGATGCAGGTGTGATACTAATGCATGAAGTTCGCATGCGGGAGAATGAAAAAAAATGTGAAGAAGGCAAATGAAAAAATGGGGAGAGACCATTTTCCGCGAAAAACCTTCGCAATTATCTTCCATCCGTGATAAGCTAGGCACAAAAAAAAATTAGCGAAAAATTGAGTCTTCAAGTGTCGAAGGAAATGTCATATTAACCAGATATTAATTACATCCAAGTGGAAACATTCCTTAGAATGAAATTGCCGCTCAAAACAGTACATTTTTTGGGTTTTTTGATGTCATAAATCCCAGTGAATGACTGGAAATGATCAATTAGATTCATATTTTTTATCAATTGTTTAATTTGTCGAATACTACTGACCAATTCTGTTCATTGAATCCATTATTTAATGGCCTTTCACTCAATTTTTATAGTAAAATGATTTTTTGAATAGATTAATTAAGGAAATTTTACGATCATTTTTTTGGATGTTCATTTGTATTTTAATTGTAGTATGTGAAGACATCCTATAAACAAATTAATAAAATTGAAATTTAACTGAAAATTTTTCTGTAAGAATATTTCTCTCCTATTGGACGTCTTTAAAAATTCGGCTGGAATTATATTAGAATTCTAAATAATTCTTTGAAATTCAAAAAATTATTTCAATTGAAATATATTATATTTTATTATATTATATTTATATTATTATATTATATTTTTTATGTGGAATATTTTTCCGCAGAATAAATTCAATTGATGTTGATGTTGCCCTATAAATTATTTTATTAGAATTTTTTCTGTAAAATTTCTAGGACACGAATTTTCTAAAATTTTCCTCTCGAATTTTGTAATGAGAATAAAAAAAAATCACCAATTTCTCAGAGAAAGGCTTTTTCTCCACTAAATTCTCCCAATTCATTTTAATTTCAGTCCATAATTCCCAACCGAGTGCAACAAATCATTTTTCGTCGCAAAAATTCTATTGGTTTTGGACGATTCTATTGAAAAATTCTGCGGCTTTTTTTCATAGAAAATTTCCAATAGAAACTATTTCACAGAAAAAAATTAGTAGAATTTCATTAATTTCACTGTTCTATAGAAAAATGAGTTGAATTCAATTTTTTTACAAAAGTTTTTCTATAGAAATTCCTCGATTTGAATTTTTATTATTTTTCTCATTTTATTTTTCTTATTTTTCAATTTAAAAAACTCGGGAAATTTCAGCCAAAAAATTTCTATAGAAAATATGCCAATAGAAAAGATTCCATTGATTTATTCTATAGAATATTTCCCATAAAAAAATTCCATTACATTAAAAACGTGCAGGAATTCAATTGAAATATATTCAATTGAAATATATTATATTTTATTTATATTTTATATATATTATTATATTATATTTTTTATGTGGAATATTTTTCCGCAGAACAAATTCAATTGATGTTGATGTTGCCCTATAAATTATTTTATTAGAATTTTTTCTGTAAAATTTCTAGAACACGAATTTTCTAAAATTTTCCTCTCGAATTTTGTAATGAGAATAAAAAAAAATCACCAATTTCTCAGAGAAAAGCTTTTTCTCCACTAAATTCTCCCAATTCATTTTAATTTCAGTCCATAATTCCCAACCGAGTGCAACAAATCATTTTTCGTCGCAAAAAAATCCCAGAAATCTAGTTTTTTGGAAACTAATTCCACCCCAAGGGATGTTCTCCTGGGATATCCCTCGTGAAAACAACACATACGAAACAAGTAACAGACCTTGAGGGAACGGGGAATGATAAAACCATGGGACAACCAACCGAGCATCAACGAAAACCATACAGATAAACATGAGCATGAACGGTGGGATAATATTGTTACAGTGTGGTACTGACGACGTTGTTATCTCCATAACAGCCAGCGTTGCTGACTCCTCGGAGTCTGGGCTCGTTGTAACAGTTGCCAACTTGACACTTGTACCGTCCAATAATTTACGGTGACCCCCGCCGATACCCCTGCAATGCCATATTCAAAAAAAGCCATTCCAAAGAGACTATTCGGTCTATTGCTCGACGAATACTAGCCTAGGGGCGTTTCAAGTTCAGAATGAAGTGGTTAAAATGAACAGAACAGAACGGAAGTCTTTCTCACATTTTTTTGAACATTGGATTGTCTTCTTGATGAGGGGGTCCAGAGGACATTTTTATAGGATTTTTTTTAGCTTTGGGGGATGTCACTGGGAGAGTACTTTCATTAATTATTGATTTAAGATGTTATTGGTGATGTGAGTAATTTTTTTGTGTAATTATCGCCAGAATGAACGATTTTAAGAGAAAATGTGAAGAGATATTTTTTGCTGAAAATTTTTTCGGCTATAAAAAAGGTCTTTTGGAGTTTTTTTGGAATTAGTAATTACTGAGATAATTCTCACACGAATTTCCTCAATGCTAGCGGAATAGACATTAAAAAATTTGTATTGTATTGTACACAGCTGTATAAACCTACAGGTTTCGCGCTTATTAAAAAAAAAAAAAAAAAAAAAGTAAATTCTTATTGGTGATGTGAGTAATTTTTTTGGGTAATTATCTACAGAATGAACGATTTTAAGAGAAAATGTGAAAAGATATTTTTTGCTGGAAATTTTTTCGGCTATAAAAAAGGTCTTTTGGAGTTTTTTTGGAATTAGTAATTACTGACATAATTCTCACACGAATTTCCTCAATGCTAGCGGAATAGATATTTAAGAATTTGTATTGTATTGTACACAGCTGTATAAACCTGCAGGTTTCGCGCTTATTAGAAAAAAAAAAAAAAAAAAAAAAAAAAAAAAAAAAAAAAAAAAAAAAAAAAAAAAAAAAAAAAAAAAAAAAAAAAAAAAAAAAAAAAAAAAANTGTTGATGGGAGTAATTTTTTTTGTGTAATTATCTACAGAATCAACGATTTTAAGAGAAAATGTGAAAAGATATTTTTTTGTAGGAAATATTTTCAGCTACAAAAATGTTTTGTGGAGTTTTCTTGTGGAATGGGTAATTACTGAGATAATTCCCTAATTAACAGAAAATTGAAGATGTTTCGTGTGACGTGCGTAATTTTGCCGAATTTTATTTTCTTAATTATCTCGGAAACAACTGATTTCAGAAGAAAATGTCAAAATACATTTTTTTAACTTTTGAAAATATCTCATGAAGTTCTCTTTTGAAATCATTCATTACTGGAATAATTCCCCAATTAATTATCGACTCTAGATGTTGTAGATGAAATGAGTCTTTTTTTTACTTGATAATTGCGTAATTATCTAAAAAATGAACGGGATAGCCATCAATATTACATTTCTTACTATTAAAAGGATTAAAACAAAAATTAAAAAATAGTATAATATTAGTAATTAAAATCCGATTGATGATGAATTAAATATTTGATATTCCTTACTACCTAAATTACTGATGAATAAAATAATTCAAAATGTGAATATTTAAATTGACGATTACGTCAATAATAAAAAATTCAAGCGTAAAGTCAACTATTTGCCGGCTTCAAAATCTCACAGTGACTATAATTTATGAATACTATGGCTGCTGGTGACCCCCATAAAAAATTCCCGAACCCCCCAGCAGCCCTCACACCGAAGAGAATCCCCCATTCACCGAAAAACTCCCGCAATTCCATTCTGTTCCCAACCCCTTCCCTCCCCCTCATCGCCCTCATTAACAAATGACCCCCCGAACGAGGAAATTGGAGAGGACGGCAGGATCAGAAGCACACCATAGTGAAACGATAAAAAGCTCGAGTTAGTATTCAAAAATTAAGCGAAACCAGCGAAAAAATAACTGAATGAACGAAAAAAAAATTAATTTTCCATCGGTGTGACCTACCTGAGGCTCTGAGCTGCCGTTGTGGATTGAAGCGAGGAGGATCGAGGGGTATCGGGCCTGTGTAAGGGATCGGGTGAGGAGACAGCACGTGTCTGATCAGCCAGTCTCAAAACAGGACTTGTTTTTCCCTTCTCAATGCAATCACAAGTTTTCGACATATTTCTCCAGCTCGCCTGACCAATGTGCGGCTTAACCACTGATTTATCATTACCCTGACTATTTATCATGTGATTATCCTTGATGCAGTGCTCCAAGTGTCTTCTCGAGTATCGCAATACATCCTGAATGCCAGGCACTTTGAATCCACCAGCTGACGTGTCAGTGACATTGTTATTCAATGCACCATTTTTCACATCGTCGCTCGATGGCTTCGGAGTGCTCTGAGAATTCACCGTGGATGTCTCACGACGAGAAGACACTGGTGTACGCGGAGTCCCTGGTGACCAGAAACGATTTGATTCTTGGGTTATTGGGTAATTTGGGGGTGTTAAATAGGTACTGTCATTTCCAGACTCATTTCCTGTGTAACATTGATTTTGGGATAATGTAGGGAGGCGTGGAGCCCATACCGGCCAGGAGGGTGACCTATAAAGATCACAACACAAATTCGGTTTCTTTTTTTTTTTCATGCAAATACCTGAGCTGGGGGAATTTTGGGTTTTGTTCATTTTTGTGGTGTTTTGGAGCTTTTGAGCCAATCATTGGGTAAAATACTATTTGGATTAATTTATTATTTGTATTCGTGGAATTTGGGGAATGAAGTGGTGTTGAAGTAGTTTAATAGGAAGAAATACAAGTGGAAATTGAATTATTGGGGAATTTTGGCTTTTGTTTTTAGTAAAAACAGTGGAAATGTCTATTTTAGTTCGGTTTGGGGATCGAAAATGAGTGGGTGGTATCCAATCATTGGAAATAAGAAAGTTAAATAATAGTATTGAAGTTTTTTGATTAAAAAATACTATTCTTTCATAAAAATTGTATTTTTACCAAATATTCATTCAAATACCATTTTGACATAATTCTTACTCTATTTATCGAATGCGGGGGATTAAATAGTGTTGAAGTAGTTCAATAGAAGGAAATATTAGTTAAAATTGAAATTTAGTTTTTATTTTTGTTTAAAAAAATTGAAAACGCGTATTCTATTTTTATTTGTATTCTCTATTTATCGAAAAATAATATTGAAATATCTTAACGAGAAAAGGAATGTGTTTTCCTGCAACTGTTTATCATTAATAGTTGAGGGAAAATAATTATTACATGTCATATTCTTTGAAATAATGAAATAAAATAAATTCCATTTATTATCTTTATCGAAATAAAATAAAAAATGTCTAGTTTCTTTAAATGAATAAACAGTGTTCAATGATTTTTATTTAAAAAATGCAATTTAAAATGCGCGATTAACGAAAAACTCTTGAAATATTTTCTTCAATTTCATTTTGTTCATTTTTCTAACGAGAATAAATCGAAAAGATCCAGTAGAATAAACAAAAAATGTTTATTAGTTCGGAATAATCAACTCGAATAGTATTTAACAATAATCCACTAGTCCCCAGCTCAGGTATAAATAATACTGAAACAAATCTGAATAAAATAATGAGATAAATGAAAATATTTACGTCATTACGAACAGAACATTCAAACAAATTTAAATAAACTGTTCACCCATAGTTCTACGTACACAAAAATATAAAATAAAACATAAAATTACGGAAATAAATTTTCAACAAATGCTAATAGTTCGGGTTATTCTCTTGTACGAAGCGTATTTTTTTGGGGGATTATTCTGTGGGATTAGTCAATGATCATGATATTCTCAACTTCATTAATATGAATTAATTAGTTTCAATTGATATTAATAGGTTTGACGATTTTTGGTGGACTTACCTGATGTGACCGCTATCTCCACTGCTGCTTTGTCTACTGTGTTGACTGTGGGAGTTCAGGGAACCGTAGCCTGAGCCCTTGCTCAGTTGACTCGTGTTGCTGCTGTTTCTCGAGTGACCAGACTCGGTGTGCGCCTCCGCCAGGGTCTCCACTGGCACCGTTGGGGGGACTATTTCGTTTAGGGTCATTGGGTCGAAGGATTCCGTTCCACTTAATAATTCTGGAATGAGGAACGTTTATTTTAATGACAGATAACTCTAGTCCATTTCAAAATTATTTTTAGAGTGTTAAATTTCAAACGAGTTTTTCACGTTTTCTTAATTGGTTAATTATCTCGTTAAAAAGTGGTTTTAGGGGAAAATATCAAAAGACATTTTATGCTGGAAATTTATTCAGCTACAAAAAAGGTTCTGTGAGATTTTCTCCTAAAATGACTCATTTCTGAGATAAATGCAATGGAACAAATGTGCAAAATTGACTTGTTGCAATTTTCCAAAGATTGTAATATTTTGTTAACAATTAATTACGTCATCTTATCAAAACATTTCCCGATGAATGCACAACACAAAGATTTACACTTAAGAATTCGGGAATGAGAAACATTTATTTTAACGAGAGATAACTAATCAATTTCAAAATGATTTTTAGAGTGTAAAATTTCAAACGAGTTTTTCGCATTTCCTTAGTTGTTTAATTATCTCGTTAAAAAGTGGTTTTAGAGCAAAATATCAAAAGACATTTTATGCTGGAAATTTATTCAGCTACAAAAAAGGTTTTATGGCATTTTCTCCTAAGGTGACTCATTTCTGAGATAAATGCAATGGAACAAATGTGCAAAATTGACTTGTTGCAATTTTCCAAAGATTGTAATATTTTGTTAACAATTAATTACGTCATCTTATCAAAACATTTCCCGATGAATGCACAACANTGGAACAAATGTGCAAAATTGACTTGTTGCAATTTTCCAAAGATTGTAATATTTTGTTAACAATTAATTACGTCATCTTATTAAGACATTTCTCGATGAATGCACAACAGAAAGATTTACACTTAAGAATTCTGGAATGAGAAACATTTATTTTGACGAGAGATAACTAATCAATTTTAAAATGATTTTTAGAATGTAAAATTTCAAACGAGTTTTTCGCATTTCCTTAGTTGTTTAATTATCTCGTTAAAAAGTGGTTTTAGAGCAAAATATCAAAAGACATTTTATGCTGGAAATTTATTCAGCTACAAAAAAGGTTTCATGGCATTTTCTCCTAAGGTGACTCATTTCTGAGATAAATGCAATGGAACAAATGTGCAAAATTGACTTGTTGCAATTTTCCAAAGATTGTAATATTTTGTTAACAATTAATTACGTCATCTTATCAAAACATTTCCCGATGAATGCACAACACAAAGATTTACACTTAAGAATTCGGGAATGAGAAACATTTATTTTAACGAGAGATAACTAATCAATTTCAAAATGATTTTTAGAGTGTAAAATTTCAAACGAGTTTTTCGCATTTCCTTAGTTGTTTAATTATCTCGTTAAAAAGTGGTTTTAGAGCAAAATATCAAAAGACATTTTATGCTGGAAATTTATTCAGCTACAAAAAAGGTTTCATGGCATTTTCTCCTAAGGTGACTCATTTCTGAGATAAATGCAATGGAACAAATGTGCAAAATTGACTTGTTGCAATTTTCCAAAGATTGTAATATTTTGTTAACAATTAATTACGTCATCTTATCAAGACATTTCCCGATGAATGCACAACAGAAAGATTTACGCTTAAGAATTCTGGAATGAGAAACATTTATTTTAACGAGAGATAACTAATCAATTTTAAAATGATTTTTAGAGTGTAAAATTTCAAACGAGTTTTTCGCATTTTCTTAGTTGTTTAATTATCTCGTTAAAAAGTGGTTTTAGAGCAAAATATCAAAAGACATTTTATGCTGGAAATTTATTCAGCTACAAAAAAGGTTATATGAGATTTTCTCCTCGAATCCCTCATTTCTGAGATAAATGCAACGAAACAAATGTTCAAAATGGACTTTTTACATTTTTTCGAAGATTCGAATATTTTGTTGAATAATAAATTATATAATCTCATCAGAACACTTCCACTTGACAATTTACTTGTCAAGGATTTCATCTCTTATTCAAGTGATTCACACAAACCTGAAGAGAACAATGCTGGTCTTTTCTTTGGAAGACTACCGAATCCACTACTTGCACTGGCTATTGAGCCAGCTAGTGAACCACTAGAGACGTAATCCTCACGATTCGTACCTCTGTCTGGACCGATGACTTCATCTGTCGTCGATGCGGGACCACCTGGGACACCTGGCACTGCCAATTGCGTTTGCTTCAACGAGGGAGAGGGTCTGGAAAATCATTTTCTTTTTATTAAATTTTCATTTTCTCTTCGTGTGTCATAAATTATCATTCTTATCCCCTACATTGCATTCTCACTATTAAATTTATGACATCAAGTTGACAAAAAAAATTATCCATTCATTTTTATTACGAAGTTGAGTGAAATTTAATGAAATAATCTCAAGAGATTTCTTTTATCTTTAGTTTGAAAATGATTCGTTTAAATTAAATTATTTCGAATAGCATTTTTCTGAGCTTGATGTATTTTTAATGAAATACGTTTGAAATAACAAGAGATCCTCGAAGTAGTTCACGAGATTTATAAAATCCTCATCCGAGAATAATTCTCTTTTTATTAAAGTTTAATTTTCTCTTCGTGTGTCATAAATTATTATTCTCATCCCCTCAATTGCATTCTTGCAATTGAGTTTACGACATCAACTAAACAATAAAATCTATTCAGTTATTTTTATTACACGAACTGAATGAAATTAAATGGAAAAATCTCAAGAGATTTCCTTCAACTTCATTCTGAAAACAATTCGGTTAAATGAAATTACTTCGAACAGTATTTTTCTGTGATTCATAAATTTCTATTAAAAGTACTCTCAGTTCACGAGATTAATGAAATCCTCAGTCCAGAATAATTTTCTTTTTATTAAATTGTCGTTTTCTCTTCGTGTGTTATAAATTATTATTCTCATCCCCTCAACTGCATTTTTGCCATTGCGTTTACGACATCAACTAAACAATAAAATTTAGTCAGTTATTTTTACAACACAAACTAGAATGAGGTGAAATAAAATGGAAAAATCTCGGATTTCCCTCGTTTTGAGAATAATTTCTTTCAATTAAATGACTTGACAGAGTAGTTTTCCCGAGCTTCATGCCATCGAAATAAAAATACTCCTGAAATAACAAGAGATCCTCGAGAAAGTCCCCCAAGATTCATGAAATACTCATCCCAGAGTTGTGTTGACTCATCTAGTTTCACGACTTCACTGTTGTAATAATTATCTCCCCCCAAGAAAAGTAGAACTTAACGAGTGATTTTCAGCAGGCAACACAAATTGCGGTGAAACTTGACAAACTTACACTTTAAAAAGTATGTCACCGGAGAGCATATTCATCTTTATTGCTACTCTGAGCATGGAATTATCCTGTCTATGTCTGGCGTCGTAACCCTCGAGGAGGCAACGTCTGCGGCACAGACCCGCACCAGCGAATTCCGCGAGATTAAGATCGGTGAAGCCGAGTTTCTGGAAGGACCTGCCTCCCTTCAGCTCCTGAAAACCGATAAATTTCGATCAATGTTGCATACAGAATTAAAAAAATGATGTAATCATAATGTAAAAATGATGAAATCATGATCAGTCCAGGGGTTGTTTTAATAACAATAATAAAAAACAAATAAATAAATTTAAAAAAAAATTATGAGAGTTGAGGGGATTCAAGTGATTTGAACTAGTTTTACAAAATTAGTTTATTAATTTTATTGGAGATTAATTAATTAATTAATTAATTTTAGAAATTAAAATGATTTTTCGATTACGAAAAACGGAAATCTCTTGAATTTCAAGCACCTTCCTCGAATACGTAACGCCAAGGGGCTGAGTAATAACTCATACCTTTCTCACTGATATCCTGAGAATACAGGGATCGAGAATCCCAGTGGACGCGTTCGCACTCATTTTACAGAGGAATTCAAATTTTGCATTCCATCTCACCGTGTGTTCCCCTACTTCCTCCCTGAAAAAGAAGATAAAAATTGATGAATAGGATTTTTCAACGGCGAGATTCTCCGAAATTTCAGCGATATTTCAGGAAAATATTCAGAAATTCCGTTGAATTTCCAATTACTTGAGAATTCAAAAATACATTTGCATGAATTCTTCTGATTTTTATTCATTTTCGTGGAATAATTGTATTCCATTTCCCTTTTCGACTGATTTTTTTATCAAACTGTCAATTTTCAATGATGAAATTCTCTGAAATTTTGGGAAAACTGTCCCTTGATGACATTTTTCAAGAATTTTACTGGAAATTTCGGCCAAAAATATTCAAAAATAGTGTAATTTAGTCTAAATATCCCAGAATTGAAGAGAAATGAAGATTTTAGTGAGAATTTCTCGCATTTATTGTATGCAAAGTCATTAGGAAAATTAAATCTCCTTTAAATCTGGAGAAATTCATCGAAATCTCATTTTACGAAGAAATTCTCCGAAATTTTAGTAAAATTTCACAAATTTCTCAGAATTTTCAATTATATAAAAATTCAAAAATATGTTTACATAATTTTTTTTCATTTCCATTGATTTTCATAGAATAATTGGATTCAATTTTCCTTCCTCCCTTGATTTTGTTTATTAAATTGTCAATTTTCAATGATGAAATTCTTAAAAATTTCGGTAAAACCGTCGCTTAATGGAAATTTTTACCAAATTGTCAATTTTCAATGATGAAATTCTTTGAAATTCTGGGAAAACTGTTGCTTGATGGAAATTTTCAAGAATTTTACTGGAAAATTCAACAGAAAAAATTCTACAATTGTGCAATTTGGTCTAAATATTGTAGAATTGAAGAGAAATAAAGATTTTACAGGGATTTTTTTGTATTTATTCTATGCAAAGCCATTAGGAAAATTACATCTCCTTTAAATCTGGAGATATGCATCGAGACCTCATCTTCAATCTCATTTCACCACTTCACGGCGAACTTGATAGAATGTACAATAGACTCGGGCAAATAGGTTGAGGTATTGTAATACTGTAAACACTGAGGCTCCTTTCATTATCGACAAGTAGGCAAACACGTAAGTAGAGACCTGTTACAATTCCGCACTAATGTGTCTCCTCTGCATTAATTTGAGCCGATGAGGAACGCACAGAGACAAATCACTACCGAAGCGTTAAAACGTAGTGAACAAGATATAAAAATTCTGCGGAAGTCATTTCATTTTATTCATTCATTTATTTTATTTATTTTAATTATTTTATTTATTTTATTTATGTGTGAGCGATCAAACGAGAAGTTTTTATCTAAACTATTGAGTAATTTAACAAAATTTCGAAAACAAAGTCTCTGGTCATTAAAATTCCTCGCTATTAAGATAATTCAACAATGGAAAATATGATATGATGTCGAAAAAATAAGAATGAGAGCCAAATATCAGATTTATTCATTCACTCAATTGCGTCAGAAAATTTAAAAAAAAATCATGAGTATTCAGCGTCATTTAAATTACATTCTGCACAGAATTATTATTTTTTTGAATATTCAAAACATTTATAAATAAATAATTGAAATTGTTTAAACGTATGATATGTAAATCAAAATAATACAATTGACTGTTTGTAAATTATTTATAAAAAAAATGGCTGTAATTTAAAGAAATTGCAATTTTTAAAGTATTTCATCTATTTTTTTCCAAAAGTAAACTTTCCCATTTTTTTCAGATTTTAAAAATGTTCAATATTAAAAAAATAATGAGAATAAAAAAAAAAAGAATATTACATCAAAAATCAGAATTCCATTTCATCTTCATTAAGTCCTAAATAACTAGTCAACTCTCCCTGAAACTACGATATTCTTCAATTACGTAACTAGAAGTAAAAAAATTTGTTTATAAATTATTTATAAAAACTGCGCGTAATTTTAAAAAATTGTAATGTTTAAATTATTTCATCAATCTTCCTCCAAAAGTAAGCTGTTCAATTTTATTTCAGATTTTTAAAACGTTCAGCATTAAGAAAAAAAAAAAAAAAAAAAAAAAAAAAAAAAAAAAAAAAAAAAAAAAAAAAAAAAAAAAAAAAAANTAAAATAAAAATATGGGGCTGAAATGAAAGCTCTGATGTTCAACTATAAAATTAGAAACCCATTTCACTGGAGAAATAATGGCCAAAGTACTTGGATATCTTTGAAAATAAAATAAATTTCAATTTGTCTTCTGTGAAGCGCACGCCGACGAGAAAAAAAATTCATTGTCACTGTTATACGTGCGTTGACAGGCCATCATTGGGCCGATCGTTATCGTCATGTGCCAACGGTGTACTATTGCCGTGTAATGTAATGTCTACGACATGTATATACCTATCATAATACCATTGACAGCCAGTCACGTTTTTAAACGGCCGCTCTAATGAGCCAGGTTTTCCAACGAATACCCATGTCCTATTACGAAATGCCCTCGCCGATGATGATCTAAGAACAATTCTTGTCATTTAGACACATCATTTGTGATTCCACACGTGTACATATCGACAATTGGTCATTATAATCCCAGCATTACACACAGAAAAAATTGTTATTCTCAGGACAACAATTTCAGAATTTTAGAAACTATAGAAATGCGCATTTTTCCAGAATCCAGAATTTTTTTCATGTTTTAGAGAAAAAAATGTCTGAAATTTATCATGACAATTTCGATTGCTTCAAGGTCATTTTCTATTTTTTTTTTATTGAATTTATTTTATTTTTTTTGAAAATGGAAATTTCTTGAAATCAAAATATAAAATTCCTTGAAACAAAAATTATTATTTTTTTTACTTTTTCTTTAAATTAAATTTCTTGAAACAATGAAAGCCTTTTTTTTTCAATTTCAGAAACTTTTATTTGTATTTTATTCACGACGCAGATTAAAAATATCGACGATTAGTCATTATAATCCCACCATTACAGAGAAAACAACTTGTTATTTAAAAAAGAATAATAATTTTGAGAAACTACAGAAATTCGAATTTTTCTAAAGCCTAGACGTTTTTTAAATTTCATTAAAGAAGTCTGAAAAAGCCTGAACTTTATCATGAGAATTTCGATGGCTTTAAGTTAATTTTTTATGGAACGATTTTTCAATCCGCCTATTTTATTCAATTTTACCATTTTCATTCCAGAATTGAAATTTCTCGAAATCTAAAAAAATGGAGTTCATTTTTAATTGTTAATAAAAGAATTAAATTCAGAAGAATAATTTTCAACTCAATCAATCTTTTCTTGAATCCCACCATTTTTTTCCATTTCAGAAATTTTTCTTTGTCTGTTATTCATAACGAAGACAGAGGAGAATAAAAAAACTACTGAAAATGTTAATTTGTTTGTCACATTGTGCTCGCTATCGTGGCTATTAGACTAAGCGAGCACGTGACGACGTGGTGGAATCGGGTTTGTGTGACGCCACCATCAGTGGGCTATTGGCGCGTCATCGCGCGATACGAGTGAGAGAGGAAAAAAAATTGGAGAAAAAAATAGAAACAGATGGCCGAGAAGCCGACGTAAAACGGATATTCTTGGATCTTGCTCGACGATGACAACACAGAGATGCTTGGGGAATTACTTAACTGAATTTTTCGCGGGGAGTGTCTCAGCAGTGACGATTATTTCGTTGGAAACTTGTACCATTTCGAGCTCTTCAGAGAACATCACGGGATTGAGGAGTTTTCGGGGGGATTTTCAGGGGAAAAATGAGAACTGCGGAAGGGGCTCTCGTGGGGATTTCAATATCTCAGTTGGATCCAGGGATATTCACGAGAAAGTTGACGACGAGTTGGGCCATCTCGTCTTACGAATTTGCACGTAAATTTTGGATGATTGATGAAATATGTTGAGGAGAATTTGGGAGATTTTTGTCGAGAGATGATTTTTGTGGATCAGGGAATTTTTTATAAAAATGTTTTTTGACTTTTTTGTGGTAATTTGTAAACGAATTCATTACAAAAAAACTTTATATTAAAAAAATCCTTTTACAATGTTTTTTGATCGTTAATTCATCTCAAATAGCTGATTTTACGAAAAAAATATATATCCAGAGGATTTTTTTAGATTAGGAATTTTCTTCATAAAAATGTGTTTTGACATTTTCTACTGCAATTATTTATTATAAAAAAACATTACATTTAACAACTATTTTTACTATTTTTGTTAATTGTTAATTCATCTAAAACAACTGATTTTACAAAGAAAAAAAATATTGAGAGAAGTTTTTTGCAGATTAGGAAATTTCTTATCAAAATGTCTTTTGGTATTTTCTACCACAATTAATAATAATAGTAATAATAATTGCCTATAAAAAATATTTAACAGAAAAAAAAAGAAAAAAAAAACCTTATGAATCACTGTGCCAAATTTTTATTAATTGTCAATTTATCTCGTAAATAATTGAGATATAAATCGTCATTTTTTATAGTTGAGGGAGTTCTCCCCCCAAATTGTCCCTCATTATCAAGATGATTAAATATTAAACAACATGGAAAATTGAGTCATTCCGTTCTGCTCTGTTAACCACATCCACTCCACCACTGACTTTACTTTTTATTCTCCATCTCGACTTTTTCCCAACTTCACAATGCGCAACTCCAAGGATTTGTTTATTATATAGAGCCCCAGAGTCGAAATGTCGTGCACCGACTGCTGAAGATATGAATAAAAATAGAGAGGAAGAAAGTTGATGAGGGGAGAAATAACAAGGGGGAGGGTCTGTGGTGTTCCTATCGTTCCGAGAGATCGATCGATTCGAAAAAAGGTCGAGGGTTGTCCTTTTATTTCTCACTGGGAAGGTCTGAATGACTTGGGCTGCCTGAATAACGAGAGCACGGGTGCGGTTTAAGGATATCCGAGTACTTTGGATATCCTAATATCATTTCACTGAATAATAATAAAATGTAATAATTATAAAACTGAAAAATCAATTATTTTGAAATAATAATAATTTTTTTCAGTAAAATATAATGATAGTTTTTAATATTATTTGCCGTTAAAAGGGAGGTGGTGATATACAGTAGTATATATATATATATATATATATATATATACCTGTCATAATAATAATAATAATAATAATAATAATAATAATAATAATAATAATAATAATAAAAATAATGATAATAATAATAAAATGTCGCTTAGTTTAGTGCGTGATCTTCGAGGTGAAGTCGGAGTCCTCGAAGATCATTCAGCAATCTCTTTTACGAGTAAAAAAAAAGGAAAAATAAAAACTAAAAAATAAAATGTAATAATTATAAAACTGAAAAATCAATTATTTTGAAATAATAATAATTCTTTTCAGTAAAATATAATGATAGTTTATTTTTATTTTTATATCATTCAGTGAAATGATTTTCTACTTTTTTCCTTTATTTATTAGCCCGAAACCTTAAATTTTCTACTTTTCTAGTCGAAATCTCATTTGAGCTCTCAGTTGGGCCCCATTTGACCGTAAGTTTCCGGAGATTTTACAATGATTTAATTATTTAAATTTCGCAGGTGTGAATTTTAATCTCGAGATTGAACCGTTGGAAAAAATTTTTTAAATCCGAAGAAAAATAGAATAATTTAAGAATTGTAGTTTTTGAAAATTACGAGGACTTTTTATAAACTATTTATGAACAATCATTTTTCCACAAAATTTTTTCATCGATGACTTGAGAATGCTAAAGGAAATGTTCTCCGCTGGTGAAATTTCCGGTTGTTTCAGCTCTATAAACTTGAGGGAATATTATTTGTTTACCCTAAGGCAGCGGTGATTTGTGATAATTTATCAATCTCTCTCCACACCCCGTGCATAAAATAAAGGAAGCACTCGCGCTCATTTTCACCCTAGAAGTAGATCAATAACCCTAGCATGGGAATACCTCGGGCAATTTACACATTAGGGGAGGGATTCAGCTGTGTGAACTTGGAGTCGAAGTTTGATAAATCGATTGTTTTTCTTATAATATTGTATTTCTTATTGTACTCAGTGAGTACCTGAATGTACTACATTCATTTTCATTTGTACCCCGCACCCCTAGACGTAAGGGGTGCGGGAAAAATCGGGCAGCGTCGGAAATGAAGGTACNATCCCTATAGAAAGGTGGACGGCTCAGAATTATGTTTTTCCACGTCCAACACCCTATACAAGATAAATTAAATTTTTTTTTTNTTCGTCTATCACGATTATGTCGGAAACTATGAGAGATAGAGCCTTAAAACCTATTCCATTCGATTCCTGAGGAAATTTGGGTTCCCTATAGGCAGATGGACGGCTCAGAATTATGTTTTTCCACGTCCAACACCCTATACAAGATAAATTAAATTATTTTTTTTTGCGATTTCGTTTTTCGCGATTATCTCGGAAACTATGAGAGATAAAGCCTTGAAACCAATTTTGGGTTCCCTGTAGGAAAAAAAAATCGATTTATCAAACTTCGACTCCAAGTTCACACAGCTGAGGGACTTGCATGCTAACGCAATCGTTCCACATGACACTTTTCCGATTTTGAACAACTGTCATTTATAAACGTACGTTAGACTCGGTAGCAACATTTTAAAAATTCTTGGCTGAAATTTCCGGTACATTTCGATGAAATGACAGTTCTAATGAAATTTGCAGAAATTTCCTCATCGAAAAATTGCAATTTAGTGGAAAAATCAATGGTAGTTGAAAATTTGTTGGAATTTTTAAGGAAATGTGTGAATATTTCCATTGTTTCAGTACATAGAGGATGAAAAAAAAATTTTAGATTGAAAATTCAGGTCAATAGTGGAATTTTCGTTTTTTTACTGCTAAAAAGTCTGACTTTCATTGAATTTTTAGTGGAATTGGAAATCTCTCTCCTAAAAATTACTACTAAATTGTTTTCAATTTTTTCCAATAGTAGAATCACAAAATTTTCCATCCAAATTATTTAAATAAATCGAGACTAAAAAAAATCTTTAATTCACAATTTAAGGATTTTCCCCTTCAAATACAATTCAGTGAAGCTCTTCTAGACATTACTACTAAATTATCCATGAAATTTCAAATTTTTTTCAACAGTAAAGTCACAAAATTTTCCATTTCAATTATTTAAATAAATTGAGAACAAAAAAAAAGTTTTTGATTAAAAATTCAAGAATTTTCCCCTTCAAATAGAATTTAATAAAGCTCTCCTGAAAATTATTACGAAATTATCCATGAAATTTCAATTTTTTTCGAACAGTGAAGTCACAAAATTGTCCATTTAAATTATTCAAATGAATCGAGAACAAAAAAAAAGTTTTTGATTAAAAATTCAAGGATTTTCCCCTTAAAATTGACTTTAATGATGGGCTCCTGAAAATTACTCCTAAATTGTCCATGAAATTTCAATTTTTTTCCAACAGTAGAGTCACAAAATTTTCCATTTAAATTATTCAAATAAATCGAGAACAAAAAACAAGTTTTTGATTAAAAATTCACGGTTTTCCACTTAAAATCGACTTTAATGACGCCCTCCTGAAAATTACTCCTAAATTATCCATGAAATTTCAATTTTGTCTAGCCGTGAAGTCGTAAAATTGACCTACAATCCAATATTTGTTCCTGAATCCTCAAAACCAAAAATAGAAAATGAAGATTCAATTATCATTCGTCAAGAATCGCAGGAAAAAAAATAGAAAACTCCTCGGTACAAAAATAGATAATTTTTCCGCCCACAGACATCACTCCTCTTCCACTCGCCAAACCGTCAAACAACATTTCACTCAATTTTCGGAATAATTTTCCCTCGACCTCTCTCCCAGTCTAGCTTCATCTGTTCTGTAATCATACTTTTCCTCATCATATCCACGCGTATACGGCACTAGCATTGTTGAGGGACTCGACAGGACATTGTCCATTATCACATGGGTCCCTGCACATCAAATTGCTAATTTCACGTATTTTTTTATCACTGTCAGTTGAGTCTGGTAAAAATCAACACGTCCGGTGGTCTCATAAATCTCAATTCGAGGTCGAGGTGAATATTTCAAGTTTAATGCCGACTCTTAATCATAAATGAGATCGATTCAGGAGGGGAGGAAGATCCGGTGGAACTGAATGAAGTGGTTTTCCCTATATTTTTAAATATTTAATAGTTCTCAGGGAGAGTGCATTCAGTCGAGAGATTTTTCGTGGGAAATTTACTAATTACAAAAACAATTTTTGAAGTTAACTGACAAAAACCTTCAGAATTGAGTGATTATTATCAATTATTATTATTGTTTATTGAGTGATTATTATTATTATTATTATTATTATTATTATTATTATTATTCCTAGTAATTCTAGGGGAAAGCGTCAAGACATTTTCTCTGAAATTAGTTGTGTACGGAATAAAAAAGCAATTGAGAAAAATTTGAATGATTATTTTTTGTAAGAAATGGATGAGGAACATCTATTAAAAATTCCCATGAAACTTCCTCTTCTTTTTGTTTCCGTGATAAATACATTTAAAAATGTGAATTTATCAAGGGAACAAATTTCCTTCCCCGTAGAATACGTCATTGCCACAAAAGAATGTTTTCCTGAATTGAACGCCTTATCACTGTGAATAAATCACAATAATCGGTCTTGTGTAATTTTTCCTTCGATTGTTCCACGTAATGACAATTAACTTGCTAGTGTTTACGCATGAAAAATCTATGATTTGATGTAAAAGTCGGTAAAAAGTGTAAATTTAGTTGAATTATTTTGAGAAAATTGATGGAAATCAGGAAAATTCAGGTGTAATATATTCTTGAATTTTCGAATACTGAAAACTGGATAATTTCTAATGGATTCTATGGAATATTTTCCATTAAATATTTCGATTAAAAAATGCGATGATTTTTGAATAGAACTGGTTAAAAACTAATACAAAATCGCAATATTTTCTTGTTAATTTTTTTCGCACGTGTTAAGAAGTCTCTCAGCATTTTTAGTAATAATAATTATCAATCAAAGAGCGAAGGCATTAACTATTTTTCTAACTAGCGCCACACCAGTTCGATATTCCTTTTTTAAATAAATTGTTTATAATCATTAATTGTTTAAAATCCCCTGTCCCAATTTATGAGCTGTTAAATTTTCATATTACAATAAATGATTCGCTCACGTTCGAATTTCTACGCTCACTGAATAAGATATTAATTATAATTACAATTAAATTCCTTTAATAAAACGTTTGTTGATACTCTAGTAAAAGTGCGTGCCCACACTGTTGTAAATTTTTAGTTAGTTCACACGTTAATTCAATTAATCTGTTGTTCATCTCATCAATATAATTCCGCGCTTAGAATATTGTCATCTCGTGTTATCAGCACCAAATTAAAAATTAAAACTTCTTTTGGAATATTGAGTCACAACTTCTTTCTATTCACATAAGAAATTTTGTATTTGGATATTAATATTATTTGTTCAAAGCGAAAAAATTGATTCATCATTTCACTACATAATTCCAATCAACTTTGTTCGAAGAAAACCTTAATGACCGCAATATTAAGAAAGTTGAATTATTCAATTTTCCTGTGGCCTAAATAATTTGGACAATTATGACTCGTTCATTCGTGTTTCATAGAATGTCATTCAATTACATTATTTTTAGTAAAAAATATTAAATCTCACCTAGTGGAGTGATCAACGAATGAACCGCCGTCCAGCAGACGTAATTTAGCAAACAGCACAGCACTTACGAAAGGCACTGCGGTGAGCTCCTCAAGGCCGACCTCAACCGAAAATTTGTACTTTTTCTTTTTCATCATGAATGCCATTTCAACGTTACCAGGGCACTTCACTTTATCGGCCTTCAATCAATACGTTTAAACGCTGAAAATAAACTGGAGTTCGATATTTACTCAACAACACTTTTTCAGAATTAATCTCCACCCCTTGAGTGGAACACCAGTCGAATCACCTCCACTTCATTATCACCTTCATTTTTATTTTTCCTTTTATTACTGAGAGGACACTCTTGCCTTTCGCATCTTCACGCCTCGGATTTGTTTTTCTCCTCTCGGTGAACGTCAATTAATTGTTAATTTGCAGCTGATGGAGGTGAAGTCAGAGATTCTGATGAGCAATTTTCACGCGAGCTTCTTCAGTCCAATGATTATTGCTGATCCGAAATACTCCTCGTGATTTCTGACATCGTTCTTTGGTATTTTTTTATTATTTTTTATTTATTTAGTGGAACTGGTATTTGTCAGTTGGTTGAGCCGCTCGCCAGGAAGGCGAACGCTTCTCTTCTTCCTCGTTTTTTTGTCATTTTAACAACCTGCAGGCATAAAACACGAAATTTCTTATGAAGTTATTTTATACAGGAACATAAACATTATTTTCATGGGTCCCAGATTTTTTTTTCCAGTCAAAAATATAAATATTTCGAACAAGTGATGTTTTTAGTTGATTTTTTCTCGTTCTACTCGATTATTCGTGGCAAGTGATGGCTAAATTCGAAGTAAAACTTGGAAAATTGTTCATTTTCATAATTAAAATAGTCATTTAAAAATGCTCAGATGACCTTGATTGACGTCACACCTCCGGTCCATCATTCTGATAATTTTAGATCCATTTTAGGTCCATTTTTTATCATTTTTATCAAATAAATAAAGTGGAATTTTTCACGTATTGAGCTTCTGGAATTTTGAACACTCGAATAGACACAATAAATATCCCATTCAATTTAATTATTGGATTGACTGAATTTTGACTGCAGCAAATGAACTGAAATATCTCCGAGATCACTATCCAATTATCAAAATAAAATTACAGATTCTTATCGTTGAGATATCGCGAGGAAAACATGATACTGATAATGCTGACTTTGAAACGATTACTCTCAAATAAAAGTTGTTCTGTAATTTTTTCCCCCAGACGAGATGACAGACTTTTTGTCACACGTATTGTGGGGAATATGTGATGTCGTGTGAATCTTATCTGTATTATCGTGAGTCACAAGGCTCCTGCGTCACAAGGACGTGCAATCGTTACGTCAAAGGTCGTACTTCAGGTGATTTACGGTTGAAGAACCTCTTGCCAGTCGTAATGAATCGTAAATATTATTAATTTTTCTCCACAACATTCTCTCATTCTGACAAATAAAAATGTAATGAAACATTGGATATTTTATTCATCTCTGGGAAGAGAAAATGGGGAGCAAATAATTAAATAATTATCGCAATCGAATGCTATTTCTCCTGAATTTTGATGAAATAGTGAGCGATGAATATTGAATTTTCCGTTCGATGAGATTTGTGAAAAATTCAGGGATTGTCTCAGTTCATTCATGATGTGGAGCACGAAAATACCACGAGAGAGGAACCAGTGAATTTTTAATAGTTGCGAGGAACAGCAAGTGAAATTAAATAAAATTACTGACTCTTATCGTCGAGGTATCAAATAAAAGTTCTTTTGAAATTTTATCACACATATTGTGGGGAATATGTGATCTAGTGAGAATCTTATCTGTATTATCGTGAGTCACAAGGCTCCTGCGTCACAAGGACGTGCAATCGTTACGTCAAAGGTCGTATTTCAGGTGATTTACGGTTGAAGAACCTCTTCCCAGTCGTAATGAATCGTAAATATTATTAATTTTTCTCCACAACATTCTCTCATTCTGACAAATAAAAATGTAATGAAACATTGGATATTTTATTCATCTCTGGGAAGAGAAAATGGGGAGCAAATAATTAAATAATTATCGCAATCGAATGCTATTTCTCCTGAATTTTGATGAAATAGTGAGCGATGAATATTGAATTTTCCGTTCGATGAGATTTGTGAAAAATTCAGGGATTGTCTCAGTTCATTCATGATGTGGAGCACGAAAATACCACGAGAGAGGAACCAGTGAATTTTTAATAGTTGCGAGGAACAGCAAGTGAAATTAAATAAAATTACTGACTCTTATCGTCGAGGTATCAAATAAAAGTTCTTTTGAAATTTTATCACACATATTGTGGGGAATATGTGATCTAGTGAGAATCTTATCTGTATTATCGTGAGTCACAAGGCTCCTGCGTCACAAGGACGTGCAATCGTTACGTCAAAGGTCGTATTTCAGGTGATTTACGGTTGAAGAACCTCTTCCCAGTCGTAATGAATCGTAAATATTATTAATTTTTCTCCACAACATTCTCTCATTCTGACAAATAAAAATGTAATGAAACATTGGATATTTTATTCATCTCTGGGAAGAGAAAATGGGGAGCAAATAATTAAATAATTATCGCAATCGAATGCTATTTCTCCTGAATTTTGATGAAATAGTGAGCGATGAATATTGAATTTTCCGTTCGATGAGATTTGTGAAAAATTCAGGGATTGTCTCAGTTCATTCATGATGTGGAGCACGAAAATACCACGAGAGAGAAATCAATGAATTTGTAAAAGTTGCGAGGAACAAGAGCGTCAGTTGAGATGAAACATTTAATCCACCTCTTACACAATAGTCGCATGCGTGAAGGAGCTGACACGGTGTCTCTTTTATTTTTCATCCAACAAGTTATTTATACACATGTGACAAACTTTCTTTCAGTGCTGTGAGCATCCGAGCTCCAGTGGAACTGAATGGTCGTTCGATCGATCCCGTGGGTTATAAATTGAGACAGTTGATGATGATAATTGATCGATTTACTTGTGAAGTCAGTACCGAAGGAAAAAAACGGTTCAAGTCGATTTCTTCCGGCGGTTTTCGGCGAATATCTCGGAATCGGAGGTAGATAGCAAAATTATTGTCAGAACCTTTTTTGTAGACATCGATTCGCGCTACAAAAAAGGTCCTCACAAAAATTCCGCTATCTCCGTTAGATTCGGAGATATTCCCATAAAACGCCAGTTGACAGCTAAATGAACTTAAATTGTTTTACGAATATTTACTACAGTTTATTTTCTTTATGAAAAAATTGTTAAAATAAATGAATGAGTGAATATTCTCCAATCACTGCGTTTGATTATAAATTTATTGACATGAATAAGCGAATGGAATGAGAAGAAATTCAGGAAAAACTCCTGTTGCTTATGGACTTTGTTATTTCCCTCTAAAAAAATCCCCGGGGAAATTTCCCTACCAGATGTCGGCAAAAGTGGATGGAATCTCCTCACATTTCAATATTTCCATCCCAGAATGATGCGGAGTTGATTCAATGTCCAGACCAGAGCTCTGGATCACGCAATTGTAAAACTATAAATTATTGACAGTGACTGGTCGATGTGGAGAACCGTGCGGAGGAATGACAGATCAAAACGACTGTCACAGCGACTTATCGAAGACACATGGACACTAGAACTGATATCCAATTGATTATTACCCGGAAAACTGAATGTGTTGGAACTATTGCAGAAAAAAAAAACAGATTCATAGAAATTCCATCGGAATAAAATCTCAAATCAGCGGTGAAACGGAATAAATAATTATGATTTTTTTAATTAAAAAAAAAACAAGTCTTTGAAGAGTTCTTTTTATTTTTAAAAATATTTTTTTTATTTTTTTTAATACTTAAAACGCAATTCGAAGAATAAAACAAAATAAAAAATGAGTCAATTTTGCTGAGACTTTAGTTTTCATCTCTAAGATTGATTTTTAATTTTTATTGAGAGACGGAATTAATCGTTGAGCCCTCAAAATGCGAAAATTATCACTCACTCGTCGTAAAATTCGCTGAGATTTTAACTTCCCTCTTCAATATTAATTTTTAATTTCCATTAAGAGACATAAAAAAATTATTTGAGGGGCCATTTGGAGCTCCCACTCCCCTATTCAATAAAAAATCCTCAAAAAAATCTCAGACTCCGAAATATTAACCAAAAGCTCCTGAAAATTCAATGGACAGCTCTCGTTTCTCCACTGTCCCAATGCAATGAGACCCCCAAGACACCATTTCCGACGATAAATCGAGATTACCTCCACTGACAGTGCCATCACAGCCAAAAAAAGTGGCAAAAACAGCTGTTGAAGGGGTCAAGTGAAGCAGAAAATGAATTCAATCTAATACATAACACGAAATAACCTCTTCCACTCCGCAAATGAGACATTTACTCAGCAATTCCGATGGGAATGAAGCCCTTGGAGGAGAAATCGAGTGATCCCTGATCGTAATGACGATGCAGAGCCCTCGGAATTAATCGTTGAGCCCTCAAAATGCGAAAATTATCACTCACCCGTCGTAAAATTCGCTTTTTCATTGAACACACATCCTTTTCAGCCGAACTCGTACACTTTCATCGTCGCTAATTGGCCACTTTTAACCCCATACACACACACAATTGGCTTTCTTTATTTACCGCAGCCCTCGCCAAACTTTATCGCTATTTATCACTCGCACACCCGCACGCACCTCACGCGGAACCTCTCTGAAACCCAGGAAAAACCCAAACAGACGTTTCACTGAGTTTTTTTTATCTAATCGCTCGGTTTTTCTGGGTTTCGGTCGCACGTACTGTCACGCTAACGCTAATCCGAGGAGCAGTCATCTGCAGACTGACACGAGAGCTTCGAGCTTGGATTAAATTCAACACGTCGAGATGATTTCGATGGGATTTTTGGGAATTCCACGATTGTGGCGCCACGACTCGGGGGATATCAATAGCACTGCGTAACCTTGGGGTGAGAGAACTCTGACGTTTGATTGCTGATTCATTCTCTTCATTCTTCAAGAGAAGGAGATTACGCGGATTTTTTTATGGAATCGAGAGCTGAATTTCCGCGGTTTTTACGTAGTTTTTATTAATCTTTGGGAACCCAGGGCTGTCGCACCAATGCCGACATCTGTGGGGAGATTCTGCCGGTAGTGACGCTGTTTGACCGACAGAACGAGCATTGCGGGAATTTCAAAGTGATGGGAATTTTTTATACAATTTATTTTTTGTGGAGAAGTTATTGAAATTACTTGTCGACTTCGGAAAAATCAATACGTGAAAAATTCCACAATTCTGTTATTTACTATTCAATTTTTTTTACGGACTTCGTCACAAGAAATTTTGAAAGGTTGAATTTAATGAGTTAAGGGGAACAGAATGCCGCTAATTTTCCAATTTTTTATTTATTTTTTATTCAAATTTTTTAGTAAATTTAAAAACTAAAAAAAAAATCATGAATTTAATTTAAAAATTAAATTCATGATTAATTTAATTTTGAGATTTTCAATTATGATTGTTACAATTACAGCGCGCTGTAGCGCGTTCGGTCTCGTTATTTAAAAAGTAGGATAACACAATAAAAACGAGTAAAGCAATAAATAAAGAAAAAAAAAAATTCAACGGTCAATACAGAAGCAAGGGGTTAAATATTAAATATCAATACGAAATGTATTTCTACCATGTTTTTTTTTTCATTTATTTATTCATCAATTGTCATGATTACTCAGAGTATTTTTCCAGCGTTCACATTTTCGGAATCCTCTCACGTGGAGACATTCACCCTCTGGAACCCCGAGATCAGCTCCACAAAAAATGGTCAATTTGTTTATTTTTTTTTTCAAGTACCTGAGTTCATCTCAGTGCATCCAATGTCTCCTCATCCTGGCTGCCATCTGACAAAAAAGCTTTGTTAACTCATGCCTTAAATAATCCATTGAAATAAACAGTACATAATAAAACGCACGTCCGGCCATTAACTAACAAAGATGAATCCGCAACGATTTCGTTAATCATTTGTACATCAATGTTTGTTAGAGAATTTTTTGTTCCTTCAGGCCTTTCTCGCCGTATCGCACATGTACCAGAAAATAAATAATGAATAAAAATGTTGCTCTTGAATCACCAATACTGGAGAGTTTGTAAGATGTATGATTGCAATAATGCGAACGATAGTGTAGATGTGATTATAAACACAAGTGTAGTTGATGTTAAAACTGAAAATAAATGCGCAGTGTTTCTCTAATTAAATGAAAGCAATGGGCGCACGCACGCTTCAATAACATACCTTCAATGAGATTTTTTAATCTCTTTTTCGGATCACAAATCGCCGGTCCTCTACGCAATACGCATTTGTGGCGCGCGTTTTTCGGCTAGTCGTGGTAACTAACATTAGAATGTTCATAGATAATGGTAAACACGAAATTTTTGGAGAATTTGGGAGTGAGGGGCTGAATCATGAGAATATTTGTGACATTCAGTAACAGAACGAGGAAATTTTCAATTCGTAGCGTTTCCCAGAAAATTGCGTCGTTTTTTTTGAAGACTGAAGCGCCTCTAGAGTGGAAAAAACCGAACCCTGAAGTGGAGAAAACTTTGTGCTGGAATTCTCGGCCAAAATGAGGCGGAAAAATCTGAAAAACGGCCTAAAAAATTTGTTCTTTTTGTAGAAATTGGATGATGAGAGTTGAAGATGATCTGAAGAGTATAAATAATTTTTAAAATGGATTAAAAATACGAGGTGGCAGCGACGCCATCTTTAAAGTCTCTTGGCAGAGGGAGGGGGCATCCAAGATGGCGGCGCTGCCACCTGGCATTTTTAAACCTTTCCCAGAATTATTCATCTGCTTCAAATTCCTTTTAACTCGGTTTATCCACTTAATAGAAATGAACAATTTTTTTGAGCTATCGTGCAGATTTTTTCATTCACTTTTGACTGAGGATGAAAAAAACTATTTCCTCGCGTTTGATTAGTTTTGACGTGGATGTCTATAATTTTATTGCGCAAGATTTTAGGAAATAAAATCACTCTTTTGACAGCGCCATCTATCGGAATTCTATAAAATTCTAGATTTTTATTAAAAATTCGAGAAAATTCTCCGGTATTCTGGAAATTTCTCCGGCGTTCGAGAAAATTTAAAAAAAATCTCTGGCTTTCTAGACAATTCGAGAAAATTCTCAGTGCTTTTCCAAATAATCTTGAATCCTCTTGAAAATCTGAATAAAGAGTCAAGTAGCAACTTCAGGAGAATTTTTAAATCTCGAGGAGAATTCTACCTCTCAACAATAATTTTGCCGTCACTAGGTCCTCTAAAGCAGAAATTTCATGTTCCAATAAATGTCTATATGCTCAAAAAATGCAAAACCCAATTCTCGGTCCCAAGCCCATCTCGTCAGCATTTCTCTCTTTCAAAGGAAGGGAAGAGAAAGGTTCATCATGGGGTCAATATAAAAAAAAATCAATCAAAATAAATGAAAAATTTGACACCTGTGCGCCCACGGATGACTCTCAACGAACGCAACAAGACCCTTGTCTAGTCTACTATTCGGTCATTTATTCATAATTTTTGTGCTACACATGTACAAAATTCCATTGTTTTCCACATTAAACCTTGCTATTAATCCAAGGAACCACTGAACTGAACAATTAAAACACTCTTTCAATCCTTATTACATCATAAAAAAGATCATACAGCTTTGTTTTTTAATTTCTATCTGTTACAGCGCACATATCGCATTAATTACGTGAATGTCTAAACTATTGGGGACAATAAACTGTCTTCTATCCTATCATATCCGTTATCAATAAAAAAAATGAAAGCTTTAATCCCTCTTTCTGTCAATCACCATCGAATCCTCTTCTTCAAGTTCTTCGTCCTCTTCATGTTAAAAAACAATTATGCTTAATCGATCTAATTTCAATCATATTTTATTATTTTCAATTCAAAGTTGAACAGAAAGTATTGTTACAGCTTCATCGCGTAATGCTCACTATTTTAACCAGGATTAACCATTCTGATACTGCCTATACACTCAAATACGTTGACTTAATGTACCTTAATCGCTATTTTTTTTTTCATCGTAAAAATTTTCACGGTTCGTATCGTGGAAAATGGATCTGTACCGTTGGTTAAATGTATTACTTGTTGTTTCAATCATTCAGGTGAACTCAGTGTTTACAGTATATTCTCGCCAGACGCAGGACAGTCCTTCGATATTAGAAGGCAGGACGATGAGGCATAGGAGACATTTTTTTTTCGTCAAAAAAGTTTTTTTTTTTCAGTTTCTTCTTATCATTTTTATTTTTTCGCATCCTGACACGCTCTCCGCTGACAATTATACAGGATAAATGCCATTAACGGTGCGCGATTATTTATCGTCTTTTAATTAATTTCGAGGGGGGTACACGCATTAGTACCTCGGGGGCATTGCGTCTGCCGGACCTGGGAAGCTAAAATAGTAAAAAATGAGAAAATAATTCACATCGCTTTCAGGATTTTTATTTATGGTTAATGGAAGGTTTTGGGCGCTAGTCACGCAGTGATTTCGAGTCAATGGAAATCGAATGTATAAGATGTAACGTTTTTAATTGTTTTTAATTGTTGTTGATCAGTAGAAATTTCAAGGGGAAATTTCAGTAGTGAAGTTTTTTAAGAATATCTCCGAATCTAAGGGAGATATCGAAATTTTCGTAATAACCTTTTTTGTAGCCCTCAGTTTTCTCTACGAAAAAGGTCATAACAAAAATTTTGCTATCTCCGTTAGATTTCGAGATATTCATTGAAAACTGGCCAATAGTCAAAATTGGTAAATTACGATTGAATAGTTCTGCAGGCGAATGGCAAAAGGAGTCGGTTGTTTCACGTTTTGTTGAGTAGTCAATCATCTCGTTGAGGAGAATAAAAATTATCAAACGAAAATTGAATTGATGAATGAATTCTGAAAATTGAATTTAAAAATCAATCACATTTTACCACTCGTCTACTGAATCAAGACTGATGAAATCCCTCATCACAATCTCACTCAAGATGACTCTTTCCATCGTGAAAAAATAGCAATGACAAGTTATTTACAACGACAGACTCGACTCTACGTCAATGAAAATCCTAAATAATTAAATTTACGCATTAATCTAACGCAAATCGTGATTGGAGCTCTCAGACAATAATCGGCCGGTTTAAATCGCATTATGACCGTTGTTGTATCGCTCGCAACGCTCGAACGCTCGCTGGCTCAACGCACATACGCAAGGTCGCATTAACGAGCCTCAAATTTATAATTATCAAAGCAACTCGTCAGAATTGGACAGATAAAATGGGCAATTTGCACTGATAAATTGGTGAATTTCACTGACTCATTACTGGAATATCACAATACGTTACACCTTATACGTCAATTCAGATATCAAGTGTTTCGTTGTCGACGACAGAAAGTTTCTTTATTTTTTCGAAAGTAACGATAGTCGCGGGAACGACGGACGCACTCAACTGCGCTCGTAAAAAATGTGCGAAATAAAGGAATAATGAAGTTCATTGTAATTAGTGGGTTCAACTTACCGGCCACCACCACCGCCGCGGGGTCCGTAGGCGTCTGGCCTGTCATAAGCTTCGGTATAACTTTAAGAATAAATAAGGGAATTGAGTATTTTTTGGAGAAACACTAGGTGTGAAGTGGTAAAACGTAATTTGGGAGTAAATTCTTTATCGTTTTTGGAATTTTGCTTTCGAATTGATAGCATTCCACCCGTCAAATCCAAAATTTACTATTTTTTTTTGTCACGATAACTAATTTAGAAGCGAAGCGGTAAAACGGTTCAAGTCGACTTGGCCCTTGGCTGAGTTTTCGGGGGATATCTCCGAATCTAAGGGAGATAACGAAATTTTTGTAATGACCTTTTTTGTAGAGGGAATTGAGAGCTACAAAAAAGGCTATGACAAATATTTCGCTATCTCCCTTAGATTTCGAGATATTCATTGAAAACTGACCAACAGTTGAAATCGACTTAAGCTATCATTTCGACGATAAAAAATAATAATTTAAATGAATCCAATTGTCATCTAAAATATTCTTCTCAATGCTATTTTGAACGAGTTCGATCATGAAATGGATTTCATCAATCTCAAGTCAAAACAAAGTTGTAATAACGTAAATAATTCACAAGATTCATTCGTAATAATTATGTTATATTTTGATTTTCCCTCGGGGGATCTTTTGTATCTCAGGGAAGTAATAAATTGCTTCTATTCTATTCACTCTGTTGTTGAAAAAATTTATTTTGAAACCAATATTCAAGGAAATTCAATGAATCATTGAATTAAATTAAAAATACATCATAGAAATTCCATTCAGAATAAAATTGCCAATTCATTAGCAGAAATATATCGATTATATTGTCCCAAACCAATTTCCCACTTGAGCCCTATCCATCGACATCAACTAAACTCCAATCAATACGTCAATTTTAAGAATAAACTCAAGAAGAAATATAATTGACCAAAATACAAAATGATAAACGACATAGGAGAGGGTAAAATGGACACTTGACTTTGTTAAAAATATTCATAACTCAAAAAGATTTATCAATTGAGCTCAGTCTAGGCTCATCACAAAGAGGAATCATTGTTTTTCAATTAAAAAATAATATTATTCCATTTCATGAACAATTCAACACGTCATAAATACTTCAAAAAAAGTGAAGTGTCCGTTTTACCCTACCCTCCCCTACGATGAAAGAGAATGATGTGCAAACCCCATCTGTCCTGAATTCACCTCGACCAATTCCATTTCACCACTTCACAGATAACTACTAAAATGATAATAACAATTACCCTCCACCAACAGGTGGGTAACCCCCACTGGCGACGGAGCTTCCAGGTCGTCTGCTGAACATATCAGTCTGAGGTCCAGGCCCACTGTTGTAGCTGGGTGCTCCGCTGTTGTAAGAGGGCCCCCCACCCATAGTCCTGCCATACTGGCCCCCATCGGAGTACCCAGACCCATAACCCCCAGACGACACAGTCCCCCCACCATTGCGCATGGGCCCAGCAGCGCTGCGATCGTAGTCATTCCTCTGCGTGTAAGGATCAGCAGCCCTGCCACTGCCAAAATTATCGCCACGTCCGTAATCCCCGACCCCAGGAACTCCGCGATTGAAGTCCCCGCCCATTCCACCGCCAGACTGGAAGTTTCCGTAGTCAGATCGACCGCCGAAGTCACTGGGTCGACCGTAGTCACCACTTCTGCCGTAGTCGGATGTACCGCTGGGCCCGTAGCCCCCAACGGAACCCCCCGAGGGCCCGTAGCCACCCCCACCCATACCCTGAGCCGATGAGCTGTAGCCTCCCATGCCACCTCCACCTACCCCCTGGCCGTAGCCCCCTCTGTCCCCGTAGCCACCCCCTGGCCCACCGTAATCACCTCCACGATCTCCGTAACCACCACCTCCACGGTTACCGTAGTCGGAGTAACCCCCGCCACCCCCTGAAATTGGGGAATTCAATGGTAGAGATCAATTGAATTTTCAGGGATACAGTAGACTCCCGTTAGAGTCACTCTTTATATACGAAGGGGAAAATCTCTCGAAAATTAGTGGACCTTCTCACCAACGCATGGGGCGTATCGAAGGGGGCACAAGAAAGTAGAGGGAAATACTGAAAAAGTGGTATCCCGTACTGAAATAGTATATTCGCCGAGGGCTGCCAATCACACGAGCTGAAAATTCTGTAGTGAATTGGTAAACTAGGATAAGTGCATTTCAACTGAGGACAGTTATCAAGCGATATCTCGTAAATAAAAACAGATATCAAAATTTTTATTAGAACCTTTTTTGTAGAGGGAGATGTGGGCTACAAAAAAGTTTTTGACAAAAATTTCGATATCTGTTTTTATTTACGAGATATCGCTTGATAATTGTCCTCAGTTGAAATGCACTTATCCTAGTTTACCAATTCACTACAGAATTCCTGTCTCACATGTGTCGAACAATAGTTTTTGACAGTGATGTTACGTTCAGCGAGTGGCGAACTGTGCCTTTTTTCGTTTACTAGTAAACGAAAAGACTTTTCGTTTACGAGTAAACGAAAAGGCACTTTTCGACACGAGGTGAACGTAGCAGCAGTGTCAAAATAGTATATTTCGTTACGAGTGCGGAAAAGAGTTTTTTGGCGAGTGGGAGGTTTATATCACGAGTCGAAGGCGAGTGATATTATTCCACGAGCCAAAAAACATTTTTTCACGAGTTACGAACAATATTTTTCATCACAATGTGGCGGAAATTGGACTTTTAGGCACACGGAGCGTGCCGAAAAGTTCATTTTTCGTCACAGCGTGATGAAAAAGTGGTTTTTGGCGAGTGGGAGGTTTATATCACGAGTCGAAGGCGAGTGATATTATTCCACGAGCCAAAAAACATTTTTTCACGAGTTACGAACAATATTTTTCATCACAATGTGGCGGAAATTGGACTTTTAGGCACACGGAGCGAAAAGATCACTTTTTGTCACAGCGTGATGAAATAGTATATTTCGTAACGAGTGCAAAAAAGTATTTTTTGGCGAGTGGGAGGTTCATATCACGAGCCGAAGGCAAGTGCCGAAAAGTTTATTTTTCGTCACAGCGTGAAGAAAAATTCATATATGGCCCCCTAATTTTTGTGAGTCGTGCACTTATTTTTCATGCGTTTTCGCCCTTGTGGGCCCGGAGGGGAAGCCGATTCCGAGAACACGACGTTCTGAGAACTCTACCCCCACTCTACTCCCAGGTGTAGCTCCAATTTCTCGGAGCTACGGTCGATAAAGGCAAAATAAGAAATAAGAAATTCGAGTATTTTTACCAGAGGCAGAGGTATATGTTTTGACGGACCATAACACGACTCTTCGATATCTGTGTTCGGACGAAACTACATGAAGAACGATTCGAAAAAATGAATATTTGTATCAGGAATACAGAGAACATTCCGGGGAACTCAACTACGGAGCTCGATTTTTGATTAAGTACTCAGTTTTCCTACGAAATGCATTTATTTCATTTCTGCTCTTCCGAACATTTTAATTTGCATTTTAGTTGACCAATTGCTTTGTCATTAACCAAATTTTCATCAATGCATTTTTTATCTGAATGCATATTTTTTTTGCCAGGTAGAGATCAACTTTTTTTTCCATTGAAAAGTGTCAATGGTCACATTAACCCTTTTTTCGTATTTTTTTTCTTCACACATCCATCATTCTCTTTACCTAGCCCCATTTAAATTTCTTATAAATTTCTAAATTTTAATTGGGTTTATCGTAAACTATAAATTAACTTCTCTAATTATAATGATGTAATAATGGGGATGAATCAAATAACAACGAAAAAAATAAAATAATTAAATATACTACAAAAACAATTGAACGTCAAAAGTATTCAGTGTTCAAGTCAAATAAATTTTCATAAAACAAATATAGAGTGAAAAAAATGAAAAATTGAATAATGAAAATGAATAAAACAATAAATAAATCAACTGAATTTGTCACCAAGAAAATTGAATGCCAAAATTATTCTTCTACTTGAAGTTTTATTTTTAAAAAAATATAGAATAATTTATAATTACCTCTGCGATCATTGTAGGGCCCTGGCCTGCTGTCCCTCCCGCCATCCCTTCCTCCGCGCCCACCCCTCATCGGTCCACCCCGTCTGTCGTCCCTCCGTCCACCCGGACCGCCCCCTCGCGATTTTCCAGTCGACTGCTCGACATTTATCGTAGCCCCCTTGAAATTCGTATTGTGAAGAGCTTTGATAGCTGCTGCCGCGTCCTCCTCACGCGCCATGTGAACGAAACCATAACGATTCATGACGTCACACTCCGTAACTTCCCCGTAACGCAGGAATAATTGACGTAATTCATCGCTGCGACAATTCTCCGGTAGTCGACCCACGAAAATCTTGGTCTTCCTCTTTAGAGTGGGAGAAAGAGAAGTTATTCGTCATTCATGATGGAATTAATTCCATTTTATTAGTTTCGTCAAATTATATTAATGATATCAATTCATAATTAAGTTATCCATTGTATCAATCCCAATTTTTTAATATTCTGCGCATTATTTAATACAAATTACTCATTTTTCAACTGATAATAAAGAATCATAAAGAATGATAATGAAATTTAGTAATAAATAAACGAAACGTGTTGAGAAATAAATCAATTCTCAAAATGAAAAACGTTTTGACAACTGAAAAAAAGGATTGAAATGGACTAATTGCTTTGCTAGTTAATTTCCTGCAAAAACAGTCTCTTAATTTCTTCTCATCAAGAAGAATATTTCACAAATTCTTCGAGTTCAAGATAACTCCTAAATTAAAAAAAAAAACGAAATGAATTCCTCGAATTCTTTCAAATTGTTCCTTTGAAATCGACCACGCGGCCTCAATAATATCGCACGGTGTCTGTTCAAGAATCAATTTTATCTAGCTTCCGACAATAATCATCCTCCCACAGACGTAGGAAAATTTCAATCATGCCGAGCGAAAAGAGAAAATTCAACAATTGAAAACATAATAAAAAGCAGTTCTTACCGGCATATTCGAGGTAACCATCTTCTGAAACAAATGAAGAGGAGAGATCTCTATTAACACTTGATCAATCACTCCGTATCTTTCATAAAAATAAACCGTCGAGAGATAAATCACGCGATACTGCACCGCGAAAAACGAATGGGAAGTGCTATCGACGAGATTTCTTGCTTGCACAGGAAATAATTAAAACAAGTGAATCCACTTCCCCGACGAGTTTCTCGTCTCAGGAGATTCTTCACAAATTCAGCACCAGATTTTTTTACACTTGGTAATTTTCAAGTTGCGATTTTTTGTTCAAACAAGGGTTTTATGAATTTTATACATTTTAATTTTATGGATTTCATGAATTAGAAGACCTTTTCCCATTATTTTCAAGAAATATAAAACTTTTCCCGAAGGATTTGAAATCTTTTAAAATTATTATGTGGTAAACTACTATTGTTTCTAGCATGTAAAATAATATAGCCTCAAGTTCTAACTTTTGTATTCAACCTATATTTTATAAATTTCATGAATTCTATGAATTTTATGAATTCCATAAATTGGAAGACCTTTCCAACAAAAATTTGAAAGGTCTATCTCTTTAATTTCTTTACAAGTCAGAAATTTATTCTTCAATTTTTTTTTGGTACTTCATAAATTAATTTTATAACATTCTTATTAATTCATAAATTCATTAATTGTTTTGTCCTAGAACTTTGGCCATTTTTTTCGCCATTTAAACTCTGTAAGTCTGAATTTGAATCTTCTTGATATTGAACCGTTAGAAAACATTTGAAAACCGCGAAAAAAAATCAGCAAGTGTACTTCTGGAGAAAAATTGATGAAATAATTAGAAAATTTCAATTTAAAAAAATCACATTTTCTATAAAAAATAAATTGTCCACAATTTTCCAAAAATCATTTGTCCAAAATCGTCAAAAATTTATTCATATTCAGAATTTTACCAGAAATCCATTGCATGTCCAACAAATTAAACTTTCCGAAAGTTTAAACAATTTCAATTATTAATTTGCAAACAACGAATGATTAAAAAAATGATAATTCCGTACAGAACGTAATTTTAATACCGCTGAATACTAATAATTTTCGTTCAAAATTTTGACGCAATTCAACTGACAAATTTGATGATTGAAAATGGTTGAATCTAGTCTAGTCTCCACCAAACCGTAAAAGCAACTCGAATATCCTCCATTCGTAAATTCATGGACAACGTTTGGCACGTTTTCATCTCACCCTAGACAGCCAGCATCATAAAGCCACGTTGCCGTGTGAAATGGTTATGTAATACCCCCTGTTTCCACAAAATGTCTCTAAAACAATCTGATGCATGCAACAAGGAGTCCCAATCCAAGCGTCCAAAGGTTGAGTAATGACTAGACTAGAATATTTTCCAGGAACGTATCGGGGTGATTACAAACGCAAATCAATCGTGCGAACGCTCCCAAGGTCTCGCGAGACAATCGGAGCCCCTCGAAACCGGATTATTCGCAGTTTTACCCTCCGCTGGCCCATTTGCCGCGCGATTAATTAATTAGTCAAAAAAATTGAGAGCGCGGAGTGAAAAGGGTGAAGGAACACTCGCTGAATGGAAAAAAAATCAGAAATGCGAGGGAGGGAACGCCGGCGCGGCGGCTCGCGTGTGTCGCATCAGAGCAGAATGTAACAATCGAATGTATTTGGACAACAAATTCGGTTGATGGGAAATTAATTTATTATCGGTGTGCGGGAGTGGTGGCAGTGGTACTTACGTTGTTGGACGACGTTTTGCGGCGATGGGAACGAAAATAAAACGGCTCTTTACACAGTTGCAGACGCCTGAGGGGAACGAAAAGCAAATGGCGTGCGACGCGTCTGTCGAGGTGTTAGGGGAGGGACTGGTGGTGCGCGGAGCCGCCGGAAGGGGCGGGCGGGTTGAGGCACTAGATCCCGGAGAAAGGCACTAGACCGACGCGGGAAGTTTTTCGGTTTTTGAACGGCAATTTTTTTTCAATTTGATATTTGATATTTCTTTATTGAAGACCCAACAGCCTAGGCTGAATACAGGGTCCAATCATTTGACAAATATTACTTTTATTATTTTATTTGTACATTTTTATTTTTATATATTTAATATTACTTTTATTATTTTTATTTTCGGGGGGAAAGTCGACTTTCGCCAAAATCGAATTTTTTCGCCAGGTGAACGTTGATTCCGTAGTTTCTGGACCGCGTAATGCCACTGCGCCCCTCACTTGCCCCAGAAATGCAGAAATAAAATAGTATTTTTCGTTACGAGTAAGGAAAAGTGTTTTTTGGCTCGTGGGAGGTTTCGAGTGGCGAACTGTGCCTTTTTTCGTTTACTAATAAACGAAAAGACTTTTCGTTTACGAGTAAACGAAAAGGCACTTTTCGACACGAGGTGAACGTAGCAGCAGTGTCAAAATAGTATATTTCGTTACGAGTGCGGAAAAGAGTTTTTTGGCTCGTGGGAGGTTTATAGCACGAGTCGAAGGCGAGTGATATTATTCCACGAGCCAAAAAACATTTTTTCACGAGTTACGAACAATATTTTTCATCACAATGTGGCGGAAATTGGACTTTTAGGCACGCGGAGCCTAAAAGTCCACTTTTCGTCACGGCGTGATGAAATAGTATATTTCGTAACGAGTGCAAAAAAGTGTTTTTTGGCGAGTGGGAGGTTCATATCACGAGCCGAAGGCAAGTGATATAATCCCACGAGCTAAAAAACATTTTTTCACGAGTTACGAACAATATCTTTCATCACAATGTGGCGGAAATTGGACTTTTAGGCACACGGAGCGAAAAGATCACTTTTCGTCACAGCGTGATGAAAAAAATTATTCAAATTTCAAGTCGTCCACTAATTCCCTAGGACCTCCCGGCCAGCCTGCTTGCCGCTCCCTTCACTCTGCTCCCCTCGTTCTCGGCGAGTTCAGTCACGTTTGCTGAAGTTTGAAGTGCGACTGTAAACAAACGTATAAAACGGATTTTAAATAATAATCGTGTGTTGTGTCTGCTGTTTTATCGAAGAGTCGTGTGTCCGCGAGTGTCGAGACTGTTTTATATTCGCGGTATTTATTTATTTGCTGGGGTTGAAGGGGCACTGACATTTTTGTTGAATCCACATAACGTATTTTTTGAAATAATGACATGACCGTTGACCGGCTGCATCTGCTCCGCTGGGGAAGGGATAAGGCCATGTGGTGCAATGCCAGATAAAGGGAAAGAGTGAATTTGTGGGGCTCGTGGGCTCTTCTGCCGAGTGAGGGTCGTTTATTTTTAATTGTTTTAATGTTTGTTGGACAATGTCGAATCAGTCGGTGAACAGGGGCTTCTGTGGCGCCATTTTTTCAAGTTATCCGACTGGTTTCGGTGATGAGAATAAAACTCCTGTGAATATATCCTCGTGAGTAGTTGAATAAATTATTTTATAATTTTTTTTATTTTTATGATGTTTAATTGATTTTTGGGTAACGATTTTGGTGGTTTATTTTATTGTTGATTGAGCTCTTGAAAGGGTTGAAGTAGACTGTTTTTTTGCTGGTAGAGGACAAATGAAATGTCAAATTTTACTGAAATTTCAATAAATTCACTCATTTTTGGGGAATAACTGAACCGGAATTTATATTTCCCATTATTTTTTTATGAAAACTCAATAGAATTTTAATTTGTTTGGTAATTCTCTTGAATTTCTAATAAGAAGATTAACATTTAGTGTCAAATGACTCTAAATTTTTAATTAAATAAAAATTATAGAGAACATTTACCTAAACTTTTCTGAATTATATTAATTCAGAAAAGTTTTCGTGGAATATTTGCACTGAAAATCACAATTTTTATTGATTTTTCCATTAAATTATGAATTTTTAATGAAGAAATTCCTTAAAACAGTGTAATGAAGGTCTAAAGGCTTTTCGCTGTCGAAAAAAATAGAAGTTTTATGGAGAATTTAAATTAAATTGGACTTGGAGAGGAAAAAAATCAGAAAATTTCAAATTTCATTGAAAATTCAATGGAATTTCAAATTTTACAGTAGGAGAAACACAAGAATTTCTTAATTGACTTGAAGTTTCCATAGAAACTTGAATATTCAGTATCAAATTACTCTGAATATTCAATTAATTAAAAATTGAACAATAACATTTAACTGGATTCTCTTGAATTCTATCAATTTTCTTGAAATAATTCAACTGAAAATCGCAGAGTGCATTGACCGTTCGTCAAACAGTCCATTTTCAGTGAGAAAATTCCTTGAAATTTCAGTCAAAAATAATTAAAATCACTAAAATAAAATACATTTATTTCAATATATCCTAAAATATTCCACGAGTTCCCAATTAAATGACTCCCCTCAACCCTCTCCCCAATTCTCCAACGAACAACCACTCTCCCACCAAATGATCGCCTGAAAACATCACTCGATAAAAATTTCCCCAAATTCCACCAGGAAATTCACCCAAAAATCATAAAAACCCTAAAAATTAAAAACATTGATTTTCATATATCCTAAAATCTTCCAAGACTTCCCAATTAAATGACTCCCCTCAACCCTCTCCCCAATTCTCCAACGAACAACCACTCTCCCACCAAATGATCGCCTGAAAACATCACTCGATAAAAATTTCCCCAAATTCCACCAGGAAATTCACCCAAAAATCATAAAAACCCTAAAAATTAAAAACATTGATTTTCATATATCCTAAAATCTTCCGAACCTCTCCTTCCAGTCGCGCGATATTCGCCGAATCGCCGCGCGCCTGCGAAAATCTTGCGCACCCAATCAGCAATGCCCCCCACCCTCGAAACCCCCCTCAGAAAACCTACTTCGACAACCTGATGCCGGAGGACCCCCCTCCGACCCCAAAGCCCGCGCGAACCCCTGGCCAGTCCTCGGATAAGACCCCCACGTACTTCTGCACGCCAAGCCACCCCCAGAAGTCCACCAGCACGCCCTTCCGCACCCCAGTCCGTCGATTCTTCACCGACCCCTCCGCCCAGTCGACGCCGGACTGCTTCGGTCCGGTCCAGCTCGAGACCCCCCGCGCGAAGAGGGAGAATCCCCTCGAGGAGATGACGATCTGCGAGGGTGAAACCAGCAATTTAACCGTCGGCGTGAGGGTCAGACCGATGAGCCTCAGGGAATTGAACGATCCCGAGGCGAAACCGGTGGTTCGGGTCCACGAGAACTCGGTGACTGTCGACTCTGACTCCTCCCAGCACAGCTTCAACTACGACCACTGCTTCAAGTCCAGCGGAAAGTCCTCGTCGTTGGACCAGAAGAGGATCTTCGAGTCGATGGTTCTGCCCCTGGTGGAGAGCGCCTTCGAGGGCTACAACGTCTGCCTCTTCGCGTACGGACAGACCGGATCGGGCAAGAGCTACAGCATGATGGGGTCAGAGGTCAACCAGAGCCCGGACTCGAGGCTGCCCGAGGGGGCGGGGATCATCCCCCGTTTCTGCCACGAAATATTCTCTCGTGCTCGGGACAACGAGAACCTCCTCACCAGCGTCGAGATCAGCTACTTCGAAATTTACAACGAGAAGATCCACGACTTGCTCGCGAGCAACTCCAACGGCGGGAGGAAGCGAACTCCTCTCAGGGTCAGGGAGCATCCGGTATTCGGGCCGTACGTCGTCGATCTCAGCCAGCACTGCGTTCAGAGCTATGGGGACCTGCAGGGCTGGCTCAGGGTGGGGAGCTCGCAGAAGGCCACTGCCGCCACGGAGATGAACGAGAAGAGCTCCAGGTCCCACAGTATTTTTAGTGTTGTGCTCACCCAGGGGCAGAAGGGGAAGACCGCGCGGGGCGACCCCAGCAGGAGGAGCAAGATCAATTTGGTCGATCTCGCCGGCAGCGAGAGGCTCAGCCAGACTTGCGCCAGTGGAGAACGACTTCGGGTAATTTTTTTTTTTCAGTTTTTACTCTTCTGGTGCTGCAAAATTTCACTTTGTCTTATGGATAAATATACATTATTTTGTACGTGAGATTTTTTTAAAGTCAAATAATTATTAAACAACGCAAGCAGATCTTGCCAAAAGCCAACACGGATGACTAGACCGCTTTGAAACATTTTTAAGAACATTCGCAAAAAATTTGACAAATAATTTTTTTTTTTTCCTGTTTTTCCTCAATGCTTAAATTCTTATATATTTTTTGGAATTTGGTGAGTTGTTTCAAAACTATATTTATGTTTTTCAAGTTGAATTATTGTTGCAGTGAATGTTTAAATAATTCAGTTAATGTTCTACTTATGAATGGTGAAATTTAATGAATAATTTTTAAAATATTTTTTTCCTCTTTTTGGTAAAGTTGGAAATGTTTTTCATTTCCTCAAAGTTTAAATTCTTCTGTTTTACTTAATTTTTTGAGTCACTTAAAAAATATAGTTATATTTTTCAAATTGAATTATTATTGCAATGAATGTTAAAATTTAAGAAATAATTTGTTAAATATTTTTTCCTCTTTTTTAGTAAAGTTGGAAATGTTTTTCATTTTCTCAATGCTTAATAAAAAAAAAATTCAATCCAAAATTGTACATTTCAATTCAATTTTTTTAAATTTCTTTTTTAATTTGAATTTTTTTTTTTATTCTATATTTGCAATTCTGCTATATTTTTTTGTATTTGTTGAGTTGTTTGAAAACTATATTTATATTTTTCAAATTGAATTATTATTATAATAAATGTTTAAATAATTCAGTTAATGTTCTAATTATGAATGTTAAAATAATTGAAATAGAAGAATAAGGAAAATTAATGAATGAACTGTTTGAACGCCAGATTTTGAATTTAAAAATCGTCTAAATTCGTAATTCTTTCAGGAAGGAGTTTCCATCAACAAATCTCTCCTCACCCTGGGTAAAGTGATCGCCTCCCTCGCTGAGAGTACCAACAATCGAAAACGTGGATTCGTGCCTTATCGAGAGTCGATTCTCACGTGGCTTCTAAAAGTGAGTTTCAGTGCTTCTGAAGAAGTTTTTTTACCGTTTTAATCTCAAAAATCAGTGTGCACTTGGTAATAACATGAAAAATCACAAGAAAATTCAGCAAAAAATTACCTTGACGGCTATCTACGTCCAAACTATTTCTACTAATGTTAGAATATAATATGCATTAAATGCATAATATGCGAACAAATTAACAAAAAACACGTGAATAAACATGTTTTAGTTATTCTCACGATTCAAATGACATGAAATTGACCTGAAAGCTCTTCAGAAATTTTACAGAATGAAATGAAGTTGAAAAATGAAGGAATTCTTTGTGATGACCCAACACTTCCTTTTTTTTTCTTCAATCCATTTATTATTCATTCCCATACAAATAAAAATCCAAAAACAGAGTTACTCAACGAACAAGTAAATCAGTCAATAATACAGCAGTAGCATCACAATTACATAATACCCCGGGTTTCAACGGATAAAAAAGTGATTAGTAAAAGCACTTGAGGAAGAAAAATTCTCTTTTCCATTCTCTTTTGAATTATCTATCGGATTGTCTTCTCAATGCATCATGTCAGTGTAATAATTGAACATTGGCGGTCGAATGTGTATTTTCTTCCTTCCACATCTGCATCGGCAATTGCAGTTGCACCTGCAGCCCCCAGTCTCGTCGCACTTGCACGTCTTCTTCCCCTTTGGACCCTCGTCATCTACAATTTAAATTCAGTGACTCATTCTGCGTCATCAATCGTCAGAGTCGGTCACTTACCTTGATTTTTCTTCCCCTCCGCTTTGCGACTCTTCAACAACTCCCACACCATCTCGATTGTTCGGGAATGATCGTTTAATGTTTAAGCTCTTCTTTACCGATTGACAAAGTCAACGTACTCTGATAAGATTAGTTGAACCACTGGGTGCTCTAGCGTCGATCTGGGCTTTATACATTTTGCGCACGATACCACAGTTCCTCTTGCACACGGCACCAATGAAATTCAATTTCTGGCTTATTTCACAGATTTACTTTAAGAATGTTGAGGCAATTATCCTCTGTCGTTGTTCAAACGATTTCTCACGGATTTTCAAATATTTTTTAGTTATTTTTTCGCTATTTTCTCTTATTTAAGAGAAGTTGACAGAATTTTTTAGTTGAAATGAGTTTGATTTCCTTCTTGGGGCCATTTGTTGGCGCCGTGTGCAACAGGAGCTGGCGCTGTTGCCCTCTACAATTGAGAAGTTGAATGAAAACAAGAGTTGTTTTTAAATAAATCCCTTTATTTGTGAAATTAATTAGTTTTGAACGTTTTATTAAAAATGTTTGAAACGAATTAATTTTGTGAATGAAGAAATTGTCAAATAAATATGCAAGATGTCAATCAATTCTGCAAATTTATTTGATATTTATTTATTTAATATTTTTTATTAGTTTAAAAACCAATTGATTCAATTTTTCATCTGAAATTGAGATTAATTTCCTTCTAGGGCCGTTTGCCCTCTGCAATTATAAATTTAAATGAAAAGAAGAGTTGTTTAAATAAAAATCTCTTCTTTTGCCAAATTAATTCGTTTTTAATGTTTTGTTAAAAATATTCAGAATTTTTTTTCCGAATGAAGAAATTGGCAAATAAATATGCAATATGTTCAATAAATTCTACAAATTTCTTCGAACAATCTCAGATTAATTCAGGAATTTTCAAACATTTAAAAATATTTTTTCATCATTTAAAAACAAGTTAATTCAATTTTTTCTTTTAAATTGAACTCGATTTCCTCCTGGGCCGATGCTGTTGCCCTCTGCAATTGTAAAATTAAACAAACCAACACTCATTCTTGAAAAAATCTCTTTATTTGCAAAATTAGTTCGTTTCGAACATTTGATTCCGAATAATTTTGGAGTATTCGTATCTCAATATTGAAATAACCCACGTAATCAGTAGATTACATAAATATAAAATTTATTCTTATAAAGGTCGTTAGGAATTTATAAATAGAAACACGAAGGACGCTTTGCTTAGAACTAATTATCGAATATCTTTTCTCTATTCATTATTTCTTGAAAAATGAACACCTCCGTTAGCATCTTTCATTCTCACTCAAAACATGAGGTATTTACACGGAATAGAAAGATTGAGGAGATAATGTTCCCATCGAGGACCTCAACATTCTTCCTGTGAAGACTTGTTTCGATTTTGATGATGCTTATTGTTACAAAAAATATTTATTCGCGATGATAAGGCCGTTCTTGCGGTGTTTGGATTGGTTGTTGAGGTCTCGTTAGCCAGCACTCAATTATCGTAAAGCTTTATGTGTGGTTTATTACACTTATTAGTAATGACTAAACACTAAAAATGATGATGGATAGTAATTATTTGTTGAACGAAGCCCAAGGCTTTCATTCTCTTTCTCTTGAGATATTAATGGCTTCTTATTCAGCATCTCCTTGTTCTTGGCATTGATGCTGTCAAAATTATCGAGAAAAACGAAATTAATTAACAATATTATTTTTAGTACAAAAATTGGCGAAACGTCTTCCCTGTTGATAAATTCCGAATTTTATTGACAAAAAGATCTTGTGATATTTCTTCCTAAAACCAGTCGTTTTCAAGTGACAGTTGACTTGAAAGTCCGTTAACAACGAGCAAATCTGGAAAATACTAGAAAAATTTTTTTCACTTGGTTATAAATATTTGATTATCTCATTAGCAAATGCTCTCACGACAAAATGTCACAAGAAATTTTTTGTAGGAAATGTTTTCATTTACAAATGTTTCTTCTGAAGTTTTTTCCCAAAACCCCTCCCTCTCAAGATAATTCCAGAATAATAACAGACGATTGTTTCGTTTTTGATTGCCAAGTACAAAACTATCCCTCACATTCTCCAACCCTCTTAAATTCTTAAACAAAATATAAAATAAGTCTTAATAATCGAACTTAACTCAATCCTTAACAACTACTCAATCTTTTCTCGTGAGTCTCACCGCCTCCTCAACTCTTTCTCCCACTGAGGAACGAGAATTTTGACTTGACTTCTTCGCTGGACGCACTCTTCTTCTCTTGAGGCATGTCTCTGTCGAGCCCCTCTTCCCCAGTTTCCTCGGCGATTCCCTCCTCCTGTTCCTCAAAAATATCGTTGCAGGAGTTCGAGCGACTCTTCCTTATGTACGTCCCCAGCAGTCGCCTCTTGTTTTGTTTGCACAAATGACACTGATCGCACCGCGATTTTTGTGACGAAATCTTTTCTTGTTGGCTTGTGGTCTGGGACGTGGACTTTCCTGCGGGGAAAAAAATTAGGAGAATTGTTCACTAAATTTTTCGCAATCCCAGGGTTTTTCATCTTTATTTGAAATATTTTAACTATTGAGAACGTGAATTTAAATCACGATATGACAAAATTATCGGATGTAAATGAAGTGATAATTATACTGAGATTGAATCAAATAACAAGTGGAATTTAACAAATAACAAAATTTGAAATTTGTCCCTCTCATTTAGAAAATATTTTGTAGGAAATTGATGAATTCACGTATTTTAAAGAAAAGATTTCAATTGTATGAAATGAATAATGCATTAATTCCGAATAAATCTTCCATTAGAATTGATTGAAGTCTTCGAATCGCAGAAACATTAATTAATATTAAAAAAACTATTTTATGTGAATAAAAACGCAAGTAAAAATCGAGTTTGCTAAAATAGAAGTGTTATCGTGAGTCTTTTTGATAAATTTGATTCAATTCAAATCAATTATTATTCAAATTAATTATTTAAATTATATAAATCGACTGGAATATTTTTTTCTAGATACATATTCTTATGCATATTTTCTTGCTTGAAATGTCAGCATTCAATAAATCAAGAGCAATCAAACTATTACCAACTCCCCCCCCCAATTATCTCTAACAGTCGTGTTGTTATTCATAATATTCCCTGATAAACCTACCATAATTGAAATAATCCTTATTCCAAGGCTGCTCGTAATCCCGATAAACTGGTGTCCTCAAAGGGCCATATGCCAGCACCTCAGGCATATAAACAAAATCCATTTTTCTAAATTTCAAAACTCCTGTTACCTCAACAGCATCGAGTATTCTCGCACGAATGATGACCACACGATTCGAGTTATATTTAGCGAATCTAGAGTGTGAGAGTAGATAAAAAATATTCGTCCACACAATGAGCTCTCGTATCCAGAATTGCGAAAAAAAATACACGAATCAGGAAAATGGTGTTCACTCAGTAGTCAATGGGAGCTCATTTATTTGAATTGTTTCCTCAATGTTGAGAAATCATTTTTCAATGAGACCCGAGGGAAAACTGGTTTTGCAACTTCAACTTTCGAAGGTGGAGCTGTTGCGAATCCAACGGCGTTTTATTCCGAACTACGGTGTAACGACGAGACGCACGCAATGTTTACCAGTGAGAGAGCTGCTTCACGTACTCCCACCATTCCGACCTTCGGGGCTTTTTTACTCCCAATGAACAGGTCGGAATTGTAACGCAAATTAATTTTCAGGCGATTTTTTTTTTCTCTTCCAGCCAAAACACTTGAAAATTCACAGTATACAGAAAAGAGTGGGGCAAAACGGACACATGACTTCTCTGAAATTTGAATAATTGAACAATAAATTTAAAAAATGGGGAGAACTTTTTTTTTTTTTTTTTTTTTTTTTTTTTTTTTTTTTTTTTTTTTTTTTTTTTTTTTTTTTTTTTTTTTTTTTTTTTTTTTTTTTTTTTTTTTTTTTTTTTTTTTTTTTTTTTTTTTTTTTTTTTTTTTTTTTTTTTTTTTTTTTTTTTTTTTTTTTTTTTTTTTTTTTTTTTTTTTTTTTTTTTTTTTTTTTTTTTTTTTTTTTTTTTTTTTTTTTTTTTTTTTTTTTTTTTTTTTTTTTTTTTTTTTTTTTTTTTTTTTTTTTTTTTTTTTTTTTTTTTTTTTTTTTTTTTTTTTTTTTTTTTTTTTTTTTTTTTTTTTTTTTTTTTTTTTTTTTTTTTTTTTTTTTTTTTTTTTTTTTTTTTTTTTTTTTTTTTTTTTTTTTTTTTTTTTTTTTTTTTTTTTTTTTTTTTTTTTTTTTTTTTTTTTTTTTTTTTTTTTTTTTTTTTTTTTTTTTTTTTTTTTTTTTTTTTTTTTTTTTTTTTTTTTTTTTTTTTTTTTTTTTTTTTTTTTTTTTTTTTTTTTTTTTTTTTTTTTTTTTTTTTTTTTTTTTTTTTTTTTTTTTTTTTTTTTTTTTTTTTTTTTTTTTTTTTTTTTTTTTTTTTTTTTTTTTTTTTTTTTTTTTTTTTTTTTTTTTTTTTTTTTTTTTTTTTTTTTTTTTTTTTTTTTTTTTTTTTNAGGGTTTACGACGAGGATGCGGCTGGCATGAACTCCACAACGTCCCAATAATATAAACGGTTTTTCTTTTTTTTTATTCTATTTTTTTTTTAATTTGAACGATTGTTGAAGGTATTTGTCCTTGTAAAGCACAATTCTTCCTCTTTCATTCCTCCTCATCAGGGCAATTTATTCATATTTATCTACAAAAAAATCATGAAAAATTCCTATTGCCATATCTCCATACAGAGACAATTTACCTGTTTTAATTCACAGAATCTAAATGACAAAGTATTTAATAACTTGAGTATTTGATAGATTTGTGCTTTAATTTAATTGGAGAGTAAAATCGCTGAGAACCGCAAAATGGTCTGGAGGAGTAGGAGGAATGTTTACATTCTATGCAATAAAAAAAAATTTGAATCTCTTCGTAACATGAACATTTTGGGCTTAAACAATCAGTAGATTTGTCTACATATAAAACAGCACTTCCTTTTTGAATTCTCTTTGAGACGTAAAAGCCCATCAGAGATTTCTGGCGCACGTGACGGGTGGAACGTAGATACATCTCCCACGATACTAGAGTATTATTGAGACAGCGCAATGAGCTTTATGTTGGCTAGGCTCATTCAGACATAAACAATTTCTTGTCGAGCTATTTCTGGTGTTTGTTTGCGTGCCGAGGCTACATGCGCATATTTTTACAGGACGGGTTTAAGGGGTGAGCGAGGGGGGCGGGGGACTCAAGGGGGAGGGGGTTTAATTAGCAAGTGCGCAACTTGCGTTTTTAGAGTAAACAAAAAATTTAAAAAATGTGGGGAGTTGTTTTTCTGCTGAGGTAGGGGATACGGATTGTTAGTCGAGGATTTCATGACTGATTGAAGGGATTTTGATTGGGGGAATGTCTGATAAGATTATATTTGGAATTGAGGGGAATGTTTGGGTCATAATTAAATTTTCGAATGATTAATTAGGCGAAATCAGAAGACGAGTTCCTCGTTGAGAACGCAATCAGGGGTCTCTTTGTTTTCCTGGTAAAGCCTAGAGTTGAAAAAATACAGTACATCTTCTTCTTGAAGGGAGATGGAACATTAGTGGAATGTGGTTGATATAGACGCACATCAAGGGAGGATGTATCAGTACTTGAGAGTTTAGATATCGAAGTACTTGAGAAGTAGCTAAGCTACACGAGGATGGGTAGAAAAACTAGGTTTCCAGATTTTTTTTTCGATAGATCATTTTCTTGGCGATTACTCCGGGGAAGATGGCAGCGAACTTTAATGCAGCTTGCATGTCGATAAATCCACTGATGAATCCTTGATAATTATTCATTCATTTCACAAACGACTGATTTCAGGCGAAAATTCGCGGATTTTTTGCAGTTTATGCTTTTGGAAAAAAAAATCAGTGAATTATAAGTGACAAAAATGTCAGTGATTTCAAAAATTTCAAATAGTTTACAAAATTTCCAATGTTTTTTTTTTTTTTTTTTTTTTTTTTTTTTTTTTTTTTTTTTTTTTTTTTTTTTTTTTTTTTTTTTTTTTTTTTTTTTTTTTTTTTTTTTTTTTTTNGCCCGGCGGCTTGGCGCAGTGGGTAAGTTTCTGCCTCACGTGCGAAAGGTTCCGAGTTCAAAACTCGACCGGGTAGAATGGTGAGATCTAACCATTTAAAGTCTTGATCATCATCGCAGCATACCCTAATCAGGTCGAAGCGATGTAAAATATCGATGAAAAAAAAGTTATTTCTTATCAGCGCAATCTGATCTGAATGGTGAGCTGAATCATAATCATCATTGCTAAAATCAGATAAACCCGTGAAACAAGAATCAGATATCATCTGAATGTTTTTCCTAGTTGATCGCGACCTTCTGACCACCTGAAATCCCTGGTCACCCCGGAAATTGTGAAAAGACCATTCTTAGTGAGTCGATAATTGCGCATTCCCTTTTAGGAAAGCCTCGGAGGAAACTCGAAGACTGCAATGCTGGCAACTGTGGCTCCAAGCAGCTTGCACCTCGAGGAGACCTTGGCTACCCTCCGCTACGCCTGTCAGGCGAGATCCATTGTCAACCGAGTGCGCATTAACGAGGATCCCCACGATAAATTGATAAGGTTTGAATCGTTTGCAAACACTCGTTTGCAGATTGTGAATAATGTTTTCATCGTGGAATTTAATCTGTTGATGTTTATGTGGATAGAGAGCTGAAGGCTGAGGTTCTGAGACTGCGAGGAGTCCGGGAGAATTACGAGAAACAATTGGGGAACAGGAATTTCCTGGGTAATGATGGGATGGGTCAGGATCAGGACAAGGAGCGAGAGATTGAGAGACTGCGGAGCCAACTTAAGCAGACGGAGGAGCAGTTGAAGTTCACACAGAAGTAAGAGATCCATCCTTGATCCATCCTAAAACATGTTTTATGCTTCTCTTATGCTGGTCGAAATGTGCATTATACGAATCACTTTGGGGAGATGCGAAAAATCGCCGGAGCGTGGGTTTGAACCCACCACCCTTAGGTTTCCAGACTGAGCCTTAAGAGATGACTAAATTTGAGTAGAGATTTTCTTAGATTCTCTTCCTAAGAAACTAGATTTAGCGAAAGGTAAATCCTATTTAAATTAATTTCAAAAAAGTTTTCTATAAATAAGGGAAAGTGGACTTCAATCTCCAGTTCTTGAGGCTCTCATTCCCCTCTGAAAAAATTCCACTGGGAAATCCCCCGTCCAGAAAATTCAACAATCCAACATTCGAGTATCTGTGGAAATGTTTCCCCTCTAATCACGAAAAATTATTTGCCTAACGATTGCTATGAGGCACGTCAATATTGGTAATGCCGAGACTAATTCTTTTCCGATGTAACTGACCTGACACCAATTAGTTAGAGTAGTATCTACCCTGAGGCACTGGTTATCGAGGCGCATTAATTTTTATAGGTGATTTCATACAAAAGTGATTTATTGGAAAAAAAACCACAGTAACTGGTTGCGCAGTGCACAAATGAGGGATTGAGTATCATAAAATATTCATTATGAAAACGAAACAATGATAAATTTATCTTCTACGGTCGTCATCACTCCTGACTTTTGCCGGATCACTTCTGATAATGGTAGTGCATATCTTTATTCAACTTGATCCTTCATGATGAATGAATGTTACGCTGGTGACAATGGACTTCACTGTGACTCATTACGAATTGTGAATCATACTATAAAAATATTAATTTAATGCAGCAAACTAATTTATTTCCAACGCGAATGTATAAAAATTTATGCATCACTTTTTTTCTCCCTGCATTGTTAAATGCTTAATTATCTCGATAACAAGTCATTTTAAAGCAAAATGTCACAGAATATTTTTCGTCGGAAATTTTCTCACCTACAAAAAAGCTCTCTGATATTTTTTTCTAAAATCATTGGGTCTCGAGATAAATGCAAAATAAGCAAAAATGCAAAATATTGAACTGATAGAAATGATGGAAATTCCACGTTCGTGAACTCAAGCCCATTTTATTCAACGTAAAAAACAATAAATCTTAATTTCCAGTAAAATATTCTTTCAGATCGTGGTCAGAGAAGCTGGAGGAAGCTGAAAAACGTAAAGGCGTAGAAATAAATTTTCTTCGTCGTTGTGGAATTGCCGTTGAAATTGATTTTCCAGAGAATATAAAGTCTCCCTGTTTGGTACACCTGGCACCAGATCCAATCCTCTCGGGTACACTCTTGTACTTGATTCCACAGGGCTCAGTGTCCATAGGAAGAAATACCCAGGGCACGAGGAGATCCTCTGTCTCCCCGGATATTCTCCTGAATGGACCACTTGTCTCACCCCTGCATTGGTTAGTTAACCGACGACCTCCAAATCCCTATCGATTTACCAATTTACTTTGATATTTCGCCTGGGCCAAGTAAATTTATTGACAGTTGGATGAAGTGATTTATTGCGAAATTGAATTATTTTATTAGGTATCGGCGAGGTTTTTGAGGGAATGAATTCCAGCCTTTATTTTTCATTTTTACAGCACTATCGAGAATAATGAGGGACAGCTGACATTGAAACCTCAAGAGAATAGCGATACTTACGTAAATGGACAGGTATTATCCATAATCTATTCATTGTGATACCATTACTCTAGATAATGGGGTACTGATGGAGATTTTCATGCAGATAGATAATGAGACATGAGTAGTCCATCAGTTGTCTTAAAAAATAGCCAAACTAATCGAGTTCATTAATCATTTTTGCTTGCGAATGGAGATTTTGGAATTTTTCAAATTAAAGTTTTGGGTTTTTTTGTTCTATCGACAGATTGTGAGGCAAAAAGTCCGAAAATGCAAATATTTAAATGCGATTAAATCGTGCGATTAATGTCTTTTTCTCAAGCGACATTAATTAAAATTTAATTCATTCAGAAATTTTGAAAATTTTGAATTTTTCCAAAAATCGATTGTCTGGGCTTCATTTTTGTTTATTGGGACTTGGATTTCAGATAGTACGTAATGAGTTATCGCTGAGGCATGGGGATCGTTTAGTTATTGGTGGCAATCACTATTTCAAAGTGTGCAATCCAGGGGATGGCAATGGCCAATGCACTTCGCAATCTATTGACTATGAATTTGCACATCAGGAGATACTCACGATACAGGAGGACAAGTTAGTAATAATGTTATTCGTGCTATTGGATGGGAGAAAAAAACATTTTTTTAATGATTTTTTTGAATGAGAGGGAATTTAAATGATTGATTCGTCACTTTATCTTTTTCTCGCCTACAAATGTTGAGTTATTTTGATAACGAGTGGGTTTAGGAGAAAATGTGACAAGACATTTTTTATCGGAAATTTTCTCACCTACAAAAAAGGCTATTTAACATTTTCTCCTAAAACCACTCACTTTCGAAATAATTTAATTTTTCAGAAGATGTGAAAAGTTGAATTGTTGCTTTTTTCGTTTCTCCATCTTGTTAAATGTTCAATTATCTCGATAACGAGGAGTTTTAATCCAAAATATCATATAACATTTTTTGTTGGAAATTTCCTCACCCACAATAAAGCCCTTCTGACATTTTCTCCTAAAGCCACTGGGTTTCAAGATAAATGCAAAATAAGCAAAAATTTCCAAAATACAGTCATCACGACAAAGAAACATATTTCTCCTGCGAAATAGTTAAGCATCAAATGTTTTTAATCCTCTCAAACCTTGCACATATCAGATTGAGAAAAGAACTCGAAGAGTCGAAACAGAAAGCAATAAAAGAACTGGAAAATGCGAAACGCGACATAGAGTTCCAGCTGGGCTCGCAAAAAGTGAATTACGAGAGAGAGATAAAATGCCTCGGGTCGACTCTGGAGCATCAGAAACAGGCGCTGGCAGAGGTTACCAAAAGAAAGAGGGAATTGGAGATTGAGAAGGAGATGCTGACCCATCAGATCGAGAGGAACACGAGACAGCGGATTTCACCGGAGGAGACCCCCAGGGTGTCACCTTATCGATCGAATTTCCTGGATGAACTTGAAAAAGTACTGACTGAAACCACGAATGATGCTGAGGCTGCATTGACTAATGACACCAGCAGGGATAGCATGCGATCTGGGGGCATTACGTTACACGAGATGCAACTCCTCGTCAGGGAGGCCAAGGAGAGGTGTCGCGAGATCGGTCTCAATTATGTAAGTTTATGTGTTATTTTTTTTTCCATTCTATTTTATTTTCTCGGTTAAACGAATGAAATATCAATTTTATGAATTCATTAAAACGAAGGAAATAATCATTTCATTTCACTTTTTCATAAAACTGAATAAAATATTTGTTTTATCTCATTTCATTTATTTATTTAAATAGTGCTGTGACTTGTAAATGTTGCGGCCATCGCCCGAGGGCCTTCAGCCAGGGCATGTTGAATGTGGAGTGGGTTTTTTCACTTGGACAATCCTTGGAATATTCGGTTTGAAAACTGGGTTAAATTGCAGATGAATATTATGTGGAAATTTGTGATGAAAAATTGGTGTGGAATTTTGGCCCGGCCGGGGCTCGAACCTGGGGGCTTGAGGTTGTGAATCTCATGCTGCTACCAAGTGCGCCACACAGCCGGGATTTTGAAGTTCATTTTCATGTCTATTTCATTGGGTTCAGTTATAAAATAATTTAGAACCTTAAACTCGTGTTTTAAATCTTTTTTTTTACGGATTCGTGTGGAGAAATTTTTTGGTTCAGACATAGCATCTGAGGCTCGTTGGTCTAGGGGTATGATTCTCGCTTAGGGTGCGAGAGGTCCCGGGTTCAAATCCCGGACGAGCCCGATTTTTTTTTTACAAAATTTTAATTTTTCTATCCTAAACATCATAAAATTTAAACATTGAAATTCGCATGTTTTTTTATGAATGTTAAGTAATTGTTTAAAAAAATTCCAAGATGCTAATGAAAATTTCACGGCTGTTGTTGTGTCGAATACATTGATGCCAATTAGCGAAAAAAATATAGAAATATTTATATAATCGCGCAATCGATCCTGAGAGAACACGATTGGCGATCGAAAAATGCGATTCTATTTTTAGACGTAGAAGTGATTGCTACGCAGTTGGGCAATGCGCTTTGTGCCTGCACCTTGAGGCCTCGATCGCATGATTTTTGATGCATGATTAAATTGGAGCATTGCGAATAAACCAATTAACGATTCAGCTGTGGAGTAATAAAACGTGATGAGTGATTTTTGCTTTTTGAAGGGAAGTTTTTACAGGATTTTTTTTTTAAATCTCAATTCAAATTTTTTCACAAAAAAATGCATTAAAAAATTTCATTATTTTCCTTGATTTCAATTTTTTTTCTTCATTTTTTAATCGAAGGGAAATTCAATTAATTAATTAATTATATCAAATTATTAATAATAATATATTATTAATATTATATTATTTTCATGTCATTTTTTTCTTTAAAAAACGGATTGAAAAATTCAATTACCTTTCTTCAATTTTAGTTTTTAAAAGGAATTTCATTGATTGATTGATTGATTAATTATATTAAATTATAAATTGATAATTAATTGTACTCTATTTAATTTAATTTTTCGACTCCACAAAATATTAGTTTCATTCTTAAAAATTCAAAAATTATTAAATAAAAAAATAATTTTCAAAAATTATCAAAAATTTGAAAATTATTATTATTCGCTTTCAGGAATTCCTCCAACAGAAAGTGATAACGGATAACGGTCTGCGTTCGATGATCCGAGTTCGCGACAGGATGAGGAAGCTGGAGGCCTTCTGGGAGCCCCTGTACTTCCTGGACTGGGTGCAGCGTCTGCGGGACAACGACCACGAAACCACGAGAAAGGACTTGATGGACTCGACGGAGCACTGGGAGGCCCTCGACGAGAGCCAACTGGAGGACTCCCTCGACAGCAGTCGCATCTCAATAAACCTGACCCCAATAAAGAGGCAATTGAACGAAAGCCTCCTCCAATTATCAATGAACGGTTCACTGTTCGAGGCACCTGACGAAGTGAACGATCCACTCGTGACTCAGAGGCGCGACGACATGAAGTCATGCCTCCTGCAAATGGAGATCGCTGCTAGAACCCTAGGCAAACTCTGTAGTGACGAGAGTGAAGACATCAGTAAAGAAGTCACCGAGTCCCTCACAAATGTCAATGGAATCTTGGCGTCACTGAGGAAGACTCTTGATTTAGTTGACAATAAAAATAGTTCTGCGAGTGTTAAGAACATTTTCATGAAGAGTTATTTGAGCTCCAGTTCACGAACGCCCACCAGGTCCCCCAGAGCTCTCAAGTGTCCGGTTATCCGGGAGAACCCAGGGAAAACAGTTCGCTTCAACGTTCAATGATCACCCCTGACACTCGTTACAGGGAACTGATAACACTTCAGTGAAGTCTCTAGTTGTTTTATAAGATACCTGACATTGTACAGATTTTTATGAACACGAGTATTTGTCGTAACGTCTTGCCTTGTACCTTAAGATTAATAAATTTTTTAAGGAGTAAAATAACACGTCACGTTGATCTCTTAATCTGCACCGCAAGGTGTTATCTTCGTTTTTATCTTTGATCGCCATAAAGCCGAATTGAACAATAAAAAGCGCACATGAGGCCGTTTTTCGCTCGAGTGTTTGAGGAATCAAAGGATTTGCTGAAGATTTCTTCCAGACTTTTCCTCAATGTTTCAGCCACTCACGATTTATTTGTAATTAAAAGACATCTCACAAAGACCTGTAGCAAGTTCTTTCTTTCCTTATTTTCTATTTATTCATGATGAGTGTTCACAGCAACATGAAAATTATTTCTTTATTTTCAATTCAATTTTTATCTTAAATAATAATAAACGAGACAGAATACTCTACTCAATTTCGACTTTGCTGGGGCTATTTTCGAGGCCTTTGGGGGTGAATATCTGCCTCGTTAATGTCAAGACAACTGATTGAATGATTAAAAATCATCCCACATCACCCCTTTTTCCTATTTATTCAAAATGAATGTTTACAACTAATGCAAATGAACATAAAAATTATCTCCTCACCCAAAATTCAATTTTCATTCTCAATAATAATGAACAATTCACAATTCCCCCAAATAATCAAGATCTTCAATCAAAATAATCCTCAATATCGATATTAGGATCGAGCAAGTCCTCCCCATAAATGGACACATCCAACTGATTGAGAATAAGATTCTCGCACACCTCCTCAAGGTCAGTCTCCCCAATCAACACAGCCCCCTGCAGCTTGCCCCCCTTCACCACGAGTTTAACGTACTCCTCGTCCTTCGTCATCCTGAGAAGAATCTCGTAATCCCCCGAGAGTTTCTGTCCATTGTACAGCCCCAGAAGAACGATTTTATACCCAAAGAACCTGGTGACGTGTGTGAACAGCTCGAAAGAAAAATCCTGGAGGAAGTGTTCACTCCTCAACGTCGAGACCATGGATTTGGCTGCGTAGCAGCCCATCTGGTACGCCTGGGTCCACAGTCTCATCTGGAACCAGTGGTCGGACAATTCCCAGTTGGCAGTGCAGGCGTCACCAGCTGCGTAAACATCCTCACACGACGTTTCCAGTTTCCAGTCCACCAAGAGCCCGCCGTCCTCACTCTTCTCGATGCCCTCTAGACCGATTATATCTGTATTTGGGGTGACGCCCGTTGCCGAGACGATGAAGTCACACCCGACGATTTTTCCGTTCGTCAGCTCAGCGAAGACTGGCCAGCCAGTGGATCCAGCCGCCTCTGGGGTCATCACCCTGGACACCTCGCACTCGTACTCAATTTCGACTTTGCTGGGGCTGTTCTCGAGGCCTTCGGGGGCGAATACCTGATGCCAGTCTGGACCCAGAGCTGCTCCGGTCACTCCTTCCTTACTTTTCCCCATTTTCGTCGCTGTGTATTTAATCCTCTTGCAGAAGTTAATGTTCTCTTTACTGTGTTCACTCGATGACTCCTCTCGAGACAACTTCGACTGGAAAAACTCAGCAGCCCCAGGGTCCACGAACGTTGCTGAGATGTGCCTGTCCTTGATCACCCACACTATCTCCACGTTCTTGATTTTGTAGACAATCTCAGTGGCTATTCCTCCGTTCCCCACCACCACTATCCTCCTCGCCTCGGGTATTCTACGAGAGAAATTCTCCACTGACTCCGTGTCGCGAATCCCCAGGACGAGGGGGTTGTCCTCGCAGATCAGGCGAGGTCTGGCCCCTGTGCAGATGCACAGTTTCTTGAATTTTATTAGCTTTTTGCTTTCAGTCTCCAGGGTTTTTGATTCTGGGTCTATTCTCCTCACTGTTTCGTTCAGAATTTTTATCGAGGGGTTGTCTGACGTCAAGGAAACTGACGAGTCCTTGGAGATGTTCAATTGCATCGAGACTTTCCCCAGGGGAACGACGTTCGTCACCACTTTGATCAGGGAGTTGGAGGTGATCAGGAGGGTTGACTCCTCTGGGGACAGGAAGGCCAGGCTCTTCGCGCAGGTAACTCCGGATATTCCGCCACCAATTATCACGAAGGTTGATTCCATCCTGGGGTGGGGATGATTTTATCTTTTGGGGATGATTTAATCTTTTGGGGATGATTTAATCTTTTGGGGATGATTTAATCTTTTGGGATTAACTGGAGTTTTCGGTGATCAATTGGGGAAGTGACTGGATGATGCGGAATTATGGGGACTTGGGGGGACTGGCTGGATTGTAGTCTGAGTAGTTGTACTTCCGCATTGGAAAGTCGAATGTTATCGTTCCGTAGTCCTTCGCTCGGTAGATTGCTATCAGGAGGTTCTTGTGTTGCATCTGGCAGATTCCGGTTTTTCTGGGGAGTTGAAGGGAGTTCAGTCGAGGCTGACAGGGGGTTTTTAATTTATGGTTGAGCAGCGAAAGGTCGGGGAGAGTTGAGTAGATGTTTAGGGCTTAATGATAATGAAATGGCGTTTTGATGTTTTTGAACAGCTAAATTGGAGGGCTTCGTGCTGAATTACTGGAGTGGGGAACTAATTATTTTTGCTTAATATTCAGTCACTTGAGAAAAGCATTTTTTGTTTTAATTCATTTGAGTTTTGATATTGAACCGTTAGAAAACATTTTTTTAATCTGGAAAAAATTAGAAAGTTTACTTATTATTTTTGATTAATATTCAGTCACTTGAGAAAAGCATTTTTTGTTTTAATTCATTTGAGTTTTGATATTGAACCGTTAAAAAACATTTTTTTAATCTGGAAAAAATTAGAAAGTTTACTTATTATTTTTGCTTAATATTCAGTCACTTGAGAAAAGCATTTTTTGTTTTAATTCATGTGAGTTTTGATATTGAACCGTTAGAAAATATTTTTTTAATCTGGAAAAAATTAGAAAGTTTACTTATTATTTTTGCTTAATATTCAGTCACTTGAGAAAAGCATTTTTTGTTTTAATTCATTTGAGTTTTGATATTGAACCGTTAAAAAACATTTTTTTAATCTGGAAAAAATTAGAAAGTTTACTTTCGGAGGAAAATTGATGAAATAATTAAAAAACTGCAGTTTAATAATTGATAAATAATTTAAAAATTGCAACGAATGTTTCAAAAAATAGTAATTCTGTGCAAAATGTGATTTTAATTGATAAATTTGATATATTTGATTGTCGTATCGATCGTGCTCAATAGGCTGAATAGGGGAAAAAACTTACTGGTAGGAAATCACGTCTCCATTATATTCCGAGATGAACTGGTTCAACAGGGCTGTGTTCCTGTGGTCGAAGACTAGGTACTCGTCTCGACAGATGGGACAGGGGTTTCCTGTTGTGATTATTCCTTGTCTCTGGAAAGAATTTCAATTGATTCAGGTAAATATTCAGGAAATTTCAACTCGACCTCAACTAAAATTTGAAAAAAATGTCAATTCAACTTTAATCAATGGATTACCATTTTAAAAACATGAAAAAATATTCTTTTTATCAATTAAAAAGGACGAAATGAGCACGAAAATGATTGACATTGCATTTTAATCAATAATTTTCCCCACGAAAAAATAAAAAAAAGAATATTACGTCCAAATTGATTGAAATCAGGCGATTAAAAAATCATGAAATCATTTGTTAATCGTCTTAAGGGGATTTTTAGGGGATTTTTTTTACCACGCAGGTCTTTCTAGTCATTCGAGGGGGTATTCCACCCTTGTGGTTCCTTCTATAGGGCTTCCAGACGGGGGCTTCGCCGTACGTCTCCTTGTATGCTGCAATCAATCCCAAAATTGTTTATCAATTGGAATTCAATAAGAAATTGAATAGAAATGCTCTCAAACATATTGATTCCTTCTTGAACTCCTCAGGATTGAATATTTGAAGAAGTGATGTAAATCGTTACTAGTAGTACCTAAAGAATGATTTTGCAAACACATTTGTATTTTTGTAATTTTTTTATAGGAGAATAAACTACATGGTTTCGAGGCTTAAAAGTTAAAAAAAATTAAATTCAATTTATCACGTTTCATTAGTCAATTAGAGGGGAGAATGGGGTAAAATGGACACTTTAGACTTTTTGTTTAAATTATTCATAACTCAGAAACAAATTCATCAATTGAGCTAGGTTTAGGCTCATCACAAAGGGAAGGAATTCTTCTTTACATTACAAAGAAAAATTATTTTATTTCATCGACTTTTCAATTCGTTATTAACATTAAAAAAATAAGTCAAATGTGTCCATTTTACCCCATTCTCCCCTAAATGTCCATCATATTGACCTCAAAACCAACTCTTAAAAAACGATAAAATGATAAAATAAAATTGTTTGTTGTTAACAATAAAACAGCCAAGAAAACAAACCTTCACTGGCTAAATAGCGAATGCTGGTCTCCACAGGCATCGGCTTCCTGCGATCCTTGGAAGGGTGAATATTCTCTGTTTTACCAGGTCCAGCCTCACTCACCTCATTCAGCTCATCCCCCTCATCGCTGCATAAAGCCCTTCCTCGAGAGAAACATCTCACTGAAATCTAAATAAGAATGTCGATTACCTCATCCCCAAAAACGTTCTCCAAACGAATTCTCCAGCCCAGAACAAACCTTGTTGATGATGTCAGGCTTCAAGAACTGCGCGAATTTCAGGAGAGATGCCATGACAATCCCTCGAACCCCAAAAAATCCGCGAAGTCACCGATTATTGTTAATAATTGAGAAAACTGCAATCACAATTATAAAGGGTTATTATTATCATCAACTTCACATGTGCCGACATTCAATGCTAAATGACAACCACTGCATCGACAACTCTAGTCAATTTATCAACTAAATTTTTTAAAAATATCAATTCTTGTCTTTAACTAATTACTTTCTATCCTAAAGAACTAAACAAAACGTTATATTGAATAAACAAATTAAATGAACATGAAAATAACTGCCATTTTTTAACCAATTATTTTGCTCGTGAATATAACTGAAATCTTTTTAATTAAAATTTAAAAAAGATTATTATTATTATATCTGCTGATGAAGAATGAGTCTCTGGTCAATTTATCAACTACAATTTTTAAAAAATATCAATTTCTCCATTTAATTAATTAATTTTCATTCTTAAAACATGAAAAAAATGTTTATTAATTAAAAAATCCAAAATAAATACAAAAATAATTGACATTTCGCTTTAATCAATTATTTGCACACGAATAAAATTTCAAATATCTCCAATTATAAATCATAAACTAAATGTTATCATAAATATTATTATTATTATTATTATTATCGTCATGTGCCAATGGAGAATGAGAACCCCATGCAAAAAAAAATTAATTTCTCCCTTGAATTAATTAATTTTCTTTCTGAAAATAAAATAAAAAATTTATCAATTAAAAATTCCAAATTAAATATGACAATAATTGACGTTTAGTTCCAATAAATAATTTCCGAAGCCAAAATACAAAAACCGGAAGTGCCGATTGGAGCACTGACCCCAGCAGTCCCCACCCACGACTCCAGCGGTATTTCCTGTATCGTTACAACTGGTGCTACGTAGTTAGGTGAGCATAAACCAAAATATTACGTCCAAGTTAATCTCAATAAATACAATTGAAGAGCCCTAAAATCATTTGAAATAAATAGTGAAAATCATTGTGCATATAACCCAAATTCCATTCACTGGGTTTTTGGTTACAGATGGCAGGTTGACGACACAATATATGCGGATTATCTCACGAGAGGCTTGTAAAGCGTCTCCACCCATTAGATCGAAATAAAAAAAAAACCTAATGAGTCGACGCCACCGAGTCTGACCTAAAATATCCAGGGGAAAAGAAAGAAAAAATAAAAGAAAATAATCAAAATAATAGATTAATACAATGAAACAACGGTTGCAATTGTATAACTACTGAATTAATTTTCTTATACAATTATGTTGGGAGATAACGGTAATCCGTAAGGAGACTATTGTCCGAATGTAAGTGGCCAACTGACCGCTCAAGGTTCATGAAGTATTTGTTAAAAATATCGCATTATTATAACACGAGGATGAAGGCGTTGGGATTACTAGATAATTCCCCCAGTCCAATGTTCACTTATTTATCTCCAATTTCACTTAAATTTCTGTGTCGTATCGATCGTGCTCGGGTTAGTGATGACGTCATGCTGAACGACTGTTTCCCCACGAGAAAAAAAAAGTGAAAGAGTGAGATACTCAATCATTCGCACGAATGAAAAAAAAATCCCATGAAAATTTTGGATATTGCTGTTGCGGCGAGTTTTTAATCACCGATTTCTCGACATTGGCTGAGTGAAACTGGACCATTTTTTTTTCGTTTCAAAGGTATTTTCACAGACTTTAAAATGAGCCCTGACTCATTAAAATCGCATCATTTGTTTACGAGATATCGAAGACTTTCGGCGGGGGGCTCGCCCCCCCCCCTCCTTTATGGATTTTCCCCATTGGCCGGGCTGAAAAAACCATTTCATCCGTTTCTATAAATAGAAAGTTAACTTCTTGAGTATCCGGACATGACCGAGATGTCCCGACACGTCCGTGGGAGCGAGAGAGACAGATTTTCCTGTCGTGGGGTCACGAGGGGCCGGGAGGGGTGGGGGTGAGGGCTCTGATTGGCTCTCTGGGGTACTCTCACCTCCCCATTGGTCGTTCTCGCATTTCGTCATCACTGCGGCTCGCAGCCCCTGGGGTTTGAGGGGGTGAGGGGGTCATGCGCGAAACGTAGTGCGCAGAAGAGCGTTCTCCAGTCAGCAAAACGACTGGGACTCCGTTAGCGAAGACAAGAGACTTTCGACCATTTTATCATTTGCCATATTTTTCGTTGACGCGAAATTACTGGGGAACTGAGGGACGAGGGGATTCACTTATCGAGAGGATCAGGAATTATTGGAGATATCAATTGGTCTGGGGGGTCGATTGACAGGATTTTAGAGAAATATCGATTTAATTCGCCTAGACATTACCACCCCAAATGCAAAACATTTATTGAATTATTATCACGAGTACTATGATAGGTGGGTAGTTTAGATAACGATTAAATCGTCTGGTCATTAACATTTTTCATTGGCATTCTGATATTTTTGGATAATTGTGCATTTTTCCAATGTCTCAATTTGTGTCACGACAAAATGGCGGACACGAGCTAATCTCCATGTCCCGTTCTTCTATTCTCAAATCATTGGGGGATTTTTTCGTTTTATAATTTTTCTCAACAATTTTCTTCTTACAGATTGCAATGATTTTAGTCAATCAAAGAACGCTCGACTAGACTGATATAAAGAGTGAATTTTTTTTATTAACGATGGTAAGTTTGCTTGTTGATTGAATTATCGTGGTGTTGCTTTGTGATAAGTGGATCGTTGTATTTGTAGTTTTTACGAGGTTTTTTTTGGTGGAGGGAATTCTCTCCGGGAAGACGCCCCATGTGGAGAGGAATTTTTGTGGAAAAGATGGCGCCAGCTGCTGGTCGTACTGTATATAACGGCGATGACCTGCTGACGCATATTTTTTCTCCAATTATCGTTGCGAAATGTTTTTACACATTGGGAGTTGTTTTTTGCATGATAAGAAAATCGTTTGAGTGATTTTTAGAGGATAAATTGCATTTATTTGAGTTGTGAATCAAGATTAATTAATTTGGTTTTTTTAGACCTCTTTGTTTATTCTCTGAGCAATAATTATGAAAATACTTATAATTTCATTTTTAATTTATTATAAATTCATTAAATTTCCAATTTCAAAGTAATTATTAATTATGAAACTATATATTCGAT